CCTCCAGTAGGACAAGGCCACTTCTGCCTTAAGGAGGAGGTGGGGTTGCAGGCTTCATGGCCCCTCCACGTGCACGGGGAGTGGGAGGCTAACCCCGTGTGATTGGGGGATTGCCGGCTGCGTCACCCCCTAGCCGGCCAATTGGGTTGGTCCGGGGGTGTGGTCTGCCCCATAAAGGCAGGACGCAGCCGGGGATCTCCCTCTTTGTCCGCCCACCAACTGCTCCTGTTTTCCCACCCTCCCGCCCCAAGAAGGTTTTCCTTCTTGGACCTTGCTATGGACCTTGGTTGGTCGCCGTTGAGGGGCCTGGTCGGAATTTTTCCACTTGGCAAATTGGCACCAGCCACTTGGTTTTCGCCTACCTCATAGCAAATTGTCACAACTTTCTGGGTATTGGCGGTTAGGCATTAGAATAGTTCTGTAGATGGAAAGAGGGGAGGTAGTGCCATCACGTGCCCCAAATATTGAAGGGTAGTCCGTTAAAGGATTCTGGGGGGTGTGGCCCTGTCCGAAGCCTAGGGAGGTTAGGGCCTAATGCACGCCCCCCTATCGGTGACCCAGGAGGAGCTCCTAGTTGATGTGCATCAGCAGGTCTCCCTCTAACGGTGGTTAACCCTTCCCAGACTTCAAGCAGACGGGCTGAAGTCAGATATAGTTGGTTAGGTCCAATGCCTAAGCCAATACCGCTCATCACCTGTAACCAATAAAGTTGTGGCCTTTTTTAGCCCATTAACCTTAATAATTCTGTCGTGTGTCATTATTTTCCTACTGAGGGGGTCGGGAACTCACCATTAAGTACTTTTCCAACTGAGGGGGTTGGGAACTCCCCCCAGAGAAGGCACTTTTCCCAGGGCCTTCTCAAACCTAGAGCCTGTTCTGTTTTACAGTAGTACATCGGATTAATAACTTAATTTGTTCCAGAAGTCCGTTCTTAATCTGAAACTGTTCTAAACCTGAGGTACCACTTTAGCTAATGGGGCCTCCCGCTGCCGCCGTGCAATTTCTGTTCTCATCCTGAGGTAAAGTTCTTAACCTGAGGTACTATTTTTGGGTTAGCGGAGTCTGTAACCTGAAGCATCTGTAACCCGAGGTACCGCTGTATTCATTTCAACACCACCTTCACCCGTGGCAGCAAACTAATAACATCAAATTCATCTAAAGCAATGTGAGGAAGGACTTCTCTTTGCTTTCTATTACATGTGCTAAGACCTGTCCAAAAAAACAAAGAAACCTAAAGCCGCATGTAACATGCCAAAGTTTATGAACTTGAATTCCAGTCTATTTTTAAAGGTTTGGGGCTAGCGTGGTTTTTTTTGACTTCACATCCAGGGAGCTTGGTGGAGCTTTTTATCCTTCAAGCTTTACATTGTGAACCCAGGGGATGTGAACCCAAACTGAAAAAACAGTTTGTACAAAGCTCTGCGCGCTGGGACCTGCCAACTTTTGCACAGACTTTTTAGCAATGAGCGCATTGGCAGCTGCAGGGAAAATATAAAACCATGAACTGGACTGTAAAAATGCTGGCCTCCTGAGCTGCGCCAAGGCTTGGATCCAGTACAGGAAGCACCAAGGCAGGTTTGGGCAAAGCCTGGGAAGTCCCAAGGTGAAACTCAGAGGAATCTGATACATTGGAGGGACAGAATCAGACAGTTTGGACCATGGGTAGGCAAACTAAGGGCCAGGGGCTGGATCTGGCCCAATAGCCTTCTAAATCTGGCCCGTGGACGGTCCGGGAATCAGCGTGTTTTTATATGAGTAGAATGTGTGCTTTTATTTAAAATGCATCTCTGGGTTATTTGTGGGGCATAGGAATTCGTTCATTATTATTTTTTAAATAGTCCGGCCCCCCACAATGTCTGAGGGACAGTGGACTGGCCCCCTGCTGAAAAAGTTTGCTGCACCCTGGTTTGGACAAATGTTTTGAGCGCTAACTGTCCAAGGTTGTTGACTCAAGGTAGAGCTTGGAATATTCCAGAGTGTATTGGCTTTTGAGGGACGCGGGTGGCGCTGTGGGTAAAAGCCTCAGCGCCTAGGGCTTGCCGATCAAAAGGTCGGCGGTTCGAATCCCCGCGACGGGGTGCGCTCCCGTTGCTCAGTCCCAGCACCTGCCAACCTAGCAGTTCGAAAGCACCCCCGGTTGCAAGTAGGTAAATAGGGACCGCTTACTGGCGGGAAGGTAAACGGCGTTTCCATGTGCTGCGCTGGCTCACCAGATGCAGCTTTGTCACGCTGGCCACATGACCCGGAAGTGTCTCCGGACAGCGCTGGCCCCCGGCCTCTTGAGTGAGATGGGCGCACAACCCTAGAGTCTGTCAAGACTGGCCCGTACGGGCAGGGGTACCTTTACCTTATTGGCTTTTGAGGCCTTAAGTCTTCTATCCTGTGCACACTTACCTGGGAGTAAGCGCCATTGACCATAGTGTAGGACATGCTTCTGAGTATGGCTACATAGGATTGCATTGCACTGGTGGTATAGGGAAGTTTTTAATGTTCAATGTTTTACAGTGGTACCTTGGGTTACATATGCTTCAGGTTACATACGCTTCAGGTTACAGACTCCGCTAACCCAGAAATAGTACCTCGGGTTAAGAATTTTGCTTCAGGATGAGAACAGAAATCATGCTCTGGCGGCACAGCAGCCAGCAGGAGGCCCCATTAGCTAAAGTGGTGCTTCAGGTTAAGAACAGTTTCAGGTTAAGTACGGACCTCCGGAACGAACTAAGTACTTAACCCGAGGTACCACTGTATTGTGTTTTTAATGTTCTGTTGGGAGCTGCCCAGAGTGGCTGGGGAAACCCAGGCAGATGGGCAGGGTATAAATAATAAAATAATCATCATCATCATCATCATCATCATCATTTATCAGATAGGAAACGACCGGCCACTAGCCATAGGAGCCTCTTTGTCAATAAATACGCGGAAAGAGTTTAGCTTACAACAGCCACAAACTTCCAACCTCCCCAGGAAACTGCCTTGTGCATATAAATTAATTGTTTTAATTCAAGACTTCTTATGCTTTTAAGGGATTGATGCGATGCAGCGAATGTGTCTCTTGATTGTTTCAAATATGGCAACTCTGCGAGAAAGCCCGTCAAAGTGAATTTGGGTTAGCAAGATGGGTTCTGAGCTCCTGCCGGAGAAATTTAGTTGTACAAATGGCAACGTACAATGATTAAATCAATCTGAGGAACCTTTCTCAGCCCAAGGGCCGCATTTGTTCACGGGGAAGCCGCCAAGGGCCAAGGGTGGATGGCAAAAAGGCAAATGTGAGCAGAATACCAATAGTATTTGCTGGATTAATTTCCATTCTGGACAGAGTATGAATAAGTGAACATTTCTGCTCCTACTTCTGTAGGAAGTTCTTCAGCATCCCCACCTAAGTTTGACAATTCCTGGAACAAATCATTGGGGGTGAAGGAGGTGGTGTAGAGGGGCGAGACCCTGATCCCCTCTGTCCTTCCTGCATGGTTATTTTTGCCAGATTCCCCTCCAAGCTGACTTTTGAGAGACAATTATTTGGGGGGGGGGTCTAGTGCTTGTCACTTTCACTGTCTGCCAGCCCCAGAAATTCCTCCATCTGGGTGGAAGTGGTCTGCACGACCAAGCCTTTGGCTGGAAGGAAGTTACTGTATTTTTTGCCCTATAGGATGCACCGGCCCATAGGAGGCACCTAGTTTTTTTGGGGGGGGGGAATAAAGGAAAAAAAATTACTCCCCCCCCAAGCGCGGGGCGCGCTGCTTCAGCGCGCCCCACGCTCCGTGCAGCAGGCTGCTATCCGCAGCCTAGGGAGCCCTGCGGGAACTCCCGCGGGCTCCCCAGGCTTGCTGATAGCTTCCTGAAGCCTGGAGAGCGAGAGGCGTCGGTGCGCACCGACCCCTCTTGCTCTTCAAGCTTCAGCGAAAGCCTGCATTCGCCCCATAGGACGCACACAGATTTCCCCTTCATTTTTGGAGGGGGAAAAGTGCGTCCTATAGGGCGAAAAATACGGCAAGTGGCTTTGAATAGGATATGGGTGGTACTTGTAATTGCTTTGAGCCTATAAGCCTATCAGTGTGTTGAGGGCTGCTGCCTGTTGGATGACTACAAAGGAGCTGTATTATGGCTTCATAGTGTTTGTTGTTGTTTAGTCGTGTCCGACTCTTCGTGACCCCATGGACCAGGGCACGCCAGGCACTTCTGTCTTCCACTGCCTCCCGCAGTTTGGTCAAACTCATGCTGGTAGCTTCGAGAACACTGTCCCACCATCTCGTCCTCTGTCATCCCCTTCTCCTTGTGCCCTCCATCTTTCCCAACATCAGGGTCTTTTCCAGGGAGGCTTCTCTTCTCATGAGGTGGCCAAAATATTGGAGCCTCAGCTTCAGGATACGTCCTTCCAGTGAGCACTCAGGGCTGATTTCCTTAAGAATGGAGAGGTTTGATCTTCTTGCAGTCCATGGGACTCTCAAGAGTCTCCTCTAGCACCATAATTCAAAAGCATCAATTCTTCGGCGATCAGCCTTCTTTATGGTCCAGCTCTCACTTCCATACATCACTACTGGGGAAACCACAGCTTTAACTATACGGACCTTTGTTGGCAAGGTGATGTCTCTGCTTTTTAAGATGCTGTCTAGGTTTGTCATCGCTTTTCTCCCAAGAAGCAGGTGTCTTTTAATTTCGTAACTGCTGTCACCATCTGCAGTGATCATGGAGCCCAAAAAAGTAAAATCTCTCACTGCCTCCATTTCTTCCCCTTCTATTTGCCAGGAGGTGATGGGCCCAGTGGCCATGATCTTTGTTCCCCCCCCCTTTTTTGATGTTGAGCTTCAGACCATATTTTGCGCTCTCCTCTTTCACCCTCATTAAAAGGTTCTTTAATCCCCCCTCACTTTCTGCCATCAAGGTTGTGTCATCTGCGTATCTGAGGTTGTTGATATTTCATAGTGTTACTGGTCTGCAAAGCCAGCCATGCATCCAGTGGACTATAATATGGAAGCTGTTCATAGCATTATCTTCTCTTGCAGGTGTTGAAATGGGTCGAAGAAGCCGTGCAAGCTTCCAAAGTCCATCTCTTATCGACAGACCACCTGACTTCAGCTGTAAATGCTTGGCAAATCCCCTTTGATCCTAGTCTGAAAGAGGTTACAGTGTCCCTGAGTGGTCCTTCTCCAGTTATTGAAGTCCACGATCCTTTAGGTGAGTTATTAATGTCCCACTTTCTCAAAGGAAGAGCAGCGGTGGGTCTGTATTCTCCCCACTTTAACAAACTGCAATTCCCAGGATTATCCCGGGGAATAAGTGACAAGAAAACAATTCACATTTGTAGAGTAGATAGGTCTTTAAAGTGTTTGGGGCTCGCACAGCCACTGTACAGTTCTGGCCTTTACATTGAGACACTCTAGGTGACAAACTCTTAGGAAGCAATGCATGGGGCCAGAGCACAAATGTGTTGGAATATTCTAGAAAGAAGTTGAGAATTGGTCTTGAACAGGTTGGTAGGCAACAGAAAAATCTACCCAGCAACAGGAGCCTTTATAAAGGACATGTGATCAACAAGGGTCAGTGTAAAGTGTCAGTGTGTAAATGAGCATGAGTCAGCATTAGTCTCTGGCCGGGTAGCTGGAAGAGGAAAGGACTATGTTCTTTTATTTGTATTTGACCAATGTAGATTTTTGTAAATAATAAAGATCCTCAATAAAATAGGAAACTGCTGCAAGTCTATTAAAAGCCCCTCTTCAGACAGAGAGTACAAGATTTACTAACTCTAGTGTGGATTGAAATGAGGCAGCAATAGCAGAGTCCCCACCCCCTGTCCTTATTATATATCTCATGGTCAAACTACATGTTCCATTAACCATGTGGGAAGCAGCCATATCATTGGCATTGTGGCTTGGGTAGAGAGGTCTCTCAACCCTTGTTCACTTCAAAAACTCAGACTTAGGCCAATACAAGGGGATGTGTTCCTTTGTGGGTAGGCAATTGTTAACTGCTACACATGCAAAAAGTAAGCATTTTGAGTGAAAGTGCGTGTGAGACGATTGCGGTTGAAAAGTTGGGTAGTTGTTTATTTCCTTGACATCTGAAAGCATGAGGAAGTCCATTGCAAAGGAGATATAGACAGGGTAAAGAGGTACAGAGGAGTTAGGGAACAAAGGCTGCCCCAACTCAAGAAAGGCTGAGAAATCAGGAAGATAGAAAGGGAAGAAAGATAGAAAGGTCTAGGCCAGCTATTAATCCCAGTTGCAAGCCAGGAGAAGAGAAAGGGGAAGGAAGAACAAGGGATTATAGGAAGACTGTATATTTACTTTAGAAAGAGTTCCTTTGGTGATACAGGGTAAGTCTGAACAAGGTCTCCAACCCAGAATTTCATGCCTGTTTTATGCAATTTTCTCTTCCCCGATTTGTAGGAATTTAGACTAATGCAAGATGGTTCAACGTGAAACCTATAAGAGTTGACAGAATCAGCTTTTGTGCGATTCCGGGTTTTGCCAGAATGTTTAGAAAACTGGGGCAAAGCCAAAATAGCCAGATTGGTTTGGCTTGTGGTGTACTGAATATCTCTGCACTGATCATTGACAAGAATCTCACGCTATTAAGTACCAGGTTTTCAAGGCGTGTGGATGTGGGGGGCAAGGAGTTAAGTCTGAGCATTGCTGAGGTGACTTAAAAAATAAAATGCTTATTCCTTCTTTGCCTGTGTTGCAGGTAAGCCCGTAAAGAAAGGATCTGGCTTGAATGAGTTGCTGAATATTGAAAATTCTGCAACGGTAGTGAACATAAAAGAACCAGCGCCCGGAACATGGACAATTAAGGTGATTTTCCTGTTGAAAAGATGCAGTCAATTTCCTTCATGCATGATGCATTTTTTAATACAAAAGCTGTGTTAACAGGGTTCCTGCAGTAACATTTGATCACACACAATCCTTATAATTTTGGATGAAGTCCTCTTTCTTCTCTCCCACAATGGTTTGGGGCCTTATGCTAAAATTGGCTCTTTATAACTGTTGGTTTTGGGGATTCACTGTCCCCCTAAGTCCATTATTGGTAAGAGAAAATTGAGTGGAGGCAGGATCCTGTGAGAGCAAGGAAGATCTTACCTGGCCAGTATGTCCATTCCTTTGACATGATACACACCTTAGTTCTTGAATCCAGGTCACAGGCATACCCTATTCATACACGAAATATGCCCTTTAAGACAGGATTTGTAGGTGAAAATAACTACTGGGGGAGGTTTCTCCAAGGTATTTCCTTCTGCTGAGGAAATACTTGGGGTCATCAAGAGTCAAGATGGCTTCAGGATTACTCTCCTGTAAATTTCAGACATGTGGTTTATATACTTACGTATGTGTTCTTACCTTGTGCACTTACAAACATTTTGTTCTATATTTGAGCCCTTAGAATTTTTATAACAGTAATGAGAGGACATTTAACCCCTCGTTTTGGAAATGCTGTGACCATCTTGAGGAGATGCTCTAGCACGGGCATAGGCAACCTCGGCCTGCCAGATGTTTTGGGACTACAATTCCCACCATCCCTGACCACTAGTCCTGTTAGCCAGGGATCATGGGAGTTGTAGTCCCAAAACATCTGGAGGGCCGAGGTTGCCTATGCCTGCTCTAGCATGTAGGATTGGTTTCTTCTGATTTTTGAACCTTTGCACAGCTAAAGTCAAGATGGCCTGGCTCTAAAGAGTAGTAGCCAGCCCACAGTTGGCTGCTTTCTTTGCAGAAAGGGGCTAAAAAACCCCCACAGTGGTTGGGATCGAAGCTGTCACGACACTTGCATGTCTGGCAAGGAAAACAGAGGATTAAATTTAAGGAAATGAAGCCCTAGGGTGGGAATTTTGATTCTGTGCCTTGTAGCTTCTTTGGGGTGGAAGTGTAAGTGTGGCCTGTCACCACCCCAAGGAAGCAGAAGAAATGTTGTTGATGTGCATATAACTTGCACATGTGATGTCCTCTGCTGTGTACTTCTGAACAGCAGGAAGTCCTCTCCAGACGATAGTTGTGGCCAGTGCCGAGGTTCCCAAAGGGAGGTACAAGCATGACAGAATTATTCCACACGCCATTGCTGCCTTGTGCTCTTAGGATTGCACAGCTTCCCAAGCCAACTCTTCTAAGCTATAATTACTTAAAGGCTCCTGTTGGTGAGCTAGGCCTCCTAACATCCCCCTCTTCCCACATACATCAGTCTTCCTTTAGGAAACACCCCTTTAAACATCACAGCCAGCTCTGCAATACAATAAATGGTGGATCTGGAGGATCTCAAATGTTTGGGTTTCTCAGAAGGGAAGGGGGGGAATTGAGCTTCTCTGGAGTAAATGAAAATGCAGCACAGATGGGCAGCCAGGTTGATGAGGATTTACTGTCCCTGCCCTACCTACATCTGGAAGACAAGTATGGGCTACATGTTTGCATATCCTGCCCTCCCACCTTAACTGTGGCCAGATGTCAGCACCAGCACTAAACACAGTTAAGTCTAACCTGGTTCCTTGTATGTAGCAGATTTATAATCCTGCTTAAGTGAGAAATATAGTTAGCTATGTTAAAGTGGTGCACACGTACCTCTAAAGTATAGATAAGGTCAGATAGTGTGATGGGTTGTAATCGACTCGCCTCTGCTGAGCATCAAGGTGAAAGTGGATCCACGCTCTTACCTGGGAGGGTTGCAAGATGGCAGTAGGGATGTGGGTGGTGCTGTGGTCTAAACCACTGAGCCTCTTGGGCTTGCCAATCGGAAGGTCAGTGGTTTGAATCCCCACAACGGGGTGAGCTCCCGTTGCTCTGTCCCAGCTTCTGCCAACCTAGCAGTTCAAAAGCCAGTGCAAGTAGATAAATAGGTACCGCTGTGGCGGGAAGGTAAATGGCATTTCCGTGCGCTCTGGCTTCCGTCACAGTGTCCCGTTGCGCCAGAAGTGGTTTAGTCCTGCTGGCCACATGACCCGGAAAGCTGTCTGTGGTCAAACGCCGGCTCCCTTGGCCTGAAAGCCAGGTAAGCGCCACAACCCTATAGTCTCCTTTGACTGGCCAGGAATTCTTTACTTTACTTTTTTAGAGGCAGGATATAACTGTGCAGGCATCCATCTGTCTCAGGACAACAGAGGAGTGTTTCCTGGAAGGGAGAATTTGCCATGGAAATGAGAGGAATCTCATGATCTCACAACCCACTATCAGCCAGTTAATCATAGTTAGGAAGACACTGATTCTACATCGGCTCCAAAAAGAAAGAAAGAGGAGAGCAAGATAAATCAGACTTGTAATCTGTATAAAATCAGCATCAAAAGGTGCTTGGCAACAGTTATTCAAAAGCTTGGGATGATTTAAGAGAACATTGGTACCCTCTGCTAGCTGCACTCCAGCTGTTGACCTCAGGAACCCTGGGATGGAGAATAGTGAGTCTGTACAGCAGCCTCACTGTAGCTGGTGTCACTGACCCTGTAGCTGGAGTCAGTCAGCATAATGCCCTCCCAGGCCAGGTGGAAAAAGGCCTGCAAGGCAAGGAACGGGTCTTCCAGGACTCACAGCCAAGATGACAAAATTTCCAAAAGTCTGATTCCTGTGCTTCAGAAAGTCGCACAAGCAGTAAAGCTTGACTTAGCGAAATTCCTAAATTATTGGTGTAGGAACAGAAGAATGAGATGTGAGAGCCATGTAGCTAAGATGGAACAACCAATTAAAACCTTTTTGCACGCAAAGTTTGTTGCTCTAAGTTCAGACGGCATGACTCTCACAAGTCTTTACTGAGTTCCTATACCAATATTAGGAACTTTCACCACTGTAACAAAGCCAGGTTTCACTGCCTGTGCTTTATGACTGATGTATGGAACAGCACATGAACCTGACCTTTGAAGAGTTTGTAAGTAAGCCATTTTTAACTTACCAAATGTGTGGTCTTTTTACTGTGCTAAGGGAAGAAGGAAGTTTTGGAAGGAACTCACAAGGGCATATTTTAAAGGTCTATCAAACTACTTGGATGCATATTTTGTGATTTTAAATCTCTGCTGGGGTTCTTTCACCAAGGAGAGCTTGCCCGAGACCTGGATTTTGGCATCAAGGAATTATCCTTTTATATTTTTAATTTTTGCTTGCCGCCAACAGGGGAAAGATGCAATTGCATACGAGCTCAAAGGGCAAACAAAGCAAAACAGAAAGACCATACTGTCTTCTTGTTGGAAGAAACCTCCAGGCCAGTCAGGTTTAAATGGACCATTTGTTTAAGGATAGAAAGAAAAGTGGGGGGAAAGAACTGAATCTGAAATAAACAGGAAGTATTTGCAGTTATTGGCTACAGTCCCACACATAGTAATGTGGCTAAATCTCCCACTGATTTGAGTGAGAGGGATGCAGTTGTCAATTGTCAATAAGAGAGTTCTCTGCTGAATGTTGTATTTATTCAGAAGGTGACTGTGATAGTGATTCTTGCTATTCACACACAGCTTCCCAAGCAAATTTCATCCGATTAAGTGAAAAGTCACGATAATACAAGACAGAACCAACCCAACTTAATGAGTTACACCCTTTGAAGCCTCCACGAAATATAAAGCCATCTGTAGCTATAGTAACTTATAAACAAAATATAATACTTTCTTAAAACTAAACAGCACACTTAAGCCAGACTGCGATTTCATATATTACAAAAAATGCATGAAATCCAGTGTATATGAGACCTTTTAATTTAATTTTTGGAAGAATAAAATTCCTATGACTTTAATTGCTTCTTGTACATTAATTGAAAGAGTTTTTCTTCCGTTATAAGGGGTGGGTGGGTGTTGCTTATTCGTAAAAATGCTGACCAGCGTTTTTAGGCCTTGTGGATAGAAATCTGAATGGTTATAGTTTTAAACTCTCTTGTCTGTTGCACTCAAGTTCATGCTAAACCAAAATTAGCATGAGGTAAGGTAACCTAACATTGCTCACATGAGGTTTGAATAGCTCAAACCTGTATCCAATGTTTTAACATTGCCTCAATTCCGTCACCGTACAAGCCGTGGTTTTAAAAAAGCTCAACTGTGGTTTGGTGTGACATCAACAAGCCATAATTGTTGTTGTTTAGTTGTTTAGTCGTGTCCGACTCTTCGTGACCCCATGGACCAGAGCACGCCAGGCACTCCTGTCTTCCACTGCCTCCCACAGTTTGGTCAAACTCAGGCTGGTAGCTTCGAGAACACTATCCAACCATCTCATCCTCTGTTGTCCCCTTCTCCTTGTGCCCTCCATCTTTCCCAACATCAGGGTCTTTTCCAGGGAGTCTTCTCTTCTCATGAGGTGGCCAAAGTATTGGAGCCTCAGCTTCAGGATCTGTCCTTCCAGTGAGCACTCAGGGCTGATTTCCTTAAGAAAGGATAGGTTTGATCTTCTTGCAGTCCATGGGACCCTCAAGAGTCTCCTCCAACACCTGGAGCAGGAACCAGCAAGCCACTCTAGTATCCCTGCCAAGAAAACCATGATTAGAGCTGCATTTAATATGAGGTCTCCCATTTTAGGTAGCACAGTTTCGTTTACCATCTCAAAGATTCTGCTACCCTGTACTAGGGATGCTTAAATTTGTAACACAAGAGTATTGGCTAGGATTCAAGCACTTGGGAACACCTAGTGAGTTTTCAACATTGCCATTCAAACTGCCAACCATACTTCCCTTCCTCTGTTTTTATCACAAACTGCTTTTGAGAGGACTCCCTGTTTCAAAAGTGGCTTACTTTGCCTCATGGGTTTTTAGAAAATGAACGTTAAAAGTCCCCACACACCCCACCCCCACCAGGCATGTGGAAAAACTTGTGTAGCTCTTTGGGATCCCAGCAATTACACAGAGCACGTTAATTCCCCTGTTAAGTTTGCATTAAAGCTCTGAAATCAACTGATGAAGAAGAAAAGGAAATTTACTTAAAACCTTTAATCCCATTATAAATTTCCTATGCAGATGTTGTATAAAACCGTAAAAAGGGATCTGTTGTCACTGCTGCATTTGCCCAACTAACACTTAACAGCTAATTATCACATGATAACAGGAGTCTCTTTGGCCCTCTCTTAAAAAAAAGAAAAGAAAAGAAATAATGTTCTTTAATCCATTGATCTTGACAGCAGCTGGCCTATGCCAGAAAACCCTCTGGGTGGTGATTTTACGGAGGTGAAAGGCTAAGCAATAGAAATAAATATGGCCTTTCCAATAAAGACAGACTGATTTGTCAGGGTGCCTGGAGGGAGTGAATTGCCTAAGCAGTAGTTTTATGGAAAACAACTGTTTCTTTTAATATTTGCTGAGCATCGTTTTTGCTAGACAAAACAACTGAACATATTAATTTCTTTTTCTAACTTGATGTGATTTAATAATGCAGTGATCAGGGCTTCTTCCACATGTTAGGACTAGATCGGGATTTGAGGCTTCAAAATTAATCCTAGTATAGCCGGGAGTCCTTCTCTTGCAGTTAGTGGATGGTCTGGTTTATAAGTCATGCTAAGCCAAACCATGACTTAGCATGAGTGCGCAAGTAATCTGGCTCCTTCGTAGGAGATTGTGTCCGTTTTGCACCTCCCTGTTTGTTTTGCTGCTGAGCCATGCTGAGCTGAGCTGTGGCTCCGTTTCAAGTGCTGTACAAACCCAGCCTTGTGGTTCAGCTCTCTCCAGACTAGCCACACATGGTCAACCAAGCTTTGCTAAGCCAAGCCATGGTTTCAGTAAAGGTAAAGGGACCCCTGACCATTAGGTCCAGTCCTGACCGACTCTGGGGTTGCGGCGCTCATCTCGCTTTACTGGCCGAGGGAGCCAGTGTACAGCTTCCGGGTCATGTGGCCAGCATGACTAAGCCGCTTCTGGCAAACAGAGCAGCGCATGGAAACGCCGTTTACCTTCCCGCTGGAGTGGTACCTATTTATCTACTTGCACTTTGAGGTGCTTTTGAACTGCTAGGTTGGCAGAAGCAGGGACCGAGCAACGGGAGCTCACCCCGTCACAGGGATTCGAACCACCGACCTTCTGACCGGCAAGTCCTAGGCTCTGTGGTTTAGCCCACAGCGCCACCTGAGGAGTGGTTATGATCTCCCACCTGGGAGCTTGCAATACATGCAATACAGCATGATGTGAGAGGCAGGTCAAGACGTGTGACTTTCCCCCTACTCCCTTATAGGAAGGAAGTTGAGCAGTTGGGGGAGTGGTGTAGGAAAAACAACTTACTCCTTAACTTAAAGAAAATCAAAGAGATCATTGTGGAATTTAGGAAATGTAAATTGAATATTCAGCCACTTATTATTGAGGGGATGTGCGTGGAACAGGTCTCGGTGTTTCGATTTCTGGGAATGGAGTTGAGAGATGACCTAACCTGGGGAGAAAACAGCAAAGACCTGATGAAGAGAGCACAGCAGAGGTTATATTTTCTGAGAATCCTCCGGAAAAACAATCTCTCAAAGGACCTGTTGATGGCTGTCAGGAAACTGCCATCAGTGTCCGAGGGAGAGAGCAAGCTCCAAAGGGATCCCAGAGAGCGTCCTGGGAGTGGGAGAGGCAGCCCATCTTCTGGGGAAGGGAATCAGCGTAGCTCCAGTGGAGAAGGGGGGCAGATGGGGGAATCGGCGAGGCGGTCCCAGGACTCCTTGCCGGGGACCAGCGGGGAGAGGAAGAGTCCTCCGCTGCCTACGCCCTCCTTGCGCAGAAGGCTTCTGCGCAGGGAGAGTAGGAGGAGACTGGGCGTCAAAGAGCTTCTTTGCTGGAAGAAGTTTAAGAAACGCCCACTGACTGATTCTGCCAGCGACTGAGACAGCCAGTGGCTGTCCGGACAGGAAAGGTTCACTCAGGCAACCCAGCCAGGTGTTGGGACAGGCTTACGCACGAGTAACCCCTAGAACCATTACAATGGCATTTTTCCATTGTACTGTGGTGAGTGTATTAACTTATGGTCTGTGTGTGTGTGGTTTGGGAGCTGCACAGTCAGGGAAAAACCAATGCTGTCCAGGGTTGTAAAGACTGCAGAGAGAATAATTGGGTGCACTCTTCCCACCTTGGATCAAATCTATGCTGCGAGGTGCCATAAGAAAGCTGCAGAGATTATCTCTTTCAGCTTCTGCCTTCTGGAAGAAGGTACTGGGTTATAAAGACTAGGACTAGCTGCCTGAGAAACAGTTTCCATCCAAATGCGATTTTGGTTTTAAATGCAGTGTAAGGAGTCTCTATGGGAGTATATTGTATTTGAAAATGGGGTATCAGAGTTTTTAGGGGGCTAACCAGGTTGAGATAGCTGGAATAGCAGGCTTGTTGGTTTTGAATGTCTTATAGATTTTTTTTTTCAATTTCGTTGTTCTGTATGGAACAATAACAATAAAGATTATCGTATTGTATCGTATCGTACCGTATCGTGTGTGCTTAAACTTTGCCCACAAACAGGTCAGGCGCTGGCTGAAGGGACTAGGAGCTTAGCCCCTCACCGCCTAATACAGCCATGTCACCACTGCCCATCCTTTTCACTGAGCCCCTGTGCAGCTCCTTTTGAATGGGAACCAATCTTTGTTCCCATCCACAGTGTGAGACCACCATCTTTTTACTCAAAATGCAGTGTCCCCGGCCTGTAGATCTAAAAACAAAACAAAAAGCCAAGCTATAAGCCTATGATATGTATAGAACTATAAAATCTATAGATTTCATAGATCTATAGGCTGGGGCATTGCATTTTGGCCGTTGCAAATAAAAGCTGATCTTGGGAAGACGATAAGTGGTTTTGCTGCTGTCACTGGGCTGCAGCAGCAGCAGGAAAACTACTGTATTTTTCGCTCTATAAGACGCACCAGACCACAAGACGCACCTAGTTTTTGAAGGAGGAAAACAAGAAAAAAAATATTCTGAATCTCAGAAGCCAGAACAGCAAGAGGGATCGCTGCGCAGCGAAAGCAGCAGTCCCTCTTGCTGTTCTGGCTTCTGGGATAGCTGCGCAGCCTGCATTCGCTCCATAAGACACACACACATTTGCCCTTACTTTTTAGGAGGGAAAAAGTGAGTCTTATAGAACAAAAAATATGGTACTTCATGGTCACAGCTCTCTCTCTCTCTCTCTCTCTCTCTGTGTGTGTGTGTGTGTGTGTGTGTTATCATAAGTAACATCATGTTAAGGACCTGCTGGTCAGGCCCTGATAACCAACACACTTTGAATTCTCAATAGTCTTTAGTCTTTTATTTTTCATGTATGTTTCTTGCAGTCCTGCGCTCACCTTGTTAACACAGAAATTGTCTCTATTATTTCACGGAGACATTGATTGCATAGTAGGATCGCAGCCCTAACACAGAACAGATTCAACGAATACCAGCTCTTGGGGACTGAAAAACTTCGCATGCTGATCACAATGAAATGTTTTGCAATATTTTCTCAGACATCAAGTAGCGGGCGGCATTCCGTTCGTATCACCGGTCTCAGTACTATTGACTTCCGGGCTGGGTTTTCTAGAAGTCCAACGTTAGATTTCAAAATGACTTCCAGCAGACCAGTGCAAGGTTAGTGGTTCATATTTGAATCCTATTTACCTTTTTGGAGTCGTCTCCTGTCTAAGGGATAATTAAACAATATCCTCCCTGCTTCTCCTCCACTTGTGTAAAGCACTCAGCGCCTAAATGATGCTGACTTCTGCTAATATGTGCTTTGTCCTTGTTTTCCCCCCAAAAGGTTGTTATGCTGTTTCTGATTGTATTTTGTATGTAGCCAAGGTATTTGCGCTGCCCTGGGATCTAGTGAAGGGCGGCTGATAAATCCCCTTTAAAAAATCAACACAACTGAGTAAATGCGAATGATATTGGAATGTTTGTATTTGCATTTTGTCCATAGGGATACCTACCTACATTCTGCTAAATACTACGGGGATCCATATTCCTGCTAGAGTGGACCGACTAGAATTGCTAAGCATCACTGGGGAACTTCTGAAGACCGTTCCGGTGAAATATTTCCCTGACAGGAAACCTTATGGAATCTGGAACATTTCTGAGTTTATTCCACCGAACGAAGCCTTTTTCCTTAAAATAACTGGTTATGACAAAGACGATTACCTTTTCCAGAGAGTCTCAAGTGTTTCCTTTTCTAACATTATTCCTGGTAATTATATATATATTTTAAAAAGTTTTGTTCCTTATTTGAATCATCTTTCTCTATTTAGGGGATCATTTGGGGCGGGGCGAGGTTGTCCAATGCCCGCCCACACACCCAGTCCCCATGACACACAAAAGTGCTGTTTTAGCAGTCATTTTAGGGTGGGGTGTAGCAGTGCCCTCAACAGGTGAGAGCACCTCACGTTTGTGGACATAGTTGCAGGGTCAGTGGCGATAACCCACAATTCCCCCAGCCTCACCTGCACCTCTTTCCACCTCATCCCCATCCTTCTGCGTTCTGCACTAACCCCCATGATCTGCTGTTGTCTGTTAGATTTGCAAGAATTGTCAATTTTATTTTTATTTTTTTGCTTTTATTCTAGATGCTCCCAGAGTAAGCATGCCCAAGAAAACCCCAGGATATTACCTGCAGCCAGGTCACATTCCTTGCCATGTAGCCAGCCTCATACCATTTACTGTGTATTTTAGCAGAAATGGGATCAAGCTGGGAATGGAACGGTTTTTCAAGTAAGTAGCCATTTCTCAATTTTGTTGTACAACAGGGTTTCATTCAAATAAATTATAATAATAATAAAATATTTATATACCGCTCTGTTATGAAGATATATCACAGTGGTTTTACAACAATAAAAAGGTAAAGGTACCCCTGCCCTTACGGGCCAGTCTTGACAGACTCTAGGGTTGTGCGCCCATCTCACTCAAGAGGCCGGGGGCCAGCGCTGTCCGCAGACACTTCCGGGTCACGTGGCCAGTCTGACATCGCTGCTCTGGCGAGCCAGAGCCGCACACGGAAACACCGTTTACCTTCCCGCTAGTAAGCGGTCCCTATTTATCTACTTGCACCCGGGAGTGCTTTCGAACTGCTAGGTTGGCAGGCGCTGGGACCGAACGACGGGAGCGCACCCCGCCTCGGGGATTCGAACCGCCGACCTGACGATCGGCAAGTCCTAGGCACTGAGGTTTTACTTTTTACAGAGTGAAATTAAAACCAAACAGCAATAGACCACTGAGGGGGGATGTATACACTTGTTGGAGCAGAAGGATTTTCAGCAGGCATTTAAAAGTTGACACAGAGGGACCCTGCAGCTAGACATTTTGAAAACCTGTGGGGTAATAGATTTCTTTAAAAGCTAGTGTGTGCTTTGAGTAACAGTGATGGTGGTGATGGTGACTGAAATTTCAATAGGGTGATGATTGAATTTCAGCAGGAACAAACATAAGATATATGTTTTTATAACTTAAAAGGTAAAGGGACCCCTGACCATTAGGTCCAGTCGTGGCCGACTCTGGGGTTGCAGCGCTCATCTCGCTTTATTGGCCGAGGGAGCCAGCGTACAGCTTCCGGGTCATGTGGCCAGCATGACTAAGCCACTTCTGGTGAACCAGAGCAGCACATCGAAACGCCGTTTACCTTCCCTATTTATCTACTTGCACTTTGATGTGCTTTCGAACTGCTAGGTTGGCAGGAGCAGGGACCGAACAACGGGAGCTCACCCCGTCGCGGGGATTCGAACTGCCGACCTTCTGATCGGCAAGTCCTAGGCTCTGTGGTTTAACCCACAGCACCAACTTAGGCAGCAATAATAACAAGCTGCACAAACACAAGATGGGGGATGCCTTGGTTGCCAGTAGTACATGCGAAAAGGATCTAGGGGTCTTAGTAGACCGCAAGCTGAACATAAGTCAACAGTGTGATGTAGCAGCAAAAAAAGCTAATTCTATTCTAGGCTGCATCAACAGAAGTCTAGTATCCAGATGAAGGAAAGTAATAGTACCACTTGATTCTGCCTTGGTCAGACCACACCTGCAGTACTGTGTCCAGTTCTGGGCACCACAATTTAAGAAGGATATTGACAAGCTGGAACATGTGCAGAGGAAGGCAACCAAACAGAAGAATAGCAGGAATGAAAACCTGTTTGTGTAGTAGTTTTTTCTACTTCCAAAATGTAGAAATTGTGTGGCCCACATTCTTTTGAGGGTATCATTCTGTTTGGCAAGCTGACATGCTTGTGCAGAGGGAACATTTGTAATAGTGTGACATAGAATTCCACCCTATATAATTAATCAATTAGCAGGCTGGATTCCTGTAATGCTGTCCTGTAAACTGCTGTCAGTTTTATCACATAATCTTTTTCATGAAGTTCCATTAAGTCATTGCAAGCACATACTTCACCAGTTCAGTAATTCGGGTCTCAAACTTTAATGACCAAATTGCTTGTTTTTTCTCTTAATTTCCCCCATATCTTGTTACATGACTGTGGAACAGAGCAGAATATGTTGATGCTTTCACAAAATAATCTTCAAGCCAAGGGTTACTGACTAAGAGCTGCATCTTAAGTAATGAGATTTACATTGGCTTTTCTCCTCTTGCATGGAGAGCTTGCAGTTACGTATGTGTTTTAAAAGGATTGATCAAGTTCCATAGTATACTAGTCTCCCTTGATTTAGGATGAAGGCAGACATAACATTTTAATAGTGTGGGCACAGTGAGCCCTTTACAAAGTTTATAACACGTATAAAATACTATGGGCAGCGGTTAGATATACTGTAGTAATCATGTAATGTTGTGCTAGATATTAAATTTAGCATGACTGAGCTTTACTTTTGCAGTGCCCCGAAGCGGGTTTGCTTGATAATATTTAAATGATGTCTTCAAATTTTGGCAATGGCTTCTCAGCTAGCATCAATGTAGCCGTAACACTGCAGTGGTACCTCAGTTTACGAACTTAATCCTTTCCAGAAGTCTGTTCTTAAACTGAAATCATTCTTAAACCGAGACACACTTTTCCTAATGGGGCCTCCCACCGCTGGTGCCCTTCCACCGTCCGGATTCCGTTCTTAGACCGAGGTAAAGTTTGCAAACCAGGACACTAGTTCCAGTTTTGCGGAGCTTGTAAACCGAATCGTTCGTAAACCAAGGTACCACTGTAGATTGAAAACTTCAAAAAGTTTTCAGCTGGAGCAGAATAAATGCCATGCATAACAGCTAGCCAGTGTGCCAGTGTGGTGTAGTGGTTAAGAGCGGTGGACTCGTAATCTGGTGAACCGGGTTCGCTTCCCCGCTCCTCCACACGCAGCTGCTGGGTGACCTTGGGTGAGTCACAGTTCTCTGAGGTCTCTCAGCCCCACTCACCTCACAGAGTGTTTGTTGTGGGGGAGGAAGGGAAAGGAGAATGTTAGCTGCTTTGAGACTCCTTTGGGTAGTGATAAAGCGGGATATCAAATCCAAACTCTTCTAACCAGCGTTTTAGTGCAAATGATTAGCACAGCATCAGATGATCACACTTTGTATTGGTATAATTATATATTCCCCGTGCTGCAAACTGAGTGCATTGTAATGCCATCATCATTTCTTTAATTTGGTTTTCCTTCTTTGCATTGTAACCCCAAACTGTTTTATTCTGTGAAGGAAGCTTTGCATTTCTCTCTCTGTGCGATTGTCATGGGTTATTTTTGTGACAGGGGTTTAACTGTGGGTGGAAGCTTAGGACTACGGTTCAGGGATGCCTGCAGGATTTCCTCATGTATGTGGATTGGGGGCCATGCATGAGAGCGTGCATACAATTTATTGGCAGAATGATTATTCACAGAAATTTGGGGCACGGGCATTCACATTTTGGCTTATATCTTTTGATGCTTTTTTTTTAAATGGAAGCTAAGAGTCTGGGTCCCCTGCTGGCCTTGCTCCACTTCCCAATCCAGCTTTTTCTCCCCATCAGTTGGCAGCCCTGCTGTGGAGATGCGGTGTTTCTCAAACTTGGGTCCCCATCCGTTGTTAGATTACAACTCCCAACATCCCCAGCTAGCAGAACCCAGTGGTCAGGGCTTATGGGAGTTACAGTCCAACAACAGCTGGGAACCCAATTTGGAGAAATATTGGTAGTGTAATAATAATATAATAATATATAATAATTTGGGACGCGGGTGGCGCTGTAGCGCTGTGGCAGAGCCTAGGACTTGCGGATCAGAAGGTCGGCGGTTTGAATCCCCGCAATAGGGTGAGCTCCCGTTGCTCGGTCCCTGCTCCTGCCAACATAGCAGTTCAAAAGCACATCAGAAGTGCAAGTAGATAAATAGGTACCACTCCGGCGGGAAGGTAAACGGTGTTTCCATGTGCTGCTCTGGTTCGCCAGAAGCGGCTTAGTCATGCTGGCCACATGACCCGGAAGCTGTCTGAGGACAAACAGCGGCTCCCTTGGCCTGTAAAGTGAGATGAGCGCACAACCCCAGAGTTGGCCACGACTGGACCTAATGGTCAGGGGTACCTTTACCTATATAATAATTTATTATTTGTATCCTGTCCATCTGGCTGGGTTTCCCCAGCCACTCTGGGCAGCTTCCAACAAAGATTAAAAATACATCATGTAGAACTGGCAAACAGGATGGAGCCACTGGGCTGTCCTAAGCCTTGAGTATAAATACCAGGATTTGGTCTATAGTGCAGAAACTCTACTTGTACCTGGTCTATAGAGCAGTAGCTTCTCCTGTTGCTCTCTGGCTTCAGTCTCCAGTTCCTCCTGGACTAGTTTAGGGTACAGATACCCACAGCCACAGCTCAACATTGTAACTGCAGTGGGGAAGGGAGGGAGGTTTACAAACTACAGCCTAACTTCTTTATCCTTCATTGCAAATCATTTATACGGGATGGAATTCGATATCGTGCTGTGATGAACAAGAATGTCAGTTTGCCAGACAGAACCACCCCCACTGTAATGATCTCTGGCAGGCAAGCAAACCCCGATAAGAATGTCTCTCTGGCAGTTTTATGTATGTTTATTTACAAAAAAACACATCCAGAGCACGGCTTCTTGCCTGTTTGCATTTATGATAGTTGGTCAGTCTGAATCTTCACCCTCCCGTAGCAGGAAGGGTGCCAAACTCCCACCTTTCCCCTCTTGCCCTTCCATTGCCCTCTGATCTTATCTAGTCACCTAGAATGGGAACCGAGACCTCTGCTTATCTACTGATTGCCTAGCAACTCTCTGGCTGCCTTCCAGCTCTTCCTCTCCTTGAGATCTAACTGAGTCTTCCCCAGAAAGGGGGGTTGAACTGTCCTTTATTGACTCTGTCAGTCAGCTCTCATCTGCAGAGTCGGTCCCTCGGTCACTTAGTTCAATTTCTGAGTCTAACTCTTCCCCTGTGCTCTGGGGGGGCCACGTTCCTGACACCCACTCATCTCCCTCTGTGCTGGTCTGGGATTCTCCCAACCCTGCAAAGACAATTTCAAGGGGCAAGTGAGAGGAGCAGGGGAAGTCCCATTGCCTGCGTGGAAGACCCTACACTGGGTCTTCCACGCATTAGGTGAATCCCAGTGTTGTTTATTATTCTTATTTATTACAGAGACTCTGCTAATGTGAACTGGGAGATCGCTAAGGTGTCTCTGCCGGATGAGGGTTACTACGAATGTATTGCCAGCAGCAGTGCAGGATCTGGTCGTGCACAGACATTTCTAGACGTGTCAGGTTAGTGACGTTTACTATCTCATTTCCAGAGGGATCCATTTCACTCCCGATTTGTGGAGATTTGATTCTGCAAAACAAACCTGATGACATTTTAATGAATTCCAGGTTGTGTAGCGAATATGCAACCCAACAAAAGATAAAGGACTGCTTGGATGACTGCGTAATTAACTTAACAAAATTCACTACTGAGGGATACAGCCATGACCACTGTCTTAGACAGCCTTTGAAAAATAGAATTAGGCGAATTATAAGAACACAAGGAAATCCCTGCTGGATCAGGCCAGGAGGCAGAACTGTGGGTGGAGGTCTCCAGCTAATTAATTCCCACCCCCTGATATAAAACTCAGCCAATTCCTTCAGGATCCTGCTTATATACAGTGGTACCTTGGTTTAGGAAATTAATTTGTTCCGGAAGTCTGTTCTTAAACTGAAACCATTCTTAAACCAAGGCGCACTTTCCCTAATGAGGCTTCCCGCCGCCGGTGCCCTTCCACTGTTCAGCTTCCATTCATTAGACCGAGGTAAAGTTTGCAAACTGGGACACTACTTCTGGTTTTGCGGAGTTCATAAACCGAATCGTTCATAAAGGGAGCTGTTCTTAAACCGAGGTACCACTGTACAGTGGTACCTCGGGTTACAGACGCTTCAGGTTATAGACTCCGCTAACCCAGAAATAGTACCTCGGGTTAAGAACTTTGCTTCAGGATGAGAACAGAAATTGTGCACCGGTGGCGTGGTGGCAGCAGGAGGCCCCATTAGCTAAAGTGGTGCTTCAGGTTAAGAACAGTTTCAGGTTAAGAACGAACCTCCAGAATGAATTAAGTTCTTAATCCGAGGTACCACTGTATTTACATTTAGTCTCTCTGCTGCAGGAGCACTATCCGTGGTCCTGAAACCCACACCTTAATCTCTCTCCAAGGTGCTGACATTTATTTATTTATTGCCTCCCTTTGCTTGAGCAATCACCTCTCCTAGGTGGTGGGCATCTCTGCAGATCACAACATAAATTGATCATTATGAAAACTTCACCCCCCAAAGGAACTTGCAAATTCAATAGCTATTAGCTCTGTTAGCTGAACTTCCCTCCATATGTTCAGAGGCGTGATGCACCTGAACACCGGTTGTTGAGGACCAAAGGCATACTTATTTTAGATGGCTGTTTCAGATCACATGTGATAATTCCTCCAGAACAGCTGTATCTTTGGCCACCTAAACCAGGATCCTTCTCTGGGATGAAGCCGACATCTTCTTGTGACATCAATGGGTGCCTGTCCTGCCACATGCATTATCTCATTGACAGGAAATAGGTTGAGAAACCATTTCTTGGCTCACTCAAATCTGGTTCTCCAGCTGGACTTCCTTGGCATGGTAACTTCCCTGTTTGAGAACTAGAACCTGCCTGTTTGCTGGAAGGTCCAGTAATTGTTTGCAGGAATATCCACTCAGCCAACATTCAGAAGTTTAACCACTTCAGTGAACCATATATCGATGAAGGCTATTTTTTTTTACCCTTGCATATAATTCCAAATACATTAAATGAATATCACTATAAATAAGGATGCTGCCTAGATAGCATCTTAAAAAGCAGAGACATCACCTTGCCAACAAACGTCCGTATAGTTAAAGCTATGGTTTTCCCAGTAGTGATGTATGGAAGTGAGAGCTGGACCATAAAGAAGGCTGATCGCCGAAGAATTGATGCTTTTGAATTATGGTGCTAGAGGAGACTCTTGAGAGTCCCGTGGACTGCAAGAAGATCAAACCTATCCATTCTTAAGGAAATCAGCCCTGAATGCTCACTGGAACGACAGATCCTGAAGCTGAGACTCCAATACTTTGGCCGCCTCATGAGAAGAGAAGACTCCCTGGAAAAGACCCTGATGTTGGGAAAGATGGAGGGCACAAGGAGAAGGAGACGACAGAGGACGAGATGGTTGGACAGTGTTCTTGAAGCTACCAGCATGAGTTTGACCAAACTGCGGGAGGCAGTGGAAGACAGGAGTGCCTGGTGTGCTCTGGTCCATGGGGTCACGAAGAGTCGGACACAACTAAACGACTAAACAACAACAACAAATAAATAAGGAGGTGTTCTGAAAGCAACCATAGGATTGAGGCTTTCATTATATGATATACGATTTCTCAACCGACAAAGAAAATAAGTTTAACAGTTAGAAAAACCCACATTGACTCTAAATATAATAGTCAATGAGGCAAGGTCAGCTCAATATTGTTCAACGGGAGTTTTAACATATGGTCGAAATGTCTATAAATGTCTCAGAAGAATTCAGAGTCAAAGGAACTCTGTTATGCAAAGATAAATGTGGACTTGTAAATCAGTGCTGGCATGAACATTCCTGTGTCCTTACAGGGTCTGTTTAGTTTTAGGAACTGTAAATCTTTCTAAAGGCAACTCATAAGAAAGAATGAATGTGAAATAATAAAGTTTTTACAGATTTTTTTTGTTTTCATAACTAAAACTAGAAACCAAGAGCTAGATATATACCCTTGCCACTCTCCCAGGATAATCTTTCTTCCCAACTTAACATTTTACATTTTATTGGACTCTCTGACACAGTGGATCAGAAATTATTCTTGCCCTTAATTATATGAAATGGCTGAAATCCGGTCAACATTCTTCCATGGCAGAAACAACAAACATTTGAAGCATTTATTCCCCAACCCTTGCAATATTAAAGCTGAAAATGTCATATGGTGTTAACTCATGTACTTTTACTACCTATGGCAGCGTGCTCTGAATGTGAGGAAGATTTGCTTGGAAGTAAACCAGCTGTTAGTCTGTGCTATTCATAAAAATGTAAAGGGTAGTTGAAAATGATTTCCAAATCGTGCTCTGAGGAAATATAAAACTGTGTCAAGAATGCTGGCTCTGGTCTCCAAATAATGTATGCCCATTGATAAAGCGCATATTTTGTAAGGGAAACGCTGTTTTATTTGCACAGCATGTTAAGAGTTTTTCTAACATTCCTAATTTGAGGGTTGGGAATGAGAAGAATTAGTTGTTGTCTTCCCCCAACCCTCCTTCCCCCAACATCAGTAGAGGAATAGGACTAAAAATCTAAGATATGAAACCTTCATCCATCATTAAATCCAGGATGTGGGGATGTGGAGCTCATATTCTGACATTTTTAAAGATGCATGGCAAGAAACATGTTTTCCCTTTCAAGGGAATAACAAATAAGAGAAACACTTGCAAAAATCCTTTTCTGCACAAGGGCTTGGTTTTTATTCCATGTGGATTACCAACAAAATGAAGATCTGTTCTCAGACAATTATACTTTCGCTGGATCCATTTGCGTGGAGCCCTGTTCCATGGCATGCTTAGTCTCCTTTGTAATCCATCCTTAAGAACTGCACCACTAATAATAATAATAATAATAATAATAATAATAATAATAATAATAATTTATTACCCACCCATCTGGCTGGGTTTCCCCAGCCACATGAACATGTTGGGATGAAACATAATCCTGTTTCCCCCTGAACAAGTATTTTTCTGTGTATAACACGCCCCCACGTATAAGACACCCCCTATATTGGGGGGAGAGGGACGCGGGTGGCGCTGTGGGTAAAAGCCTCAGCGCCTAGGACTTTGCCGATCGAAAGGTCAGCGGTTCGAATCCCCGCGGCGGGGTGCGCTCCCGTTGCTCAGTCCCAGCGTCTGCCAACCTAGCAGTTCGAAAGCACATCAAAGGGCAAGTAGATAAATAGGGACCGCTTACCAGTGGGAAGGTAAACGGCGTTCCGTGTGCTGCGCTGGCTCACCAGATGCAGCTTGTCACGCTGGCCACGTGACCCGGAAGTGTCTGCGGACAGCGCTGGCTCCCGGCCTATAGAGTGAGATGGGCGCACAACCCTAGAGTCTGCCAAGACTGGCCCGTATGGGCAGGGGTACCTTTACCTTTACTTTTTATATTGGGGGACTCAAAATTAAGAAAATGGGGGGAGATTGCCCCCGTATATAAGACTCCCCCCTTTTAACATTATTTTAAAGTAAAAAAAACCCCTAATCTTATACACGGAAAAGTATGCTAATCACTGCTTTGCCTTCTCTTTCCTGGTGTATTGAACTTGTGGAAAAAATTCCCTATTCTTGTTTTCCTCTCTGCAGAACCTCCACCTATCGTACAGGTTCCTAATAACGTCACCGTCACTCCTGGCAATCGAGCCGTGTTGACATGCCTAACCGTGAGCACAGTGCGCTACAATCTCACTTGGCACAGAAACAACAGAGACGTCAAGCTGCTTGAGCCCTCCAGGGTCCGAATGATGAGCAACCTCTCATTGGAAGTTAAGGCGGTCAAACTCTCGGATGCTGGCGAGTACAGTTGCTTGGCTTCCAACGAAGGTGGCTCCACTGTGGCTTCTGTCTTCCTTACAGTGCAAGGTAACAGGAAAATGTTCTCCTCTCCCCCCATTTTTGAAAGAAAAAAAAAAGACAACATGGTACATATTTTCCTGATTGTGGAATGCTCTCCCCAGAGAGGCTCACCTGGTGCCATCATGACATGCCTTTAGGCCCCAGGCAAAAACATTCCTCTTTACCCAGGCCTATGGTTGTTAATTAGGACACGGGTGGCGCTGTGGTCTAAACCACTGAGCCTCTTTGACTTGCCGATCAGAAGGTCGGCGGTTCAAATCCCTGTGATGGGGTGAGCTTCCGTTGCTCAGTCCCTGCTCCTGCCAACCTAGCAGTTTGAAAGCATGTCAAAGTGCAAGTAGATAAATAGGTACCGCTCTGGCGGGAAGGTAAACGGTGTTTCCGTGCGCTGCTCTGGTTTGTCAGAAGCTTAGTCATGCTGGCCACATGACCCGGAAGCTGTCATCCCTTGGCTAATAAAGCGAGATGAACCCCACAACCCCAGAGTCGGTCACGACTGGACCCAATGTTCACGGGTCCCTTTACCTTTACCTTATAGCTATTAAATAATCTGTGGCCTGTGAAAGTGTGGGGAAGAAGGCTGTTATTAACTATTTTATTACCTGACTGTCTGTCAGTATTTGTATTTTTATTATTATGTTTTTATTATTGATGTTTTGCAATGTGTTTCTAATGCCCTGAGATCTTTTGATAAAGAGTGGTATATAAATCAAATTAATAATAATAATAATAATAATAATAATAATAATAATAATAATTCCCCCACTTTCTTTTGATGTCTTCTTTTCTGCCTCCGCAGCACTGCAGCTTTTTGTGTGATTTGATAAGCTCAGATAGTGTTTTTCTGCATTCCTCCAACTTATATGTGCGATTTAAAAAATCTTATGTATATTCTATCTTTCTACTTTCCCCCCAAGCGCTGATGGCGATATTCAAAGTATAGACATTCACAGCCTTCTCTTTTAAAAATATAAAGTAGTTGTGATTCCTGCATCGCAGGGGTTTGGACCAGATGACCCTGTAAGTCCTTTCGAACTCTATAATTCTATGATTCTGTAAAATGGAGACTCACATTCACTGCCTTCCATTCTCTTGATGTGATCATGTAGGATTCACTGTGGGTAGCTTTTAAAAATATGATGGATTGTAGGACAATCTTTGTAATTCAGTTCTGTCCCCCCCCCCCATTTACTGTGCGTGCATTCTGCCCTTGCTCCAAGAAGTTATCTGCTTTTGTCAGTTTTATTTTAACAAAATGAAAAGGCTCAGAAATCAAAATAGGACACATCTGCCTTTTTCAGTGGGAAGCTTGAAAGGAATTTTTTTAAAAAAAAATATGGCTATAAAAAGGGACGAGCTTGACAGCAGAGCCCTTCTTATTAACTGAAAGGGAGTTTGTCAGGGGAGAAGCGAATATTTTGCCAAGACTGCGTACTTTACAGCTTTTTGTTCAATACCTGCATTTTTCCTTTCATGTTCTCCTCCTTTATAGGAACAGGAAATGCTCTCAGAGCAGTCCTTACTCATTTAAAAGCTGCTATCCTCAAATACAAACCCACTCCTAAATTAGTGGATCTACAAAGATGTCTGGAGGCCCTGCGGTTGCTAATTATTGTTCACAGCAGGCTTCAATGGTGATCATTAAGTGCCTTTTTGAAGTTTGCCTCTTCCACAGGAAATGCAGGATTGCGGAGGAAGAGGCAAAGACCAAGGGGTATTTCTAATCCTTCTAGTAAACATTCTCTTCTGGGATCAATTACTTACCTATGTGAAAGAGCAAGGAAAAAACCTAAACAAAATATGTACGCACTGTTAAAACAGCTCATTGTGGGTGTCATTTGGAGAGAGGGATGGAGGGACACCAGCCATCCTGCTATTATTTCAGGCCACACATAATTATGCTTCATGAGCACCTACATCTCTGGCCAGTTGTGTACGCTAAGTGTCTAGTGCAGATGTTTTTCAACCTTTTTGAGTCCAGGGCTCCCTTGACCAACTACATTCTGTTGTAAACAAAAATCGCCCTTTTCCCTTATGGGGTATCCAAGAGCCCATATAGAGTCCTTACATTAGGTTCCCTATTGGTAGGAGAAAATAACAGAGGCCAACCAGAGAATATTGAGAAGCAAAGCTGCTAGTAAGCTTGATCTTTATTGATCTGTTGCAACAGGGTGCTCCCCTCACCCACAGGAGAGGAGGAGGAACCCAGAAAAATGGCGTGCAAGGCCTTATAAAGACTTTTGAAATTGCCACCCTGTAGATCAAGACCACCCCCAGAAACATCATACATACATCACAGAAGGGGTGTAACGTAAGACCACCCCTCAGATACATCACACCTACATCACAGAAAGGCGGTCTAAAACAGAAATTTTGAATGTTGTTTTTCTCCAGTCGTTGTTTATCTCCTGTCTGGCAGGTTACTTGATTGGATATCCTGGGGAGCCTGGCTAGTCTTTTGTAATGATAAATACTTAGTTCCTGGGCCAGGTCACAGGCTCACACACTATTCATATCTTAAATGTGCCCTTAAGACAGGATTTGTGAGGAAAGAGACAATGGGAGGTTTCCCACTTTGACCTTGCAGAGAAAACATTTGCTCAGTTTAGGAATCAAAATGGTTCCAGGTCGGTCTTCCTGTGCTGATCTATGTACGTGTTTGGTTGGTACACTTATGAACATTACCATATATCTAAGTGCATAAAATTCCTATCACAATTCTTTCTGCGGCACCCCTGTGGGGCTCAGGAGCCCAGTTATGTCATCCTTGCCTGCAGAGCTGGCAGCCTCTCGGCCTTTTTCAAACACTCTCCCTCCTGAAGTGTTCACTCAGCCCCTCTTCTCTCCCCTCTCCTTGGGAGTCCTCTGGGCAGCCATAGCTTCCGCCCCTGGTCTCTGAGCTGCCACCCCACCCCAAAGAGAGGTGCCTTCTCACATTGCCCCACAGGGGCCTGGCAAGCACCCCCTGGCCAGCCCCAGAGGCACCATTCGCCTGGGGAGCCTATAGCCAGGGCTGCTGCAACAAACAGCTGTGCAGGCTCTTGGGAGGCAGAGACGAGAGAGGGAAGGAAAGAGGGACAGAGGCCAGGAAGAAGAAGAAGAGTTTGGATTTGATATCCCGCTTTATCACTACCCGAAGGAGTCTCAAAGCGGCTAACATTCTCCTTTCCCTTCCTCCCCCACAACAAACACTCTGTGAGGTGAGTGGGGCTGAGAGACTTCAGAGAAGTGTGACTAGCCCAAGGTCACCCAGCAGCTGCATGTGGAGGAGCGGGGAAGCGAACCCGGTTCCCCAGGTTACGAGTCTACCGCTCTTAACCACTACACCACACCGACTCTCTCCTGCGGCACTCCTGACCATCATTCAAGGCACCCCAGGTTGAAAACCACTGGCCTAGTGGGATCTGTAACCAAATGGAATTCTGTGCTGCATATGCAAAATCATAAAACCCCATTGCTTCATGAAGGGTATATTTTGTCTGGTGATGAAATGAAAAGTGTGCAAGTTATAGGGAACCAGGCAGAGGGCCTTCTCGGTAGTGGCACCCGCCCTGTGGAACGTCCTTCCATCAGATGTCAAGGAAATAAACAACTACCAGACTTTTAGAAGACATCTGAAAGCAGCCCTGTTTAGGGAAGCTTTTAATGTTTGATGCATTACTGGATTTTAATATTTTGTTGGAAGCCCCCCAGAGTGGCTGGGGAAGCCCAGCCAGAAGGGCAGGGTATAAATAATAAATTATTATTATATTATTATTATAGTTGTAAGATAGGAAATAACAACAAATGATCTTAAATAGCGGGACAAAGAGCAGGAGGGGCACAGCAGCGAGGCTGACGCAGTGCAAACACGCTGGTGGAGCCAATTTGGTGCCACTGTCGCCTTTGCACCATGCTGACCTTGCTGCCACATCCCTCCTCTCTTTACCCCAGTGCTGACTTCACCTTTAATGGAACTTACAGTGCAATGCTATGCTATGTATTCAGAAGCGAGTCCCACTGAGTTCATACATAGCATACATAGGATTCCAGCCCTTAGTGTGGTTAAGCATTATTAAACTGAACAGAAGTGTAACATGCAATTAGACCTCACTTGAACTCCTGACTGTAAATTCTGCTTTAGCTGTACTGCGCCTGGAATCTTTCTAAATGTGTTTGCCTTGCTTCTGCTAACGAATGAAGCTTGAATATTGCAACAAAACACTTAACATTGAGCTACAGAAAATCCAGTATATATTGATGAAGTATGATCCAAGGTAATATGTGCCAGACAACGTTTTCCCGTTGGAAAATGTACTGCGTGTGTTTATGTAAATACACTTTTTTCCTAGGAATTGGTTCAACAAGGTTCCATTCCAGGAACAAAGCAGAAATAAATAAGGAGGGAATGTATTGTATCTGCCTAATTCTGCCCTTTTGGATCTCCTTCAAGCAAGCGGTGGAATTTAAAAAAACCACACGAATCAAAATGAAAATTCTGTGTTGATCTTCTTGTAATTCTTGTACTATATGCAATCCTAGTACTAAATGTATCATGGATTTCAGTTTTAACTATCGGTTTTCAGGGAACGAAATGGATGATAAATAACTTTTACTAAACACATACCTCAAGGCCTCACAAGATATCAGAACCATTAGTCTATGCCAAAATTCTGCTCCAAAACAATTCCATTTTTATCAGGGTGGACCTTATGCTCCAAATGGGTACATTCCATTCTCAAGTGGTACACAGAGTGTGCTTAACCTTCATCCAAAATTGGGGGGAAAAGAACACTAACATTTTTGGGGGTGTATTTTATACCCCAACAAGATCTCAAATGTATTGGGGTGGTGGGATTAGAATAATATAGATAATATTTGTGTCAGATGATGTGTGCTTGACAATACCCAAGCACCCAGAGCCAGAAAACACTTATTCAGAGGAGGTAGAATTTGTGCAGAAAACATTTGCACCTGCATATTGAGTAAATGCCACAATTTATGTTCCTTTAATAAGCTATGATTTTTTTCCACAATTACAAACAACAAAAACTATCATTTAGTCAACTTTGGACAAATCCTTCCAAATGAGGCCTGCTCAGATGATACCAGAGGCAGGTGGCACTGTGGTCTAAACCACTGAGCCTCTTGGGCTAGCCAATCAGGAGGTTGGTGGTTCGAATCCGCATAACAGGGTGAGCTGCCATTGCTCTGTCTCAGCTCCTGCCAACCTAGCAGTTCAAAAGCACACCAGTGCAAGTAGATAAATAGGTACCACTGTGGTGGGAAGGTAAACAGCATTTCCGTGCGCTCTAGTTTCCATCACAGTGTCCCATTGCACCAGAAACGGTTTAGTCATGCTGACTGCAGACCCGGAAAGCTATCTGTGGACAAACTCTGGCTTCCTCTGCCTGAAAGCGAGATGAGGGCCGCAACCCCATAGTCACCTTTGACTGGACTTAACCGTCCAGGGGTCCTTTACCTTTTCTGAAACCAGGAACTACATGGCACTTATCCTTGTGGGAAGCACTTTGTGTGAGTCAATAGCAATGGCCATTTGAGACTGTCGATTTACCCTTTGAGAACTTTCAAATAGCAACATGAGTGCTACTTCATGCAAACAGATCCCCACACTTTTCCTGTTTGCTTCTTCTTTACGCAGTACTAAAAGCCCAAACGTCTTTTTTAACTATTGCAAGGCAAGTTTGCTTCAAGGGGGAAAGCACAGGGCAGCTATAACTTTGGTTCCACTACCTCCCTCTTTAGGATCATCAAGAACAAAATGGAGGCCGTTTTTACTCTCTCTTTGTGTTTGTGTGTAAACCCCCCAAAATGAAAATATTTCGGGTGAAAGAAAGATTACCCCAGAGGCACGTTGGGCATTTGGGAAAAGGTGGCAATGTTGTACGTGGAATGTGAGGAGTTTTCCACCCCTTGTGAAGAAAGCAAACTTGCCATGAGAGAAAAACATCCCCGTTGAGTCTTTGTCCTTGTTGTGTCACTGGCTACTGCTGGGACAGAAAACAAAGCTGGTAATTGCTGCCAGATGTAATCTTGCAGCATGCTTTGTTGACTTACCACGGGACAAACCCCTATAATGTGCAAAATGTGTTTCTTAATCCATTATTTCTGAGTACCTCCTTCACTACGTAATAGAATAACAGGGTATTGTCAGAAGTGGTGCTTTTCAGGCACAGTGTGTCCTCTCATTTGAGCCAATCTAAGTTTCTTAAGGTCAACAGAAGAGTAGATCTTCTTCAAACCCGCAATGCTTTTAAAGCATCCTCCAGTCTGTTTTGGCAACATTTAAAATGCTTAAAAAATAGCCCCGGCAGCTTTCCACATGGCAAAACAGTTCAAAACAGTTCTGCCATATACATGGAATATATAAACTATCCCGATTTGATTCCAGTCCAACTTGATTAGTCTGTCAGTTATGTCTTTCCTCTCACCATTTGTAGAGCAATTTAAAACTGCTTCGTGCTTTACACGGCATGGAAATCACGTTTACTGTAGCTTTTTTTTAAAAAAAACAATGCCACGTTTTGTTAATTTTCACAAATTTCACATAAAATTCCGACACATAATAATTTTTTCTTTCGTTTTATTGACTTCCCATCCCATTTCCCATGGTGATTTTTTTATTCTACCCCCTTGCTGCACTCTTTTATATAATAACCATAGTAAAATAATCTCTAATTCTTTCTGTTGCTCACAGTTCAAATCCTGCTCACGAATCGATCATGTTATAATAATTTTCTAAATAGTCCGAAAAGGACTTCCATTCTTTCCTAAACATTGTTAAATTTGCTTATTTTAGCCATTACCTTTGCTGATTCAGCATAGCCCATCACTTTGCTTATCAGTTCTTTGCTCTTTTTATGATACACTGATGTTTCCTGCAGCAAGCACATAAAACTAGTCTGTTAAAGCACCAGAAGCAAAACTTTGCATTTATACGCCAATGGTTTTGCAATATCACCATACCAATGTCCTTGTTTAGAAAGAAAGATAACAATCTGCTGAAATGTGAAAAGAAATGGTGGAAAGCGGATACTCTGAGGTCTTTATTGTATGTTCCCAATGGAAAAGCCATTTGTAATTTAGGAAGCAGAATTCTTCCTAAAAACTTGTTTCTTTGGCATTAGCGCCAACTAATTGTGGAGGGGACTCTCAGCTGAATCTCAAGTTGCAATGAATAGCTCCAGAAACAAATCACAATAATCCCATTGTGTTGTGTTTGTGTGTTTGAGTTTTAAAGATGATGGTCCAGCAGATAATGCCAATATTGCAGTGCTAGAGGACATGTTTATACGTGTAAAAGCCCAGGCTCAACACCTACAAATCATGAAGCACTGTGTGCTCTTTGGCCGATAAGGATAATTTATTGAGTTAGCTTGAATACTGATCTGACTCAGAGCTACTAATATGATAAAGCTATTCCTGGATTTGTACCTCTTCAGAATGTTGAGGGGGGAGTCATGTAAAAACTCCCTGTCTACAGATGTCCGGTAGTAAGATCATGCTTGAAAAGCCATAATAATTTGTGTTTCATTTTATGTAACAGAACCACCCAAGGCTGTTGTCTCGCCCAAGAACCAGTCATTTACTGAAGGATCTGAGGTCTCCATTGGTTGTTCTGCAACTGGCTATCCAAAGCCAACCGTCGTGTGGACACACAACGATATGTTTCTCATGGGCTCCCACAGGTATGTGCATATCTTTTTACCCATATCTGAAGGAGCGTCTCCACCCCCATCGTTCTACCAGGACCCTGAGGTCCAGCACCGAGGGCCTTCTGGCGGTTCCCTCACTGCGAGAAGCCAAGCTACAGGGAACCAGACAGAGGGCCTTCTCGGTAGTGGCACCCGCCCTGTGGAATGCCCTCCCACCAGATGTCAAAGAGAACAACAGCTACCAGACTTTTAGAAGACATCTGAAGGCAACCCTGTTTAGGGAAGCTTTTAATGTTTGATGTATTACAGTATTTTAATATTTTTTTTGGAAGCCGCCCAGAGTGGCTGGGGAAGCCCAACCAGATGGGTGGGGTATAAATAATAAATTATTATTACCGTATTTTTCGCTCTATAACATGCACCCGACCATAACACGCACATAGTTTTTAGAGGAGGAAAACAAGAAAAAAAATATTCTAAACGAAACAGTGAATGTATGATTTTTGTGGTTCATGCTGTGGCCACAGACATGTGATCTGACGGTGAGTTTGAGGTAGCCCAATGCAAAAATCCTGAGGATCCATGTGGATCCATGCTTTGTAACCACGTTTTAAGTGGGGAGAGAAGGAAAAGCACTCAAGGGACAAGGAACATGCGTGGGGTGGGTGGAGAAGGATGCTGTTAATAATGCAGAAGAGGGGTATAAGAGGAGAAGCAAGCAGGCTCTGCTTCTCTCCCTCCTCCCCGGCTCGCTGAAAAACTTTGCTGCTATTTAGCCAGCTGAGTGAGGAGGAGAGAGGGACAGAGAGCCTGCTTGCTTTAAAGGAGCCAACCGGACAGGAGCCGCTTACACTCGTGTAAGCGGCTCCTCTCCTCTCCCGCTTTGCTCCTTTAAAGCAAGCAGGCTCTCTGTCCCTCTCTCCTCCCCACTCAGTGGCTCTTCTCCCACTTTGCTGTTTCAAAGCGAGCCACGGAGGAGGGAAGGAAGGGGAACCATGGATCCTCTGCTCACGACTGCAGCAGATCCCCCCGCCATCTGTAGGCATTCGCTCCATAACACGCACAGACATTTCCCCTTACTTTCTAGGAGGAAAAAAGTGAGTGTTATGGTGCAAAAAATACGGTATATTATTATTATTGTCTTCAGAGGGTGTGTGTGTGTAGGGGGTGATCATGAAACATCCTTGACTGAAAATGTTGCATTGTGAAATTTGATGAACGAAGGCCCTTGTTTGATCCTGCAGTCATCTTCTGAGGCCCTTATTTGTGTGGGAGTTTCAGAGGTTGCCAACATGAGTTCAGGCTTTTTCAGTGGCAGCCCCCGCTTACGGAATATTCTCACATCTTGCAACATCTTTAATTTGAAGGGTGTTATTGTGGCCTCTTTTACTGTTCAGTTGGGTTGTGTCTTTTTTAATGATTTGTTTATCATGACTACTTCTGTCATGTTGCATTTATGTGTTCTTTTCATGTTGCAAGCCACCTTGAGAGCATGGTTTGAACTGTGGAAAGGCGTTGCGTACAAATAAAATTACGTAGTTAGTGAGGTGGGATCTGTAAGTCCTGGCTTTTATCTGTATACTGTAGCTGTGTTTTTATGTTTATTTTATTGGGCATTCTTAATCATTCTTAAAGTGGCATTGGTTCACTCTGTGAGCAATTAACAAATATAACAAATAAATAGATCCCCTATTTCACATAATGCTGGCCTGCCAAAAAGCTGAATCACAGGAAGGGTGCTACCTGAATTCCATGAACGGTTATACCAGGGGTAGGCAACCTAAGGCCCATGGGCTACAAGCGGCCCACAGGGGTTGTTTAACCGGCCCACAAGCCGCCCCCAAATCAAGCCGCCCCCTCGGCGAGTCCCAACGCGCTGCGCTAAAGCAGCGCAGCATGGGGACTCACTTCCAAAGTGCTGGAAATTGCGTCCGTGCAGACGCCGAAAATCACCTCTGTGCAGACGCCAGAAATTGTGGGTGTGCGCACTCAGGTGCGCATGTGATCCAGCCCACGGAGGGATCTCTGCTGGAGTGAACCGGCCCAGGCAAGGAAAACCTTGCCGACCCATGGGTTATACTGATCACCTCTCTCTACTTGCGTACTAGTGTTCCACTGGCACAAATAGAGAGTACTATGGGGATTTTCCAGGAGGGACACGGGTGGCGCTGTGGGTTAAACCACAGAGCCTAGGACTTGCCGATCAGAAGGTCGGCGGTTTGAATCCCGCGACGGGGTGAACTCCCGTTGCTCGGTCCCTGCTCCTGCCAACCTAGCACTTTGAAAGCTTGTCAAAGTGCAAGTAGATAAATAGGTACCGCTCAAGCGGGAAGGTAAACGGCGTTTCTGTGCGCTGCTCTGGTTTGCCAGAAGGAGCTTAGTCATGCTGGCCACGTGACTCGGAAGCTGTACGCTGGCTCCCTCGGCCAATAAAGCGAGATGAGCGCCGCAACCCCAGAGTCGGTCATGACTGGACCTACCGGTCAGGGGTCCCTTTACCTTTATGGGGATTTTCCAGAGACAGGGAAGCAGTTTAAATTATCCCCATGTTAATAGAAGTGTTATTGTTTTTCTTTTTGTCTGTGCAGTAGGCTGCCAGGTGATAGAGTGCTGTTGAAATAGGTCCTGTTCTGGCGTTTTCTGAGGCCTGGGCAAAAAGGATACAAGAGACAGATTCAGAGGCTCCTTGTGGAGCCAATATCTTCTTTTGTTAGCTGTGAAATGATGGTGATGGTAGTTAACTAAATAGCAAATACGCTTCCCCTCCAAAATGTTTTTATATTTTCTGAAGTGGCCTATTATAAAAGTAATCATATTTAAAATGAGAATGTGGGGGTGGGCACATGTTCTTTACCCATAGAATACCTGTGGAACTCCCCTCTTGCCCATGATGCCCCAATGTTTTCACTTTTGTAATATCACAGTTGTCATAGTCACTTCCAGTTTCTGTGGATGCTTTTTTCCTCCTGCAGGTATAGGTTAAATCCTGAAGGCACCTTAACTATAAAAAAGGCAATCCACAAAGACGCAGGACTGTATGGCTGTTTGGCTAGTAATGCTGCTGGAACGGCCAAGGAGACGTCTATCCTCACTTACATTGGCAAGTATCATAAGAAACAAAATGTAGCTGGCTTCTTTCTGTGGGAATGTTGAGGGTGGCAGGAGAGGATATATTGTTTATTAATATCCTTCGTAACTTGCGCTGTCAAGTTTCTTCACTTAGCAGAGTACATTCCCCTTCTTACGCAGCAGAAAGCTGCTTGCAAACTCGTGTGAGTTTCTTAAGACAATAAGCAATTCAATCTGGCGTGTCCAGATTGAGATATATTCTAATACAGTGGTACCTCGGGTTAAGTACTTAATTCATTCCGGAGGTCCGTTCTTAACCTGAAACTGTTCTTAACCTGAAGCACCACTTTAGCTAATGGGCCTCCTGCTGCCGCCGCGCCGCCAGGGCCCGATTTCTGTTCTTATCCTGAAGCAAAGTTCTTAACCTGAAGCATTGTTTCTGGATTAGTGGAGTGTGTAACCTGAAGCGTATGTAACCTGAGGTACCACTGTATTCCTGATAAGACCCCTTTTGAATCCCTCCTAAAAGAAGAAAGACTCCACAGTCTTATTCATAAGTAACAAAAAGTAGTTTTATGTATGATCAGGCAGAACACAGTGTGATGCCTGAACTTTAGACTTAAAGTTACAAACATGTACAAACAGGTTTACCCTGTTTGGGAGATGACTTGGGGAACTGCTGTGGCAGCCAGCGGTACAGTCCAGGTGATGCATGAAGCAGGCAGGATGAACAGAAAGGTCAAAGAGAGGGAGAGAGAGAGAGAGAGAGAGAGAGAGGGAGAGAACAGCGTGACTTGGCCTTTTACCAGGTCTGGAAAGGTCACGCCCACCCACTAGTCACATGCAAGGAAGGATGCTCCAGGCCAGGGAACAGGAAGTTTTGACTGGCTGGACCAAACATTCCCTTGCATGTCCACTCTAGCAAAACAAGGAATGCTGTACTTGACTGCTCCCGGTGGGTTACATCCCACACTTTCTTTAATAGTTGCTAATCACAATTAATCAGAAAGTTGAAAGTGTGTGAATGTTGAAGATAGGTTTGTGAATAATTGAACATAAAAATAAGCCCATATGGAGTCAGATTACCGGTCTCCTATTGTACATTTTGAGCGCCAATGTCTCTTCAGGACTGAGGTCTTTCCCAATTTGGTTACCTGAGAACTCTTTTAAGCAACAGCTAGAGATGTCATGGGTCAGAACTGCAACCTCCCATATTGTTTACTGAGCCATTGCCCCTGGCCATTCATTCCTTTGTGAACACACACATATAAGAATCCATTAAACATTTTGGATTCAGGTTAGATTCTACTGCCAAATAAGTGGAATGTGTGGACAAAAAAGAGAAAAAGGTCAACTTTATCGAGTGTATAATTATTATGAAATAGTTTAGTATCATATTTGAGACAGTACACCCTCCCTCAGTTTGATATATTGTCTAGACATTATAACGACTACGTTTTGGAATAGTATTGCTAAGAATCAGGATATACCTTGCCCAGTTTGCCAAAGAAGTTGACAAATAGTTTCATATTTTAGTGTCTCTCGTCTTGTTCCCTTGCAGAAGTTCCTAAACTGACGGTAGTCCAAAGTGAACTGCTAATTGCTCTTGGAGACACCACTGTAATGGAATGCAAAAGTACAGGAGTCCCACCTCCACAGGTTAAATGGTTTAAAGGTACTTCTCCCCAACTGATCTTGTTTGGCCTAGCTTCTTTAAAATAAGTATATCTGAAGGAGCGTCTCCACCCCCATTGTTCAGCCCGGACATTGAGGTCCAGCTCCAAGGGCCTGCTGGTGGTTCCCTCACTGCAAGAAGTGAGGTTACAAGGAACCAGGCAGAGGGCCTTCTTGGTAGTGGTGCCTGCCCTGTGGAACGCCCTCCCATCAGATGTCAAGGAAATAAACAACTATCTGACTTTTAGAAGACATCTGAAGGCTTCTGGTTTAGGGAAGTTTTTAATGTTTGATGTTTTATCGTGTTTTTAAAATTATGTTGGGAGCCGCCCAGAGTGGCTGGGTAAACACAGCCAGATGGGTGGGGTATAAATAATGAATAATAAATTCTTCTTCTTCTTCTTCTTCTTCTTCTTCTTCTTCTTCTTCTTCTTCTTCTTCTTCTTCCTCCTCCTCCTCCTCCTCCTCCTCCTCTTCCTCTTGAGTTAGGGTATTTCTGTACTTTCGTCAACCTTGTGGTATTCCTATATCCAGTTTTGTTATCTGATTGGGCAACTAATTTTCCTCATGAGGTAAAACTGTAGCACTTAAGGACAGCTTGAAATGGATATCACGGACTTGCTAACATGGATAGGACATCTTACTGTGCATGAAGCGTGTCATGAATTGAGGGCGAGAAGCGAATCTAATGAAACTGCCACTCCAGCTGCTTATGGGGACAGACCCAAATTCGAAAGTTGTAAATGTTGTAGTAAATGTTAAGAGAACTACAGTTGCATCAAATAGTACTTCAGTGGTACACAACTCCTTGTTCTGTTCTATGTTCTCGCCATTACATTCATCTGGATGCTTGTAGTGGAGCAGTGACATTTTGCTGTTTCAAAAAGAAATTAAAAAGCTGTTTGACTTATTGAAACAAGTCTAGGTTTTTAACTTCCTGCTCTTGTTCCTTTTTGCCTGGATCTAGGCGATTTAGAGTTGAGGGCATCCGACTTTCTTATTATTGACTTCCACCAGGGAGTCCTGAAGATTCAGGAAACGCAGGACTTGGATGCTGGTGACTATATGTGTGTCGCAACCAATATTGCAGGAAGCGCATCTGGCAAGATAACCCTGGATGTTGGCTGTAAGCATAATGGCTTAAGAATAGACACATGCAAACTGTGCAAGATGATCTAAAATAAACTCATGCTTATTGTTGATTAGTATCATTCACATTGTTTGGCGCCTAATGAGATATGTGTGCGAATGGAATGGGGTTTTCCAATCTTGGGTGGGTGGTGGCTTCTAGTTTCTAAGTTCATTAGTATGTCATACTTTCATTTATACCATGAGTGTGGGACATTTATGGCTCCACAGGACAGATCCTAATCAGGACCAGCTTTGTGGTCCAAATTTGACAGGTGGTTGGGGCAGTTCAGCTGCCAGTCGCCTGTCATCGCAATCACATCAGGTGCAATTTCATGCGGTGCTTCAAGCATGCAAAAAGTACTTTAGTTAAAATCTCCTCTCTGCTACTCTGTTGACCCTGCTAACCAGTTGAGGGATTTGACCTGGGAGGTAGTTAGGACTACCCAATAAGTTCATGACCAAGCATGGTTTTGAATCAGGGTCTTTCCTGTCCAGTAACATCTCATTCATAGGATCCCACTGAATGGCCCAGCTGTCGCATGTTACGAGATATCAAAGTGGAGTGCTTGGGTCACTCAGCTGTCATTTCAAAATAAATATCGAAGCTCTATGACCGTTACTGATTCTCTGATGTTTATTTCCCTGTATATCCCACCTCACAGCTCCCCCAGTTTTCACACAAGAGCCCAGTGATGAATCTGTGGATATTGGCTCAAATGTGACATTGGCATGCTATGTTCATGGTTACCCAGAACCAAAGGTGAAGTGGCAACGAATGGACGGCGCCCCGCTATTCTCAAGGCATCTTGCAGTTAGTTCCATCAGTCAACTCAGAACAGGCGGACTTTCTTTTAACAGTAGGTGGACATATACCTGTATATACATATACCTGTGTGTGTAAAAGGCAAAGAAAAAAATGGTGCATAATACGTAAATCGTTATTTAAGGTAGGGTGCTTCCACATGGCACTTCCACACAGCAGTTTATGGTGGGCTTGGTCACAGTGTCATCGTGATATTGTCTTCCTCAAGAATGCCATCTTATATTATTTTTCCATGTACAGTGGTACCTCTGGTTACGTACTTAATTCGTTCTGGAGGTCCATTCTTAACCTGAAACTGTTCTTAACATGAAGCACCACTTTAGCTAATGGGGCCTCCCACTGCTGCTGCGCTGCCGTCGCACGATTTCTGTTCTCATCCTGAAGCAAAGTTCTTAAGCCAAGGTACTATTTCTGGGTTAGCAGAGTCTGTAACCTGAAGCGTATGTAACCCGAGGTACCACTGTAATCTGGATTCACAATTTCCGTGGGAAATCCAATAAGTAACACAATAAAACTCAGAAACATTGCATCTGGATTAAATTCAGAAATGAGTCTGGGTTAGCGTATTCACCATGAAGTTGTTATAGCAAGTGCCACATTTTCAATTTTTTATTTAAAAAAGGTGCAGGTACTGAATACCCTTGCATACCTGCAGAAAGAAATACTGTCCAAGCAATGTGCAGTGGCCTTTCTGTTTTGTGGCAACCTCCACCTCTCACTCTATGGAGTGTGGGCTTTAACTACCGTATTTTTCCGTGTATAAGACGACCCCTATTTTGGGGGACTCCAAATTAAGGAATTGGGGGGAGATTGCCCAGAGTTGTTAAGCTTTTTTTGGGGGGGGGGGTTGCCCACAGCTGTTGAGTTTTTTTTGGGGGGGGGGAATTGTCAACAATCGCTCACACACCTGACCGCCACTGCCAATCGCACACCTCACCAAAGTCATCGACCGTCTGCCCTCTCGCCACAAGCAGCCACCAATCACAAGCCTAATAGATGCAGTACCAGCCAATCACCAACAGGCCTTGCCGCCGCCACCAATCACCTGCCCAATCACCGCTCACAATCTCCTGCTCGCGGGTGCCCCCAATCGCCCGTCCCCCCTTTGCACTATCTGTGTATAAGACGAACCCCAATTTTTAACATTTACTCATAATAAAAAAAACCTCGTCTTATACACGGAAAAATACGGTAGTTGCTGCTTGAAGGGGCTGAGTAGAATTTGGGTGGGTGGGTGGAATCCCCTCGTTTCCCCACTGGGACTAATTAGGTTGGCACTTGGAGGAATGGCTGTCAGGGACTGGACTGAAGAGGAATTGTGGAGACTGTCCTCCAGAGCCACTGTGGTGTAGTGGTTAAGAGCGGTGGACTCGTAATCTGGTGAACCGGGTTCGCGTCTCCGCTCCTCCACATGCAGCTGCTGGGTGACCTTGGGCTAGTCACACTTCTCTGAAGTCTCTCAGCCTCACTCACCTCACAGAGTGTTTGTTGTTGGGGAGGAAAGGAAAGGAGAATGTTAGCCGCTTGGAGACTCCTTCGGGTAGTGATAAAGCGGGATATCAAATCCAAACTCCTCCTCCTCTTCTTCTTCTTCTTCTTCTTCTTCTTCTTCTTCTTCTTCTTCTGCACTTCCTGGAGAAGAGGGAAACTATAGATTTAGAACAGTGGTTTGCAGAATGTCATAGTTCAGAGCCGCAGAGGGCAGAAGCTGGGAAATATTGGGAGGGGAGCAGGCGGTAGAATAAGAAGCATCAGGGGAGAGACACCTGACAGATTCACTCTCTTTGGAAAGCTTACCAGATCCCCCTCCTGGACCAGGAGTGCATTGAGAGTAGTAGAACAGAAAGCTCAGAGGCAGAAAGCACAGATCAACTGACACAAGGCTTTTGTAGAACAGGAGGGACTGAGGGGGTGGGACTTTTCTTGAAGCAACGCCATTATCTAAGAGAGACCGCATTCCTTTCTCTCTCTCTGTGAATATTGAATAAACTACTTGGTAAGAACTCTTCTTGTTTATCTGCTTCTTGGCATCCCACTGTGGGAGGGATAGGGTTCCCTGACAGTGGCTGGGATTCATTGCTTGTGGAGCATTGAGTCTGGGCAGGTGAGGAAGTGAGGGAGAAAAAACTATAGACATAATGAGGCATTATTGGGTTAAGGGCACCCTTCAGGGATCTGCCAGTGCTTTATGTGTTTTTTGGGGGGGGACTTGGGGGTGCCACAATGCATGTGATGGGTTTATACCCAAGGCTCATCTAAAAAGGAGGGAGTCGTTTCCTCTCACCTCTTTTCTGGAGACACACAGACTGCCCAGGTGACTGAAGGGATAGTTCCCTAACCAGAGTTAGAAAAAAAAAATCCTCAGTTGTCAGTACTCTTGAATTTGGTTGCTTTGGTTCAGGGGTAAGCAACCTAAGGCCCAGGGGCCAGATCTGGCCCAATCGCCTTCTAAATCCGGTCCGTGAACGGTCTGGGAATCAGTGTGTTTTTACATGAGTAGAACGTGTCCTTTTATTTAAAATGCATTTCTGGGTTATTTGTGGGGCCTGCCTGGTGTTTTGATATGAGTAGAGTGTGCGCTTTTATTTAAAATGCATCTCTGGGTTATTTGTGGGGCATAGGAATTCGTTCATCCCCCCCCCCCCCCGCAATAGTCTGGCCCACCACATGGTCTGAGGGACGGTGGGCTGGCCCCTGGCTGAAAATGGTTGCTGACCCCTGTTTGGTTAATTTAGAGTTCCACCATCCTGTTACATTTTTAATAAATATAATCTTTATCCCAAAGCTTGGTCTCCTAAGTCTATGTTGTGGATGATGGGGCAATACAATACTTATGATACATTTGCACTTACTTATGTTTGTATATGAACACATTGGGTTTTTCCTGGAAAGTTAAGTGCTAATTCTGTTTTTGGTTTTTTTAACCTTTCATATAATTCTAGATTTGTGGGTCAATGACGAGGGGACCTACATCTGTGAAGCTGAAAACCAGTTTGGGAAGATTGTCTCACGGCCAGCTACACTTACTGTCACCGGACTTGGTAATTAACTGAAAATAGGGGATTTGTTATGGTTGGTTTACCTGACTTCAGTCCAACTCTCTTACTGTATCAAAAACAGAATAATATTTTTCTCCTGGGCCTTTTACATATAGGCTAGGTTCGCATGCAATGCTAAGCTTTGGTTAACGTAAGCCGTGGTTTAAATACCAGTCACCAATCATAGCTTGCAAGTGTGGTTTGTTTGTTGGTAACAAGCCATGGTGCAGCCCCACTGGGCTGTGTTCAGACTATCAAGTAAACCATGGTTTAGTAAACCGTGGCTTAACATTACATGCAAACCAGGCCAATGTGGGTTGAATGATGGCTCTGAAACAGCGCACATGCTAGAATCCACATTTGTGTTAAATCCATATCAGATTTTACTTCTTAGTGATGAGTTGTTGGGAAAGCAGAGCAAAAATAGTGTCCTGTCTAGATTTCCCTCCTGTCATCTCTCTAATGTTGAGGCACTTAACCAGAAAATTCCTGCAAGTGTTTTTTTTTTTAAACCCCCCACACACTTAGATTCAAGTATAGCTTAAATAAAATATCAAGATTAAACAAATACTATATCAAAAAGTTTAGTCCAATTCATAAATTGAATAATGTAGTGCTAAGTAATTACTCAGTGTGTTTGCAAGAAAGGTTGGTACAGATGTAGTTGAGCAATCCTTTTCATTCATAATAAATATACACACACACACACACACACACACACACACAGAGTGGTACCTTGGTTCCCAAACTTAATCCGTTCCAGAAGTCCGTTCCAAAACCAAAGTGTTCCAAAACCAAGGTGCATTTTCCCATAGAAAGTAATGCAGAACGGACTGATACATTCCAGACTATTCAAAACAACCTCTAAAACAGCAATTTAACATGAATTTTACTATCTAACAAAACCATTTATCCATAAAATGAAAGCAATAATCAATGTACTGTACTATAAAATACAGTGGTGCCTCGCAAGACGAAATTAATTCGTTCCGCAAGTCTCTTCGTCTTGCGGTTTTTTCGTCTTGCGATGCACGGTTTCCCATAGGAATGCATTGAAAATCAATTAATGCGTTCCGAGGGAAACCGCCTTCAGACCAGGTCCGGGGACAGTCTGTCCCCGGACCTCTTCTGAAGGCTGGGGGGGGGACAAGGGCTTTTCTTCCCACCCCCAGCATTTTAAAAAACCCTGGGACAGCGGAGGACTTCTCCGCTGTCCGAGGCGATTTAAAAGCCCCTGGGAAGGCAGGCAGGGGGGACAAAGACTTTCGCCCCCTGCCCGCCTTCAGAAGGTGTTCCCGCCCCCCCTCCCCACTTCGGAACAGCTTTCCGAAGTGGGGCGGCTGGGGCAGATGTCCCCGCCCCCCCTCCCCGCTTTGGAACAGCTTTCCGAAGTGGGGCGGCTGGGGCAGGTGTCCCCGCCACCCGCCCCGCTTCGGAACAGCTTTCCGAAGTGGGGCGGCTGGGGCAGGTGTCCCCGCCCCCCCGCCCCACTTCGGAACAGCTTTCCGAAGTGGGGCGGCTGGGGCAGGTGTCCCCGCCCCCCCTCCCCGCTTCGGAACAGCTTTCCGAAGTGGGGCGGCTGGGGCAGATGTCCCCGCCCCCCTCCCCCCTTCGGAACAGCTTTCCGAAGTGGGGCGGCTGGGGCAGATGTCCCCGCCCCCCCTCCCCACTTCGGAACAGCTTTCCGAAGTGGGGCGGCTGGGGCAGGTGTCCCCGCCCCCCCTCCCCGCTTCGGAACAGCTTTCCGAAGTGGGGCGGCTGGGGCAGATGTCCCCGCCCCCCCTCCCCACTTCGGAACAGCTTTCCGAAGTGGGGCGGCTGGGGCAGATGTCCCCGCCCCCCCTCCCCACTTCGGAACAGCTTTCCGAAGTGGGGCGGCTGGGGCAGATGTCCCCGCCCCCCTCCCCGCCCCCCGCCCCCCTTCGGAACAGCTTTCCGAAGTGGGGCGGCTGGGGCAGATGTCCCCGCCCCCCCTCCCCGCTTCGGAACAGCTTTCCGAAGTGGGGCGGCTGGGGCAGGTGTCCCCGCCCCCCTCCCCCCTTCGGAACAGCTTTCCGAAGTGGGGCGGCTGGGGCAGGTGTCCCCGCCCCCCCTCCCCACTTCGGAACAGCTTTCCGAAGTGGGGCGGCTGGGGCAGATGTCCCCGCCCCCCCTCCCCACTTCGGAACAGCTTTCCGAAGTGGGGCGGCTGGGGCAGATGTCCCCGCCCCCCCTCCCCGCTTCGGAACAGCTTTCCGAAGTGGGGCGGCTGGGGCAGATGTCCCCGCCCCCCTCCCCGCTTCGGAACAGCTTTCCGAAGTGGGGCGGCTGGGGCAGGTGTCCCCGCCCACCTCCCCGCTTCGGAACAGCTTTCGGAAGTGGGGCGGCTGGGGCAGGTGTCCCCGCCCCCCCTCCCCCCTTCGGAACAGCTTTCGGAAGTGGGGCGGCTGGGGCAGATGTCCCCGCCCCCCCTCCCCACTTCGGAACAGCTTTCCGAAGTGGGGCGGCTGGGGCAGATGTCCCCGCCCCCCTCCCCGCTTCGGAACAGCTTTCCGAAGTGGGGCGGCTGGGGCAGGTGTCCCCGCCCACCTCCCCGCTTCGGAACAGCTTTCGGAAGTGGGGCGGCTGGGGCAGGTGTCCCCGCCCCCCCTCCCCCCTTCGGAACAGCTTTCGGAAGTGGGGCGGCTGGGGCAGATGTCCCCGCCCCCCCTCCCCACTTCGGAACAGCTTTCCGAAGTGGGGCGGCTGGGGCAGATGTCCCCGCCCCCCCTCCCCACTTCGGAACAGCTTTCCGAAGTGGGGCGGCTGGGGCAGGTGTCCCCACCCCCCCCTTCGGAACAGCGTTTTAAAATGCTGGGGGTCGGGAGCGAAGCGCTGCCGACCCCCAGCATTTTAAAATCTCCCCGTGTCCCGGGAAGATTTTAAAATGCTGGGGGTCGGGCTGCCGACCCCCAGCATTTTAAAACCTTCCCGGGACACGGGGAGATTTTTAAATGCAGGGGGTCGGCAGCGCTTCGGTCCCGACCCCCAGCATTTTAAAACCTCCCCGGGACACGGGGAGATTTTAAAATGCTGGGGGTCGGCAGCTAATGCTTCGCTCCCGACCCCCAGCATTTTAAAATCTCCCCGGGACAGAGACTTCTCTGCTGTCCCTTGGAGATTTTAAAATGCTGGGGGTCGGCAGCGAACGCTTCGCTCCCGCCCGCCAGCATTTTAAGATCGCCCCGGGCAGGCGGGGGGAAGGCAGGCGGGGGGAGCAAAGACTTTTGCCCCCCGCCGGCCTTCAGAAGAGGTCCTCTTCTGAAGGCCGGCTGTGGGCGAAAGTCTTTGCTCCCGACCGCCAGCATTTCCCTATGGGCTTTCGTCTTGCGATGCAAGCCCATAGGGAAATTCGTCTTGCGAAGCGCCTCCAAAAAAGAAAACCCTTTCGTCTTGCGGGTTTTCCGTCTTGCAAGGCATTCGTCTTGCGGGGTACCACTGTAAAAAAGACAGTATTGTAGATGATTAAAATTAAAATTTTTCTTACCTGCATTGATGATAGTCATTGTTTGGATGCGGGGCTTTTATCCATTTCCACAGTCAGACAATCAATCAGTCAATCAATCAATCAATCAATCAATCAGTAGCTGAACTGGGTTCCAGTCACAAAAACAAGTCACAAAAAAGAAGTCACAAGTCAGAGTCCCATAAAACGAAGAGCAAGCCACAGCCACAAAAACAAAAAAGCCACACAAACAAAAATGAAAAAAACCACAAAAAACAAAAGCAACAAATATCACTTCAGAACACTGCAATCGGAAACAGAAGGCTTCAATTACGATGGGGGGGGGACACACAAATTAGCAGTGCAGCAGTAAAAACAGAAGGCAGGAAGCTTTAATTACAATGGGGGGATGCAAATTAGCAGCGCAGCAGTAAAAACGGAAGCTCAGGAGCATGTTCGGCTTCTGAGGCAAAGTTCGCAAACCAGAACACTGACTTCTGGGTTTGCGGCGTTCAATTTCCAAGTTGTTCAGGAACTGAACTGTTTAAAAATGCGTGTTTCTGTAGTATTTATGCCATGCCCTGCCTACTAACTGAGGATCATGAGGCGTCTCACAATATGGAATAAAAATGGAAGGTATCACAACACATTACTGCAAACCTTATCTTGTTATTCCAATATATAGCAAACATAATAATAAAAGTTTCAATTTGTTTGTGATCCAGAATAGTTCTTCTTAAAATTAACTAATTTTGAGATAAGTGCTATAGACCAGGATTCTTCTTAAAACACTGTTGGGATTCCTGCCCCGTCTGTAGCAGAGAATTCTTCTTGCATTTTCATGGGAATGAGCACAATTATTGTTTCTTTTTTAAATCTTTGGTACAGTTGCACCTCTAATTGGAATGAGCCCAGCAGCAGCTAATGTTATCGAAGGCCAGCAGCTTACTCTGTCATGTGTGCTGTTGGCAGGGAACCCTATCCCAGAGCGAAAGTGGATTAAAAATAGTATGGCGGTAAGAGCTTCTTTTATTACCAGTCTTTTGCTTACTGGGGCAGAGGGACTATCTCAAAAGGCATAAAATTATAGCAGATTTCGAACTACAGCAACTTCACTTCTGCAGCCAGCTAGGAAAGTCACTGGAAGAGTTCAGATGATTTGCATCATGGTTTAACAGATGGTTAACAGCTTTGAAACAAACCAGGATATTAGGCCAAAGTCGTTCCAAGATACATTGAACCATTCTTTCCCAGTTCAGAGGAAATGGAAAACTATAGTTCATGGAAGACTTCCTGGCTTGTTTGCTGACTCACACAAAGGGAAAAGTGAAGGAACCTGCATGTACAACCAAAAAGCCTCTTCATATTGTTGCATGCCACTCCAGTCTGTGAGCGGTGCGAGATTGCACGGGTTCCATGTGTTTGTGTTTCCTTTTGGGAATGAGTCACAGCGGAGACTGTGATGTCCTTATTATATATGGTTTATTTACACATATATACAACATTGTATATACAGTGGTGCCCCGCAAGATGAATGCCTCGCAAGACGGAAAACCCGCTAGACGAAAGGGTTTTCCGTTTTGGAGGTGCTTCGCAAAACGAATTTCCTATGGGCTTGCTTCGCAAGACGAAAATGTCTTGCGAGTTCCTGCAGGGTTTTTTTCCTCCCCCCCCCTTCCCCCCAAGCCGCTAAGCCGCTTATCAGCTGATCCGCTAAGCCGCTAAGCTGCTTAACAGCTGATCCGCTAAGCCGCTAAGCCGCTTAACAGCTGATCGCTAAGCCGCTTATCAGCTGATCCGCTAAGCTGCTTAACAGCTGATCCGCTAAGCCGCTAAGCCGCTTATCAGCTGATCCGCTAAGCCGCTAAGCCGCTTAATAGCTGATCGCTAAGCCGCTTATCAGCTGATCCGCTAAGCCGCTTATCAGCTGATCCGCTAAGCCCGCTAAGCCGCTAATAGCGCTAATCTGCTAAGCCGCTAATGGGCTTGCTTCGCAAGATGAAAAAACCACAAGACGAAGAGACTCACGGAACGGATTCTTTTCGTCTTGCGAGGCACCACTGTACTTGCACTTTGACGTGCTTTCGAACTGCTAGGTTGGCAGGAGAATAAAATATAGAATAAATATTCATAAATGCACACATATCTAAATATATGAACCATGTGTCTGAAATAGTATGGGAGAGCAATCCTGAAGCCATTTTGTCTCTCCCAGTGACCTCAAATATTCCTCTGCAGTAAGGGAGGCAAATGGGGAAAGCCTTCCCATTGTCTTTTTGCTGGCAAATCCTGTCTTTAGGGCATATTTGTGTATGAATAGGGTGAGCCTGTGACCTGGATTCAGCAACTAAAGTATTAACCATTACCAAAGAATGGCCAGGCTGCTCATGTAATGCAACCAGTGACCATTATCAGGTATTCTGGCAGGCAGGATTTCTGCTGTAGACCACCTCCTTCTGTGATGTATGTATGATGTTTTGGGGGGTGGTCTTGGGCTACAGGGTGGGCAATTTCAAGAATCTATAAGGACTTGTGCACCATTGTTCAGGGTTTCCCTCCCTCCTGCGTGCAGCGAGTGGAGACCCTGTTGCAACAGTTCTTGAATAAAGATTAGGCCACTTTGCTTCTCAATAGAGTTTTTGCAACAGAGTGCTCCCCTCAAACGCAGGAAAGGAGGAGGACCCAGAAAAATGGCATGCAAGGCCTTATAAAGACTTTTGAAATTCCCATCCTGTAGATCAAGACCACCCCCAGAAACATCATACATACATCACAGAAGGGGTGTAACCTAAGACCACCCCTCAGATACATCACACCTACATCACAGAAAAGGTGGTCTAAAACAGAACATTTGAATGTTGTTTATCTCCTGTCTGGCAGGTTACTTGATTGGATTTCCTGGGGAGCCTGGTCATTCTTAGAACTAATTCAGCCAGCTAGCCCTGGTGATCATCTAATGTTTATTGGATGGATTTCCCCCCTAAATTGATTTTTGAATTCTGAATTTATTGTTATTCACATTTTATACTGTATTTTATGCTGTTTTTTGTTGCATCAATTAAGTGTTTTAAATTTGTTGTTAGCCGTCCTGAGCCTGGTTTTCTGAACCGGGAAGGACGGGGTAATAATAATAATAATAATAATAATAATAATAATAATAATAAAGGTAAAGGTACCCCTGCCCGTACGGGCCAGTCTTGACAGACTCTGGGGTTGTGCGCCCATCTCACTCAAGAGGCCGGGGGCCAGCGCTGTCCGAAGACACATCCGGGTCACGTGGCCAGCATGACAAGCTGCATCTGGCGAGCCAGCGCAGCACACGGAACGCTGTTTACCTTCCCGCCAGTAAGCGGTCCCTATTTATCTACTTGCACCCGGGGGTGCTTTCGAACTGCTAGGTTGGCAGGCGCTGGGACCGAGCAACGGGAGCGCACCCCGCCGCGGGGATTTGAACCGCCGACCTTTCGATCGGCAAACCCTAGGCGCTGAGGCTTTTACCCACAGCGCCACCCCCGGCCTAATAATAATAATAATAATAATAATAATAACAACAACAACAACATGTGTGTATGTAAGAGGCTGGGACGCAGGTGGTGCTGTGGGTTAAACCACAGAGCCTAAGGCTTACTGATCAGAAGGTCAGTGGTTCAAATCCCCGCAACGGGGTGAGCTCCCGTTGCTCTGTCCCTGCTCCTGCCAACCTAGCAGTCCGAAAGCACGTCGAAGTGCAAGTAGATCAATAGGTACCGCTCCGCCGGGAAGGTAAACAGTGTTTCCGTGTGCTGCTCTGGTTCGCCAGAAGCGGCTTAGTTCTGCTGGCCACATGACCCAGAAGCTGTACGCCGGCTCCCTCGGCCAATAAAGCGAGATGAGCGCTGCAACCCCAGAGTCGGCCACGACTGGGTCAGGGGTCCCTTTACCTTTATGTAACAGGCTGTTGGTGTCCCTTGAGAGCGAAGTGCTGCAAAGAATAGCTATGTACAGGATTTTCGGCCGCTGTTGTTCTCTTTGGCATGTGTCGCTGATATGTTTCCCATGCCCATGTCTTGCCCTCGCAGCATAGCTTCTTCCCCCTCCCCTCCATGTTTCTCAAAGAGAAGTGTTAATCCCCTTGGAAGGCAGAACTCAACCTCCTCTAGTTACTAAGTAGGTGACAAATTCTGCACTCCAAGGGAAAAGCTCACAGAGGATTCTATTTAGGTGGAATTTGAAAATGCTGGAGAGAATAAAGTCTGCTGGGGACGACTTGGAAATTCCATTTCCCTCCCGCTTTGAGTCTTGCACTGTGACTTGAGATATTCGCTTTTGTCTCCATTGCAGCAAATAAAAAATATGATGCCTTTTTTCCAGACCACACTCAGGGACACCATTTATGGTTGCAAGGATACGTTTGAAAGTATGGGAGGAATGCTTGGTTGAAATCTCAGAGGATAGTCAAGTAGTGGAGCTTGCCTTTGCCTCTCCCCATCACTAGTGAAATCAAAATACAGTGGTACCTCGGGTTAAGAACTTAATTTGTTCCAGAGGTCCGTTCTTAACCTGAAACGATTCTTAACCTGAGATACCACTTTAGCTAATGGGGCCTCCCACTGCCGCTGCACCTTGCACGCGATTTCTGTTCTTTTCCTGGGGCAATGTTCTTAGCCTGGAGCAACCACTTCCTGGTTAGCAGAGTTGTAACCTGAAACGTCTGTAACCTGAGGAACCCCTGTAATGCAAAAATCGCTGCCCGTGTCGTGGAATTCGGGATGCTTTGGGGCAGTATTTTGATTTTATTCCCATTTTTTAAACAAAACTTGGGATTTATTCCCAAGCTAAAATCTAGAAGATTTGGTCTTTTGGTCCAGCATAAAATCTGGTCTGATTTCCCCTTCCCAGGTGGTCCAGAATCCCTATATCAGTGTTCGTAGTGATGGGAGTCTTCACCTTGAAAGGGTTCGGCCGCAGGATGCTGGAGATTACACCTGTATGGCAAGCAACGTGGCTGGGACAAACAACAAAACGACTGCTGTCAGCGTCTTCGGTGAGAAAAATGTCCAGCGTTTCCCTAGGCTTTTAATGCCCTAGAAAATTTTGAGCACGCAATTGCGTTGCACATAAAAACATATACGGGTCATCATAACCCACCTAGTAATTTTCTTTTTCCGAACCCATTAACGTCAAGGGGGCTTGCATGCTCTCTTCTCTAAATGCTGTGTTAGTAAGCGGCATAAAAATAGGGGCTAGGCGCCTCTTTGTTTGCAAAATCCCCCCTTTACCCAACTCTGGACTTTTGTTCCCTCAGTTGCATCTCTCTCCGCTTGCAGTTCTGCTTGTCTTCTTCCATTGTATGAAGAGACAAATTGATCTCAAAATGACAAGAGGTTTGGGAGTGAGGGAAAAGGTACCGCTTTGCTCCCCCCCCAATATAAAATTGTAGCCCCCCCTTTTGTGGAAAGCACTGCGTTCAAGCAAATTTCTGTTTTGGGTGAAAAGCTGTCTCTGCTTCCAACACTAGGTGTTGTGGCTACATCTTACCTCAGGAGGCCTCAGTACATGTCTGCGTGCATAGATCATGCTAACATGTGTTGTACAAGGCCACCCCTTTTATGCCCTTCTGTCATAATTATGGAAAATTTACATAATTATAAAAAAATCAGCTTCATGTTCTGTGTGCTCTGAACCCATTTTCTGCATTTCCACTTCCTTTTTTATGAAATCATTTTTATTTGATTTTACAAATATAAATGTATAACCATACCAAATGCACATCGATATAAAGCGATTTCTCTGAATCTTGAGACTTCCCCCCATTCCCTCAATGGGTCCTATTGTCAACATTTTCAACTGCATAGTAAGATAGTAAGATAGATAATATTTATTACGGCCATAGGCCCATACAGGTAAAAACAACACATAAGTGACAGCTTGTGCCGTGGGGAAAAGAAAAAAAAAGACGCTAAAACACCACTATAACAATAAATACTATAAGATGGAAAGGCATGCTACGCCTTAATTAGCTTGTAGCGCTCCTTGGCGTCGCTTTTGGGAGAGGACAGCGACCAGGAACCTAGCCACTTTCAGGGTCGTGTGGGAATCCTTATCCTGCAAGATTTGGGCAAGGTGGAATTTTGGTGGGGTACCCTCTAGTTTCTGTATGATTGATCCCAACAAATTTGCCCGTGGCACATTGAACAGGGGGCAAGTGAACATAATGTGCTGGAGCGACTCCGGCGTCACCTTATCACATTCGCACGTGGCGGGGACTTGGCCCTTTGAGAATTTATGTCTCAGGACATTGGAGGGGAAAACGTTGAACCTCGCTTTGGTGAAGGCCAGTCTATGGGCAACAGTCGAAAGGGAGGAGAGGTATGATGGAACGCAATAAGTTAAAGTGATACCAATGTTCTGGGGCGAACAAACACCTCCCCCCAGCGTATAATTTCGCTGCAAGTCGATGTCATCCAGTCTTTGACGGATCAGTCTTTGCATATTATTTCGTAATCTATATTTTATATCTCTCCATATTTTCCGTAGTATTTGTTACATTACAAGTGAGATTAAAATCCTGCTAATGTTTTCATCTGCTTCCAGTGGTCTCCTAAATCAATTATAAACTTTCCCCATTCTTTCTTGAATTTCTTGTCTTCTTGATCCCTGAGCTTTCCAGTCAGTTTTGTCATTTCAGCAAAGTCCAACATATATTTCCACTTCCAAGTAGGTCTAATTAATATCTCTTACATGCTCACCATTTTGTGGGTCTGTATGGCTAAGGAACTCTGCTGTAGTATTCTGAAGATAACAGCCAGATCCCAGCGGATCACAAGGTGAATAAAATTCACCATTCATGCAGATATACATGTAGATATATAAATCTTCATGACTCGTGCTAATAAGTCAAAGAAGCCTCCCATATACAGAAGAGTCCATCCCTTTCAGTTTGCATTTTCCTGTCCTAGAATGCATTGTGTGTACTTGCTTGTGCAAGAAGAGCAGCTGTTTGACCTGTGGAAGAGGATCTCCAGATCCCAGCCAAGATCTATTGGCAGATTTGAAAGACGGTCCAGTTATAGGGTGGTCTGGGCAGCAGAGCATGTGAACAAAACTGGCATGACCTTTTAAGGAACCAGGGGTGGCGCTGTGGGTTAAACCACAGAGCCTAGGACTTGCTGATCAGAAGGTCGGCGGTTCGAATCCCCGTGATGGAGTGAGCTCCCGTTGCTCGGTCCCTGCTCCTGCCAACCTAGCAGTTCGAAAGCACGTCAAAGTGCAAGTAGATAAATAGGTACCACTCCAGCAGGAAGGTAAACGGTGTTTCCGTGTGCTGTTCTGGTTCGCCAGAAGCAGCTTAGTCATGCTGACCACATGACCTGGAAGCTGTACACCAGCTCCCTCGGCCAATAAAGCAAGATGAGCGCCGCATCCCCAGAGTCGGTCATGACTGGACCTAATGGTCAGGGGTCCCTTTACCTCATAAGAACCATCACTACCACCACATGGCATCCAAAAATTATATTTTTTTTCACTGCATAAATGTTTTCAAGCAATGATGGTTTCTGCAGACTCGCTTGCTTTATGAGCAAATCAGAGACGTAAGTGGGAGTTCTCCAAATGTTGTCTAAGAGGCTACATAATGGATAAAAACAAGTGGTATCCAGAGGGAGCTGGCATTTGGTAGAAATTATACATTTGGAAAAAGAACTATGTATCTCGTTTTTTAATGCTACCAAGAGGAACAAGCCTGTTTGCAGAAGACAAGACAGAGGATTTGTTTTGTAAGAATCCTTCTGTGTCTCAGTGGCTTCAACTTTGTGTGAGGTCGTGGTTGTTGTATTCTTCATGAGCTGAAATTCTTTTCCATGCACAGTTAATGGAGAGAGGCATGCTTTAAGCTTTTATTCTGCTTTAGGAAAGAGGCCTCGTGCAAGTTAGTACAGTATTCTTTATTGCATTTTGCAAGCAAAGGTTATCTCTTCTGTAGCACTTTGAGGTTTTATCGCATTGTGAAGAACTAACGTTCCCCATCAAGAAGAACTGAGGAAAGTAAAGGCTCTGGTAGCCCATAGCTGTCAACCTTCCCTTTTTTTGTGGGAAATTCCCTTATTCCAGCGCCATTTCCCGCTGCTTCCCGCTGCTATCCCAGATTGTTAGATACAGTGGTGCCCCGCAAGACGAATGCCTCGCAAGACGAAAAACTCGCTAGACGAAAGGGTTTTCCGTTTTTTGAGTCGTTCCGCAAGACGAATTTCCCTATGGGCTTGCTTCGCAAGACGAAACGTCTTGCGAGTTCTTGCGAGTTTGTTTCCTTTTTCTTAAAGCCGCTAAGCCGCTAAGCCGTTAATAGCCGCTAAGCCGCTAAGCCGTTAATAGCTGCTAAGCTGCTAAGCCACTAATAGCCGCTAAGCCGCTAATAGCCGTGCTTCGCAAGATGAAAAAAACCGCAAGATGAAGAGACTCGCGGAACAGATTAATTTCGTCTTGCGAGGCACCACTGTATCCCGTAGACTGTCCCTGGGACAGGTGAGGCTGTTGATCTCTTATTTTCAAATCTGAAAGTTGACAGCTATTCTGGTAGCCACTGAAATGATCAAAGACCTATAAGGGAATGGAGATTTAGAGGAAGAATTGTGAGAGTCAGTGCAAGCTCAACAAAAATGTGCATCATTTTGCCTCTTAGAGGATTTCGGCAGAGATCCGTTTGCTTTCAAAGAACGTTGGCCTCTTGTGTTGCTCGAACCGGGAATTGTGGCTTAAAACAAGCTCTGTTAAAAAAAGCCAGTTTCATTATCCATGATCTGAAGTTGGGAGTGTTTGGAAACATTTTGTTGTTTGCTGTAAACCAGAAAACCCAGTTGGTATGACTTGACAAACTAACATCCATTGCAAGTCAAACTAATCTCCTCAAAAGTATCCCCTTTCTAGTGCAAGAGGCGGAGAAGATGGGAGAGCAATGGTTTTGTGTGCAAATCTGTTTTTTAGGTATGTGGTTTGGAGTCAGATTAACTGATCAAAGATTAGTCCTATCCAGCCAAAAAGCCTTGCTCACATGGTAAGGCAGACAGCGATTGTTGTGCGTGCTTGGTCTTACTGTTCATTCTGTAAAGCAATGCTCTATTTTAATATTCAGATTTTTCACAGCTTATGTGGAACATTTCCCTTTTGTAAGATGATAATGGGGTGCCCAGCATGCAGCTGTTGAATTAGTGTAGATCAGGGTTTCCCTTGGAGGTCTTTTTTCTTCAGCTGTTTTTGGACTACAACTCCCATGATCCTTAGCTAGCAGGACCAGTGGTCAGGGATGATGGGAATTGTAGTTTTAAAAAAACGAACAGCTGGAGACCCTGGTGTAGATAGGTAGGGGTTAGGAAGCCACATGTTCCAAACTCACCCCAGATGTAGATTCGCTGGGAGCAGTTGGGCAAGTGGCTTTTTTCTCACCTTCTTCATTTGCAATACAATTTTTTCTACAGTTAATGCAAAAAGGTTTAAGGAAAGAGCTATATGAATAATCTTGTTCTTTTTGGAGGTATCTGGCCTAGCTTATGCTTTAAAGTGTGTTCACAGAACCATTTCATTATTTTTACCCATCGTACATTTTAACAAGCCCATGTTATAAAAGTACTCTGTTGATGGTAAAAGTCTGCAAAAATTAAATTACACTTTAAAAAGATTTGGAGGACCTAATTTAAAAGGATATTCCCTCCCCAAGCCTAATTGTTGGGTGGGGGGCTTCATGGGTCTCAGTCAGATATACTATCCCTCCCCAGCTGCAGTGTCCACACAGGAGATTTTTTCAAAGCTTAAAACCTTCAAAGGAGCTGGCAAGGGGGGGGGCATTGATGGAGAAGCTGCTGGATCACTGCCATAATGTCTACCTCCTAAACTGTAATGTAGGAGGGGCTTAAGTATGTAATCACAAGACCTGTTCTCGATAGGTTGTAAGTTTTTATACGTGCAAAGGAAAACATGATGTTAAAAATGAGCAGTGAATTGCAAAATGCCTGTGTGTGTTTGTGTTTTCAGTTCTACCCATAATTCAGCATGGACAGCAGATATTCAGTACCATAGAAGGCATCCCAGTTACAATGCCCTGCAAATCCAGTGGAGTACCCAAGCCATCTATAGTCTGGTCCAAGGTAACTGCAAAGTCTTGAGTGGCTTATAGTGAAAAATTAGCTGAACATGTAGGAATGAATGAATAAATGAATCAGTCTCGCCTCGGTAGAAATATGGATCTGGCGCAAGACATTCAACTTCTGGCTCCGCCTAAACTCAAATCCTCCTGGTCTAATATCCCTAGTGCAACAAGACTGTCACAAGAGTACCTGGTCGAAAATTGTCAACCCCAAACTTCACTCTTGTGGTTTATTCCCACAACAGCTACTCACCATGGGTTATAGCAAAGCAAACGGCCTAATTTGCCAATGCCTAAATGATACTGAGGGGGACGCGGGTGGCGCTGTGGGTTAAACTACAGAGCCTAGGACTTGCTGATCAGAAGGTCGGTGGTTCGAATCCCCGCGACGGGGTGAGCTCCCGTTGTTCGGTCCCAGCTTTTGCCAGCCTAGCAGTTCGAAAGCACAAAGTGCAAGTAGATAAATAGGTACCGCTCCAACAGGAAGGTAAACAGCGTTTCCGTGTGCTGCTCTGGTTTGCCAGAAGCGGCTTAGTCATGCTGCCCACATGACCCGGAAGCTGTACGCCAGCTCCCATGGCCAATAAAGCGAGATGAGCACCGCAACCCCAGAGTCACGACTGGACCTAATGGTCAGGGGTCCCTTTACCTTTACTAAATGATACTGAGAATCAGAGCAACTTGGCCACAATAAGGAAATTTTGCCCATGGTATGACCATTTCCCATCCTTCCAATTTGACTCTCTGGCACCCTATTTGTATAACCTAGCAATTCCAAAATATAGACGCGCCTTCACCCTCGCAAGACTGAACGTACTGCCCTCGGCTGTACTTGAGGGACTATTCCAACAGATTCCATACGAAAAACGCTTAGGTCCCTGCGGAGATGGTAGCACCAAATCAGTGGCACACGCTCTCCTTGCGTGCACTTTTTACAAAGACCTGAGGAACGAGATTATTACGCCTCTTTTATTAACCATTCTGGGTCGCACAACCACTGCCACAGTGTCGTTTCTCCTGTCAGGTAAAGAGGAGCAGATGACTGCAAAGGTTGCAAGGTTTCTAGCTGGGGTAATCAGAATAAGGTCCACTATTTGACTGCTGATTCAGGACCCTAAACCGTGTTTTATATAACCGACTTTTATTTTGTTCAGTGTATATCGCAATGCTTTTTGTTGCTATGGCCAACGGCTGAAGCAAATAAAGTTTCATTCATTCATTCAGTATGCATATTACCAAAATCTTGAGAGCATTCATTGCTAGAAGGAAATGTCATCTTAAAAAATAAATATATCCTAGAACAATAGCAAGCCAACATCAAGCCAGCCTAAGAAATAAGCAAGGTGTGCCTTTCTTTTCCCTCACCCTTACTCATTCAAGTTGGCCCCATTAACTAGTCTACAAAAACTACCAAGTAATGCTTGGCAATCCTCATGGCTTCAGTAAATACATAGGTTTAATTACTTAAAATATTTACATCCTGCCTTCCAGTCTTAGTTCCCAAGGTGTATTGCCACAAGTCCATAGAATAAATAAAAGTGATGTAGCTAAAACAGCAGGGGACGCGGGTGGCGCTGTGGGTAAAAGCCTCAGCGCCTAGGGCTTGCCGATCGAAAGGTTGGCGGTTCGAATCCCCGTGGCGGGGTGCGCTCCCATTGCTCGGTCCCAGCGCCTGCCAACCTAGCAGTTTGAAAGCACCCCCGGGTGCAAGTAGATAAATAGGGACCGCTTACCAGCGGGAAGGTAAACGGCGTTCCGTGTGCTGTGCTGGCTCGCCAGATGCAGCTTGTCACGCTGGCCACGTGACCCAGAAGTGTCTGTGGACAGCGCTGGCTCCCGGCCTCTTGAGTGAGATGGGCGCACAACCCCAGAGTCTGTCAAGACTGGCCCGTACGGGCAGGGGTACCTTTACTAGCTAAAACAGCAGTGAAATAAATAAATAAAAGCATCTTCGTAGACATCTTCAAAGGCATGCATCAAAAGCTTAACTATAAATAAGCACATGTCTGCAAGGTAATGGAGTAAACAGTACTGTTTTTAATTGATGCCCACAGAGCATAAAGGAAAGCACTGTGTGAATGGATGAGGTTTGTGTTTGCGTGTGCGTGTGTTTCACAATCAAAGCCCCACAGCCAACAAAGCCCTATCTTTTGGTAGAATTTTGAGCAGGGCCTCCAGTGAAGACCTTTGAAGTTGGGTGAGCTTGTATGGCAGGCATAGGCAAACTCGGCCCTCCAGATGTTTTGGGACTACTGTTCCCTTCATCCCTGACCACTCGTCCTGTTAGCTAGGGATAATGGTTGCAGTCCCAAAACATCTGGAGGGCCGAGTTTGCCTATGCCTGTTGCATGGGAATATGTGGTTCTTTAGATGTGGTTCCATCTTGAAACAGACTCAGCTGCTTGAAGTAGAACCTCAGGGGCCAGTCCATATGGAATGGATATTGATGATCCTACCCGCTTATGAATGTCCCTTTGTAGGCCCCCCCCATTAAAAATATTTATGTCCTAACTAAACGGCCCTAAATGGCCTCGGTCCAGTATACCTGAAGGAGTGTCTCCACCCCCACTGTTCAGCCCGGACACTGAGGTCCAGCGCCGAGGGCCTTCTGGTGGTTCCCTCACTACGAGAATCCAAGTTACAGGGAACCAGGTAGAGGGCCTTCTCAGTAGTGGCACCCACCCTGTGGAACGCCCTCCCACCAGATGTCAAAGCGATAAACAACTACCTGACATTCAGAAGGCAGCCCTGTTCAGGGAAGTTATTAATGTGTGACATTTTAGTGTATTTTTGGTCTCTGTGGAAGCCGCCCAGAGTGGCTGGGGAAACCCAGCCAGATGGGCGGGGTACAAATAATAAATTATTATTATTATTATTATTATTATTATTATTATTATTATTATTATTATTATTATTATTTTCTCTGTCTTCCCCAGAAAGGAGAGGTTATTTCTCCCAGCAATCTGAAATTTTCTGTGGGGTCTGATGGGAGTCTCTACGTAGTTTCTCCAGGAGGTGAGGAGTCTGGGGAATACATCTGCACTGCAACCAATGCGGCAGGCTATGCAACGCGCAAAGTTCAACTGACTGTCTATGGTAAGTAATAATAATAATAATAATAATAATAAATTTTATTTATATCCCGCCCTCCCCAGCCGAAGCTGGGCTCAGGGCGGCTAACAACAATAAAACAGTACAAAAGTACAGCATAAACAACATTCTAAAATCATTCATTCTAAAATTAATTAATTCAAGCCACTGGCAACCATTGGGTCAGAGCTCCGCGAAGATTGCCGAGGGAGGGAGTCGGGCTGTGCCCTGGCCAAAGGCCTGGTGGAACAGCTCTGTCTTGCAGGCCCTGCGGAAAGATGTCAAGTCCCGCAGGGCCCTGGTCTCTTGTGACAGAGTGTTCCACCAGATCGGAGCCACAGCCGAAAAAGCCCTGGCTCTAGTTGAGGCCAGCCTAACTTCTCTGTGGCCTGGGACCTTCAAGATGTTTTTATTTGAAGACCGTAAGTTTCTCTGTGGGGCATACCAGGAGAGGCGGTCCTGAAGGTACGAGGGTCCTAGGCCGTATAGGGCTTTAAAGGTTAAAACCAGCACCTTAAACCTGATCCTGTACTCCACCGGGAGCCAGTGCAGCTGGTATAGCACCGGGTGAATGTGATCTCGCAGCAAAGACCTCGTAAGGAGTCTCGCTGCAGCATTCTGCACCCGCTGGAGTTTCTGGGTCAGTCTCAAGGGCAGCCCCACGTAGAGCGAGTTACAATAATCCAGTCTGGAGGTGACCGTCGTGTGGATCACAGTGGCTAGGTCAGGGCGAGAGAGGTAAGGAGCCAACTGCTTAGCTTGGCGGAGATGGAAAAATGCTGCCTTTGTTATAGCTGCAATCTGCGCCTCCATGGAAAGGGGGGTGTCGAAGATTACATCCAAACTCTTAACGGACGGTGCTGGCACTAATTGTGCCCCCGCAAGAGATGGGAGTTGCCCCCCCCCAATCCCATATCGCCCCGTCCCAAATACTAAATAAATACTAGTAAATACTTTACTTTACTTTAGTAAATACTAAAGCCTGCGTATTCAGATCATGTTTACAGTGGAACCTCGGGTTGTGGATGTGATTCGTGCGGGAGGCATGTTCAAAACTGCAGTCACTTATGGACTCAGTTTTAAAACCATGTTTATGGGAGGCAATCTTATGAGTGACTGCCAAGGAAAGAGTGATTGCCAAGGAAAGGAAAGGAGAAAGGGAAGGGAAGGAGAAAGGGAAGGGAAGGTCCACCCCACTATGTGGTTCACTACTGCATTTATCAAGATGTAACTGACACCTGAATATTCATGCCTGGTAAGATAGCCCACATGGGGTGCTTGAGAAGTCCAGAGGATAGACTGTTGGATGACCTGAATTGAAATCCAGCCTTGGGTTAGGATTCAGCAGGGAGCGGGATAGTGATTATCCCTTTGCCTCTAACCTCCAGTTCCAGTGTTTTGACTATAAGCATTTTTGGCAGTTGTGAATGGAGCATGCAGCGGATCCAGAATGCAGCACACATTAAACCATAGCTGTCAACCGTCCCTTATTTGGTGGGAAAGTCCCTTATCCCAGCACTGTGTCCCGCTGCTGTCCCTTATTGATGATGTCCCTTAAATTTCCCGGGTTTCAAAGGAAACAGCTTCTCTGCCTGCCTGCCTGCCGGCCAGGGAGGAGGGAGGCTCCAACTGTGTTGCTTGGCTGCGTTGCTCACCCAATAAGGAGTCTAAGAACGACTGAGGGGTGGAGCTTGCATGCCTTGTGCCGATCAAATTGGCCGCGTTGCCTGGGGACTCGCCTTTGCTCAGCGCTTCCCAGCAGAGAGGTGACGGTGGTTTTCCTTGCTGCATCCCCTTTGCCGGGTTGCTGCGCTGTGGGAACCACCGCTTGTGGCTTCGTTTGGCTGCTGGCTGGGATTTCTGCCTTTGGCTTGGAGGGGTTCAGAAGTTGAACATAGCTGTGTTTGGAAAATCCCTTATTTTGGCTGCTGATCCCTTATTTGCGAGGCTGCTGGTCCCTTATTTTCAAATCTGTAAGTTGACAGCTGTGCATTAAACTGAAGTGAAATGCTTTTGTATATAATAAGCTTTGGTGCCTGGATGAGTGCGTGTGCAATAACAACAACAGCGATAGCAAAACAGAACCAAATATAATAACAGATGCCAAATAAAACAAAATAGGAATGAAAGGGTAAAAGGGGATTTCCCAGGGCGAAACATATAGGAACAGAATGCCTGGATATGTTTTGATTGTATGAATGTTCTCTCTATTGCAGTGAAACCAAGAGTGTCCAGACCTGGAGATCTGCAAGGATTTTCGCGGGACAATCCAATAGAGATTTCAGTGACCGCAGGGGAAGAGGTCACACTTCCCTGTGAGGTGAAAAGTTTGCCGCCACCTATAATAACCTGGGCTAAAGAAATGCAGCTTATCTCTCCATACTCTCCAAGGTAAGAGTTCTCTTTGTTTGTATGGCAAATTCAAAATAAAAACATCCAGGGCTTGCTAGATACTCTCTTGTGTTTATAAAGATCTACAAAGTTATATTTAAGGTATCCAAAAGTAGTGTTTCATCCTACTTTTTTATTTGCGTTCACCGGGAATGGGAGTTCTGTGCCTTTTTTTCGTTTTTAATTTCCTTTTTATAGGGAATCCAAGGAAATGTTCTGTGGGGTAGAAGCAGGTGACCTTTCTCAGCAACCTCACCAATTTATAAGTAGTAGGGTTCTTTGAGGGGAAGCCATGGTGTTAAATGATATAAAACTCATAAATAAGTTTGTGGCACAGATAAGCTCTGCCTGAGGTTCACCGTTGTGAATTTGCCTTGTTGATCGCTCGCATATTTGCATGGCTGCCTGATTTTTCATTCAGCAAAACGCACAAATGTACAAATATATATATATATTTCTGGTGTGGTCTTTTAATACAGTTTCCTGGGCCATGCCAGAAATGTTAGCTTTATCTCAAATCTGTAAGGTTGAAAATTTTGATTCCAGTTTCTCTAGTCTGTTTGCTGAAATCCTTAAGTTGACACTGGAGGGTTTGCATCAGAATCAACAAATTCTTCCAAATCCCACTGTGCTTTTTGTGGTTTTCCACGCTGAGTCCAAGGCAGTATTGTGAATTTGTATTGCAAAACACACTTTGTTCAAATTAGACAATCTAATAGGATTTTACAATGCAGTTTCCACACTTTCTGGCTGCTCTTATTGCTTATGTATTAGTAATGCTATGTGTCCTCTTTTAATATGTGGTTACAAGAACAAAACAAGTTTCAAACTTTCTGAAATGCTTCATTTTTTCAGGTCAGGGGTAGCTTTACAGAACATTGTTTGACATAAGAATAGCAACAAGAAAATGCCAACTCATCCATATAGCCTTGAAACGTTTCCGAGCATAAAAGTCTTATGAAATTAATCCACCCACCCCCCAATAACTGAAGCATGGAAGCCACATTGCAAGAACTCAATGCTGAGTCTCAAACTCATATTGGGCCGCAGTAAGACAACATATTGTAGACATTTCAGTGCCTTACCTTTGACTATCAGATTCCCGATACGGGCCTGATTCCAATAGCTTTGCTGCTTAGCCGTGTGCTGCTCTTGTGCATTGGATCGGGGCCATCATGTATAGACAGCGATGTCTGTGACGACACAGTAGTTTCCAAAATAAATTGCAACGTTGTAGTCTCTCCATTTTAAGAGATCCACACCTTTTGGTTTTGAACCCAGAGTAGAAACACGTGTTCAAAGCAGTCAGGTGGTGTAGGCTTACCATTTCAGATGGCATGTGGGAAGTTGTATTTTTGAGTGTTCCTCACTCCCAGATGATATAAGAAGAGTCAGTCTATAGGGGGATCTATCTAGGTCAGGGGTCTGCAACCTTTAAGACAAAAAGAGCCACTTGGACCCGTTTCCGAAGAAAAAAAACCTGGGAGCCGCAAAACTCATCATTATAAAAATAACCTTTTTGTCATTTTTTTTATTTCTTTGTTTGATCCCTCAGAATTACTCCTCCTCATAGAAATAAACATTAAATTAACAAGTTACCTTTTTGTGTGTGTGTGTTCTTCACTCCCCTTCAAAACAATGACCAGCGTACATGCCCCTTACAATGGAGCGGGCGGGCGGGAAGGTGACATCGGGACGGTGCGTGACTAACGCACGCACCGCCCCCATGCAACGTCACAGCCAGTACAGCGCCTGCCACAGTGGGGGGTGTCGGGGCGCACAATGCGCCACCTCCCCTCGCTAGTATCCGCCCCGGAGCCGCGGCAAAGGTGTAAAAGAGCCACATGCGGCTCCGGAGCCGCGGGTTGCAGACCCCTGAACTAGGTTTTGGCTGGAACAGAGGCACAAAAATACATTAAAAAATATACATTAAGTTTTCTTTTTGTTTCAGAATAATTGCAATTGGTTTTAGGATGGTAGATAAAAAGCAAGGTATTAGCTTGCTCAGAAGCTTTTTAATATGATTATTAGTTTTCCAAATTTTTACAAATCAAATTAAGAGAAGGCTGCACGTTCAAGCCCTCTGTTCCTTTGCTGGTGCAGTTTGATTTCAGACCACAAAGGTGAACACTTAGCTTCATGTCAGATGGTTCTCAGGTGGTGGGTGGAGGTCTCATTGGCCTGCAGGGGCTGGGAGTGGTCAGGATCTGGCCCATGGGGCAGATCCAGTTTCCCATTCCTGGCTGAGAACTTTCTTCATGAAATGCTATTATTGGGTTTTTTAAAAAAACACACATGGGGCTGCCTTGATGTACAGTTGGAAGTGGTTATTTTGCAGCAATGGATATCATGCGCAGTTGCTGATTGCGTAGCGTCGTTCTTGGTCTTGCGACAGGTTCTGCTCCTGTCTCCCAGCTTTTTCTTGTTTCCAAACCTCATTCCTGTCATGGCTTTGTCTATCTGCTGTTTAGCTTGGCTTCACTGTCTCCCTGCCCCTCATTTTCTGTTCCTCACCTGACTGGGATTATATGACTCAGACATAGCGTCAGAATATACACTTGGGAACGAAATTGTAGCTCTGTTTTGAGCTGCACTTCGTTTTGGCATGGATACCTATTTATTTTTCTTTTTTTAAAATAATTTTTATCAATACTAGGTTGTGACAGTGTGGGATGAAAGCCATTATACATTGAGCAGCTTTGCTTCTCGTCCAAGAAGAAGAAAAGTCAAGAAAATAAATAAATGAAAAATAGGAAAAACAAACAACAATAGCAACAAGGAAATGACATATGAAGAGGGGAGAGAGACAATATAACCAAAACTCTATAATGCCATGAATAAATTAAAGGGGGAAATATAATCATTTACTTCCTTTCAATCAATTTGTTTCCTTGATTATTAAGTATTGTGTTTTCCCTCATATGTATGTTTTATCACTAATATAGTTTGCCATGTTTTTCTTAATCAAGTTATGGTAGGAAGATTTCTGTTTTTCCATTTTTTTCCTGCAGTACACTGCTTTGCTGTTAGTAGAAGTATAGTAATTTGTTGTAAATGAGCATTAATGACTTTAGGATGAAGTATAAGCATGGAGACTAACATAGAGAATCCCTCCTTTTCAAAGAATACATTGAATATGTATTCTGAGCAGGAATGGGGGAGAAATTTGGTTCACTTTACATTTTAACGTGAACCTATGTAATTTGCGGGTGGCGCTGTGGTCTAAACCACTGAGCCTAGGGCTTGGCGATCGGAAGGTTGGCGGTTCGAATCCCCGTGACGGGGTGAACTCCTGTTGCTCGGTCCCAGCTCCTGCCAACCTAGCAGTTTGAAAGCACATAAAAATGCAAGTAGATAAATAGGTACCGCTCCGGCGGGAAGGTAAACGGCGTTTCAGGGCACTTTTCTGGTTTTGCCAGAAGTGGCCTAGTCACGCTGGCCACATGACCCGGAAAAACATTATGAGGATAAAACTTCGGCTCCCTTGGCCAGTAAAGCGAGATGAGCTCCGCAAGCCCAGAGTTGTTTGTGACTGTTTGTGTCAGGGGTCCTTTACCTTTATGTAATTTGCGTTTCCCAAAACAATACGTGAGCTGAAATACAGATACAGTGGTACATACGCTTCAGGTTACATATGCTTCAGGTTGCAGACTCTGCTAACCCAGAAATATTGCTTCAGGTTAAGAACTTTGCTTCAGGATGAGAACAGAAATTGTGCTCCGGCGGCATGGCAGCAGCAGGAGGCCCCATTAGCTAAAGTGGTGCTTCAGGTTAAGTACAGTTTCAGGTTAAGTACGGACCTCCAGAATGAATTAAGTACTTAACCTGAGGTACCACTGTATTGTTAGAAATGTGCTTTTCTCCAAAGATTTTATAGGTTTTGTGCATGCTTGTTGTGCACTCAGCAGCAATATCAAGCTATTCTTGGAAAGGTTATACAGTTCCCCTCAGCTGCCCACAAACAGGAGTGGGGAACATTGGGTTTTTTATGGTCGGTGGGGCCCTGTGCCCAGCCATTTTGGTACACCTCCTTCAGGGGCTAACACCCAAAGGGACCTGTTTCTGGACCGGGAAAGTTTTACTTCCAATGGAGGTCCCTCAGTTCCTGTTTTCAGTGAACACGCCATGCGATGATATATGGGCTGGGCTGGGGTACACTTCCTCAAGTGTAAAAGCACGATAGAAAAATCCACTGACTTCTCCATAGATTGGATGGCATGGCATATTTAAAAGGGGAATTTTTATTTTGGTTGTTCTCAGTCTCTTACTTCATTCTCGAGATATGTAGAAGGAAGAAGGAAGACAGATCACAAGCACAGTTAGGTGAAAACCGGGCCAATCTGAGCGAAAAATAATACTGAACAGATGCCGTTTAGCGTGTGGTATTCATTACTAATATCTCAGCAACGTGCATTCCCCCTCATGGTAAATATTTATATAGTCATATCTGTTTCCTGTTTTTTCCAGGCACACCTTCCTCCCTTCAGGGTCAATGAAGATCACAGAGACACGGGTTTCAGACAGTGGCATGTATCTCTGTGTAGCCACAAACATTGCTGGGAATGCGACCCAGTCAGTGAAGCTCAATGTACATGGTAAGCTGTTTAGAGTGCAGTAAGAGTCCTTTCTCAGTCACTGGGGGGGGGGGCAAGAATCTAGACGTATATTCAGTTGCTGGCACCAGAATCTTCCCATATTTTTTAGGAGGGATGCTTGGGTCTTGACACCATAAGGTTTCTTGGGCACAGTCTGTCGGAATGTCCTCTTCCACAAATCCTATCTTAATGGAAAGAAAGTGCAGTGTAGCAGGCATCTTTAACAGCTTTTCCAGACGCCAAAGAAACCCACAAAATCTGCAATCAACAAATTACGCTAGTAGGACTACAAGAGGTTTTGTAAGGAGAAATATACGAAGTGTTACAAAGTAGAAAAAGATAGAGATAATGGTTATGAGTTTGAAATGTAATGGGGAAGATAAGAAATGCATACTGAGATTGGAAAATTTTCAGACAGGATTGATGGAAGTCAAAAATTTGAATAAGATGTAAAAGTATGTTTAATTACTGTTGAAAATAATATGTTAAAATAATAATAATAAAAAATTATATTTAAAAAAAAGAAACCCACAAACTCACAGACCTGCCAACATACCTCAAGTGAAAATAGGGGCATTTCTCACTCCTCTCCAACTGACCCTCCTCAACTCCCCCCCCTTTTTTTGTTCTCCTGCCCACAGGCCATTTACACCAACGGGACACAGCATACAAGCCCTCCACTACCCTGAGAAAACCCCTTAATCCCATTTTTAAAAATTATTATTATTCTTTGGTAGATTTACAAAAAAATAAAAACACAAACCAATAAATAAATGGGAGAAAGGGGCAAGATTAGACACGCACGCAAAAAGCATTTTTTTTTTAAAAAAAAATGAAGACTCCTTGGGTTCTGCTCCGCTCCCCCATTCTTCCCGCCCAGGGCGGCTCTCTGCTCTCTGCAGTTCAGAGCTAGCACATCACAAGGAATGGGCCTTGGCAACTCCATCCTCTCCTCCTCTATATTCAAGGGGAGGAGAGGGGAGATGGTTCTGTTTGGGAAGCTGGAATGCCTGCGCTGATGGAACGATGTTAAAAACACAACATTGAATTCTGCCCTAAATAAACTCAACATATGCCTCTTTATGGACGCGGCTGGTGCTGTGGGTTAAACCACGGAGCCTAGGACTTGCCGATCAGAAGGTCGGCGGTTTGAATCCCTGCGACGGGGTGAGCTCCCGTTGCTCGGTCCCAGCTCCTGCCAACCTAGCACTTCGAAAGCATGTCAAGTGCAAGTAGATAAATAGGTACAGCTCCAGCGGGAAGGTAAACGGCGTTTCTGTGCGCTGCTCTGGTTCGCCAGAAGTGGCTTAGTCATGCTGGCCACATGACCTGGAAGCTGTATGCCGGCTCCCTTGGCCAGTAAAGCGAGATGACCGCCGCAACCCCAGAGTTGTCCGTGACTGGACCTAATGATCTGGGGTCCCTTTACCTTTACCTTTTTACGCTTCTTTATGTGCTTTAGCAATTGGAATTTGCTCCACAATCAGTACGGTTAAGAGCAGGGATGGGTAACCTATGGCTCCCTAGATGTTTCTGGACCACCGCTCTGACCATTGGCCATGCTAGCTGGGGTTGATAGTTAAGAGGGTGCTCTACGTTAATTTTAGAAGTCTTTAAGCCACGTAGAGGTTGTCCAATCCAGGTTTATCAGGACAACAAAGCATGTGTAGTTTTGCTGACTTCTGAAGGTTGTAAGCAAAGCACGAAGCACTTGCAATTGAAGCTGCAACATGCTAGAGAATGTGTTCAGAAAGGACTCGTAACGGTGTCCTCCATGCCAGGCAATGAAATTCCTGCTGATTTATTGTCCAAGGTTGTTCCGAAGGATCAGCACTGTACCTGTGTACAGAAATTGGGTTTGTACTGAGATTGTACTGATACGCTGCCCAGTGGTGTTCACAGAAAGGGGGAGGATGTTAGTTTCTGTTCTTATCACTGTGCAGCTGCGTGGAGTCACAGGACTCTGTTTACATTCCTGGAATTCCACACTATTGGAGTCTCACGGGAAAGGAGACGGGATGTGACGTTAGTGGTTTCCTGTTTCCTTTGTTCCTTTGTTCCGTTGCTCTCTGTTTTCAGAGAGAGAGGATGTATATTTCTTAGCTGTCTGCGTAGCTAGAAAATAAAGTATAGCAATGTAGCCATAAATCTCATCACTTCCGCGTGCTGTTTTGATGCTCTGCTGGGAGGACGTGCCTTGGAGTCTCATCAAAGGCTCCAGGTCGTTAAACACGTCGGGAGGTGATTCTGAAGGCTCGGGAAGAAAATGAGCTTTATCAGCTTGGCCGAGCGGAGATCCCGACAGAGGCCAGGTGCTGCACTCCCATCAATCTTATCTTACTGAATGATCTGATAAAACCTTTCTGTGTCAGCACTAACTAACTCACTTTGCCTAGTTCCTCCAAAGATACAACGTGGACCTCGAGTGATGAAAGCAAAAGCTGGTTCCAGAATCGATATACCTTGCAACGCACATGGGATCCCACCTCCAACGATCACTTGGCTTAAAGACCAAAATCCCATTTTGGTAGACAACAGGCAATATGGCGCCTCTTCAGACGGGGCTCTCAGAATCAGTAAAGTCTTGATATCAGACTCGGGAATCTACAAATGTGTGGCAAGTAACATTGCCGGCCGTGATGAAGCTGAGATAATGGTCCACGTTCAAGGTACTATACCATCGGAGCCAAAAATGTTAGCACAGTAATGGATTGCCCCTTTCGTTTTTAGTATGCAATAGCATAAAACGAGAAGCATGTGAGAAAAAAATTTGTATTTCATCTGAGCAGGATTCAACTTTTTAACATGAGATGAGACACTCAGGTATCTTGTTCAAGCTTTTTGTTTCAACAGTATCATTTTCTCTCATAGTGAAGTGATAGGGAGCTTGTTTGGCCACTATGTACCGTATTTTTTGCTCTATAAGACGCAGCAGACCATAAGACGCACCTAGTTTTTGGAGGAGGAAAACAAGGGAAAAAAATATTCTGAATTTCAGCAGCCTGCATTCGCTCCATAAGACGCACACGCATTTCCCCTTACTTTTTAGGAGGGAAAAAGTGAGTCTTATAGAGCAAAAAATACGGTATATGACAGGAGTCTTGCAGACTTCTACTTTCTCTGGATAATTCTTTTAGCTACAAGGACACATGCGACAGTCTTCAGATTTACACCAGTAAAGAATGTATGAGAGATTGTCCTGAAGCTTCTGACATCTCCAATGTAGTTAATGTGTGCTGCCAGCATAGCCTTAAACAAGCTTTCGATGATGCATTTTAAAATTCTCTTCTCTATATCCTCAGTAGTGCAATTGTCACTCTTTCTGTAACATCAGACACAGCCAATTTCACCCTGGTTTGCAAACACCGGCTACTTTCTGAGGTTATTTTGTGTGTTTTTATATATTTAGATACCCCACTCTGTTCCTTAAGGGTAGATAAATAATAACAATCTTAAAGCAGCATAAGCGTCAAATAAATAGTCAAATTAAAATTATATAGAGTTTATTGCATCCAAATCCAATTCATATCTGACCAGAGGCAAGCTGGGCTACAGTTGGGCTGTCCAGAATCTGATCTGGCCCAGCAGGTGACAGCGTTGCTTCTCCCCTCAACCATTTACTGCTAGACACAAAAATGCGTTCCACGCCTCAGGTAAAAAGCCAGGCTTGTGGACACATGTGGTTTGCATTCAGAGAATGTGGCATTCGGAGAATGGGTGGCGCTGTGGTCTAAACCGCTGAGCCTCTTGGGCCTGCTGATTGGAAGGTCGGTGGGTCGAATTCACGTGACGTGGTGAGCTCCCATTGCTCTGTCCCAGCTCCTGCCAACCTAGCATTTCGAAAGCATGCCAGTGCAAGTAGATAAATAGGTACCACTCCGGCAGGAAGGTAAACGGTGTTTCCGTGCGCTCTGGTTTCTGTCACGGTGTTCTGTTGCGCCAGAAGCAGTTTAGTCCTGCTGGCCACATGACCTGGAAAGCTATCTGTGGACAAACGCCGGCTCCCTCGGCCTGAAAGTGAGATGAGCGCAGTAACCCCATAGTCACCATTGACTGGACTTTACTGTCCCGGAGTCCTTTACCTTTACCTATTGCAAGTCTCAGGTTAAAAAGCCAGGCTTGCGGACACATGTGGTTTGCAATCAGAGAATGTGTGGTTTTTCCCCACTGAAAAGTTCTAGTGCACTCCTAGTCACCATGTGAAGTGAAATGAGGAACCAAATGTGCTACCTAGAGAATGAAACTTTCGTATTTTAAAAAGTGCTTTAAAAAATAGGAATGAAACCATGTAATTTGAATACAGTGGTACCTCGGTTTTGGAACGTAATCCATACTGGAAGACCGTTTGAGTTCTGAAACGTTCGAAAACCAAAAACTCAGTAGCCGACAGCCAGGCCTCATGATCTTGCACTCAGCGGAAGCCATGTTTCATGTTCGACTTCTGAGGCGTGTTCAAAAACTGAAGCATTTACTTCCGGGTTTGCAGCGTTTGAAAACCGAAACGTTTTTCAACAGAGATGATCGAAAACTGAGGTGCCACTGTATCAGATTAATTCGTATTTCTGAGTTTTAAAAAAGAATTTTGAGAAACTTACACGTTTTGGGAAATCAAGCGACGCAATATTTAATTTCTGTTCCTTCCCTCACTTTAGAACCTCCTACTGTAGGTGCGCTTGATCCACCGTACAACACTCCACTGCAGGAAAGGGTAGCAAAGGAACGAACTGCCTTCCCTTGTCCGGCCAAAGGTATGGAATGCAATGTTATTCATGCACCTAGAATCTCCTGCAATTGTTCTTGGAAACCTGAGGCATCTTCTCTGCCACATTGCCAGTAGCTACTCCTGGTAGCGTGGAAGAAAACCCAGATAATTGTTTTAAAAGTTCACTGGGTGTGCTGACATACTTCAATAGGAGTGCATAGTGGGTCCCAACTAAAGAAGAATGGCAACTTAAATATGCACAACTTGCAGACTTAACAGATAGAATAAGAGAACCAGAAAACATACGTTTAAAGAAGGTTGGGAAACGTTTATTGAATATATGGGAAATAATTGTGTACAGATGAAAATGCTGGCAGCATTAAGATAAATTCAACAGTGTAAACATGTTTTGATGGATGCAATAATGGAATACTGAATGGTATAGGGTTGTTTTTTGTAAAATATGCAGGGATTTATGATATGCAAAATGAACCATGGAAAGAGAAGAAGGGAAGTCATTGATATCTTAAGGATGTAAAAATGAGTATTTTAAATTGTAAAACAGAAAATTTAATCAAAATTACATACAATCTCAATGCATTGTTAGACAATCTCAGAGTGCGTTGTTCCTGGGTTGTTGTCGTCTCCATACAGGGCTTGTGTCAGTTAAATTACTGGCCTGTGTTTCATTGAAGACTCCCAAAAACCTTATTTTTAAAGTATTTCCTTTTTTAAGCGAAATTTTAGAAGCCACGTATAGCACGCTCTGTCCTTCTCTGCAGGTACCCCAAAGCCTGTAATAAAATGGTTGCATAATAACAAGGAGCTAACTGGAAATGAACCTGGCATTTCAATCTTGGAAGATGGCACCCTGCTGGTTATTGCTTCAGTCACACCATATGACAATGGAGAATACGTCTGCGTTGCGGTCAATGAAGCTGGAAGCACAGAAAAAACTTACAACCTGAAGGTTCATGGTAAACAAGCACCAAATATCTCTCTACTGCTATAGGGACGTGGGTGGCGCTGTGGTCTAAACCACTGAGTCTCTTGGGCTTGCCGATCGAAAGGCCGGCAGTTCGAATCCCCGTGACGGGGTGAGCTCCCGTTGCTCTCTCCCAGCTCCTGCCAACCTAGCAGTTTGAAAGCATGTCAGTGCAAGTAGATAAATAGGTACCACTGTGGCAGGAAGGTAAACACTGTTTCCGTGCACTGCTCTGGTTCGCCAGGAGCGGCTTAGTCATGCTGGCCACATGACCCGGAAGCTGTACACCGGCTCCCTTGGCCAATAAAGCGAGATGAGCGCCGCAACCCCAGAGTCGGCCATGACTGGGCCTAATGGTCAGGGGTCCCTTTACCTTTACCCAGAAACTTAGTAAGTTGAGGTATTTTTAATCTGTTTTAGTATTTTTACTATTGTTTGCTTCGAAGCAGGGTTGTAAATCTTTCCTGATTTTGCAGTGTTATATTTTGTAAAAACCACTTTGAGGGTGTGTTTTTTTTGCAATTTAGCAGTTTATAAATTTTATGAAATGAATAAATAGTTAATAAAAGAATATGTTTTTAGAAAGCAAAACCAAGCACCCAAATGTTCACATAAGTATTTATTCGGCTTCTTTGATTGCAGTTCCACCTGAAATCAGAGATCAGGACAAGGTGACAAATGCATCTGTGACTATTAATCAGCCCATCAGTCTGTTCTGTGAGGTATCTGGCAACCCGTTTCCCATCATCACTTGGTACAAAGCTGATGTTCAGGTATGTATAGGTGTGGAGATTCTCCCCCGCCCTACAAGTAAAATAAATAAAACCGAACAAAGTTAATTCCTCTTCCCCAGTAAAATCAACCTGAAAGCTTTCAGGAAGAACTCTGAAATTTAAATTTTTTTTGTGTGTGTACTAACTGCTCTTTGGTGATGCTTGTCTCCTTCGGATAGATTTGGACTGAGTGTTGCATATATTTAAGCAGTGTTTATACTTCAAATGGTAGGTTGCTGTGTGGCTTAATGATTACAATGGGCGTTCCATGTAATCCCTTGCAAAGAACTGTACTTTGGTGAAAACAGTCATTTGTTAATTAAGAAGTATAACTCTAGTGGCTCAGAGTGTTCCCTGAATTCTCCCCTCTGCTGCCATATCTTTTGCCTACCTATGTTTCTGCTGTTATTTCTATGCTTGCCCAGTGTTGTCATTTACCTGGAAGCCTGAGACTTGGAGCCAGGTTGAGTAGTGTGTTTGTGTGTAAATACAAATGCAAATTCAGCTCATCTGCATGTTTGATTCTGCGAGTTGAAGCTATAGCTCCTTACTCTAGGGTTTGGATTTTTCTTTGGGTATAGAATACCCATGCGCTTGCGTACCACTGACCATCAAGCAGCAAATTTGTCCAGTTGTGGACAAATTTAAGTAGACTATAGGTATACAAATCCATATATATATTTGTCAGGTGACAAACAAGGTCATTAATTGACCCTGTGAGGATGTCTTAAGACAGATGTCATGGTGTTTAGGTGCAAGATGTTAACAGGATGCCTGGCAGTTGAGTATGTTCTCTTCAGAATGTTGTAAAACAAATAATGTCCTACATCCAACTTTGATCTTTCCTTATTACTTTGTCCTTATTGAGTTGCTGGCAAAATCACACCATTGCAACAGTAGAATGCATATTGAAGGCTTTTGGCTTCAGAAATCATAGATTTTTATTGCGCTAGCCATAGGCCATGGCATACTTTTGGCTTCAGTGGACTATAGCTGTCTGTTGGCATGTTTGAGCCAGGGGGTAGAACCTATAGCCCTTCTGGTGTTGTTATACTCCAATTCCCATTATCTCCAGCCAGCATAGCCAATGGCTAGGGAAGATGTTGTAGTCTTGTTCTATGGTGATCACTCGTAGCCAAGTAAGATTGTTTTCCATGAACACAGTTTTAACGTAAGTCCGTAAGTGACTGTGGAGGCCAATTCTGGATCCACATGTCCTTCCACAGTGGGGACATAGGTTTCTGGGCGGGAGTTGATCACGGTGAGGGTTTGCCAAGTGTGCCTTCCTCTTAGCACATTTCTCCCTTTTGTCCTAAGTTTGGGCATCTTCAAAGTCAATGACACCTTTGGTAAAAGCTGTTCTCCAACTGGAGTGCTTTACAGGCCAGTGTTTCCCAGTTGTCGGTGTTTATGCTACATTTTTTTAGATTTGAGAGAGTCTTTGAACCTCTTTTGTTGACCACCGGCATTACGCTTTCCATTTTTAAGTTTGAAATAGAGCAGTTGCTTTGGAAGATTATAATCAGGCATCCGCAGAACATGAGCGATCCAACGAAGTCGGTGTTGAAGAATCATTGCTTCAACACTGGTTATCTTTGCTTCTTCCAGTACACTGGCATTAGTTTGCCTGTCTTTCCAAGTGATGTGTATGGTTTACCTCCAGCTGTGTCCAGCTTTTATATTTGTAAATAAACTCAAATATACCCACCGTAAGAGAAGGAAAGCTGTGATCCTAAATCTCCACTGCTTTGTGGGATATCTCCAGGAGAATGAACGGCTAAGGGGTAAAACACATCCCTAAGACGGTTGGGTGGTACCTTGTACTCCTCCTTTTGGCAACCCCTGCAGCCAAGCTGGTTCCATATACATTGCTCTGCTTTCTTTTGGTCCACACAGCCAAGAGAGGGAGTCTTGTCATCTGGGCAGGCCAGGACCTCTGTACACACTGCCCAGGCTTGTGCCCCAGGGGGGTCCTTTCAGTGCTGCTAATGCAGCGGCTTGACTTCACCCCCAGAGGCGTACTCCATTGTCTCTCGAGACAGACAGGTGCTAACAACAAGTCAAATATTGCAAAAACACCTGTAAGTCTCCAGTGACGTCCTTCCAAAGCAAAGCAAACCTGAATAAACTCCGTGAGCCTGAAACTTTTCAATGTTTGGAGAAGTCGGTATTGAACAATATACAGTGGTACCTCGAAAGACGAATGCCTCGCGAGACAAAAAACTCGCTAGACGAAAGGTTTTTTTTGTTTTTTGAGCTGCTTCGCAAGACGATTTTCTCTATGGGCTTACTTCGCAAGACGGAAACGTCTTGCAAGTTTGTTTCCTTTTTCTTAACACCGTTAATACAGTTGCGACATGACTTCGAGGAGCAACTCATAGAACGCGGTGTGGTAGCCTTTTTTGAGGTTTTTAAAGCTTTTTGAGGTTTTTGAAGCTTTTCCAAAACTTTCCCGACACCGTGCTTCGCAAGACGAAAAAAATCGCAAGACGACAAAACTCGCGGAACGGGTTAATTTTGTCTTGCGAGGCACCACTGTACCGTATTTTTCGCTCCATAAGGCGCACCTGACCATAAGGCGCACCTAGTTTTTAGAGGAGGAAAACAAGGAAAAAAATATTCGGAACGAAATAGTGGATGTATGATTTTTGTGGTTCATGCTTGTGGCCACAGACATGTTATCTAATGGTGAATTTGGGGTGACCCAATGCAAAAATCCTGAGGATCCATGTGGACCCGTGCTTTGTAACCACGTTTTTGCACCATTGCAGCCCCAGGAAACAGTAGATGTGTGATTTTTTGGGTGCAGGCTGTAGCCATGGACATGCTATGTGATCTGATGGTGAATTTGGGGTGACCCAATGTAAAAATCCTGAGGATCCATGGGCTTTTACCTCCCCCCTCCCAGGCAGCCTCTGCTAGTGGCCCTTTTCTATCTTCTAATCCCACTGATCAACTGTTTCCTTTCAACACTCCCTTCCCTCTTGTTTGCCTTAGTGTCTTAGCTGGAGCAGTTTTTTGCTCCTCCTTTTCTTCTAATTTCTCTCCTTATTGCTTTAGTCTTCCTGTTTCTCCCCCTTTGCGAGTTTGCTGTCTTTACCTCCCCCCTCCCAGGCAGCCTCCTTTATCTCTAGCGGCCTGTATCTCTCTCCCTGATCGGCAAACGATCAGCAGCTTTGTTTCAACACCCCCTTCCCTCTTTCAAAAAAAAAAAAAAAGCACAATCTCCTTTTTGCCCCTGGGCAACTCAGCTCCAGGGACCACGCATTCGCTCCATAAGATGCACAGACATTTCCCCTTACTTTTTAGGAAGAAAAAAGTGCGTCTTATGGAGCAAAAAATACGGTAAATCAGTTATTCACTTGTGCTCATGAAGTGATGGGCTGCAAGAGTGGAAGGGTTATTATAGCTCTGGGCTATAGTGATTTTTCCAGTCCTGCTGCCTGCATCTTTGCCCTAGTAGAAAACTAGTTAAGGAAACAACTGCCTCTTCAGATTTGGAAGAGCATAGTGATAATTTATTGCCATCTGTAAAATTATTCAGCCTCTGCCATGACTCCTAATTGCAGATCATGCTTTATAACTTTCAGGAAGACTTTTAAAGTATGACTGGCCTAATTAGGCCCAGGAAATGTGGGTAAGTTAGATTATTCAGATGCTAGATTTGGGCAGGTGTTGAATTAGTTGCTCTTGGATTGTTTTCAGGTGGTGGAGAGCAGCACTCTGCAGATTTTGAACAATGGGAAGCTGTTGAAACTTCTTAAAGTTGCAACCGACGATGCTGGACTGTATTCATGTAAAGCCACCAACATAGCAGGGAGCTCAGAGAAATTCTTCAATGTAGATGTGCGAGGTTGGTATTGTTAAAGATAGCAATCTTGAAAAAGTAGCCTTTAGTATTTCAAGTATACCTGACATTTAATATAAGCCTAAGTTATAGAACAGTGGTGGGGCACCTAATGCCAACTCAGGTTTTCTTGCCTCTTTTTACAATATCATCTAAGTGCCCTGCAGCCCTTATTAATTTTGTTTGTTTATACTTTTCAAGTTTATACATTTCACTAATTTTACAGTCATTTTGACATTTCAAAACTTGACTTCCTTCCCCCTCTTTCTGCGGTTCCTTAAATTTGTTTGTAATATCTTCTTTTAATATCCAAATTAACTTAATTTGCTCCTTTATTCATCTTCTTTAAATATATACTGCAGATTGTTACAGTAATCCTGCCAATGTTTTGATCTATTTGCAATTTATCTGTAAAGATTCGATAAACCATTTCCATTCTTTTTTAAAACTTAAGTTATCTTGATTTCTTATTCTTCTGGTTATTCTTCTGGTAAGTTTCACCATTTCTGCATATTCCATAAGTTTTTGTATCCATTCTTCCTTTGCTGGGACTTCTGCTTCTTTCCATTTTGGGGCAAGTCATATTCTTGCCGCTGTAGTAGCATACATGAATAAATTTCTATGCATTTTAGATAGTTCTGTCCCTATAATTCCCAAAAGAAAAGCTTCGGGGGGGGGGGGTTGGTTTTTTTTACAAAGGCTATTTTAAACATGCTTTTCATTTCATTATATATCATTTCCCAGTAAGCTTTAACCTTGGCCCTTACTAATTTTGGTTGCTTCTTCTTTCGATGAGATCCAGCCCCATCTATAAGTGTCAGGGAGCATGATACATTTTGTTTAACCGCTCTCCTCCTCCTGTTTGACTAGTGATTGCCATTGTTTTCTTTCCCACCCAGTCCCACCCAGCATAAGAGGTGCTGACACACCTAGTGAAGTTTCCGTCGTCCTCAACCACGATGCCACCTTGGAATGCAGAGTCAGTGGTACTCCTCTCCCCATTATCCAGTGGTTCAAAGATGGAAAGTAAGTGCCCTATCTTACATTGATGTAACATAGTAAAGAGAGATGAGGAACTGCTGTCTTCCTGTTCATATATCAGTAAACGTAAGCGTAAAGGACCCCTGGAAGGTTAATAATAATAATAAATACCGTATTTTTCGCCCCATAGGATGCACCGGCCCATAGGACGCACCTAGTTTTTTGAGGGGGAAATAAAGGGGAAAAAATTTATTTCCCCCCCAGGTGCGCTGCGCTAAGCCCGAAGCTTGGGGCGTGCGGAGTTCAGCGCGCCCCAGGCTTCTGGGTGCTGGCAAGGTCTCCACTAGCCGTGGGAGAGCCACACGGCTTCGCGCGGCTCTCCCATGGCTAGCGGAGCGCTGCGCTAATCCCGAAGCTTGGGGCGTGCGGAGCTCAGCGTGCCCCAAGCTTCTGGGTGCCGGCAAGGTCTCCACTAGCCATGGGAGAGCCGCGCGGCTCTCCCACGGCTAGCGGAGCGCTGCGCTAATCCCGAAGCTTGGGACGTGCGGAGCTCAGCGCGCCCCAAGCTTCTGGGTGCAGGGAGCTCTCCGCTAGCCCTGGGAGAGCTGGGTCTCCCATGGCTAGCGGATAGCTTCCTGAAGCCTGGAGAGTGAGAGGGATCGGTGCGCACCGACCCCCCTCGTTCTCCAGGCTTCAGTGAAAGCCTGCATTCACCCCATAGGACGCACACACATTTCCCCTTCATTTTTGGAGGGGAAAAAGTGCGTCCTATAGGGCGAAAAATACGGTGATAATTTTTTATTTATACCCTGCCTTCCCTGTTCAGAAAACCGGGCTTAGGGCGGCTAACAACAAATTTAAAACACTTAATTGATGCTACCAAAAAACAGCATAAAATACGGTATAAAACGTGAATAACAATAAAATAAAAAAAATCAATTTAGGGGGGAAATCCATCCAATAAACATTAGATGATCACCAGGGCTAGCTGGCTAAATTAGTCCTATTTGGGCCAGCGAGGAGACCAGGGGAGAATTAGCTGTGGGATCCCAGAGCGGGTAATCTTCATAAAAAGGGGAGGGGGAGGGAAGGAAGGAAGAGGAATAAAAGATCAGGCTAAGTTCAAATTGAAAGCCAGGTGGAATAGTTCTGTCTTACAGGCCCTGCCGAAGGAAGTTAAATCCTGCAGGGCCCTGGTCTTATGGGACAGAGCATTCCACCAGGTCGGAGCCATCACTGAGAAGGCCCTGGCCCTGGTGGAGGATAATCTAACTTCCTGGATAAGTCCATTCAAAGGCTACTATGGGGTTGCGGCTCCCATCTCACTTTCAGGCCGAGGGAGCTGGTGTTTGTCCACAGACAGCTTTCTGGCTCATGTGGCCAGCATCACTAAACTTCTTCTGGCGCAACAGGACACCGTGACAGAAACCAGAGTGCACGGAAACGCTGTTTACCTTCCCGCCACAGTGGTACCTGTTTATCTACTTGCACTGGTGTGCTTTCGGACTGGTAGGTTGGCAGGAGCTGGGACGGAGCAATGGGAGCTCACTCCATCGCGGGGATTCGACCCGCCGACCTTCTGATCGGCAAGCCCAAGAGGCCCGGTGGTCTAGACCACAACGCCACCCAAATGGGTGCACACAGCTACAGTTGGGCCGCACATCAGTCCTCTTTTTTCCTTTCTTTGCTGGAACTCATCGAAACTCAGTTCTGGCACCCCTCAGGTGGGCACCATTGCCATTCCATCAGAACAAGGGAGGCCTTTGTGGTGAGTTCCAGCACCTCTTTTTTCCTAGGAAAAAACAGCACCGGTTCTTTTTAACACAGCTATTTTGTGCAAGAGCCGTTCTGTGCAAACGAGCTCCCATAAAATAAACAAAGAAACAAAAAAATGTGAACGTGGTTGGGAAGAGGCAGGCGGCGTCCTTTCCTTAGGGCCGATGGAAGCATAACAAAGTAGGGAGTGGTGACAGATGGCAGCACATGAAAAGCAAAACAAAGATACAACCCACAGACAATGTGCTTCAGTGTGTTCACAGTTGAGTAACACACAGTTTTATATTGGAATTTCTTCTTTTATGGGATTGCTTGGGAAAATCTAAATTTAGCTGGGGGAGGGGGGTGCAGGTTGCCACTTGGATGAAAGGGATTTCCCCCCTAGGAAAAAGTAGAGACATAATCACCTTTAAATTCACATAAACTGATCGGCAAGCCCAGATAAAAGTTAAAGCTGCTCATATGCCCAGTTCAGTAAGTGTGCATGCACATGAAAGTTCATACCAATAACAAACTTGGTATGGGATGCAGGTAGTGCTGTGGGTTAAACCACAGAGCCTAGGGCTTGCCAATCAGAAGGTCGGCGATTCGAATCCCCGCGACAGGGTGAGCTCCCGTTGCTCGGTCCCTGCTCCTGCCAACCTAGCAGTTCGAAAGCATGTCAAAGTGCAAGTAGATAAATAAGTGCAGCTCCGGCGGGAAGGTAAACAGCGTTTCCGTGCGCTGCTCTGGTTTGCCAGAAGCGGCTTAGTCATGCTGGCCACATGACCCGGAAGCTGTATGCCAGCTCCCTCGGCCAGTAAAGTGAGATGAGCGCCGCAACCCCAGAGTCGGCCACGACTGGACCTAATGGTCAGCGGTCCCTTTACCTTTTTAAGGTGCTACTGGAAGGAATTTTTTTATTTTGTAGCAAAAGGTTACTCATGTTCCCCCAAAATGTAATCACAAAGCCCAGGGAAGCTCCTCTTCTACCTGTCATCTACTGATTTGGCAGACACGCTGACATATGCTAAAACATTATTTTCAGCCATTCAGCTTTAGTAAATGAACACCACCATGGCTTTTAGGAATGTAAAAACCTGCTGAAAACAGGTACTAGACCATACCTTTTTGTGACGTTTGTAGTCCCAGGGTGAAACAAGGCTTTGTGTGAACCGAGACAGCAGGTTCTCACAGCTTTAAGATCAATCTGCAGATGTCATTTTCATATCTTTTCAAAAAGCAGCCGCATGAACAGCGGTGTATTGGAAACTTGTGAATGGAAGCCTTAATGAAATGAATGTGAGTGACCCCAGGAGACACTGCAAGTGGATCAAGCCTATTATTTTATTTGTTCGGCAGAATAGAGAAGAAGGTGAAATGTTTTTACAGATGCGCAGAGTTACATTCCAGCACAGTATACTGCAGAGTTGAGATTTTGAGCCTCTGAACTACACATCTTCCAGGAAAAGCCCATTAAGGGGATTGAACTTGGCAGTACAAATGTTAGTTGGACAACAAAAATGAGTATATAAATATTCTTGGACAAATAGCATTAGCGTTTCGTAATGCAGGCCAGTGGCCAAAGTGGATATTCTAATGGCAACTGCAACTTGGAAATATGTACAGTGTAGAACAGTGCCGGTAGCTGTTACCTGATGCTTTATCAATGGGTATTTTGGAACCACTTTGGGCTGATTTGCACACAGGTTCAGATGGTTAAGATTGAGGAAGGGAAACATTTGGCCCTCCAGATGTTGTGAAATCACAACTCCAATCAGCTTTGACTATTGGCCAAGCCGGCTGGAGCTGATGGAAATTGTGGTTCAGGAACATCGGGGGGGGGGGTCAAAGATTTTCCCATTATAGAATCTAGTCCAACCCCCTGCAATGCAGGAAATTCAGCTAAAGCATCCATGACAGATGGCCATCCAATCTCTGCTTCAAACCCCTCAAGGAAGGAGATCCCAAGTTAAGAAGTTTAATAGTTGAATAAATGCTGTCAGACTGTGGCTTCGAATTGTTTGGGCACATCTACATAACAAATAAAGGGATGCGGGTGGCGCTGTGGGTTAAACCACAGAACCTAGAGCTTGCCGATCAGAAGGTCGGCGGTTCGAATCCCCACGACGGGGTGAGCTCCCGTTGCTCGGTCCCAGCTCCTGCCCACCTAGCAGTTCGAAAGCACGTCAAAGTGAAAGTAGATAAATAGGTACCACTCCAGCGGGAAGGTAAACGCCGTTTCCGTGCCCTGCTCTGGTTCGCCAGAAGTGGCTTAGTCATGCTGGCCACTGTATGCTGTACGCCGGCTCCCTTGGCCAATAAAGCAAGATGAGCGCCGCAACCCCAGTCGGCCACGACTGGACCTAATGGTCAGGGGTCCCTTTACCTTTAATTTCCCTTTGGTTGCACCAAGTTTGTGAGGAGGTTAGGCATTTTCATTCCAAATGCACATTTCTAAATGCAGTTTGATATGTTTACAGAGCAGAGGACTGCACCAGAACATTTTAGGAAATATGAAAACTAGTGAATATCTAAGTTCAATGTCTGTATTTTAGTCCGAGAGGTATGGATCAAGTCACAGTTCCTACTGAAATCTGCAGAGATCTGAGTTCCTCATGCATGTCCAGCCATAACCCTACTAGGTCAACCTGCTGCACAAAAATGGTGCGTCTGCATTACAAAATTCAAATCAATGTGAAAATCTACTGAATTGTCACAGCGTCAACAAATTAAGGAACTGTGGAAGCTGCAGTTCTAAGCAGGAAGCTAGGGATCAGCAAGCAGTCACCCTTAGGGTTTCACTGAACAAAATCACATTGTTCCAACATTTAAACCTGGCTCCTAACAGTTTACATTTGTTATGTAAAGGTAAAGGCACCCCTGACCATTAGGTCCAGTCATGGCCGACTCTGGGGTTGCGGCGCTCATCTCGCTTTATTGGCCGAGGGAGCCAGCGTACAGCTTCCGGGTCATGTGGCCAGCATGACTAAGCCGCTTCTGGCGAACCAGAGCAGCACACGGAAAGGCCGTTTACCTTCCCGCTGGAGCGGTACCTATTTATCTACTTTCACTTTGACGTGCTTTTGAACTGCTAGGTGGGCAGGTGCAGGGACTGAGCAACGGGAGCTCACCCCGTTGCGGGGATTCGAACCGCCGACATTCTGATCGGCAAGTCCTAGAATCTGTGGTTTTACCCACAGCGCCAATTAGTGCTCAATAAAAAGGTCATCTGGAAGTGACATTGTAGTATATCTTAATAGGTATATCATTTAAATTTTGATATTATGCCAATAAAGGCTGAATGAATGAATGAATGAATGAATGAATGACGGTGTTGCTTGGAAATTTCCCCTCGCCCTTGCATCTCCCCTGAATAATCTGATTTAGAAGATGTGGGGACCTTTCAGAACAGCAATGGAGGTGGTAAGTGGAGGAATGAAGGGGGAGGGGGAACTGCTAAATATTTCCATGATCCCCATTTCATTGGTGGGAGACTCATTTTGCCATCAGTTTGGGGATCCCAGCTGGATACACCCGTTTGGTTACAATAACCCAATACTGATGAGTTGAAGGAGTGGTGTATTCCACATAGTGAAATCCTAGGCATGTTTATGCAGAAATAAGTTCCAGGTTACTCATTGTGGCCTGTGTGCACCCACAGTATCACAGAAATGGTGGTGGTTTTTTTCCTTGTTTTTTTTCCCCTCCAGGCCCCTCTTCTTAGGGGATCCTAATATTGAGGTTTTGGATGAAGGCCAGATCCTGCACATTAAGAGTGCTCGGAGAATAGACAAAGGGCGCTATCAGTGCAGTGCAGCCAATTCTGCTGGCAAACAGTTTAAGGAACTCAAACTCACAATCCACGGTAAGTAACTTACATATGCATGATCTTAGCAAATCTTTTCTGTTTGTTTTGGTAAGGAAAACAGTGGAAGCGCTTGATAATCCTGGCTAACACACACACACACACACACACACACACACACACACACACACACACCTCAGTGCAAATGCATTTTAGTTTATATCATTTATTCCCAGGCATATAGCGCAATATCCCAACTGCAACAGAGAGAATTAACAAATTTAAAGTTTTCTTATTCGTTGCTCCCAAGATTAAAAAAAAACCTGCCCCCTCTCCAGCTTTTGAACCAGCAGAAAGCCCTTATTCTTTATTGGGCATTTGCTTTGAGATGCTTCATAGAAAGTCGTTCGTAAATGAAACAAGCAGACAACATATGTTTTAAAAAAAGTTGTTAAAAGTGCCTGAAGACTGCCGGATTGGTAAGGTGATTTTTTTGCTGAACCCGTTTATCTCGGAAGGAGTTGATGGGGGATCTTTGTCAGGAAAGCTTGACCTCACTTCTTAGTTAATTTCAGCGTAAGTAGAGAATTTGCAGACATTCTCCAGGGCATAGATTGTGAGCAGAACCGAAGGAACGAAGGAAGGCTGGCAGAAAAAAACGTAGCAGAGATTTATGTGGGGGTTGTAATTATTGTCTAGCCCTGACAGAAGCCAGGCAAAACAACTTGAATCTCATGTAATAATTGAGACAGGAAACTTGTGATAGACTGCCAGAATGCTTTAAGAGGAGGTCATTAGCGATCTTGCACATCAAGGCTGCATTGGAGTGCAGAGAGAACAAAAACAGACAGGAGACCGAAAAGGAGGGGAAAAAAGGGAATAATCTGTGTGGGGGCAGTCTGTGCAATGCAAACTGACCACATGTTCTGGGCCTTCAAAATAGAACAGGGCAGACGATGTAGGTTTGAATGGGACAGTATATCCAATTACCTTTCCTAGACTCTTTGACCCCAACTGCAGGCAGTCGTTCAGAGGGTGGGTGTGAGACCTAGACAAGAAATGATAATATTTAATCAGTTGTTTACTTGTCTGCCTTAGTAAGTGAAAAAGAGAGGCAATCTGAAATCACCTCTTCCACTGGATTTGTTTCATTTCTGTTTAAATGGAAGGGACGTTTTTAACCCCCCTCTCCTTTGCCTTTGGCTCGGTAGTTGCTCCCACGTCTTCTGGGTACATGTAAAATGTCTGCCTACATGGTTCAATCTGAGGGTATGTTTTTGATGCAATAATCCAGCTCCCAAGGGGCTGAGCACAAAAGGATAAACATTGACAGAGGCTTTTTACGTGGTCTCAAACCAACATGGCAGTGATGACAAAACCAGCTAACAGATACACGCTAAGGGAGGGTCAGAGTCCTCTAAGCTGCCTTTAACTTTTTAACTCTATCTTATGCCGCAAGTTACAGTGAACAGGTTTTTTAAAACATTAAAAAGGTTGTGGTCCTAATGCTGTTGTTCACTCTATGGGCAGTCAAGACTTGGTATTCATGTTGTAGCCCAGGCATAGGCAAACTCGGCCCTGCAGGTGTTTTGGGACTACAACTCCCATCATCATCCCTAGCTAACAGGACCAGTGGTCAGGGATGATGGGATATGGGGCTGGTTCTACTAGAGGTTACCGCCCACACACTTCTCCTGTGCAGAGCCAGTGTGGTGTAGTGGTTAAGAGCGGTAGATTCGTAATCTGGGGAACCGGGTTCGCGTCTCCGCTCCTCCACATGCAGCTGCTGGGTGACCTTGGGCCAGTCATACTTCTCTGAAGTCTCTCAGCCCCACTCACCTCACAGAGTGTTTGTTGTGGGGGAGGAAGGGAAAGGAGAATGTTAGCCGCTTTGAGACTCCTTCGGGTAGTGATAAAGTGGGATATCAAATCCAAACTCTTCTCCTTCTTCTTCTTCCTGCTTGTGTGGTGGCACCTCGGTAAAACCACTTCTTCCTGGTTGTAGCAGAGTTTTCCCCGGAGGCAGAGGACAAGAACAGGAGTCATACTCAAATTCACAGTCAAGAGCGTCTTTATTGCTTGACTGGTTGCACAAGCATTTCTGTTACTATGATATACAAGCCATTTACATTCCTTCTTTATCTCTCCAGCACGTTATAATCTCAGTCCAGTAATTAACAATCCTGACACAGCAAAAATCAGTATCAGCAGCACACGTTGTCTTACTTCCAAATTTGTCAGTGTGCGTGCTGACAGTGTGTGTGTGTGTGTGTGTGAGTGCTTTCCTTGTGCAGAAATTGCAGCCTGCAACTTCCTCCCTTTACAGTGGTGCCCCACAAGACGAATGCCTCGCAAGACGGAAAACCCGCTAGACGAAAGGGTTTTCCGTTTTGGAGGTGCTTCACAAAACGAATTTCCTATGGGCTTGCTTCGCAAGACGAAAATGTCTTGCGAGTTCCTGCAGGGTTTTTTTCCTCCCCCCCCCCTTTTTCCCAAGCCGCTAAGCTGTTTATCAGCTGATCCGCTAAGCCGCTTATCAGCTGATCCGCTAAGCCCGCTAAGCTGCTAATAGCGCTAATCCGCTAAGCTGCTAATGGGCTTGCTTCGCAAGACGAAAAAACCGCAAGACGAAGAGACTCGCGGAACGGATTCTTTTCGTCTTGCGAGGCACCACTGTATTTGCACCTCCAGCTGACACCAATCAAGCCTAGAGTGCCACACCTGCACACTAAAGAAAATTCTGGAACCCTCTTTAAAGCTTCCAGGAACTTTTATCTGTTTCTTAAAGAATGTTTTCCTAACAGGTTCACATTAAAATGCAAACTGAGCCAAATTCCTTCCCCAATCCTGGATCTAGCGCAGTGCAGGGCTCCTATTTGCGTAGAAACTAAATCAATCCTGTCTGTCTGTGTTGATAACAGGCTCAGAGACCCCAGGACAGCCTTTCTCAACCTGTGGGTCCCCAGATGTTGTTGAACTACAACTCCCATCACCCCTAGCTAGCAAGTCCAGAGCTCAGGGATGATGGGAGTTGTAGTCCAATAACATCTGGGGACCCACAGGTTGAGAACCGCTGCCCCAGGATCTCCTTAGGTACGGATACTGGCATCAAAATGATGGACAGGTCAGATGAGCCTGTTTTGTAACAGGTGGGAAAATGTTTGCCTGAAGAGATCTTAGTCGGGAGGTCACCCGTCATTCACGCAACACCCCTGCCCCAGCAGTGTTTGTTTTATTAGGCCTTTCGCATCTTTAAAGTGCCATTTTGAATGATATCTTGGAACCTGGGGTGTTGGCAGGTTGCAATCAACCGACTTGTTTGGCAGCGCGGGGCTTACATTGGCAGGCAAACATTACCTCCACCAGCAGTCAAGCTACTCACTGAGGGTTTGGCTTGTGCGCGCAGTGGATGTCGCTCGCAGTGTCTCGCAGGAGCATCTGCAAATGATTAGTTTACATACATTGTTTTTGGCTAGGAATCCACATAAGCTGTTGCCTCCAGAGGACGGGGAATTATTCTGGGTTTCAAGGAATGCTGAAACCAGCGCAGTGTTGAAGTGTTACTTGTGGTTCTCAAAATATGAGTCGGGTCTCCTGAGGGAAGGCAGAAAGGGTGTCTAGGGTGAAACTTAAGGCTCTCCTTAGCCAATCTGAGCCCCATATTATTTTGCTTTTTTGATGTGCTGAGCTGACTTGACAATGGCTGGCTGAGTGTCAGTGAAGCAATCCGTTCATTTTATTATTGATTTACATGGATGTTTTTTCTTCAACTCCGGAACCCTCCTCTGTTTGAATTAGGCTGCAGGATCCACATGGTTCAGCAAGCTCCCTTTTCACCATTCTTTTACCCAGGGCGAAATAAAATGGAACGGTGCCTGTATGCCCAGGAAGGCATCTGTTGTGTTTGGGCAGATGGCTTCACCAGGATAATGTGCAAGAATCTCTGTCCTGAATGTGCATGCAGTCTCTTTAAAATATTTGGGATATGTTTTCTCCTGTTGTTTTTCTCTCACACACCCAAACATGGATCAAAGGGCCTTTGGGAAGGAATCTTGTAGGATATGACAGACATTAAAAAGGTAAAGGGACCCCTGACCATTAGGTCCAGTCGTGACCGACTCTGGGCTTGTGGCGCTCATCTTGCTTTATTGGCCGAGGGAGCCGGTGTACAGCTTCCGGGTCATGTGGCCAGCATGACTAAGCCACTTCTGGTGAACCAGAACAGCGCACAGAAACGCCCTTTACCTTCCTGCCAGAGTGGTACCTATTTATCTACTTGCACTTTGACGTGCTTTCGAACTGCTAGGTTGGGAGGAGCTGGGACCGAGGAACGGGAGCTCACCCCGTCGCGGGCATTTGAACCGCCGACCTTCTGATCGGCAAGTCCTAGGTTCTGTGGTTTAACCCACAGCGCCACCCGCGTCCCTTATGACAGACATTAGTGCTATGCAATAAAGAGAAACGCTCAACATGGGTTTGAAAGCAAATTCAAAGTTATTATACAGGTTGCTATCTAAACATCAAAGGCACCCCTGTTTATTGACTGTGAGATGCTTTAAGTACTTTGCAATAGTGGATTATATTTTGTAATAGTTAACAGTTTATATATTTTGAAGTCTATGCCATGCTTTAGTCTAAACTTTGTTTCAACACTTAACACAATGAGCAAATAAGAGTGTTCACAAACAGTGCATATCTGAGTTTATATTTTGAAGACGGTTCCAATTAGATTTTTCTTGTCTCTTGCTAGTTTATCCCATTAGGAGCCTGTTTAACCAACAAAAACTATTGTGGTAAATCTGTTCCCAGATGCTGCTGCTACAGATGGCGGGTGGAGGAAACTACATCACCCTGTTTTTTGTTTTGTTTTTGCTGTTGTGGGGTGGGGAAAACAATTTGTCCACTGAAAGCCCTTTAGAAACCAAGTCATAATTAAGCTCTGGCCTCCTTTGTGTTCTAAGACTCTTCCTCTTCTTTGCATCTTGATTTTTACTGTTTTTCTCCTCCTTTTCCTTCCCTGAAAACAGTCCCACCTGCAATCAAAGGCGGAAACATTACCACTGAAGTGTCAACGTTGCTGAACAGTGTGCTAAAGCTGGAATGCGAGACAAGAGGAATCCCAGCTCCTACCATAACGTGGTATAAAGATGGGCACCCTATTGCGTCGAGCCCAGAAGCTCTGTACCTGGACAGGGGGCAATTCCTTCAGATTCCTCGTGCGCAAGTTTCTGACTCTGCAAAGTACAGCTGCCAGGCAACCAACGTAGCTGGGACTGCTGAAAAAATATTCCTAGTGGATGTCTACGGTAGGAAGGAGACGAGAAAGAACAGACTTATTTGTTCAGCGTGCAGTCAGAAAACTGGAATTTGATCTGTCCAGCCGATCTGGGCCTCCCCTTGACTCTTCTTGGCTTGTTATTGACTGCTCTTAGGTTTTCAGTTGGTTGAGGGTTGAGCCAAATTGATATGGAAAGCTTTAGAGGGTGGCAGACTTATTTTAAGCATAATATGGGTGATAAGGAGAGGTGGGGGAGCTGGACCCTGTCCCATTCCCTGCCTGCACATCCCCTCTGAAACTTCTCCTCCTCGGTCAGTTTTCTCCCGGTGCAGATTACTTCTAGTCTCAAGGAACACCAGTGGGCTCCATCTCCTACCTCCTCTCCCATGTTGTGCTTTAGATGCACCCCTTTTTATAAAGGCAAACCCATAGAGGATAAGGATATCAGTGGCTGCTAGCCATCATGATGGCTTAATAATACAAATAAATAAATAAAACCCAGCCACTCTGGGCGGCTCCCAACAGAATATTAATAAACACCATCAAACATCAAACATTAAATACTTTCCTAAACAGGGTTGCCTTCAGATGTCTTCTAAAAGTCAGAGAGTTGTTTATTTCCTTGACATCGGATGGGAGGGCATTCCACAGGGCGGGCACCACTGCCGAGAAGGCCCTCTACCTGGTTCTCTGAAACCTTACTTCTTGCAGTGAGGGAACCACCAGAAGGCCCTCAGAGCCGGACCTCAGTGTCCGGGCTGAACGATGGGGGTGGAGACGCTCCTTCAGGGATACAGGTATATATTACCTCTGGTATCACAAAAGCAGTAGGTATCAGTTGCTGGGGAACACAAGTGGTGCTGTCCAGAGGTTCTGTTTATGGGGTTCTCTAACCCATCTGGTTGACCACCATGAGGGTGGGATGGTGTTTGAGGAAATAGGCCTCGGGTCCGACCCAGTGGGCTCTTAATGAGTTCTTATGTTTTAATGTGGCGACAACCCAGTTCTTACACATTATGGGTCCACCACAATGTTGAGACTGCCGATCAACAATCACTACCCCCAGGCATTATTCAGGGAAAAGTCACAAGTCGAGAAGCAGCTCAAAGTGATTCAGCTGTTGAGCTTTCTCACTGGAAATTACTTACTTTGCTTGTCATGAGGAAATCCAGCAACATATGACAGCTTTGAATTTTAAAAATGGCTTTCCCTACAAAAGCCAGTTTAACCAATGAGTGTCCTCACTTACCACATTTTTCACTCTATAAGACACACCTGACCATAAGACACACCTAGTTTTTAGAGGAGGAAAACAAGAAACAGTGGATGTATTATTTTTGTGCTTCACGCTGTGGCCACAGACATGATATGCGATTTGACGGTGAGTTTGGGGTAGCCCAATGCAAAAATCCTGAGGATCCATGTGGACCTGTGCTTTGTAACCACGTTTTTGCGCCATTGCCACGAAACAATGGATGTGTGTGTTTTTTGGTGCAGGCTGTAGCCATGGACATGCTATGTGCTCTGATGGTGAATTTGGGTGACCCAAAGCAAAAATCCTGAGGATCCATGTGCTTTTACCTCCCCCCTCCCAGGCAGCCTCCTTTATCTCTAGAGTCCCTTATCTCCCTCCCGATCCCTTGCCGATCAGCTGCTCAGCGGCTTTGTTTCAACACCCCCATCCCTCTTGTTTGCCTTAGTATCTTTTCCCTAGCTGGAACAATTTTTTGCTCCTCCTTTTTTTCTAATTTCTCTCCTCATTGCTTTAATCTTCCTGTCTCCTCTCCTTGCAAGTTCGCTGCCTTTACCTCCCTCCTCCCAGGCAGCCTCCTTTATCGCTAGAGTCCCTTATCTCCCCTCCTGATCGCTTGCTGATCAGCTGCTCAGCGGCTTTGTTTTAACACCCCCTTCCCTCTTTCTAAAAAAAAAAGCACAATCTGCTTTTTGCCTCTGGGCAATTCGGCTCCAGGGACCATGCATTTGCTCCATAAGACTCACAGACACTTCCCCTTACTTTTTAGGAGGAAAAAGGTGCGTCTTATGGAGCGAAAAATACAACGCTTTGTGGCATTAACCAGCCTGAAAACACCTCTTGTTAACCATGGTTTTGCCATACAAGATAATTCCTTGGAGGTTGAGTTACCTGGGATGGAACCAAACCAATTGATTTAATAGTGGCTTGGATTTTTGAGTGGTCACAGAAAATAATGGCTTGGATTTTTGAGTGGTCACCTCTTTCCTCTCCATTTCCTTCCAGTTCCTCCAGTTATTGAGGGCGACTCAGAAGCAATCCAGAACAAGCAGGTGGTTTCTGGCAGTTCCCTGGTGCTGGAGTGCAATGCTGCTGGCAACCCACCTCCCCTGTTGACTTGGCTGAAGGATGGGGTTCCCGTGAAAGCCAGCGACAACCTGCACATTGTGTCTGGTGGAAGGAAGCTGGAAATCATGAATGCTGGAGAGGCTGATGATGGCCAGTATGTCTGCGTGGCTACCAGCATCGCAGGAGAGAAGGAAATCAAATATGATGTGGAGATCCTAGGTGTGTAAAAACAGAAATTAAGCTTTTTATTTAACCTGCGCTGTCAAACAGGTATTTCCACAAGTTTCACTTACGTCAACCTTCCCCAACCTGCTGTTTTCCAGATGTTGGTGTCCAGCTCCCGTAAGCCTCAGCCAGTGTAGCAAATGGTCAGGGATAATGATAGTTGTGATCCAAAACATCTGGATGGCACCAGGATAGGACTGTTTTTTTTCCCTTTATGTGATTTATTATTATTACTATTATTTATTACTTATATCCCGCCCATCTGGCCAGGCCTCCCCAGCCACTCTGGGCAGCTCCCAACGGAATATTAAAAACACGATAAAACTTCCCTAAACAGGGCTGCCTTCAGATGTCATCTAAAAGTTGAATAGTTGTTTATTTGCTTGACATCTGATGGGAGGGCGGCGTTCCACAGGGCGGGTGCCACTACCAAGAAGGCCCTCTGCCTGATTCCCTTGTAACCTCACTTCTTGCAGTGAGGGAACCACCAGAAGGCCCTCAGAGCTGGACCTCAGTGTCCGGGCTGAACGATGGAGGTGGAGATGCTCCATCAGGTATACTGGGCCGAGGTTGTTTAGAGCTTTAAAGGTCAGCACCAACACTTTGAATTGTGCTTGGAAACGTACTGGAAGCCAATGTAGGTCTTTCAGGACTGGTGTTATATAGTATCTAGGGATGCAGGTGACGCTGTGGTCTAAACCACTGAGCCTCCTAAGCTTGCCGATCAAAAGGTCGGCGGTTCAAATCTTCACAATGGGGTGAGCTCCTGTTGCTCTGTCCCAGCTCCTGCCAACCTAGCAGTTCGAAAGCACGTCAGTGCAAGTAGATGAATAGGTACCGCTCTGGCAGGAAGGCAAATTGCCTTTCTGTGTGCTCTGGTTTCCGTCACGGTGTCCTGTTCTGCCAGAAGCAGTTTAGTCCTGCTGGCCACATGACCCAGAAAGCTGTCTGTGGACAAACACCGTCTCCCTCAGCCTGAAAGTAAGATGAGCGCCGTAACCCCATAGTCGCCTTTGGCTGGACTTAACCGTCCAGGGGTCCTTTACCTTTACCTATATAGTCTCTATATTAAATTTGTAATGGACTGTCCTCTCCATTTGTGTGACATATGGATTTTGTTGTTGATGGGGAACAATAGACAGTACTGGGAGATTTAGCAACTCCTCATTAACATGTTTCTTACCTTCATTTTACAATGTTTACCTTCATTTAACAATGGTTTCATTGTCTAAAGTTCAGTGGCATGTTTCATTACATCACTATGCACCACTTGCAATGTTTGGCATTGGTGGACTGATGCTGCTTGGAAAGTTGTGCTGATTTTTATGCTTCTGTGCTAGCAGTTCAACCTGTAAATAAATTGCTGCAAAAAGTATGAGCTCTAAACCATCTCTTGTCCAATGAAATTTTGAATTGTCCAAGAAAGGACGGACCATGAAATAGCATTTTAAATCATTTGCTTTTTAAAATTCTGACAGTAATTTTATTTGTGCCTCTGGGTTTGCTGTCTTTCCAGTGCCACCAAGTATGGAAGGGGAGAATGAATCTACAGATTATATTGTGATTCTCCACAGCTCCCTGGAGCTGGACTGCCCGGTAACAGGAACGCCTCCGCCGACCATCACGTAAGAAGCTGTTGTTCAATGCAAAAAGAGAGACAAAAGAACAGAAAAAGAAATCCACGACTTGTGTCAGATTTTGGTTGGAAGTGCAAAGAAAATGAAGTAGTTTAGCAAAGGTTAAAAAAGTTCTAGAAAAAGAAGTAGAAGAACTTTATTACCATATTTTTCGCTCCATAGGGCGCACCGGACTATAGGGCACACCTAGTTTTTAGGGGGAGAAATAAAGAATTTTTTTTATCCCCCCCCCCGAGCCCCAAAGAGCAAAGAAGCCAAGACAGCCAGTGGGATGGATCCCGCTCGCTGTCTTGGCTTTGTTTTTAGCTGCGGGGCTGGGGCGGGGGCAGCCCGAGCTTCCCCCGACCCCAGCCCCCAGAACAGGTCCGGGAGCTTGCGGGGCTGGGGACGCGCTCTGAAGGCTTGCGGATAGCTGCCTGAAGTCTGGGGAGTGCAGCAGGAGTTGGCGCTACGCTCCCCTGGCTTCAGGCTGCAGGCTGCTATCCGCAAGCCTTCACAGTGCAGGGGGAGCGCACCCTCTGCGCTTCGAAGGCTTCCCGTTTCTATCGCTGAAGCCAAAGAGCCTGCATTCGCTCCATAGGATGCGCACACATTTCCCCTTCATTTTTGGAGGGGGAAAAGTGCATCCTATAGAGCGAAAAATATGATTACTCATTTTGCACACAACTGGGCTGGCTAAGATAAATCTATCCATCCATAATTTCAGGAGTCAAGTTGCAGATCCTTAGACTCCTAAAACCTCAGATTATCCAGGATGCCATGTTTTCTGTAGTTGCTCTGTTGTTTCTTTGGCCTGCCAGGACATTTTTCTAGCTTTTGTGAAGCTGGAGAATATCTTGGGCACCTCTGCTTTTTAAAAAGTTTGATCTTTCATTCCTGGTTCCCACGCCCCGTCATTTTTTTCATGGCCTAGAAAGCAAACAGCCGAAAGAGAGATTAGGGTTAACATGCAGAAAGAAAAGAAAACAAAGCCTTATTGTTGTTGTTGTTTAGTCGTTTAGTCGTGTCCGACTCTTCGTGACCCCATGGACCAGAGCACACCAGGCACTCCTGTCTTCCACTGCCTCCCGCAGTTTGGTCAAACTCATGCTGGTAGCTTCGAGAACACTGTCCAGCCATCTCGTCCTCTGTCATCCCCTTCTCCTTGTGCCCTCCATCTTTCCCAACATCAGGGTCTTTTCCAGGGAGTCTTCTCATGAGGTGGCCAAAGTCTTGGAGCCTCAGCTTCAGGATCTGTCCTTCCAGTGAGCACTCAGGGCTGATTTCCTTGAATGAATAGGCTTGATCTTCTTGCAGTCCATGCATAGGCGCCGACTCCATGGGGCTTGAGGGGGCCCGAGCCCCCTCAAAAATTCGTTTGGGGGGGCTCCGCCCCCCCAATAATCTCCGGCGCCCCTCCAGCAGAGCGCCATCGCCGCCCCTCCCCCAGCCCAAAATGCACAGGGAGGGGCGGGCTGCATGCCTCCTGCCCTCCCTCCCGAGCAAAAGCTCCACCCAAGTTCCTTTGGAGCTGATTAATAGGCGCAGCACGCTCTCCCCTATTCGCTCACGAGGAGGCGGCGCCACTTTATTTGCATATTCATGAGCTTATTTATTATTCATGAGCTTTCCCGGGCCCCCCCCAATATTTTTTATAAGTCCGCGTCCCTGAGTCCATGGGACTTTCAAGAGTCTCCTCCAGCACCATAATTCAAAAGCATCAATTCTTCGGCAATCAGCCTTCTTGATGGTCCAGCTCTCACTTCCATACATCACTACTGGGAAAACCATAGCTTTTACTATACGGACCTTTGTTGGCAAGGTGATGTCTCTGGATTATTTGCTAATCCAAAGCATTGTTTTGTCTATAACCATGAGGCAGAGGTCCGTGGAGTCTTTGGTCAGGTAACAGTTACTTATGGAATGTTTTAGGGACCATTGGGAATGGCTCTTTGGGCACGAATGTCATAGAATCATAGAATGGTAGAGTTGGAAAGGACCACAAGGATCATTTAGTCCTTATGTTCTACCGATGTGGTTCACATTGAACCTTCAGAATACAATGGGTATCATTCATTCCCAAGATTCCAGTGTCCATTCACTGTTTTCTTCCCTTCCATTGTTTACCTTCCTACAAGAATCCACTTTCCTTCTTTTTCTCTCTTCCTGGTTTCCCATGAATGTAACGGTTTCCCATGCTTTACCTTGTGTTAGCACAAGGAAGAGAAGCTAGTAGATGTGCGCATCAAGATCAAACCCGTACTATGGATGGCCATATATACATTTAGAAACGGAGAGCATTCTCTCTAGATTCAGGGTATTTGAGGTCAGTGGCCAAGATGGAAGCTGGTGAACTTGGAAAATCTGGAACCCAGAGCTTGGAGTTCACTGGGCAAGTCAGAGAGTAGACTCCTTCCACTTCTACAGGCTTGGTCAATGCAGAAATTCTTCACAGAACTGTAGCCCAATGGTTGCCATTAATTTGATTTGAACTGATTTTATAATGAATTGATTTTAGAATGCTGTATTACTTTACTGTTGTTAGCCGCTCTGAGCCCGGCTTCGGCTGGGGAGGGCGGGATATAAATTTGTTGTTGTTGTTTAGTTGTTTAGTCGTGTCCGACTCTTCATGACCCCATGGACCAGAGCACACCAGGCACTCCTGTCTTCCAATGCCTCCTGCAGTTTGGTCAAACTCATGCTGGTAGCTTCGAGAACAGTCCAACCATCTTGTCCTCTGTCGCCCCCTTCTCCTTGTGCCCTCAATCTTTCCCAACATCAGGGTCTTTTAAAGGGAGCCTTCTCTTCTCATGAGGTGGCCAAAGTATTGGAGCCTCAGCTTCACGATCTGTCCTTTCAGCGAGCACTCAGGGATATAAATAAATTATTATTATTATTATTATTATTATTATTATTATTATTATTTATTTGCTAGTCTCAAAGATGGAGGTAGAATGCCCATACAGTGGTACCTCGGGTTACATATGCTTCAGGTTACATACGCTTCAGGTTACACACTCCGCTAACGCAGAAATAGTGCTTCAGGTTAAGAACTTTGCTTCAGGATAAGAACAGAAATAGTGCTCTGGCGGCGCAGCAGCAGCAGGAGGCCCCATTAGCTAAAGTGGTGCTTCAGGTTAAGAACAGTTAAGTACGGACCTCCGGAACGAATTAAGTACTTAACCCGAGGTACCACTGTACGCGGGTGGCGCTGTGGGTAAAACCTCAGCGCCTAGGACTTGCCGATCACATGGTCGGTGGTTCGAATCCCCGCGGCGGGGTGCGCTCCTGCCGTTCGGTCCCAGCGCCTGCCAACCTAGCAGTTCGAAAGCACCCCCGGGTGCAAGTAGATAAATAGGGACCACTTACCAGCGGGAAGGTAAATGGTGTTCCGTGTGCTGCGCTGGCTCGCCAGAGCAGCGATATCACGCTGGCCACGTGACCCGGAAGTGTCTGCGGACAGCGCTGGCCCCCGGCCTCTTGAGTGAGATGAGCGCACAACCCTAGAGTCTGTCAAGACTGGCCCGTATGGGCAGGGGTACCTTTACCGTTACCTTTACCACTGTATTCTCTTAGGCAGCTGGAGGCTTGGGAGACCTGAACAGACACAATCCACAGTAGTTCGCTGGGCGAAGTGTCAGACTCTGAATGAAGCTCAGCCTCCGTAGCCTGTGTTAGTTTGTGAATACTTTCGCAGGTATCTTACGATCCCCTAGCTTATACAAATGAGACCTGCTTTTTAATCCACCAGGTGGTTGAAAAATGGCCAGCCTATCGAAGGGGGAATCGGATATAAGATCTTACTAAACGGACGCAAGCTTCTCATCTCGCGGACCGAAGTCTCGGATACTGGCCATTACCAGTGCGTAGCAACAAACAAGGCAGGCGAAAACAAGAAGGAATTTGATGTGACGGTGCATGGTGCGTTGTTTCTCCAGGAAAGAAAATTGGATGTGGGTGTGGGGGAGAGGGAATGTCTCTGAATATATTTCCTTTTCAAACAGCCTTAAATGGGTTGCGGTTTCACTCAATGTATAGCACCAGAATTTCAGGATTCTAAATTGCCTTATGCTGATCACAAAAGAAGTACAGTGGTACCTCAGGTTACACACGCTTCAGGTTACACACTCCGCTAACCCAGAAATAGTTCTTCAGGTTAAGAACTTTGCTTCAGGATAAGAACAGAAATCGGGCTCCGGCAGCGCGGCAGCAGCAGGAGTCCCCATTAGCTAAGTGGTGCTTCAGGTTAAGAACAGTTTCAGGTTAAGAACAGACCTCCGGAACGAATTAAATACTTAACCTGAGGTACCACTGTAAGGGGAAGGCATTCCCTTTTGTAGCAGTCTTTGTTTACCTGTCTTGTTCCAAGTCTTGCTCTAGATCTTATGGACTGGGATGGTGAGAATCAACACATTGCTGCCTTTTTAGCAGGGGAATTAAATAACCAGTTGCCATGTTCAGTGGTAGCTGAATGTTTTAACATATTGTAAGAATTTGAAAGAGATCCTTTCCTACGGTCTTGATAACTGTATGCAGGTTTATAGCAGCTGGATTGTGTTGCATAACACTCTGTGTTGATTTTTTTGTAGTTCCTCCAACAATAAAATCGACTGGGCTCCCTGAGAGATCTGTAGTGATACACAAACCAGTAACCTTGCAGTGCATTGCCAATGGCATACCCATCCCTTCAATCACTTGGTTGAAAGACAGTCGGCCTGTAAATACAGCGAGAGCAAATATCCGGGTACGTATCACGATTTCAGTAATCCACAGCATTAAATGATTGCCACACCAGTTTCCAGGGGAACACAGGCACCCAGCGGGCAAGGTGGTTGCACATAATTTTGTTGGTGCAGGAACGTATAAACATTAGAGTTGCACAATCATCGTTCAGCCCGGACACTGAGGTCCAGCTCCGAGGGCCTTCTGGTGGTTCCCTCACTGTGAGAAGCGAAGTTACAGGGAACCAGACAGAGGGCCTTCTCAGTAGTGGCACCCACCCTGTGGAACGCCCTCCCTTCAGGTGTCAAGGAAATAGGCAGCTATCTTATTTTTAAAAGACATCTGAAGGCAGCCCTGTTTAGGGAAGTTTTTAATATTTAATGCTGTATTGTTTTTAACACTCGATTGGGAGCCGCCCAGAGTGGCTGGGGAAACTCAGCCAGATGGGCGGGGTATAAATAAGAAATTATTATTATTATTATTATTATTATTATTATTATTATTATTATTATTATATTATTATTATTATTGGGATTCTGCAGCAGAATGGTGCAGGGGATGGGGGATATTGTTCTGATATTGTGCTACTTTATTAGCCCAAGTGTTTTAGACTCTTCAGATTCACAGTTTCCTACTTGCCCTCCCACCTCCTGGCCTTTCCAGGGGCTTAAAAATAGAACATCATTAACAGTAGCAGCCCACATGGTGGGGCAGATCCATGGAGCCATCGGCCCATCACCAGGGTTACTGCCTGGGCAGAGACAGGGCAAAGCAACAGCAGGTTCACGGGACTTCACAGACGCACTAACAGGAATGCCAGGTTGGCCAGAAGTGTTTCTGTGCAGCTCTGAACTTGCCAAGGTAGCAGGAACCCCATTGACAAGAGAGCGACTCAAGAAAAGTCCCTACCGGAAAAGAATGGCAGATGAAGTTGATGGACTGTGCTGAAATGGCTAAAATGACCGGAAGAGTCAGAAATCAGGAAGGCCAAAATTTTAACAAGGAATGGGGGGAATTTATAACCTACCTTAAAGACCATTGTAAACAGTTAAAATCGTTAGTAGGGTTGGAATAACGTTTGTAGTTTAATGGTGAATTTTGGACACAATGGAGAGGTAAAATATTTGGATTATCATAAAAGATGGAGGAGTAAATGAGTAATAAATAGGACCCATAAATGGGAGGATGGAAGTCCAGGAGATTCCTTGGAATCTTGTTTTTATGATTTATGTTTGATATATCTCCGCAAAATTTTAATTTGAAAAACCAAATACAGTGGTACCTCGCAAGACGAATGCCTCGCAAGACGAAAAACTCACAAGACGAAAGGGTTTTTGGTTTTTTGAGTTGCTTCGCAAGACGAATTTCCCTATGGTCTTGCTTCGCAAGACAAAAACGTCTTGCAAGTTTGTTTTCAATGCATTCCTATGGGAAACCGTGCTTCGTAAGACGAAAAATTCGCAAGAAGAAAAAACTCGCAGAACGAATTAATTTCGTCTTGCGAGGCACCACTGCAAATAGATTTTGTAATTAGCAAGAGAGTTTCTCTGTTGTGCCACACACACTGCTACTGCTCATTGCTATAATTTAAACGTAAAACCTGCTTCCCTGTGTACCTTAGTTCTGTTTAATATGCCAATAGCTTAAAACTCCCAGGCTTTTTTTCTAGGTCAATTGAAATGAAGGGAGGGGAAGCAGACCTCTACAGTGGATAAGAAGAAGAAAGAATCACAAGTGGAATATTGTCTTTGATAATCCTCATAATGGGACACAGGTGGCGCTTTGGGTTAAACCACAGAGCCTAGGACTTGCCGATCAGAAGGTCTGCAGTTCGAATCCCCGTGATGGGGTGAGCTCCCGTTGCTCGGTCCCTGCTCCTGCCAACCTAGCAGTTTGAAAGCACATCAAAGTGCAAGTAGATAAATAGGTACCGCTCCAATGGGAAGGTATATGGCGTATATGTGTGCTGCTCTGGTTCTCCAGAAGTGGCTTAGTCATGCTGGCCACGTGACCTGGAAGCTGTATGCCGGCTCCCTCCGCCAGTAAAGCGAGATGAGCACCGCAACCCCAGAGTCGGTCACGGCTGGACCTAATGTTCCAGGGTCCCTTTAAAGGTAAAGGTACCCCTGCCCGTACGAGCCAGTTGTGACCGACTCTGGGCTTGCACGCTCATCTTGCTCTATAGGCCGGGAGCCGGCGCTGTCCGAAGACACTTCCGGGTCACGTGGCCAGCATGACGAAGCTGCATCTGGCGAGCCAGTACCAGCGCAACACACAGAAACACCGTTTACCTTCCGGCTATAAAGTGGTCCCTATTTATCTACTTGCACTTAGGGGTGCTTTTGAACTGCTAGGTGAGCAGGAGCTGGGACTGAATGGCGGAAACTCACCTCGCCGCAGGGATTCGAACCACCGACCTTACGATCGGCAAGTCCTAGGCACTGAGGTTTTACCCACAGTGCCAGGGTCCCTTTACCTAATCCTCATAATGGGCCTAAGACCAAGCATGTTAATGAACTGCATTTATTCTTTATGCATGATTTATTCCAGCTGCTGAACTGGAATTTTAGCAGTAGGATTTTGGATTTTTAAAGCCAAAAATCCAGAAGTAAGCAACCTGAATGTAATTGTCATTTGGAAGGAGAGCTGATAATATGCATAGCCTGTTGGAAATCTCTGTGGATGCTTGTTTTTTCTTTTTCCGTTCTGGAACAGCTGGAGTCCTCCGGACGCATCCTGCAGATCGCCAGGGCTTTGATGGAAGATGCTGGCAGATACACCTGCGTGGCAACAAATGCAGCTGGCGAAGCCCAACAACATGTCCGACTGCATGTGTATGGTAATGGTTTTCCCGACATGGAATGTAGCCTATTGGTTATGCTAGGTCCACACATGCATGCTCCACATACATGCTCCTGCTCAGCTGTTGTTCTTTTACAAACGTTTTAGGTGTTTGTGATAGTATCTAGCAGCTCCCATCATTTTTACAACACGCCCTTTCCTTCTTGTTATCTTTGCAAGCGTTCGTTTTTCAGAGGAGTCCCCAGTATTGTGATTCGAGGACCCGTCCCCCGCTTGGGAATAATAAAAACACGTGGACACGGCATATTAGGTTAATGGGCAAGAAAAGGCCACAACTTTATTGATTACAGCATGTGAGAAGGTATTGGCTTAGGCATTGGACAACAGCAAATATTGACTCCACCCACTCGGAGAGGGGTGAGTCAGACGGGGGTTAACCACCAGTAGGGGGAGCCTGTTGATGCAAATACAACTGTAAGCTGTCCCCTGATGTCACCGGGGGTCATGCCATGGCCCCCCAGCCACAGAGGGCATCGGACAGGATCCACGACCGCTGGATTCCTTTAATGGAGTACCCATAAGTGAAGGGGTAGGCAATGGCCACACCTTCCCCTTCCACACACCAACAACACATTCCAATGCCTAACCGCCAAATTCCAAGAAAGTTGTGATGATTGCTACGAGGTAGGCAAAAAAAACCAAGAGGCTGGTTCCAATTTGCCAGTTGGAAAAAACTCCTACCAGACCCCCTGGGCAACCAGGGCGACCAACCATAAGTCCATAGCAAGGTCAAGCGAACACCTATGCACTAAAGGGAGTGGTGGGTGGGTGACGCGAAGAAAATGGCAGCGGAATGGGGAGAAGAACTGCCGCGGCCGCATTTGAGCGGCTAAACCACGCCCCCCCCAGCGGCCACCTGATTGGGCGCCCTTCTGGGAGGCGTGGCGCGCCAGCGTCAATGGGAGGGCAGGGGCCGGAACGCCCCATGCATAGCACGGGAATCGGTTCCCGCTCACAATCCCTCCCCTCCAGAAGGAGGAGAGGCTTTGTGGAGGAAATAATTGGTCGCATGTGAGTCTGGTGTTTCGGGGCCAGCTTTTATGAGAAGATTTCTGCACACAGCATTGCGGCAAGGGAGTTTTACCCATCACCAGGGGTGACTTCCACGGATACCCTCAAATGGGGTGTCAGGGACCGGTAGGATGCTGATGAGTGTGCACTGGGGAAGGCAGGCTGGGGACTAACTCAGGAGAGGGGTCTGTGATTTGTAGGGAACTGTAACATCCAGGAAACAAGAGTCGGAGGCAGTGGAAGCTTCAGAGTTGGAGGGTGGAGCACAGAATGGGTTGGAAGAAGAGGAGGCAGGTCAGGCAAGTGAAGGGACAGCTGCTTCCCCATCTTCTCCTGCATCACTGTCTCCCAGAACCAGGAGGGGACTGAAAAGGGATGAGCAGAGGACGTTCCCATTGAGGCATAGTCTCCAGTCGCAAGTGCACAGTCCATTGGGGGAAGGTACATAAACTGGTGGTCTCCATAGAGCATGGACCTGATGCTAGGTTGGTGTGTGTAGCTATCAAGAGCTGTAGAAGCTACCGTAAGTGGTATCTTTAACAATAAACAAGTGGCATCTTTAACAAACAGTTAACTATCTGCTGTGTGCATTCCCTTGACATGGGAGTAGATGTGCTTAGGAATGGCAGAAGGGAATTATAAATACCAAATATCATTTCCATTCTCACATCAACTGCATTCCTTGACACGTGCTCCCTCTGTTTGTGTGGTGTGAGGTACAACAACACCTGAAACATCCCAGAGAAGAATTGAAAACCACTTAGGTATCTCCATGTTCTGGTTTAAGAAATATGTGTGCCTCTTCTACATGAGGTCCGGAGGGTGTCAGCACGAGAACGGGCCATCTCTGTAGTGCCTCCCCAACTGTGGAATGCTCTCCCCATGGAGGTTTGCCTGGAGCCTTCATTATATATGTGCGGGTGGCGCTGTGGGTAAAAGCCTCAGCGCCTAGGGCTTGCCGATCAAAAGGTCGGCGGTTCGAATCCCCGCGGCGGGATGCGCTCCCGTTGCTCGGTCCAGCGCCTGCCAACCTAGCAGTTTGAAAGCACCTCCGGGTGCAAGTAGATAAAATAGGGACCGCTTTCTAGCGGGAAGGTAAACGGCGTTTCCGTGTGCGGCTCTGCTCGCCAGAGCACGAAGTCACGCTGGCCCGTGACCCGGAAAGTGTCTTCCGGAGCAGCGCTGGCCCCCGGCCTCTGAGTGAGCTGGGCGCACAACCCCCAGAGTCCTGTCCAAGGACTGGCCCGTACGGGCAGGGGTACCTTTACCTTTACCCAGTGGCGTAGCGTGGGGGGTGCAGGGGGGCCAGCCCGCACCGGTGCAACATCTGGGTAGGGCAATCCAGAAGATCAAGGCCATTCACAGTATGGGGGGAAATATGTGCCCGGGTGCTGAAACACGCTACGCCACCTTTACCTTTAGTCAAGAACTAAGAAGAGAAGCCTCTGTTGAGGCTGAACAACCAAGTGCCAATTTTTCTTCCCAGAACCACCCAGTTTGAAGGATGCAGGAAAGATGATAAACGAGACTGTGGTTTTGAACAATCCAATACAGCTGGAGTGCAAAGCATCTGGAAATCCTTTGCCAGGTAGATACACACTCAGAAGTTATTGCTCGTAATTAAAAAATAATAATAATTGGGTGAGCGGGAGGAGAGTTGCCGTATTTCAGGATTCACCTTACCCTAAAGTAGCTCCATGAAACATAATGGGATTTCTCTTCCAGTAGATGTTTTGTGTAGCTCATGTGCTGCAAACCCATCTGTGTTGTCCTGGGTGGGATTCGACTAAGTTGTTGCAGGCACAAAACAAGGTCCATTTGTGCAACAAAGGCCCTTCCCCGCATCCTCTAAATCTGCTCTGCAGGACTGGGGAAACCCCAGAACAGTTTAAGGGTGGGGGTGGAACAGGGGGGAACCCCCTTTCACGAGTGGCCCTTGTATCCTGCATTCATACCCCTCTTAGCGCAATGTTGAATCCCATCAAGAGTTTGTTGCAGTAACATTTCTGGTACTGGTTTGGCTGAGTTGCCAGGCATGTATAGAATGTTCATGAACACTCCACGTGCTTGGAAAGCAAAGGGTTTGCCATTCAACGTTCCTCGGAAAATGGGCAGAAGTAGTTTTGCGAGGCAGCCGGAGGGCTGGGAAGGGTGCAGATATTGCTTGCTGCATTAAGTGTGCTGCATCGACTGAGGTGTTTCGGCTAGATTGTGCAGTCGGCTTCCCCTCAGAGCGTCCTCGTTGCTACGAATTGGGGATGGGTCTCGCTCATTATCCGGAGCATTCTTTTAAGGTTACTGTCTACTTCTCTGCGACAAAAAGAGCCTTCGGGGTGGATTTGCTGACTAACCACATGACATGCACAAGGCTACTTCTGACATTGCGAAATCGGATGCAGAGACTCCAGGAGTGAGGCTGAAGAAAGAAATTGGCTGCTTTTGAAGCGGCTCCCTTGATTGCCTTGGCAGAGGCGACATTCTAAACTCTTGGACTGGACTGCATTTGCCTTGGGGCTGGCTCTGCTTTTGCTGGCTCCTACTTCCTTTATCATTCCTTTTCACCCCGTAAATGTAGAAACAGATTTTCAGGATGAGCTTGTTTACATATGTATGTGTGTCGCTGGATCACTCAACACTTGTGAACTGGCCTTGGGCCCATCCAGACTGATGCTTTCTTGCGGGTACGTGCAGGCGCATGTCATTGACACATTAATAGTGCATTTGAAGTGGGTTTATACTGGATGGTCCACACGGCACCCTGTTTGTTGTGGGAAATTGCATCCACATTTTAATTCCACCCATTCCATTGTCAGTGCTCCTATTGTTTTTAAGTCCCTCACTTCTCTTTGAGCAAAACTTCATTGTGCTTTGATGCCATGCCACCATATTTTCATGTGTACATTTTTATGTTTAGTATCTAGAAAATTTCAGGTGCTTTATAACTGTCAAATAAAAAGTCCTAAGTAGTGTGGGCTGTTGTAGGGATGTTATTCCAAAGCATATTGTTATGGGGGTGGGGGATAAGCAAGTGACCAGTGAGGAGAACAATAACAGGCCACAGAGACTGCTTGAATATCCAACCTGATGGGCAGTTATTGGGCAGTATCCGTTCTCGAAGCTACCAGCATTAGCTTGACCAAACTGCGGGAGGCAGTGGAAGACAGGAGTGCCTGGCGTGCTCTGGTCCATGGGGTCACGAAGAGTCAGACACGACCAAGCAACTAAACAACAACAACAATCCCTCTAACACATCCTTTTAGCGCAAGTTTTTCCGCTGGGGTGCAACAGGACTTTCTCCCCTTTCTTTTGCCCCGCACCCTCTCCAAGTCTGTTCCAGAGGGTTGGAAGCAGCCCCTATAATAGATTTAGGGGGCATGGGGGGGGAGTTCCATTGCACAAGTAGAAATCCTAGTGTTGATGGGACCATGACTTACTGTTGCTTCGGATGTAGCACTGTGTTCTAATTAGGGCAGGGTTTTCAACACTGTGATGTATATCACCAGCTAAACATTCTGATAGGCCAGTATATTATGATGTCTGAAATAAGGATGGAGCTAGGTAGAGGCGTTGGCTGACTTCGCGATTTTTCCTGCATCGCGATTTTGGCCGGTGCCTGCTCTCGTAATTCTCGAGAGCTGAGTCAGCAGAGTTAACAGGAGCTGCAGGAATCGAGAGAAGTGTTGGCTGGCTTGACCAGTTTTCCAAAGTTGGGATTTTTACATAGCATGCAGTCACACGCACATTATTAAACCGATATCACAATATGGACTTCAAACCGGTCGATATATCGCCCAGCCCTAGTCCTAACGCTGAGCTTGTTTGCATTTCAAAAGTGAGAAGGAATTCCTTAATTTTCCCCCCACCCGCCCACTGCCTTTGCTTTTCCGCATTTGCCATCCGAGACGGAGGCACTCAAAGCCTCTGTTTTACTTTTGTGCATGAGTGGCATTTGAACATAACAGGTAGTTGCCTTCCCTCGCCCCTTCCAAGGAGCTTTTGAATTTTAGATAAATTCAGAGCAGCAAGTTCTAGACCCATCTCACCAGCCTCTTTTACTTAATTCCCTCTGCAGTCATCACGTGGTACAAAGATAACCACCCTCTCACCAACACTGCCAGCGTCAGCTTCTTGAACAGAGGGCAGGTTTTGCAGATTGATGGCGCCCACATCTCCGACACTGGCGTTTATAAATGCGTTGTGGCGAATGCAGCAGGAATAGCCGAGCTGTTCTACAGCCTCCAGGTTCACGGTAAATATTTCTTCTCATAAAAAAAGGACTGCTCGAGGGGAGAAACACCTCTCCGCATTTCATCTGTTCTTTTCATGTTTTATTTTGTGCACTTAATAGCTTCCAGGTACTCGTTAAAACCGTTTCCCAGGAGAAAACTCGGGGAAGATTTAGTCCAGAGCTCAGTTCTGTAGCACCGGCAAAACTTTAAAATGGGAGAACGCTCCGTTCTGAAGTGTTTCCTCGACAGGACTGTGCAGTGTAGTCGTGTCTGGAAGACAGATTTTAATGTTGCCTTTTCAGCAAACTGAAGTGTTTATTTCGTTGTTGCTAGTCTTGCACTTAAGTAGCCGTCAACCTTTTCAGACCCTTGAGACACCTTTAACCGCTTCCAACAGCAATTTTTTATTTTTTTTAAATTCCATTGTTTTCTTATAGTCTGGCCAAATCAGATGCAACTACAGAACACAGGTTTTTACTTGGGTGCAAAAAATTCATACAGATTTAAATGCACAAGCCAAGGTGTTCTTCCCTTTGTGTGCAAAGAGAGAAAATTTAAATTTATGTTCTCCTTGGTTTCCTTCCTTTGTGTGTCTGGGGAATACAAACCCTGGTTTGTCTTGGTAATTGTTCAGCCCCTTTACCCTTGTTATCAAGCCTCTTACTTTACCAAAAATGTATCACAGACGTACCTTGGAAGTCAACGGAATCTGTTCCGGAAGTCCGTTCAACTTTCAAAATGTTCGACTTCCAAGGCACAGCTTCCAATTGGCTGCAGGAGCATCCTGCAGCCAATCGGAAGCCGTGCCAGACATTTGGCTTCTGAAAATCATTCGAAAACCGGAACAATCACTTCCAGTTTTTGATCGTTCGGGAGCCGAAACATTCAAGTTTACAGGCATTTGGCTTCTGAGATTCCACTGTAATTTGCAGCACTTGTTATTTTATCATGCAAAAATATTGCACAATCATGAAAAAGCATTTATGACGAGGATGATTATTACCACTGCTACTACTAGACATGTCTGTCCTGTCCTCCAGTGCCCATGAATCAGGCTGGCATAGAATGCTTTTAATATCAGAAAATCATATTAATATCAGAAAATGAAAGCTTGGATTAAGGTTCAATAGCAGTGCAGCAGCAGAGGACGAGAATATGTGCCTATTAACATCATCAGACACTTATCAAGGCTAAAGACCTCCAGAGCAAAAAAAATGTCTTCACCTGTCAGCAAAAGCTAGGAAGAAAGTTTTTTCAAAATACAAAAAACCCCAAACTGATTAGCTGTCAATCAAACGAGTAATGCTTGTACAGTAATAATGACAACAATAATTTATTACTTATACTCCGCCCATTCAACTGGGTTGCCCCAGTCACTCTGGGCAGCTTCCAACTTAATATAAAAACACAGTAAGACATACTTTAAAAGCTTCCTGATACAGGGCTGCCTTCAGAAGTTGTCAGCTACTATGCTACTTCCTCAGGATTAGTGCTATATCATTATTGTTCTTGTTATTTCTTTGCTCCTAAAGCAACTAATGGAAAGTCACTCTTAAAAAAAGCCCCATTAGACAGCTATTTTTGCATATGTTTGATTGGTTGTTTGAGAGATGGGCTTGCAAGTGCATTGCTAAAATTTGGCATGCTGGCTTGTAGGAGTCAGATTCTGCCTCTGAGCTAAACAGAAACTGTGTTCAGTTGCTTTTAATATTAATTGATTTATAATGACTTGGGAGCAGCACATTTCCTTTTCAGCTGCTGTGGCCCAAGACACAGCCAACAGCCGTTAACTCCACCCAACTATTAATTGCAAGAAATGTTTGGCGCCAAAGATATTATATAGCAGTGGTGTCCAAACTTTTTTCAAAGAGGGCCAGATTTGATGAAGTGAAGGGCCATGAGCGCCGACCAAAGGGCTGACCAAAGTTGTTAACCTTTAACCTTTTCTTAGGATTGAAGTTGTTGAGCTTTTTTTAAGGGTTGAAGTTCTTTTTTTAGGAGTTTACCCCAGGAAATAAACTGCCACAGGAGCCGGATTAAACTGACCAGCAGGCCAGATTAGGTCCCGTAAACGGACTTTGGACATGCCTGTTATATACCATTCTGAGCCCAAACTTGGGGAGAGGGTGGGGAGACAGATGGAAAAAGGCTGAGGAACCACCAAAGTTTAATTCCATTCAGAAAACACAGACTCACACGCATCTGAATAGATGGGACTTTCGAATACTTAATTCTTTTTCTTCTTCCTCCTCTTGTCAGTTTCACCCTCCATTTCTGGCAACAACGAAATGGTAACTGTTGTGGTTAATAATCCGGTTCGACTGGAATGTGAAGCTCGTGGGATCCCTGTTCCCATTCTGACCTGGCTGAAAGATGGTAGCCCTGTCTCTAGTTTCTCAAATGGACTCCAGGTACTTTGATGCTACTCTTGAGGGTTCCAGGACTATTTAAACTAGCTTATTTAATGAAATCGGTGGCCTGAGCTTTTCGGTAGCAGTCAAGGGGCTTCCCCAAATCCCACCCTGAAAGTGCCCCTGTGATTACTGCTTAGCATGGTCTGTTTGTAGCGTTCTCCACTTTTCTGCACCTTCGTTTGCTGCACCAGAAATGAGTGCTCTGTGGAAAGCCACATTGCAGCCGATGAGAGGTGAATGGCTCAGGACCGCAATACCTCAAGGACCGCCTCTTTCCATATGAACCTACCCAGACCTTGAGATCATCATCTGAGGCCCTTCTTTGTGTGCCTCCTCCTTGAGAGGCCCAAAGGGTGGCAACACGAGAACGGGGCCTTCTCTGTAGTGGCTCCCCATCTGTGGAATGCTCTCCCCAAGGGAAGTTCACCTGACGCCTTCATTGCAACCTTTAGGCGCCAGGCAAAACATTCCCTTTTAACCAGGCCTTTGGTTGATAAGATTTACATCCTATACCCTCTTAAAATGTTTGTGTGGGTTTTTTTTGGAGGGGGGCTGTTGGGTTGTTTTTATTTTTATTACATATTTTGTGGTTTTATATCTTGATTTTATGCTGTGAACCGCCCTGAGACCCCCATGTATGGGGCGGAAAATAAATTCAAAATAATAATAATGGGAAATTGTTCCATGTTCCATGTTAAAGGTAAAGGGACTCCTGACCATTAGGTCCAGTCATGACTGACTCTGGGGTTGCGGCGCTCATCTCGCTTTATTGGCCGAGGGAGCCAGCGTACAGCTTCTGGGTCATGTGGCCAGCATGACTAAGCCGCTTCTGGCGAACCAGAGCAGCGCACGGAAATGCCATTTACCTTCCCGCTGGAGCGGTACCTATTTATCTACTTGTACTTTGACGTGCTTTCGAACTGCTAGGTTGGCAGGAGCAGGGACTGAGCAACGGGAGCTCACCCCATCACGGGGATTCGAACCGCCGACCTTCTGATCGGCAAGCCCTAGGCTCTGTGGTTTAACCCACAGTGCCACCTGCGTCCCTTTGCTTCCATGTTAGGGCTTGGTTAAAGCATGACAGAGTGTGACATATGCAAACCAGGCCAGCTCTCAGGGATTGCCATTTCAAGGAGTGTTTTGGACACAGCTGGGAATCCAGACTGGAGCACCTCCTTTTAACAGGATACCCATATTCCCACGGAGGGGCAGGTAGAGATTTACAACCTCCTCTGCAGCCATGCCTAGGTTATATCCGATGCCTTGCCTTCCAAAGTAGCGATGATTGCTATGAGGAAGGCGAAAACCTCCCAGGTTAGCCAATTTACCTGGCAGGTTACCCCATGTTACCCACGAAGGTCAGGTTACCCCATGTTACCCACGAAGCTGGTAGAAGCAAGCACAATGATAGGGAGGGTGGGAGCGAGATGCAAAAAAATAAAAAGGGTTTGCAGTGAGCCAGGTGCCTGTTTTTATCCTCTGAGTGGAGTCCTCTGTAGACCCAGTCAGGACTGCCCCCCAGAGTGAGCTCAACTTGGTCCAATCTACATGGTCCAATCTTGCAGGCAAGCTAACTCAATTTATCTAGCCGGAGGGAGAAGCCAGGAACATCTCCCTCCGGCAGGAAACTTCCCAATGCTTTGGCTGTTATGGCAGAGGGCAGGTCCTGACCGTTGCCCACTCTGGCTGGGATTGTTGGAACTTGGAAGTCCAATGCCTGGTTCAAAATACACCAGTTATGACACACATACCACATATGAGCCAAATATTTTTCTCCCTCTGCCATTCCTTAGTAGTGGAGACATGCTGGTGCCTGGGTCACTGTCATAGTAGGTTTCCAAACACCAGGAATGGAAGAAGATTACGTTCTCGCTTGTTGCAGCCAGCTAATGTGGTTCCATTCTTGTAATAATAACCAGGGGTGCGGGTGGCGCTGTGGGTTAAACCACAGAGCCTAGGATTTGCTGATCAGAAGGTTGGCGGTTCGGATCCCCGCGACGGGGTGAGCTCCCGTTGCTCGGTCCCTGCTCCTGTCAACCTAGCAGTTTGAAAGCACAAAGTGCAAGTAGATAAATAGGTACCGCTCCAGCGGGAAGGTAAATGGCATTTCCGTGTGCTGCTCTGGTTCGCCAGAAGCGGCTTGGTCATGCTGGCCACATGACCAGGAAGCTGTAAACCGGCTCCTTCAGCCAATAAAGCGAGATGAGCGCTGCAACCCCAGAGTCATCCACGACTGGACCTAATGGTCAGGGGTCCCTTTACCTTTACCTATGCTTGGGGGACATGATGGTGGAGCTCACAAGGTAGGTTTTTTTTGGGGGGGGAGTTTATGACCCCGTCACACTTCATTTTTCTTTATTTAGTGGGAAATAATGAGGAACATGAAGACACCTGATTTTGAATTGCAATCAGGATTGTAATTCAATATGAAGATAATCAAATCCCTTGGTTAGTCACTAAAAATGAATAAATTGATATTAATAAGTGCAAAGTAGTAAGACAGGAACAGATATAGTAGAGATCTGTGGATGTATTGTGGAGATAAAACCAAACAGGATAGGAAAATTGCATTGTGTGATTGATGCAACTTGATATTATGTTTGTCAATTACATGCCACAATTCATGTCACTTTTTGACAATGTTACCTCTCTTTTTTTTAGATTCTTTCTGGAGGTCGTATCCTGGCACTGACAAGCGCACAGATCAGTGACTCGGGAAGGTACACATGTGTTGCGGTTAACGCTGCAGGGGAGAAACAGAGGGATATTGATCTCAAAGTTCACGGTGAGGACTCCACTTTCCCAAACGTAAACACTGGAAGAACTGCCAGGGACTGAAACAACATATCTCTTGATGAATTAGAACAGGGATGCTCACTCTGGTGCCTATGGACAACACAGTGACCTCAGACACCTCTCATGGTGCCCACCAAAACCTTCTGCCACTCCCATTTTTTAATTTTAAAAACTAGGAGTGCTTGGCTTGCTGGGGAAGTTCCCTAGGTTTTTATGGGGTGCACTGTTTCATTCAGATACAGTGGTGCCCATAGAACAGACATTTATAAATACCGTATTTTTTGCTCTATAAGACTCACTTTTTCCCTCATAAAAAGTAAGGGGAAATGTGTGTGTGTCTTATGGAGCGAATGCAGGCTGCGCAGCTATCCCAGAAGCCAGAACAGCAAGAGGGATTGCTGCTTTCACTGCGAAGTGATCCCTCTTGCTCTTCTGGCTTCTGAAATTCAGAATATTTTTTTTCTTGTTTTCCTCCTCCAAAAACTAGGTGTGTCTTGTGGTCTGGTGCGTCTTATAGAGTGAAAAATACGGTATATTGTGGCAATTTGTTAGTCAACCATTCATGTGAGAAGCAGAGAGGAAGGACCAAAAATATTTTTCACCCGAGATGGAGAGGTTAGAGAAACAAATTGGGGGATGCGCAGGATTTGTCTACTTGGTCTTACGTAACGATTTTGATTACTGTTTAAAAGAAATAGCATTGTTGATCTACACCATTCTACAAAATGGAGCCACTTTAATCTTCTGTTTCTCGGTTAACTAAATATTTGTCTCTGGGAAAATGCTGCATGCTTTGAATGTACACCAGTCCTGTTGTCTCCTGTTTCCATCTTCCATTTGCTCACAGTTAAGGACACGCACGGTTAATTTCAAAAACTCGTGTTTCTGGATGAACAGTTCAAGGGCTATGCCACCAATTTACAGGATAGTTCAAAAAGAGGGAGCTAAGAGTGGCACGGACACTTTCTTTCTTTAACAAAAGAATAATAACTTCACACTAAATGGTTAATGAAATTTGCTCTCAGTTGATGAAAGAAACATCCAGATTTGCAATAAAGTCAAATTCATGATTAAGTAATAATAAGTAAAGTAACTGATTGTGGCACAATCAGGGTTCTAAATCATGTGTGTAACCTCCATGAGCCAATTTGGATATTAGCTGTTTTAGATTAATCATTAGAAACACCAGTGTTTGGGAGAATTTTTGGGGGGGTGAGGGAATCAAAATGGCCTACATTTAGAGGTTCTTTATCAGAGACTGAGAGTCAAGCTTTCAGAGTTCTAGCCAGTGCCACTCTCTTGGGGGCCCCAAAAAAATTTAAAGGAAAAAACAACTGGATGTACACTTCCAAAATATAAGATAAAAAACAAATAAAATAAAATGTACATACAACAACAGTGTTTCTAAATGGCTTTAGATACCTATTAGGTCTATAAACTATAAATTAGCATATATTCAACACAAAAAAAACAGTGACAATTTGTTGTTGAAAAAGGACAGCTGGACATATAAAGGGCCCCATTACCTTCAGTAGCTTAGGGCCTCATCAAACCTAAATCCAGCCCTGGTTCCTGCCTATCCTATGGTTCTATGACTAGGAATACCAGCTCGCTGTTTTGGGAGAGAGACTAGTTTCCTTTGCTACAGCAAAAAGAGATGACATTAATTCTTAACATGCTTCAGTTCCACCAAACATTATGGGAGAGGAACAGAATGTCTCTGTGGTTATGGGCGAAGATCTGGAGCTCCACTGCCAGAGCAATGCTATTCCCCCACCAACCTTAGAGTGGCTGAAGGATGGCCAGCCATTGTTGAAGAAACTGGGTCTCAGCATCACTGAAGGTGGAAGTGTATTGAAGGTAAGTTGAAAATAAAAAATGTTTTCCCCTCTCAAGTCTTTCATCCTTATGACCCCCGACACTAATGATACACAAGGCTCAACTGGCACTGTGATTCTTGACACAGAAGCTGTGGGCACATTTCCTTTTATTTGCGCTTGAAGCTGAGCACACGTGATGCTAGACACAATCCATAAGTATCCTGCAGTTTCTTGAGAAAGACTGCTGCTTTCCCTCAAACCAGTTCCCATCCAATTTGAAAATGAAAACTGCAGCTGAGCTGGGGTGTGTACGCTAGAAACCTCTGTTGCACGTGTGCAGTTGACAACATGGGCGCAAATGATAGATTCGTTGAATAGGCATTTAGGGGGTGGGGTTTGGGGCGTGGGAAAACAAATCAGGCAGTGCTTGTTGGGTGAAGACATCCTTGCCTCCACTCTGATATGTATGGCAATTGGAACATGGTGCAGAAAAATGATCTTGCTGTGTTTTAAGCAACTAATGTATAAATAGAGTAAAGGTACCTCCAGACTGACGGGACGCGGGTGGTGCTGTGGGTTAAACCACAGAGCCTAGGACTTGCCAATCAGAAGGTCGGCGGTTTGAATCCCCGCGATGGGATGAGCTCCCGTTGCTCGGTCCCTGCTCCTGCCAACCTAGCAGTTCGAAAACACGTCAAAGTGCAAGTAGATAAATAGGTACCACTCCGGCAGGAAGGTAAACGGCGTTTCCGTGCGCTGCTCTGGTTCGCCAGAAGCGGCTTTGTCATGCTGGCCACATGACCTGGAAGCTGTCTTCGGACAAACGCCGGCTCCCTCGGCCTATAGAGTGAGATGAGCGCACATTCTCAGAGTCGGTCACGACTGGACCTAATGGTCGGGGTACCTTTACCTTTACCTCTACCTCCAGACTGGGTGCAGGGGGGATTTCAAGCCCACACCAGGAAATTTAGATTTGTGTAATTAAAATGGATTAAGGCACTCTGTCACTCTAGTGCTGATATAGCGGACCTTTCTCAGGGAACTGGCACCCTAGGTCCTGTGACTATTGGGGAGAAGCGAGACAGGCAAAAACCGCCTGTGGAATTTTGCCAACTTACTGAATTAGTTGACTTCCTGTAGAATTACTGCAGAGGTTTAGCCTCATTAGGAGCTTCTGAGCTTGCACTGAATTTTCCTCAAGGTCAAGATTCACTGACAACTTATAGATGCTTGAAACCCGCTTGAAGAACAATTCTAGTCTTACTGAACAATTTTGCTTCCTTCAATATTTTTCCACCTACGTCCACGTACAGTATACATTTCCCTTCACTGGTTCCCTTATTGTTTCATATCAAGTTTAATCTTCTTTTTAATCTTTAAATTTCTCCATGGTCTTGGCCACTCCTGCCTGTCTTTGTTATGCCCTCTCCCCCTTCCCCTCATTTCCTCCATTCCTCAAACACTAATCTTCTTATTAAATCTCCACTCTTGGGCTGCTTCTCATTTCCATTCCCGCTTTGTGATCCCTTCTGCGTGGTACTGTCTCCCTCTAAATATTTGGCTGCTCACATCTTAGTCTCACTTTAATAAATTTTTAAGACCTCATATTTCATCTCTCATATTTATCTTTGATGGCATATTTTATTTTTCAAGAAATCCTTTCATGCTCCTAGACTGTTGTTGTCAGAGCTGGCCATTAGGTAGAGCGAGGTGGCAGCACAGGGCAGCTGATTGTGGGTGCCCTGAAAAGGCAGAAAATGGTTTGTTTAATTTATTGTGGTTGTAATTTTACAGTGGGAGAAGCTCTGTAGGATTTCCTGCCTCAGATGCTGAAATAACTTGACTGGTCTTCTGTACTTTGTGACCCAAGCTTGAATGGGAAGGGTATCATTTGCTGCCCCCCCTCAAGCAGCAGAATGCATCAGATCAGCTCTGTTTATTGTATTCTTTTAACTCTTTCCCCCTTCTTTTACTTTCTTTGCCAGCCGGCACAGAATTCCCCCCCCCCCCTGCTTCCATCTTCCCTGTCTTTTTGTTTCATCTCTTTTTTAAAATTGTGTGCCCGCAGGCCAGGGACTTGTGCTTTCTAAATCATTTGGTACAGTGCCTAGCGCATTTCAGATGTTTCTACAAATAATAAGTGGTGGTGGTGCTGTTTTCGCTGGAGCTGAACTCTCGAAATATGCTTCTGATTTTGCTCTAATAATGTCAGGCCAAGTTCTAAGACGAGGGGGTGGCCCTCGTTTTGGCACAAGCAAACGAGGATCAAAATGGCCACGGGCAAATCACACGACTGAAGGCAGGCTGTTGGCCGGGTTCAAAATCAAGCATAAATGGAGGGCAAAGAAAGAGAGTCTGCATGGCTACCTTATGGGGTTGCTCAGAGTGGGGAGTGCTCTTTGGCGCAAAGGATTTATAAGACCTGCTGTTTGCTTGCAATGTAGACTACAGGGTTCCCTTGATCCAGAGTTTAATGTACCCAGTTTACGTGAAGACTAGAGCAGGAGGTAGCTTGGTAGAGGAGGTAAAGTGCTGGAGACCGGCTGCTGAGGAGCTTACAGAGCCTAGGACTTGCCGATCAGAAGGTCGGCGGTTCGAATCCCCGCGACAGGGTGAGCTCCCGTTGCTCGGTCCCTGCTCCTGCCAACCTAGCAGTTCGAAAGCACATCAAAGTGCAAGTAGATAAATAGGTACCGCTCTGGCGGGAAGGTAAACGACGTTTCCGTGCACTGCTCTGGTTCGCCAGAAGCGGCTTAGTCATGCTGGCCACATGACCCGGAAGCTGTACGCCGGCTCCCTCGGCCAATAAAGCGAGATGAGCGCCGCAACCCCAGAGTCGGCCACGACTGGACCTAATGGTCAGGGGTCCCTTTACCTTTACTACCTCAGTGCACTTTTGATGGTTCAAAGCACTTCACATATAACAGCTTATTATAATCCTTAACAACAACATTGTTAGGTAAGCTTAGTATTATTGTCCTGTATAAACTGGGGACTGAGACTAAGTAGCCTAAAGTTAGTGGGTTTATGGTAGAGGGGAGATTTAAACCAGGAACCTCATGGTTCATAGCTTAGTCATAGCTTAGTCTATGATAGGGCAGGGTGATGCGGTTACCTCAGGTGGCAGATGCTGAGGTGCGGGGAGGGGACAGAGCTGTGAGTGCCCTGTGGCCTGACCTGTACCCCCGACACTAGTCTCCTGCCCTCAAATGCAGTGGAAGATACTTTCACCAGTATTGGTGTACAATTCAACTGCCAGTCAAATTGGCTTCTGTTTGTGCCTTGGAAGAGGATGCCATCTTGTCCATTGCATCAGGCAGCAAAATATCCTGAGCCGGCCTTGGCTTAGTCTCCTAGCTGTTACACTGTGTCAGCTTCTAGGTTTGATTCAGGCAAAACCTGGTGGCAAGTATAATCAGGAGAATTTATTTCCAGCTGATGAACCATCACCAGCTCTTACTGTAATGTAAGGGTAGAGAGAGAATACTTTTTATCTACTGAGGTAGGAAAATAACGCTTTTCAATCAGTCTTCCCACTCAGTAGTTGACCAATAATCTATAAAGCCTGTGAGTAAATTTGCAAGTAAGGTTATACTATGTTTAGGGAAGCTTTTAATGTTTGATAGACTATTGTATTTTAATATTTTGTTGGAGGCGGCCCAGAGTGGCTGGGGAAACCCAGCCAGATGGGCAGGGTATAAATAAAATTATTATTATTATTTATATATTACATTGTGATGCATTCATAACTGATTGCTGGAATATTTCGTGTGTGTTTTTTTAAAAAATTGCTAGATTAAAGAAGTGCAAACTCAGGATACTGGACGTTACACTTGTGAAGCCACAAATGTGGCTGGAAAAACAGAAAAGAACTACAACGTCAATGTATGGGGTAAGATATGCAGCTTTTGCAATCACTTTCATAAAGAACGAAACTCTAGTAGTGAATGAAATGGGTGTTCCTGAAAATCTAGGTGCATACAGTTGTACCTTGGTCAAACGGACTTCCGGAACAGATTCTGTTTGACCTCTGAGGTATGACTGTATTAGGAAAGGGGTTTGAGAAATCTGCATGACCACAATTGTGCTGCAGTTCAGGAGATTTGCTTTTCTGATATTCACTCTTGTATCTGTAGTTTACAATCCTGGGAATCTTACTATGTTATTTTAAAACAAGCTCATTTTGAGACCTCTTGGACACAGGACAAAAAAGTGAGGAAGTCTGAGAAATTCATTTTCAAGCCCCTGATACTAGGATGGGTATGGGTAATTTTGCCAAGGATCCATTACCTAGTAACTAGAGCGGAATGGATCTGAAAACATTGGTTTGTTTTTCATTCTTCCAGTTTTTGCTGAATTTCTGCATCAGTTCCTGATTTTTTTAAAAAAAGAGTACACAAAGATTTATACACATTATTGAGCACATTTCTTCTAACATATGCTTTTTGGTATGCAGTTTTCCCTGATGTATGCATTTTTGGAAGCATCTCCCCTGAGTGTAGTGAACCATAGTGTGCATATTTTTGTGCGCACTTTCCCCTAATAAATGCATTTTTGTATGTTCTTTGGGCTGGAGAACTGCATCATAATATTCATAGAAGCATTGTTTTCCAAAGATGGAGTGCAAATTTCTCGCACAGAATTTTCTCACATCCCTATTTATGCTATGCAACCTCCCAGAATAAGTTAAAGCAAGCTCTGATTCCCTGAAGGTTGAAACATTACGCACTGGACTGGTGGTGGCATCTAGTGGTTGATCCCAAGTTTCACTTTTTATGTCAGTTTGGATTTTCCAGTTGCCTAGGGTTTGCCAGTGTGCCAGAACATACGGTTAGGAAAAACTCAAACTTTCCCTTGTCGTCTTTCATGGCAGCTATGCAAATAAATCTTTACACAAGTTGCACTGACTCTTAAGCTCTATCAACTCTGTGTCCAGGGCAGCTGTCTATCAGCTCCATCTGGTACGCAGGCTGAGACCCTACCTGCCCACAGACTGTCTTGCCAGAGTGGTGCATGCTCTAGTTATCTCCCGCTTGGACTACTGCAATGCGCTCTATGTGGGGCTACCTTTGAAGGTGACCTGGAAACTACAATTAATCCAGAATGCAGCAGCTAGACTGGTGACAGGGAGTGGCCACCAAGACCATGTAACACCAGTCCTGAAAGACTTACATTGGCTTCCAGTATGTTTCCAAACACAATTCAAACTGTTGGTGCTGACCTTTAAAGCCCTAAACAGCCTCGGTCCAGTATACCTGAAGGAGCGTCTCCACCTCCATCATTTAGCCCGGATGCTGAGGTTCAGCTCTGAGGGCCTTCTGGTGGTTCCCTCACTGCGACGTTGCAGGGAACCAGTCTGAGGTAGTGGCGCCCATGAGATGTCAAGGAAATAAACAACTATCTGACTTTTAGAAGACATCTGAAGGCAGCCCTGTTTTGGGAATTTTTTAATGTTTGTTGTTTTATTGTGTTTTTTATATTCTATTATTATTGTCCAGCATCACTGAGAGGGCACGAAGTTAGCTACACCCCCTGATCTAGATGTTCTTACAAGCTAAATCCTCTTCCTTCAAAATGATTATACTTCTTACTTTTCATGGAAACCATAGCTCTGCCTGTGAAAACCATCTGTAGGTGATGGTTTAAGAACATATTCTTTGCTTGCACACAGGATCCAGAAGCAACGTTGGACAGCCTTTTGGTGTTGCAAATCCAGGAAATTTGTGTGTCTGATTTAGTATTGGACCATTTCCCCAGAGCTATCTCCACTTCCAAAAGCTGGCAGAATTCAGCAGGATGGGTTTAAGGCTTTGCTTCTGGGAGACTTAGTGGTATTACAGCACTGGTTTGAAGTACGAGAGACTGAAATAAGAAGTAGAAATTGGTGCAATGCGAGGAAGGCTTTAACTGCTGCCAGCACTGAAGCTTTTAATTCTCTTTGCTATTTCAAACACCGAAAGAGTTGAAGAGGTTCAAACAGAACTGTTTCGTTCCTGTTTTGTACGCTCTCAGGAATAGTTTGAACAAACGGAAGGTACTCGGCTGTGTGTCCTGTTCGCCCCATTTAGCCCGTGAGGAATTCAGTACTTGAAAGAAGGGTCTGTGTGGGTCTGACTTTGCTTCTTCTGTTGGTTCTTACAGTGGCTCAGTGTTCGGTGCCATTTATTACTTGATAATTTTATAAGTTACAGATCACCAGCTATTTCTGACATTTCCCCACTTTAGTGCCAGCCAGTATTTATAGTTCAGACACGCTTACTCGTCTGACAGTAATTGAAGGAAACCTCATCAGTATGATATGCGAGTCCAGTGGAATTCCACCCCCGGCCCTCAGCTGGAGAAAGAATGGTAAGCAACTGCTATGGGTGAGGGCTTTCCTTTGGAGCTAGTTGTTCCCTTCAACTTCTCTTTATCTCATTAGTTTGCAAAGCTTTCTCCGCAACCCTCCCCTCTTCACCTAGCCCCCTACATGTGCATAGTCACACCCACCCCATACATTGAAAGCATGTGGCTCCCCCAAATAGTCCTGGGAACTGCAGCTTTTTGAGGGTGTGGGAAATTGTAGCTCTGTAAGAGGCAAACGGGACGCGGGTGGTACTGTGGGTTAAACCACAGAGCCTAGGACTTGCCAATCGGAAGGTCGGCAGTTCGAATCCCGGAAGCTGTACGCCGGCTCCCTCGGCCAATAAAGCGAGATGAGCGCCACAACCCCAGAGTCGGTCACGACTGGACCTAACGGTCAGGGGTCCCTTTACCTTTTTAAGAGGCAAACAGGATTCTTTGTGGGAAGCCATGCTCTTTAAATGTGTTTTAAGTGTGGGGGGTGAATGTGAATGTGGGTCAATATAAATGTAAAGGTAAAGGGACCCCTGACCATTAGGTCCAGTCGTGCCCGACTCTGGGGTTGCGGCGCTCATCTTACTTTATTGGCCGAGGGAGCCGGCGTACAGCTTCCAGGTCATGTGGCCAGCATGACTAAGCCGCTTCTGGCAAACCAGAGCCGCACACGGAAATGCCGTTTACCTTCCTACAGGAGCAATACCTATTTATCTACTTGCACTCTGACGTGGTTTCGCATTGCTAGGGTGGCAGGAGCAGGGACCGAGCAACGGGAGCTCACCCCGTCACGGGGATTTGAACTGCCGACCTTCTGATCAGCAAGCCCTAGGCTCTGTTGTTTAACTCACAGCGCCACCTGCGTCCTTGGGTCATTATAGCCGGCAGCAGTTGATACAGATTTGAACATTTGCTTCTAAAATCTCATTTGCTTCGGTTAAAGGTGCTTTCAAATCAAATTGTTCTTTCTTTGTTTAAGCTGAGTTAGGCTGAGGCATGGAATCCTTGGACCCATTAATGTAATGGATCCTGCCCTTACCTGCTCTCTTTCTTCCTTTGTCTGCTTTCCTCCTCCAGTCCTAGTAGGACAGGAGGCAAGCTTGACACAGTACAACGTTGCTGACTTCTAACCCATCATTCTTCCTTACTTGACCTCTGACCATGAGGACCAATTTTAATGGATGCAAAATTTCAAGACTGTAGACCTAAATCCACAGTGAAATGGAGGTGAATGATACCACTTAGGCCAGTGATGGCCAAACTTGGCCCTCCAGCTGTCTTGGGACTACAACTCCCACCATCCCTAGCTAACAGGACCAGTGGTCAGGGATGATGGGAATTGTAGTCCCAAAGCAGCTGGAGGGCGAAGTTTAGCCATCACTGACTTAGGCAGAACGCATGTTGATTTCTATAAACATAGGGACAGCTGTGCCCAGCACTCATTGGCTATCTGGGAGTGGGGTTCAACATTTGTGACCATGTTGGAGTATGGCTGACGTAGCCCAGCAGGAAATATGACTGGAATGGAATCCGTGTCAAAGAAGCCTGAACCATGTGCCTCATCCTATGCTCATTCCTATCTGAAATAATGTTTCTCTTGTAGGTTCTCCACTGCTGGCTGACCCTACAGGTAGGGTCAGAGTGTTATCTGGAGGAAGGCAGTTGCAAATTTCCATTGCTGAGAAATCAGATGCCGCTTCCTATGCGTGTATGGCTTCAAATGTTGCTGGAATAGCAAAGAAGGAGTATAACTTGGTGGTATATGGTAGGTCAACATGTCAAATTGCTTGTGGCCATTCATTGGTTTGGAAACGATGACCGTTGATGAGGAAAGCAGGGCTTGCAATCAAAGAACAAGAATGGAACAGGCGATTATCTAGTTCAACCCTCTGTTCTGCAGCAAGACCACAAAGTGGTCTCTGGAGTCTCCGCTTGTAAATATCAGTTTACCTTATCCACATTAGATTAATAAGAAGCCTTGGTGGTTTTGCCAAAACTTTGGGGCCAAGCTAAACATACTGTGGGAGATCCGTGATTGGATCTCCCACTGCCTTTCGTCTCTTGCTGAAAACGGCAGCAGAGGGGGTTTGGTTTGGGCTTGCAGGGGGAGAGTTTTTACTCTTGGCTCCAGTACTGCAGCCATGATTGGTTCTGAGCTTGATTAGCTGTGGGACCAGTAGTGGAGAGGGGGTTGTGGGAGCGGCACTGACCTGACCTCCCAGCACCAGAGTCACTACTGCTTACTGGGACACAGCGCGGGTGGCTCTGTGGTCTAAACCACTGAGCGTCTTGGGCTTGCTGATCGGAAGGTCAGTGGTTCGAATCCCCACGACGGAGTGAGCTCCCGTTGCTCTGTCCCAGCTCCTGCCAACCTAGCAGTTTGAAAGCACACAAGTGCAAGTAGATGAATAGGTACTGCTGCTGCGGGAAGGTAAACAGTGTTTCCTTGCGCTCTGGTTTCCCTTGCGTCAGAAGCGGTTTAGTCCTGCTGGCCACATGACCTGGAAAGCTGTCTGTGGACAAACGCTGGCTCCCTTGGCCTGAAAGCAAGAGGAGCGCCGCAACCCCATAATCGCCTTTGACTGGACTTAACCGTCCAGGGGTCCTTTACTTTTACCTTTTACTGGGAGGGGCAAGGCAATGCAGAGGTCCACCTTGTGCAATTAATTTGGCAGGTGCATTGGCTCCACCTATGCATTTGAATTAGTTCTGACCTCCACAGTGCCCTCACCCTCCGATTCTGTCTCTCCCAGAGAGCACTACCACCCCAGCCTACAATTTCATCTTGCCACCCACCGCTGCATGGGGTGGAGGCACAATATGAGTACATGTGAGCACATGTTGCAGTTAATAGTATCCTGGAGGGTAGGATTGGCATGGGGTAAAGGCTTAAGCTCTTCCTTTCCCTATGCAATGCCCCCACACAAGAATTCCACCCCCTGCCCTCTCTGCATTCTGCAAAAGAAAACAAGACATACAGTCACAGATTTTCTGCGTCGAATTTAGTTTTGTTCTCGGAAGCTGAACTCTTTGTGCTAAGTCTGGAATGTTGTTTTGTTTCTCCGAATAGTTCGTCCAACTATACTGGGCAGCGAAAGCCAGCAGTCGGATGTAACTGTGACTCGAGGGAATGATATTTCATTAGAATGCAAGGCAGAAGGTATTCCAGTGCCAGCTGTCACCTGGATGAAGGATGGCCGTCCATTGGTCAGTGGGAGAGGAGTGGAAATACTGGACGAAGGACATCGTCTGTGGCTTAAAAACTCTCAGGTGTCAGACACTGGCCGCTATGTGTGCATTGCTGTGAATGTGGCAGGACTGACTGACAAGAAATATGACTTAAGCATTCACGGTGAGCAAAGGAAATAAATGTGTGCAACAGAAGAGATGCATGTTTGGGGCCAAATCAACAATTCCACTCTGTTTTACAGTGCTGGCCCAACATTGTACAGTGGAACCTCGGTTCTCGAGTGTCTCCATTAACGAACATTTCGGAACCTGAATGCCGAAAACCCGGAAAGAAATGCTTCCGTTTTGGAACACTCCTTGGAAGTCAAACGTCTTCCGCTGCGTGTTTTTCAATTTTCCCAATTGAATTTGTTGACAGCCCTTTGTGCCTCAGTTTTCGAATGTTTCGGAAGTCAAACGGTCTTCTGGAATGGATTATGTTCGAAAACCAAGGTTCCATTGTACTGTAAATTAAGTGATAATTCCCCAATCTTGAAAATTTCCCCCAAATGCTCCTCAGACTGGCCTCCTGCTAAAAGTACGAGCACCTCAGATTTTCTCTTCCTTAGCCATAAAATGGGAGGTCCATGTTGTTCTCCTTAGAACTGCTTCTAATGTTACAAGGAAATTGTGTCAAGAGGAAATGTTGGGTGACTTGTGGTTCCTTTCCCCACACTTCTGGGTCTCTTTCAAAGGGGATGTGTGTATTTTCACACTAAGAGATGTGTGTTGTGTTCTCATAGAAGGAAGGCATGTTTGTTCCCTTTTCCCCGCCTCCCTTCCAGCTATCCTTGTGCCAAGAGAGACAAGAAAGTTCCTTGCCTCTCCCTGAGAAAGAAGGGAAACTGCTGTGAGCTCATCCAAGTCCCCAGCTTGGGGGCAGGCATATTATGAGCATATTGCCCCACTGAGGACATTTCTAAGCACTAGCTGCCAAAAGCATTCTGTTAACCTATTCTTCATTTGTGGATTATTTTATGGAACAGACAGCTTTGGCTGTCCATTATTGAATTATGCTTTCTTATGTGCCTTGCTTCTGTGGTTTTTTTGTGTGTGCTTTTTTTGCAGTCCCTCCAAGCATTGCAGGTGACCTGACTGTGCCTGAAAACATCAGCGTAGTTGAGAAAAACCCTGTCACGCTGATTTGTGAAGCTTCGGGAATTCCCCACCCATCAATAACATGGCTGAAGTATGGGCAGCCTGTCTCTTTGAGTAGCTCTGTAAGAATCCTGTCAGGTAAGCAGGGGATACTGAAGGCGAAGAAGTTACTTTTTTTTAAAAAAAAAGATAAAATGAGCACCTTGTGCAGCAGAGTTAGGGTCAAATTAAGTAGAAGCCTGTGGAAAGAATAAACGAAATATAAACTAGTTTACAACACCAGCAGTAATACATAGCAATACTTTTCCTGGATTATACCCTGTCTGATTAGAGGTGGGATAATGAGGCAGCGCAGGGTGGCGCTGTGGTCTAAACCACTGAGCCTCTTGGGCTTACTGATCGGAAGGTCGGCGGTTCGAATCCCCGCAACAGGGTGAGCTCCTGTTGTTCCGTCCCAGCTCCTGCCAACCTAGCAGTTCAAAAGCACGTCAAAGTGCAAGTAGATAAATAGGTACCACTCTGGTGGGAAGGTAAACGGCATTTCCGTGCACTTTTCTGGTTTTGCCAGAAGCGGCTTAGTCATGCTGGCCACATGACCCGGAAAAACTGTCTCTGGACAAATGTCGGCTCCCTCGGCCAGTAAAGCGAGATGAGCGCTGCAACCCCAGAGTCGTTCACGACTGGACTTGACTGTCAGGGGCCCTTTACCTTTTTTAATGAGGCACCAGGAGAATCCTGAATATTCAGAACTTACCTCTTTCTCAGCAACTCATGGAGGTACGAGGCGGAAGTGTGATTGAGGGAGAAATCCATTCTGTTCACATTTTAATGCGCAGAAATGTTAAGGTATTGTTGTAAGGAAAACTGCTCCTCTTTCCTTCACGGGGTATCCAGCAGCCTGTATAGAGTCCGTAAGTGGGTTCCCTATTGGTAGGAGGAAACAACAGAGGCCAACCAGAAAATATTAAGAAGCAAAGCGGCTAGTAAGCCTGAACTTTATCAAAGATCAGGAGGGAGGAGGGAGGAGAACCCTGAACAATGATGCACAAGCCCTTATATAGACTCTTGAAATTGTCCACCTTGTAACCCCCGAAAACATCATACAAACATCACAGAAGGAGGTGGTCTACAGCAGAAATCCTGCCTGCCAGAATACCTGGTAATGGTCACTGATTGCATTACCTGGGCAGCCTGGCCATTCTTTGGTGATGGTTAATACTTTAGTTGCTGAATCCAGCTCATAGGCTCACCTTAAGGTAAAGGTAAAGGTACCCCTGCCCGTACGGGCCAGTCTTGCCAGACTCTAGGGTTGTGCGCTCATCTCACTCTATAGGCCGGGAGCCAGCGCTGTCCACAGACACTTCCGGGTCACGTGGCCAGCGTGACAAGCTGCATCTGGCGAGCCAGCGCAGCACATGGAACGCCGTTTACCTTCCCGCTGGTAAGCGATCCCTATTTATCTACTTGCACCCGGGGGTGCTTTCGAACTGCTAGGTTGGCAGGCGCTGGGACCGAACGACTGGAGCGCACCCCGCCGCGGGGATTCGAGCCGCCGACCATGCGATCGGCAAGTCCTAGGTGCTGAGGTTTTACCCGCAGCGCCACCCGCTCACCTTATTCATACACAAATATGTCCTTAAGGCAGGATTTGTAAGCAAAAAGATAATGGGAAGGCTTTCCCCATTTGCCTCCCTTACAGCAGAGATATATTTGAGGTCATTGGGAAAGTCAAAATGGCCTTAGGATTGCTTTCACGTACTATTTCACATACTTGGTTTGTATATTTAGATATGTGTGCGTTTATGAATATTTATTCTATATTTGAGGCTTTAAAATTCTTATGGCAGTGTCCTGGGACCAATATGGGCACTGTATATTGTCAGGCTATATTTGACAGTCAGTTTTCATTATAACATGCGAATGTATGACTCCTCTTCAGGTGGCAGGATGTTGCGCTTGATGCAGGTGAATATGAAGGATGCCGGTCGCTACACCTGTGTGGTGACTAACGTTGCAGGAGAGGAGAGGAAGAACTATGAACTCTCTGTTTTAGGTGAGTATGCGACAGCTGTCAGGAGGGTTAGAGAACTTTTGGGTTATAGCTCCTGGTATTCATGAATACTTCCATGGCTTTAAAATCTAGCCAACTGAAAAACTGGTGTTTTAAGAGATTAAGAAGTTAAGACATCAAGAGTACCAAAAATGTAACAATAACTGGAGTAATTTTTAAAAATAACTGAAAGATTACTGTGGCTATTTAAAATTTTGGACTGGGTAGAATTACTCTTCTAAAGATAACTAGTAGAAACAGTGGAAATGATGGTAAATAGAAGATTGGACACAATTGGAAAGGCATACAACATAGAATTCTATGGACCCAAGTAAGAGGTGGAGGGAAAATCCAGTGCAAACAGAGTAACAACATAATATGTAGTTAAGTAACATAATTTTTATTTTATTTTTTATTCATGCATACATGTTCAATAACAGAATGTTAAGAGATTTCACTTGTTTATTATGAATGTTGACATGTATGAAAATGATATCTGTGAATCAATTTAAAAACCAATAAATATGTTTAATCGGAAAAAACCTGGTGTTGGCATTTAGCAGCACTTGGGGCTGGGGGAGAATCTGGCAGGCAGGAAGTCCGCTTAATGTGCACAGAGATGCCACCGCTCAGAGCGCCTTTGAAGGAAATGTGAGAAACGGGAAGAGCTGGCATTTCAAAGGTGGTGTTTGGTTTTTACAAGCTTTTAGAATTTGCAGGAACAGAGAAAATGCTTTCCCGTTTCTCACATTTCCTCCAGCACTTTACCTCCTCTACCATGCTACCGTATTTTTCGCTCTATAGGACGCACTTTTTCCCCTCCAAAAATTGAGGGGAAATGTGTGTGCGTCCTATGGAGCGAATGCAGGCTTGTGCCATAGTCGCGCGCAACCCCTCCGGCAGGGAGAGGCTGCACGGGACTATGGATTCTTTAGCCCTGCGCAGCGTCTCCCGGCAAGGAGAGGCTGCACGGGGCTAAAGGGGAAGCCAAAACAGTGAGCGGGGTCCATTTTCATATGTTCTGATTAAACATATTTATTGGTTTTTAAATTGATTCACAGATATCATTTTCATACATGTCAACATTCATAATAAACAAGTGAAATCTCTTAACATTCTGTTATTGAACATGTATGCATGAATAAAAAATAAAATAAAAATTATGTTACTTAACTACTTATTATGTTGTTACTCTGTGGAGATTTTTCCTCCACCTCTTACTTGGGTCCATAGAATTCTATGTTTCTCTCTTCCTGCAAATTCTAAAAGCTTGTAAAAACCAAACACCACCTTTGAAATGCCAGCTCTTCAACAAAAACTGTTTGACACCAAAAAAAACTGCATCCCATTCAAACTAGTATCATCCAGGCACCTGGGGGGAATGTAAAATAAAGTGATATTTTTATAGCCTTTTTCTTCTTTGCCAAACTTTTATTAGGCATTACAAGTATAGGCCATCATAAAACATCTGTATATAAAAATGTAAAATATATACAAATAAACAGCCATGTAAAATATATAATAACGAGGATTTTCATTGGGGTTTCTTCCTACTAAATAGTGCCATTCACCACTCTAAGAGGTACTACTGACAGAAACCTTTTTGAAAAATAATGACATCGCTATGCTTAAGGCGGCTTACATGATTTACATAATTACCAACGTAACAAAAGTCATAAGCAATAAATAAAACACATCAAAAAAGTACACAACCAAATGGAAAACAATTTCTGCTTGTCCCATGTCTAGATAGCATAAGTCCAAGTGATTTTCTGCTTTTCTCGCCCTTTCTGGGTATAGGCCTGGGTGGTTTTTCCTTTGCCCCTCTGCTTTCCCTCCGAAAACCCGTTCTTTAGCACTAAATCAAAGCAAATGTCAATCTGGAGAAAACCTGATTGACATTTGCTCTGATTCAGGGTGAAAGATTGGGTTTTCCTGGGAGGAAGGGGTGGGGTAAACAGAAGTGTGGATAAGCCTTGTGACTTTTATCACATCCAAATGACCTGAGAAGATAATAGATGAATGCACATATCATGAATAATGGCAGCTTCCTTTATTTCTCTTGAAAGTCTCAGGAAAAAATTCTGCTCCCAATCTAAATGAGTGTATTTAAGGTTTCATCATATACTTGACAAGGTGCAAGATTTCTCACCTCTCCGCATGTTTTGAGAATATGGTTGCTGACAATGGGGCAGCATTTATGGTTTCTAATGTGTGCTAACTAGATGTCCTCATTCATATGCCTTTCTCGGTTTGTTTTTAACCATGTAAAAGTTCCTCCGGGCATTGTGGGGGAAAACAACCTGGAAGATGTGAAAGTGAAAGAGAGGCAGAGCCTCATGCTGACCTGTGAAGTAACAGGTAAGGCAAGGTTTATCTTAATTACAGGTGACTTGGCCATTTGTTGGGGCCAGATTAGATGTGATGTGGACAGCCACATTCCTGTCTCTGTGTCTGCCCTGTTCATATAGAAAGGCCATGTGTGTGTGTCTACTTTTTGCACCAACACAAGGCAGGGGAGCTCACCTCTCCTGTTCTGTAGCTTTACCTCCCTATTCAGCCTCTTTTCTCCCAGGCTGGTTCCAATATTGGAGATGAGCCAAGCCAGGGGGAAAGTGAATGAATTAAGTCAATTTGGGAAGCTGAGGTCTTTCTCTGTTCAGCTGCCGTCCCTTCCAACCTTCCAATTTATGCATTGAACAGGTAAACTAGGGTAGCCTCCTGTTATGTCCACTTTTGACCCTTATGTTATGTGCAGCAAAGCTGCAGAATCTTCTGTGAGCTTGGTTTTTCATTTATTTTTTAATGAGACCTTGCTAATCTCAAATGTCTCTTCTCTCACATGTGCAAACACACCCACGTGCCAGCTTGATTGGGGATGGGGCAGAACAACTCGAAGGAGGAATTGGCTACTGGGAACAAAAGATAAGGAGGCAAAAGATAAGGATGCTTGTGTTCCATGTTGCTTTCACCACTAGTTAGAAGGTGGAGTCAGATTAATAGGGTCCACCGTGGATTTATAAAGGAGACTAAGCAAAGTGTTGAGTGGGAATGATATCTCCCTTGGGCCATTTGTTCCTGAATAATATGCCCAAAACTAACAGACAGACAGATATCAGTCACTCTGTTCTAAAGGGCCGTTGATAAGTTAGATTCAAAGTGTGAAGGAAACAAGCAAGAAAGGATTATGCTTTATATATCTTCTATGCCGGTCATAATGGTCAATTGCAGGCAAAATACTGACTCTTGCATACCATGGTTTGCAAATGGGGAAGAAGATTCAGGAATTCACACTCCTAGAATTGTAGAGCTTGAAGGACCATGAAGGTCATCAAGTCCAGGAATCTTTTTGCCCAGCGTGGGGCTTGAACCCTCAACCTTTAGATTAAGAGTCTCCTGCTGGGTTGACTGAGCTATCCCTTCTCTCCAGTGTGGTGTAGTGGTTAAGAGCGGTAGACTCGTAATATGGGGAACTGGGTTCGCGTCTCCGCTCCTCCACCTGCAGCTGCTGGGTGACCTTGGGCCAGTCACACTTCTCTGAAGTCTCTCAGCCCCACTCACCTCACAGAGTCCTCCTCCTCCCCCTCCTCCTCCTCCTCCTCCTCCTCTTCTTCTTCTTCTTCTTCTTCTTCTTCTTCTTCTTCTTCTTCTTCTTGTCTTGAATGATCCCCTCCCTTCATTGTTTAACTTCATAATTTAATATCATTTAGTATAGGGGCAGGGAATTGCTTTCAGTCTGAGGGGCAGCTTCAAACTTGGCCAACCTTTCAGTGGTCATATTCCAATAGTGGGCAGGGCAAAAAACCCAAACCCAATGAAGAATAAACATGGCCTCCAACCATCTATTCCATACACAAACACACAAGTTCTAGACAAACCAACACTATGATCAAAGACCAAAGACGTAAGTTTCCACTTTGGTATGGAAGAGGGGCTCATCTTTCCTTCTGCACTGTTACTGAGATTGGAGCTGGCAGATGAAGAAGGAACTGGGAGCAGGAACACAGCTTTCGAATGCTGCAAGCCGAAGGCATTTCAGGTCATTAGCAGCGTCCTTAGAAACAGCAACTTCCCGCTGCTTCCTAGACTGTGCCAAATTCGAATGCGATTCAACATTTTATGGCATAAGATTCCTTAGTTAAGCCAGGGAGTGATTCTTAAGCCATGGCTTGCGTAACTGTGCTGTTCAAAGCCATGGAAAGTCCAGCTTTGCACAAAAGGGTCCCAAATGTGCTGCGGTAACTGCAGGTTTTATGTTGCATGTTCTCTGTCAGTTGTTGTTGTTGTTGTTTAGTTGTTTAGTTGTGTCCGACTCTTCGTGACCCCATGGACCAGAGCACACCAAACATTCCTGTCTTCCACTGCCTCCCGCAGTTTGGTCAAACTCATGCTGATAGCTTCAAGAACACTGTCCCACCATCTTGTCCATTGTTGTCCCCTTCTCCTTGTGCCCTCAATCTTTCCCAACATCAGGGTCTTTTCCAGGGAGTCTTCTCTTCTCATGAGGTGGCCAAAGTACTGGAGCCTCAGCTTCAGGATCTGTCCTTCCAGTGAGCACTCAGGGCTGATTTACTTCAGAATGGATAGGTTTGATCTTCTTGCAGTCCATGGGACTCTCAAGAGTCTCCTCCAGCACCATAATTCAAAAGCATCAATTCTTCGGCGATCAGCCTTCTTTATGGTTCAGCTCTCACTTCCATACATCACTACTGGGAAAACCATAGCTTTTACTATACAGATCTTTGTTGGCAAGGTGATGTCTCTGCTTTTTAAGATGCTGTCTAGGTTTGTCGCTGCTAGTAATCAAGGTTAATGCTGGCACAGTTTCCTCTTGACAAAATCTCCCAAGGCTGTTTCATTCTCTGGTTACAAGGGCAGCCCTGGTTGACATTAACCTTGGTTTAGCATTGATGCGCATATAATGTTGAGCCATGGTTAAGACAGATAAAGAGAGCGAGAGAGCATTTGCAATGAAGATGGAAGGAAGGAATGGAAGGGAGCTTGGATCCAGAATTGCAAAGCATGGTTTGGAGGGAACCAGTGTTACATCTGCACCAGACCGTTGCCAAGATATATTTTGTAAATACAGCCCACTGTGATTTTTCTCCACCACAGAATTACTGTAAACTTTTACTTTGCGGTAGGAAAATGTGTTGCGTATACAGAGGCAAACTTGGCAGTAGGAAGGTGGGATAGTGGCCAACACAATATGAAGTAACTCAGGTGTAAAATAATTCTGCCTTTAAGACAAATGGCTATCACGTTTGCTTTGCAAATGTCCACAGCAAATGTATATCATCTTAGACCGAATTCAAACCGGTGATTAAAAAAAAACAACTATTGAATTTCACAGAGCTGTTCTGAAGTTATCTACTAATGGAATATAAGGTTGTATTCAGTGCTAGTCCCACTCAGAGTAGACCCATTAAAATTAATGAACGTGACTAATTTAGGTCCATTAATTTCAATTGCTCAGCTTTGGGTAAAACTTAGTTGGAGTCAATCCATGACTTTTTTTGCATTTGATGTTGGGCTCACATCTAACTGCCTCTGCAGACATGTACATAATAGCTCTCTGAAGAAGTGTTCTGTGATTAAAAAATAATAATAATACCCTTACCTACCAACAAAAAATAGTCTGCACCTGTATGCATTGTACCTATACTGTTCCTCAAATCTATATCTATATCTATATCTATATCTATATCTATATCTATATCTATATCTATATCTATATCTATATCTATATCTATATCTATATATCTATATCTATATCTATCTATCTATCTCTCTATCTCTCTATCTCTATATCGCTATCTCTATATCTATATCTATGTATCTATATCTTTTTCTGATATATAGTTTTCACTTTATATTTTAATTTTAAAGTTTCCTGAACAATGAAGTGTTAGAAGTCATTAACAGTTACAAGTATATGTTGCTGTTTTTTGTTTTTTTAAAGGGAACCCTATCCCAGAGATCACATGGTTAAAAGACGGGCAACCTTTCCTAGAGGATGACAGCCATCAGTTAATATCCAACGGGCGCTTTCTTCAAGTTACAAATACGCAAGTATCTGACACGGGGAGATACACCTGCATTGCGTCCAATGCAGCTGGAGACAAGAGCAAAACCTTCAGTGTTAATGTACTTGGTAAGATTCCTGTGTGTTTTCCATAGAAGAAGGCAGATCTGTTTCGACGGAATATGTCAGTAAAATATTTTGCATGCAATTTCCCCTAATGTGTTGCACAACTCTATGCCATTCTTAGTGATATATCCATTTTTATACACACCTTTCTATTATATGCATTTTTGTATACATTGGTCAGAGAACTGAATTGCAAAATTTGGAGAAATCTGAAGCTTGAAGGATGCCTGCATTTTGGTTCACATGTTGGACTCTTCCATACTTCTGCTTTTTTTGTTTTCTGATTCAGTGCTAATGAACGGGTTTCCCCTTGGGAAATTAGCTGGGCAGTGGAGGTGAGTCTAAGCCCACTGTTTCAGAATGTGTGAATCTGACTGAACCAAATTTCTTTCCCATCACAACATATAGCAATAAAAATGTGAATGCATTTATATAACAGAGAAAATTCATCATAATAATAATAATAATAATAATAATAATAATAATAATATAATTCATTTACACCCTGCCCATCTGGCTCCCAACATAATTAATGATAATAATAATAATGATGATGATAATGATAATGATGATGATAATAATAATAATAATAATATAAAACATCAGACATTTAAAACATCCCTGAACAGGGCTGCCTTCAGATGTCTTCTAAAAGTCAGATAGTTGCTTATTTCCTTGACATCTGATGGGAGGGCATTCCACAGAGTAGGCGCCACTACTGAGAAGGCCCTCTGCCTAGTTCCCTGTAACCTCAACTTATCACCAGAAGGCCCTCGGCGCTGGACTTCAGTGTCTGGGCTGAGTGATGGGGGTAGAGATGCTCTTTCAGGTATACTGGGCTGAGGCCATTTAGGGCTTTAAAGGTCAGAACCAACACTTTGAATTGTGCTCGGAAACATACTAGGAGCCAATGTAGGTCTTTCAGGACCGGTGTTATACGATCTCGGCTGATGGATTTTCGTGCGGAATTTTTTTTTTTAAAGATATTTATTAAAGTTTTAAACAATGAAACAAACTTCACATTCACAACCAGATAGAAAAAAAGAAAAAACACCATCACAATCAATCAAGAAAACCAAAAAAGAAAAATACAATAAAAACCCCCCTAAAAAATAAAAGAAAAAAGACATAAAAAAGAGATAAAAAACCAGTTTCTTAGTTATTGTTTTCATAACCCTCCTTCCAGACTCCCTCACATCTCCCTTTTCTGTGTTCCCTTTTACACAATCTTATTCAGCAATGCCTCACCTTCTTTCAAATCTTATTTTGTATTATACATTTCAACTATTATGTCTCCAATTTTTCCCTTTATTATCAGTTATTTAAGTTTGACAATAAATAAAATTTCGTGCGAATTTTAAAAACGCAACCCAAATTATTAGAGAAATGTGAGGAACTGAATTTAAGATTGGAAAAATGAGGAAAATGAGAGAATGAAAATGGCGGGTCCGTCCATCCCAAGCTACGTGCAAAGCTGCTCTCCAGGCTTTTGGTGCTTGGTTTAAATATAAATAGTTCTTGTCCCAGGAATCTTTGGAAATTGTAGGTTGGTGGTGGTGGTGGTGAGAATTTTGTTACAGATCCTTGGGCTTCCTACAAAAGTACGACTCTCAGGGGTGTGCCCAGATGCACCCTAATGTTTCAAAAAATGGGATTGTGGTGAGGGAAGCAGCGGTTGGGGAGAGAAAAGGCGGAAGCGAGAAGCAGACACAGAGATGCAGGCAGAATAAAAAGGCTGGAATGCCTGCATCTGCATCTGTTCATGGTTCTGTTTCCACCCAGGTTCCACTCTTCCACCTTTTGCTCACACCTGGTGAGCGGTATCTCATTCTCCAGGACAGGAAGATGCAGAAACCTTAATGTGTGTTGGTCAATTCGGTTTAGCTCATTATCTGGCTAAATATAATGATCATGAAAATTGACTGTATCTTTGTTATAAACCTGGTTATCACAACAGCAAGAAAATAATAATGGTATTTTGTGTCTCATTGTTAAAAGTATTTTCAAGGTGAAGTTTAGATGTTAATTTAAACAAAAATAGTTTAGTTAAGTTTTTATCATTTGTTTGATGATAAAAATAAATCCCTTTATAACAGAGTATGTATTCAATCGTTGCTCGGTCCCTGCTCCTGCCAACCTAGCAGTTCGAAAGCACGTCAAAGTGCAAGTAGATAAATAGGTACCACTCCGGCGGGAAGGTAAGCGGCGTTTCCGTGAGCTGCTCTGGTTCGCCAGAAGCGGCTTAGTCATGCTGGCCACATGCTGTACGCTGGCTCCCTCGGCCAATAAAGCAAGATGAGCACCGCAACTCCAGAGTCAGCCACGACTGGACCTAATGGTCAGGGGTCCCTTTACCCTTTATGTATTCAATAAAGGTGTGTCTGTAAAATAAAAGTAAAAAAATCCCTAGGTGCACACCCTAATGAAATTTGATGTACATTCCTATGGATGTAACTAGATATGCCCTTGGATTTAGTAGTAGATATACCGGATCTTTTCTGCTGGGGCGAATATACACACTTCCTTACCATCACCATCAAAGGTTCAAATGTGGTCACTGTGTTGAATATGCAGCTGGAATCCACAGGAACTGGTCACTCTACTTTTCTCTTATGCATCTCCTTCCCACCCTCCCCTCCCCACCTCCCGGTTCTTGTTCAGTGTCTCCATCTATTGTGGGTGCAGATAATGACGGGGGCACCGAAGAAGTCACAGTTATTTTGAATAACCCCACATCACTGGTTTGCGAGGCTTATTCCTATCCCCCGGCTACAATCACCTGGCTAAAAGATGGAGCTCCCATAGAATCAAATAGGAATATCAGGATTTTACCAGGTAATACATTTTTGTTTCTTTATATTATTTGGATTGCAGTTTTTGTCACTGTATTACACAGAGAAGTCTAGGTGGGGCGGAAAGTGGTGGACAAGTTTTAGTCAATTGCTGCTCTTTAAGTGGGCAGAATTTACCGTATTTTTTCGCTCTATAGGACACACTTTTCCCCCTCCCAAAATTAAGGGGAAATGTGTGTGTGTCCTATGGAGCAAATGCAGGCTCCTTGGCTTCAGCGATAGCAATGCGAAGCCTCCGAAGCGCAGAGGGAGCGCTCCCTCCGCGCTCCGGAGGCTTTGCGTTGCTTTCGCTGAAGCCTGGAGAGCGAGAGGGGTCGGTGAGCACCAACCCCTCTCACTCTCCAGGCTTCAGGGATAGCCGCTTGAAGCCTACGGAGCGCAGCACGAGTTCCTGCTGTGCTCCACAGGCTTCAGGTTCCTTTCGCTGAAGCCAGGAGAGCAAGACTCTCCTGGCTTCAGCAGAGAGGGAGAGCTGCGCAGCGCCCCTTCAGCCAAGCGGGAGGAGAAATGGAAGGGGCTCCGTTTCTCCTGCCGCTTCGCTGAAGGGGCGCTGAGCAGAGAGGGGGAGAATTTTTTCCCCCTTGTTCTCCCCCTCTAGAACAAGGTCCGTCCTATGGCCTGGTGCGTCCTATAGAGCGAAAAATACGGTAATGTGTTCTGCATCTTGTACAGCTATATTCTGGTAGGACGATTGCCATTTTTTTTTAACTAAAAAAAATGTTTTACCACTTCACTTATCCCAAAAGCATTAGGAGGAAATCAGATCGACTAAACATCTAAATATTCCCTCTACATAAGAATGAACACATGAGGGAGAACACTAGGTCAGAACCTTTCTTCCTGGCATTTTGTTTCCATATGGAGGGAATGTTGGTTTGGAGGAATGGTGACTTACATGAGCTTCATTCTCATTACAAGAGAGAGAACCTTTTAATCCATTTTAACTGTGCAAACCTGAAGTTCTGGTTTATCCTTGAATCCCTCACGCAAAATAGTGACAGTCTAGAGCAGTCTTTCTGACTCTTGGGGCCCCAGGTGAACTACAACTCCCATCATCCCTATCTAGCAAGACCAGTGGTCACGGATGGTGGGAGTTGTTGTCCAACAATATCTGGAGTCCCAAAGCTGGTCCAGAATCACTCTAGCTAGAGCCCACGTCCCAAGAATTCCTTTAGTTCTTCAGCTTTAGCATGTAATGAAGTAAGCATGGTTTCATTTTATTTCATTGACATTGTTAGACAACCTTGATTCATACAGAGTCCCTGCCTGTTTCAGAGGGAAGCATAAAAGCATTAATTTAAGCAAACCATATTGTTTCACAGGTGGTCGAACTCTACAGATTCTGAATGCCCAGGAAGACAACACTGGCAGATACACTTGCATAGCTACAAATGAAGCTGGGGAAATGTTAAAACACTATGAAGTCAAAGTATACAGTAAGCATGCTAACAATCTTGCTGTAATCCCTATACAGTGGTACCTTGGGTTACATACGCTTCAGGTTACAGACTCCGCTAACCCAGAAATAGTACCTCGGGTTAAGAACTTTGCTTCAGGATGAGAACAGAAATCGTGCTCCGGTGGTGTGGCGGCAGCAGGAGGCCCCATTAGCTAAAGTGGTGCTTCAGGTTAAGAACAGTTTCAGGTTAAGAACAGACCTCCGGAATGAATTAAGTACTTAACCCGAGGTACCACTGTATTTTTGGTTTTCTCGCCCCAAGTTTTCTCTCCGTTGCTGCTTGGGATTTATAATACAACCTCATTCAATGACTGAATGATTCACTTATGAACCAAAGTGAAGCCATATACCTACATTTTGTTTTGCTTCATTTCTCCCTTGGCATGCTAGTGCCAAGCGAGGCAGCAGGAAAAAGACTTGGAGCAGAGAGCATATATGTCTGAGGTAAAGGAGCAGCCTGCCAGGTTGGTAGTGGAAGAGAGGCTGCTTAACTTTTTCTCTTCCATCCTTTCCCCCCATTCAAAATAGCTTCCAGCACCTGTTGTTGCAGGTGCTGTAGAAAAGAACTTTCCGCCTACATGTGAAAAAGCAACTTGAAATGTGGATGTTTTTGGGTGGAGAAAATAAAAAGACTAGAGAAGAAACAGTTAAGCAGCCTTTGCCATGCTTCCTCTCGAGACTGCAGACACCCATAGCTGCATTTCATTAAAAAATAAAGAAGGCATCTGTTTTGTGTGTATGTCATGTCTTCTTTGGTCTTAGGTTTCTCAGCTGGAAAGCCCGTCAAAACAAAAACATCCAGTTTTTAGAGCAAAGGGCAGATGGTGGCCACTTGTTGTACCTCAACAGGAATACTGTTCCACACAATAGGGGCAGCCACACAGAAAGCCCTGCCCTGAGTTACTGTGGCACAGGCTTCTGCAATCTTTGGGACTTTCAGGAGAAACTAACTCTCCTGCAGACAGCAGCAATCTACTGGATGTATAAGGGATGCGGGTAGTGCTGTGGTCTAAACCACTGAGCCTCTTGGGCTTGCCGATCGGAAGATCGGCGGCTCAAATCCCCACGACGAAGTGAGCTCCCATTGCTTGGTCCCAGCTCCTGCCAACCTAGCACTTCGAAAGCACGCCAGTGCAAGTAGATAAATAGGTACTGCTGCAGCAGGAAGATCAACAGCTTTTCCATGCGCTCTGGTTTCCATCACTGTGTTCCGTTGCGCCAGAAGTGGTTTGGTCCTGCTGGGTCCATGACCCAGAAAGCTGTCTGTGGACAATCACCGGCTCCCTCTGCCTGAAAGCGAGATGAGCGCCGCAACCCCATAGTCGCCTTTGATTGGGCTTAATCATCCAGGGGTCCTATAAGGGATAAGGTGGTCCCTGAAACAACCTGTTGCTGAACTGTTTATCACCATATGTGTTACTACCACAACACCTTGAGCTGGACCTGGTAGCAGATCAGTAGCTAGTGCACATCCTGAAAGCAGGGTGTTAAATGCTGGTGGTACAAGCAACCTATTAGGGACACGGGTGGCGCTGTAGGTTAAACCACAGAGCCTAGGGCTTGCTGATCAGAAGGTCGGCGGTTCGAATCCCCGCGCTGGGGTGAGCTCCCATTGCTTGGTCCCTGCTCCTGCCAACCTAGCAGTTCGAAAGCGCATCAGAGTGCAAGTAGATAAATAGGTACCGCTCCAGCGGGAAGGTAAACGGTGTTTCCGTGCGCTGCTCTGGTTTGCCAGAAGTGGCTTAGTCATGCTGGCCACATGACCCGGAAGCTGTACGCCGGCTCCCTCGGCCAGTAAAGCGAGATGAGCGCCGCAACCCCAGAGTCGTCTGTGACTGGACCTAATGGTCAGGGGTCCCTTTACCTTTTACAAACAATCTAGCTGCTGCCTTCTGAGCCAGCCTGCAGATCAATCCCAAAGGTAGCCCCACATACAGCACATTGCAGTAATCCAGTTGCCCTGAATGACTAATTGCTGATGTGGGCATTCATGTGGTGCAAATCACCCAGCTCTGCATCACTCCTACCCATGTACGCTCTCTTTCTGATAATGCAGTGGATATTGACGTGAGAAACTATATTTCAATTAATGGGGTCTTTCTTTCTGTGCAGTCCCTCCTACCATAAACAGAGGGGACTTGTCTGGAGTGGGTTTATCTCCTAAAGAAGTGAAGATCAGAGTGAACAACAGCCTTACACTGGAGTGTGAAGCACATGCAATTCCTGCTGCGGCCATCAGATGGTACAAGGATGGACAGGCCAGTCACCAAATTACTTCCTTTCACGAGCAGTTTTAAAAGCAAAGTTTTCTACAGCACTGTCTTCTTTCCCTCTATCCCATCTCACAAAAACATAGTAATTCAGCACCCTAGGAAGCTGTCTTCTCTTTCCATGGAATGCAGAAAGCTGTGAATACCACAACATCTCAGAACCACAGGGGCATGAGGAAATGCCTCCTGCACTCTGTCTTTTTGCAATTCCATAGTGCTCCTCCTTAGTCTTCCTTTTTAGCACTCTGTGCTTAGAATCAGTTCCGTATTTTGCTTTCACTGGCATGTGGATTATTGCTCTTGGCTTCTAGAATTTTATAGGTACTGACATAAGAGTAAATCCAATCAACTGAGAACTGGATGCTCTAAGTTTTTCCAGAGCTGGTCTTTTGGCAAGAGTTAAAGAGTCCCCGTATGAGGAAGCATATTAATAGAAATATTATTCTTGTTTCTGTTGGCAAAGCAGAAGGGACCAGCATACGGTCCCTTTTAAAACGACTCTCTTCTTAATAATTTGCAAGTAAACAAAATGGAAATAGTAATAGCTTCAACACTGAGATGGAAATACTAGGGAAAATGGACTGTTAGATCATGACTTATTTCAGAACTGCACAACTTGCATCCTAAATGCATGTGAGGTGTTTAGGTTAACCTCCTGTTTTTTCTGCCTCCCCAGAACTGCAAGAAACGCCGGGTAGAGGGGAAATGGGGAACAGGTTTCTGGGTGCACAAAGGCATGAGGTTTTAGTTAATGCTACTCAGAGTAGTCCCATTGACTTCAATGGATATGACTCATACATTCAGTTCAATAGCTCTACTCTGTGAAGAAGTTAGTTGGATACAACCCAATGAGGGCCAGATTGAAGTAAGATGTTATATTAGCATAAGCCAGTGCAACAAGTCCTACTAGTGCAGTGGACTCCCCCCCCCCCAGTACAGACCCTGCACCCCCACCAAAGGCTCTCCCTTCTCCCCCCCCCCATGCAACGGTTAAAAGAAAAAAACGCTCCCTTTCCCTTATGGGGTATTTCAGAGCCCGTATAGAGTCCTTAGGTGTGTTCCATATCAGTAGGAGAAAATAACAGAGGCCAACCAGAGTATATTGAATAGCAAAGCGGCTAGTAAGCCTGACCTTTATTCAAGGAACTGTTGCAACAGGGTCCCCACTTACCACATGCAGGAGGGAGGAGAACCCTGAACAAGCCTTTATATAGACTTTTGAAATTGCCCACCCTGTAGCCCAAGACCACTCCCCAAAACATCATGCATACATCACAGAAGGAGACGATCTTCAGCAGAAATCCTGTCTGCCAAGATACCTGAAGATGGTCACTGATTGCATTACCTGGGCAGCCTGACCATTCTTTAGTGATGGTTAATACTTTAGTTGCTGAATCCAGGTCACAGGCTCACGCTATTCAAACACAAATACGCCCTTAAGACAGGATTTGCAAGCAAAAAGACAGTGGGAAGGCTTTCCCCATTTGCCTCCCTTACTGCAGAGGAATATTTGAGGTCATTGGGAGAGTCAAAATGGCTTCAGGATTGCTCTCCTGCACTATTTCAGACACTTGGTTCATATATATGTGAATCTTGAGCTCTCTAAGTCCAATGCAAAGCCTTGCAGGCTGGGTTTTGCAGCTCCAGGGCAAAAACCACGTCACTGGTTTGACTTTGTGGGTCACAAAATATGGACATGTTTTATGCATGCATTTTAATGGGCATTTAAAAATAAGGATGAAATTCTCATGTACGCCTCTTGATAATTAAATCACAGCCTATTGCATCAGATGACCACATAACAATCCAAGCCAGTGGGCGCGTTCTGCAAATCAAGTCAGCTCAGATATCTGACACTGGCCGTTACAGTTGTATAGCCTCAAATATCGCTGGAGAGGATGAGCTGGAGTTTGATGTCAACATCCAAGGTAAAAAGGGTCTTGATTTCCACCTGCCTATCCATCTCTTTGGGTGATAAGAAAAACCCCAAATATGCCTCTGTTTACTTAATATGTTAAGAGCAATTGCTTGTACTCTTTATTAGCAAAATGGGTGGCTAGCATGCAGTTAGGTATATTGGGAGCAAAAATGGAAGGGAATAGGAAAGATTAAATGTCTTGTTCTTTTCTACTTGCCTGTTGCCCGTGTCATCTATCACAGTTCCCCCTAATTTCCGAAAACCGTCTGGAAGCTGGGAAGATGGTGATGTGCTGGATGGCCAGGGAGGAGGAGCGAAAGATGTGATCATGAATAATCCTCTTTCTTTGTACTGTGAGACGAATGCTGTTCCCCCTCCGGTACTCACGTGGTATAAAGACGGTTACCCTCTGAGTTCCAGTGATAAAGTATTGATCCTGCCAGGTCTGTATTAAACAGATGAGCAATTATGAATTAAGATGTCCACTCAACAGTCTTAAGAAAAGCATTTCTTCAAGGGCATTTTATATTAAGGTTATTGTTTGAAATCATTTGGGTAAACCTATGAACGCTGCAGGATGCCGAGATGCCCTGCACTTTCACTTTTACCTTGCATATTTATTTTTGTTACAATAATTAAATTAGCTCCCCCACCACACCCCAGTGTCCATAGCTTCATGTGCCATCACCACTCTGAGTTGTAGTAGAGAAATTTATGTGTGAGCTAATAAGAGATAAAGGGACCTGGGTGGCGCTGTGGGTTAAACCACAGAGCCTAGGACTTGCCGATTAGAAGGTTGGCAGTTCGAATCCCCGCGACGGGGTGAGCTCCCGTTGCTCGGTCCCTGCTCCTGCCAACCTAGCAGTTCGAAAGCACGTCAAAGTGCAAGTAGATAAATAGGTACGGCTCCGAGGGGAAGGTAAACGGCATTTCCGTGCGCTGCTCTGGTTCACCAGAAGCGGCTTAGTCATGCTGGCCACATGACCCGGAAGCTGTACGCCAGCTCCCTCGGCCAATAAAGTGAGATGAGCGCCGCAACCCCAGAGTCGGCCACGACTGGACCTAATGGTCAGGGGTCCCTTTACCTTTAATAAGAGATAATATGCTTCCAGTTCACACACACGAACACTGGCAACCACAAAACTAAGAATTGCAATACATAGGGTCTTTTGTAGGGAGTTTAATTCAGGGAAGGGCATTCAAAGTAATTCGCTAGTATTAAAACTAATTTTTTTTGGGGGGGGAATACCTTTGAGATCAGTTCCTCCCTTACTTTTTGTTTTTCCTGTACCATCTGCATGCCAAGTCCAAACATACAGAGATGTTTTCAGTGGCTGTTGTGCAGCCTTGAAGCTTCCTTGCCCCAGACACATTGCAGAATCTGAGTCTGAGCATTTCGCGGGTCTGCCGTAAGACTTTTGCGTGTGTCTGGCCGGCTCTCGCGTACTTTTTATATCGGCAATATGCATTATACGAAAACACCTTTTCTCATTGTTTTCTTTGGTTTCAAAGCATTGTGATCTTTCCTTTAAAATCCCCCAAAATGATTTAGGTCCAAAATGTAAATAAAACTTAATTTTGGAGGAAGACATGATGAAGGTTCAGTTATCTCTGCAAACAGATGCCTGCTTCTGCAGATGGAATTGGGTGCATGCTTTTATTTTAGGATAGGCTGTGGGTGGGGGGGGGATGCACAAGTATATCCATTCATTCAGGTCTTGGGAGAGATTTGTGTTTGGAATGCCAGAAAGTTCATTTTTGTGTTCTTTCTAGGAGGCCGTGTACTGCAGATTCCACGGGCGCAGAGTGAAGATGCTGGACGATACACATGTGTGGCTGTAAATGAAGCCGGGGAGGATTCCATCCAGTATGATGTCCGCGTGCTTCGTGAGCTCACCTTACTTTGTTCGATTTTAGCTATCCTCTAGCCTTTTTAATGTGGGGAAAGGGACATGGTAAAAACCTTTAAGAGTCTTGAGAGTTGTAAGGGATCCTGAGTGCCAGTGCAGAAACGGAACAGGCTTTCCTAAACTGGAAGGGGTTTTGTTCGTCTCGAGGCCCCAAGACCCACCCCCAAATAAATACACAACAGATACTTATATTAGCTTTTAAGTTTTTGGGCCAAATTTGTGGCCACAGCCTTTTTATTGACTACAATCACATGAGCGGTAATGGTACCTGCACGCCTCCAACTATCAGACGAGTTTTCGTTAGGCGTTCACAAACGAAACCTATGGCTTTCAAGACGGGTCAGCGAGTTTTGTGAGTTGTTGGCTTTTTCTAAACGCTAGCGCTAAGCGGACTCAGGCCTACCAATTCAGAGACTGTTAAACGTACATACAAATAGCCATGCCGTGGCTAAACGATGCTGCAACAAAAACTCCAACTACAGAAGGGGGTCCTAGGGTAAAAAACGAGGGCTAAGGTGCACATGAGGAGGCCAAGCCTATACTGGCTGCACCCTCAGGGTATGTCAATGGGTGGCACCAAAGAGGCAAGTCATGAGGGCCAACTCTAAGCCACCCTGGTTCCTGGGCCCAGCCTCAACGGCTTTCGACGAGATAACCCAATCCTTGGAATGAAAGTCTGGGCAGGTGATGGCCGCACCTCCCCTCCCCACAATCCAACTGAGCCAATGCCTAACCCCACCTTACAAGTTGTGACGATTTGCTATGGGGGTAGGCGAAAACCAAATGGCTAAAAGCTAATCTACCAAATGAAAAAATTCCTACCCAGCCCTATTCCCAAAACAGGCGACCCAAACCAAAGCAAGGCCAAGCGACTATACCCTAAACTAGGGAGGGTGGGCGGGTGTTCAGCCGTGCAAATCCAAGTGCCCCACTTGCACCACACTGCTGCTTTTAAAGCCCCTGGGATCACGCCACCAACTGGCTATTGGCTAAAACAGCCTGGCATGATCCCAGGGGAATGGCCAGGACTTTCTGCTCTCCCCCCCCCATTTTAACCCTGTCAGGTGAGCTCCAGGACCCTCTGTTATGAGGATCCCATTTGTGCAAACAGAACTCCCAGGCAGGCAAGAGCTTCATTCGCGACCCTTTTTTATATCTCAAAATTGTTGAAGCTATCTCTATCCCACCTCACCGTTGCAAAAAAGCATCTCCCAAGGCAGTTAACAAATAAACCATAAAACCTAGCAAACTAACATTGCACAGTGAAACTGCCATTCTAAATACGTTTTGTGGACCGTGTGCGCCCCCTTTTTTTGTCAGTGCATCACAAGGTTTTCTTTTGTGAAACAGGCATTTTGTGGTGCTTACGACAGTATCTTAGATTTCCAAATACGCCTGCAGCCCGTTCAAGGTTGGGAAGCCCTGAGTCATCAGCATAATCGTTCCCCCTGCCCCTGCCCCCCGATCCTAGGCTGTTCCATGTAAACATCCAGAGAGAATGAAGCAAATGGAATCTAACAATTGAAACTGCAAAGTTACAATGTTGGAGAGGCTGGCCCATTAGAGTGAATGGGGGACACTGCCCCATAACCTCAGTCTGCCTTCAGATGACTGTCAGCTTCCTCCTCAGTCCCAGCAGAATGGGGACAAAACTAGAATTACTTGGCTCCGCCTTTCATTGGCTCTTGCGCCACCTAGTGTTGGGCTCCCTGTCTTCTATCCTACCAGTCGAAATGGGCACCAGTCATCACTTGCTCGGCGACAAGCATGGCTTTCATAAGACCCCTAAATGCGCCTGAACGAAACTGAAATGGAAGGCTGGGCCTTGCGGTTCTTCCGAATGTGCAGATCCAGCTCTCAGTCTGCAGAAATGACTCTGGTGTGAGATCCCAGTGTGCCATGGCTGAGGCAAAAACGCTAGATGAGCTTATTTTCCCATTGTTTGCTTCTACATTTGTGACACAAACATGCTGCTGTTTAGTTCATCTACTGGGATATCTGATTGGCTTGTGAGAGAATGGTTGAAAATTGATTTCGCTTTTTCACAAAGCCCTATGCCTTTGGAGAGTCATTATTGACCTCACAGGGATTTTTAAAACACGCAAACCTATGCCTCCTATTCTAGACCGTGTAACATTCTCTGTATCTACTTGTAATAAAAGAGTTGTGTTTCAGTGCCTTTCCATGTAGGTGTGTGTGTGTGTTTTAATTAGGCCTTCATTAACAGCAAGGCCTAGGGCTACTGTGTTTCCCTGATAAATGTGTTAGATTAATCACTGAAAAGGTGCCCTCTCTGTTGAATTCTGTTATTTAATATTCAGCCAAGTTTCTTCTGCAATATATTTAAATCTAAAATACACGAATTTAAGGTTTTTTTTAGTCCTGATCAGTGTTTATGAATGGTGGCTTTAAGCACAGTAAGACTATTCAGCATCTTGGGGTATTAATCGGAAATCCAGATTCTATTTCACTCTCAATCCACTTTGGCCAGGCTTCAGCGGAGCTAAAATGGCTCATGTCCAAATGCTACATTATAACTCACTGTGAGTTATACATCTCAAAGTCATGGCTGTAACATGTCTGGATTGACCACTATAGTTTGCCATTACTGGCTTCTCCTCAGCCTGCATTCAAATGTGCAAATATGTGAGACGCTTGACATGATGGTTAGAAATTTCATGAAGAGAAACGCTTCCTCCTTGACATTTTCCATCGATTCTAGTGCCACCATCCATTCATGGAGCCAATGGAGACATGCCTGAAGAGGTCACTGTGCTGATAAGCAACATGGCGGTGATGGAATGTGTGGCCAATGGTAGCCCTAATCCAAGCATAACCTGGCAGAAAGATGGGCGGCTCTTAGTTGAAGACTCCCAGCACAAATTCTTAGCCAATGGAAGAACACTTCAGGTAAGTGGAGACACTTCAGTTAAATGAGGAATGACCAAATGGTTGTCAGTGGACCAGATCCAGCTTCAGAAGCAATTTGCTTTGTATAGAGCACCTTCCTTTTTCAAGTAGTGATTCTTGAATTTCCATTTATGGAAAGCAACTTCTGAGTGGGCCTACCCTACCATAAGATAGAATTCCTTAATATTCTTAAAGGTAAAGGTAAAGGTACCCCTGCCCGTACGGGCCAGTCTTGACAGACTCTGGGGTTGTGCGCCCATCTCACTTAAGAGGCCGGGGGCCAGCGCTGTCTGAAGACACTTCTGGGTCACGTGGCCAGCGTGACAAGCTGCATCTGGTGAGCCAGCGCAGCACATGGAAACGCCGTTTACCTTCCCGCTGGTAAGCGGTCCCTATTTATCTACTTGCACCCGAAGGTGCTTTCGAACTGCTAGGTTGGCAGGCGCTGGGACTGAACGACCCCGCCGCGGGGATTCGAACCGCCGACCTTTCGATCGGCAAGTCCTAGGCGCTGAGGCTTTAACCCACAGCGCCAGGTACTCCTTATATAAATGGTGTTTGATTGCTATGGGCCGTTCCTGTTCCCTTTCACCGTACAGTGGTACCTCGGGTTACATACACTTCAGGTTACATACGCTTCTGGTTACTCACTCCGCTAACCTAGAAATAGTGCTTCAGGGTAAGGACTTTGCTTCAGGATAAGAACAGAAATCGTGCTCTGGCGGCGCAGCGGCAGCAGGAGGCCCCATTAGCTAAAATGGTGCTTCAGGTTAAGAACAGTTTCAGGTTAAGTACGGACCTCCGGGACGAATTAAGTACTTAACCCGAGGTACCACTGTACTTAACTCAGTGCTATTACATCTTTTCAGAGATGGTAGGATTTCCCTCAGCAAATAGCCTCTGAGTTATATTCATCCTTCTTTTATAGCCCCTCTTTCTGACAGTGTACATTTTAATAAGCCTGTGCATCCTAGAATATACCTGGAATATAGCATCTACAAACACAGCTTACTAAGTGGTGACAGCTTACCACAGCAGGCAAATGACCATTTGATGAGGATAAAGTTACTATGCAGAGTAGTAATAGCTATAACCGATATTGATCGTTTAGCTGGGTTGCATGAGCCAGCATAGATATTTGACTAGACATTATTAATTTAGAATAAATGTCTTGTTTCAATGTCTTTATCTTCTCCCTCTAGATCCTCAGTTCCCAAATAACAGACACGGGCAGGTATGTCTGTACTGTGGAGAACACTGCAGGAAGTGCCAAAAAATATTTTAATCTTAACGTTCATGGTAAGATAGCTATTTTCTAAGATGCTGGCTGATTATATTCATAGAAAGAACAGTTGCAAAAAAATCTGTTCTAATGTTTTATTGACTGTGTTTGGATGTTGTGATAAACTATGGTTTTATTGTGGCGGGAAAGCCTCGGGAGTGCATATTCCTCTCCCTGCTTCTCTAGCAGCATGGCTCACAGGTAAAGATTGGAAAAACACACTTTCTATTTCAATTTACCACAGCTTAGTGTTATGCCTAAATCCTAAACTGTGATTAATCTAGATTAACTGTGGTTTGTTTGAAATAATAATATTTATTTATTTATACATACATACATACCCCGCCCATCCAGCTGAGTTTCCCCAGCCACTCTGGGCGGCTCCCAACAGAATATTAAAAACCTAATAAAACACCAAACATTAAAAACTTCCCTAAACAGGGCTGCCTTCAGGTGTCTTCTAAACGCCAGGTAGTTCTCTATTTCCTTGACATCTGATGGGAGGGCGTTCCACAGGGCGGGCGCCACTACCAAGAAGGCCCTCTGCCTTGTTCCCTGTATCCTCCCTTCATGCAGTGAGGGAACTGCCAGAAGGCCCTTGGAGCTGGACCTCGGTGTCCGGGCTGAACGATGGGGGTGGAGACGCTCCTTCAGGTATACAGGACCGAGGCCGTTTAGGGCTTTAAATGTCAGCACCAACGCTTTGAATTGTGTTTGGAAACGTACTGGAAACCAATGTAAGTCTTTCAGGACTGGTGTTATGTGGTCTCGGCGGTCCCTCCCAGTCACCAGTCTAGCTGCTGCATTCTGGATTAGTTGTAGTTTCCGGGTCACCTTTAAAGGCAGCCCCACGTAGAGCGCATTGCAGTAGTCCAAGCGGGAGATAACTAGAGCATGCACCACTCTGGCAAGACAGTCTGTGGGCAGGTAGGGTCTCAGCTGGTGTACCAGATGAAGCTGATAGACAGCTGCCCTGGAAACAGAATCAGCCTGCGCCTCCATAGACAATTGTTGTTGTTGTTTAGTCATTTAGTCGTGTCTGACTCTTTGTGACCTTATGGACCAGAGCACGCCAGGCACTCCTGTCTTCCACTTCCCCCCACAGTTCGGTTAGTAGCCAGCTTCATAAACCACAGTTAGAATTTGACTTCTTTCAAGCAAGCCATAGTTGAACTTTGTTGGGTTTGGACAACATAACAAGCTTCTCCTCATGACTGCACAGGAGCAGGAGAAGGGGAAGGGGAAGTAAATTTATGCATTTAACACAGCATCTGGTTTGCCCTTAATGTTTCTTGTCAACTGTGAACTCCATGTTGTTGTTTTTTAAAAGGCCTGTCTACCATTTCAAATGAAGCGATCCCTTTAGTTTAGCTCCATCTTTCTCTTAAAAAACTATGTAGGAAATTAATCCTTGGCTGGGACTTCCCTTGCAAAACAGGGCTGGGGATCTTTATGAGAAGGGCCACCCAGTTTGTGCTTTTTTCTGATGCAAAAAACATAGTCCTTCACTAGCATGAGTTATTTCCCTTCAGCGCCAAGATGTGAAGCATTTCCTGCCATTTCTTCCTGCTTTTAAAAACAATGGCTACTTTCCTAATATTAAATGAGGGATAAAGCAAGGCAACATTGCTTGAGACTTAAAGCAGAATACATGCTGTGTTCAGAAAATTGCAGTGCATTTCCAAGGCTCTGTGGGTTTGGTTGTTGATTTCCTGATATTTTCTCTCTACACCTCCTCTTGGTTACCTTATGTAACCTCATCAGTTCCCATTGCTTTCAGTACGTAACATATTTTGATGATACACAGCTATATCTCTCTACCCAAGATTTTTCCCCTCCGTCCAGCTCCACATCTCTGCTTGTCTGCCTGATTTATCCATTTGGTTGTCTCATCACCATCTCAAATTCAACATGTCAAAGACTGAACTCTTTAACTTTGCTCTCAAACCTTCCACTCTTTGATCCCTCTCCATATCCATTGACAAGCTTACTGCCCCTGGCTTTCTCTTCAACTCTTTATTTTGCTCTCTGCTCTCAGTCAGTTCCAAAGTATGTACAAAATACCAAAAAACAAATCATCTGTTCGAAACTCTGGCTCATGTTCTGTTCTTCTTGTGCTTTCACTATCCTAATCCTTGCTAGGCCTCCTAATTCTCTGAGTGGCCACAAAAGCTGCTCACCGTTGCAGCCACTTGTGGTGTTGCAGATGTGAGTGTGTGGGCATAGCCAGGGCCGGCCCGAGACATTTTGGCACCTGAGGCGAACCACGAAATGACACCCAACTCCCCACCAAGGAAGAAGGGGGGAATGAAAATCTGTGTCAGAAACAGGGGGGAATAAAGATCTACATGGGGGTCTGCCACCCTTTTGGATTCTGCTGCCTGAGGCAGTTGCCCCACCTTGCCTCATGGGTGGGCCGGCACTGGACATATTTCCCTTGGTAAACAAGCAAACAAAGGAACACATTTCTGGGCTTTCCTCCTGCATAAGATGGTTTCCAGCATTATGGTAGGAAAGACCCTGTCAATATTTTACTTTCCAGTCGCTTAGTGGAACTTAGTGTGGTTTTCCTGGCAAGTGTATAAAATTTGGGCTTGTGTATCTTTTGACAGTTCCTCCGAGTATTGTTGGCACGAACCCTGAGAATTTGACTGTTGTGGTGAATAACTTCATCTCCTTGACCTGTGAGGTCACTGGCTTCCCACCTCCTGATCTCAGTTGGCTCAAGAATGGAAAACCCATCAGCTTGAACACAAACGCTCTTATAGTGCCAGGTGAGCAAACTCTGCTATGGTGGATATTTCCCCCCATCAAGTGATTCCACTTCTTTTCCCAGGACCTTGTCAAAACTGACAAGGAAAGTTGATAGGCCAATTTTATGTTCACTCTGTTTTTCTTCATCGGTCCCTGCAGTGCCAGAAATACATTTGGCATAACATGTGTATGTAAAACGATATCATTTGAAGAAAAGCACAGATACCTAAAACCTTTCAAGGAACTGGAAGGAAATTTTATAATTATTTGGAAGAGTCGATGAGTTAACGTTGCTTTCTTGTTACCTGGTTCTTTTATTAGAACAGAGACTGTCCTCTATCCCAGTAACACAACAAGGAAGTCACTGATGGCCATTGCTGGCCATGTGACAATTTTTAGGGTTGTTTTTCTCACTTATTATTGGAAATCTTGACATTCTTCACTGTTACGGTGTTTTTTTCTGGAAGTACGTGCCTGTACGCAGTACTGGTGCCGCCCGCCTTCAAATCTTGCAATGCCCACAACAGGGCGAGGCATCGGAGGTGCCCATGACACAGTTGCCTGGCTGTCTCAAACACACACTGCCTTCCCACCCTTTCGATGCCACCAGAGGGCAGGGCCCAGAGCTTTTGGTGGGCATGGACGGAGGGAGAAAGAAGGAGCCTGGGGTGCAGGGATGTACGGATGTGGTCTCTGCAAGCCCACGCGTGCGTGGCTGAGTGGTAGTTCAGGCACAGTGTGGCCTGACCACTGTCAGGGAATAGGATAAGGGCTGTTTGTCTGGTTCATTGGGTGGTGGTCAAAGCCTGTGAACTAAAAACACACACTAAGATCAGTGTGTATCACATGCGCAGCAATAGCATCTGTCATGAATCTCTCTCCACATCTCTTCTAAAAACATACCCCCTCTCTCTCTTTTGCCCCTGTTGCAGTTCAACATGAAACTTTTATAAAATTCTGTTGAAGTAGTAGTGATCTGATAACCCGTCTGAACAGCTCTGTCAACTTTGACAAAGCCAGTGTGGTGTAGTGGTTAAGAGCAGTAGACTCGTAATCTGGTGAACCGGGTTCGCTTCCCCGCTCCTCCACATGCAGCTGCTGGGTGACCTTGGGCTAGTCACACTTCTGTGAAGACTCTCAGCCCCACTCACCTCACAGAGTGTTTGTTGTGGGGGAGGAAGGGAAAGGAGAATGTTAGCTGCTTTGAGGCTCCTCTTCTCTTCATTTCAGGGGGCCGCACGCTGCAGATTCCTAGGGCACGTCTGTCCGATGGTGGAGAATATGTCTGCATAGCCAGAAACAGCGCTGGAGAAAGCAGGAGAAAGAGCTTCCTTACCATTTATGGTGTGTTTCTGCAGCTTTAAAATGAAATAATATTGAAAGTGGGGGAAATGTTAATGTCTAATCATTCTGAGTACGTTTCTGGGCACAATTAATCCAGAATGCAGCAGCTAGACTGGTGACAGGGAGTGGCCGCCAAGACCATATAACACCAGTCCTAAAGGATCTTCATTGGCTCCCATTACATTTCCAAGCACAATTCAAAGTGTTGGTGCTGACCTTTAAAGCCCTAAACGGCTTAGGCCGAGTATACCTGAAGGAGCGTCTCCACCCCCATCATTCAGCCCAGACACTGAGATCCAGCGCCGAGGGCCTTCTGGCGGTTCCCTCCCTGCGAGAAATGAGGTTACAGGGAACCAGGCAGAGGGCCTTCTCGGTAGTGGCACCTGCTCTGTGGAATGCCCTCCCATCAGATGTCAAGGAAATAAACAACTACAGTGGTATCTTGGTTTATGAATTTAATCCGTTCCAGAAGTCCGTTCTTCAACCAAAGCATTCTTAAACCAAGGCGTGCTTTCCCATAGCAGTGGGGTACTCAATTTACACTCAACAGGAAGCGAAACATGTTCTGCTTCCAAGACAAAATTCACAAACCATAACACCTACTTCTGGGTTTGCATCGTTCTTAATCCAAGTTGTTCATAAACTAAGCTGCTCTTAAACCAAGGTACCACTGTATCTGACTTTTAGAAGACATCTGAAGGCAGCCATGTTTAGGGAAGTTTTTAATGTTTGATTCTATTTTTAATATTCTATTGGGAGCTGCCCAGAGTGGCTGGGGAAACCCAGCCAGATGAGCGGGGTATGAATAAATTATTATTATTATTATTATTATTATTATTATTATTATTATTATTATTATTATTATTCCTCTTTAAGGTAGCGATTCTTCCTTCTGGTGAAAGCCAGGGAAATAACATTGCTTATATTCCCTCCCACTAAGTCCCTCCCAGCATAAAAGACCACAGTGGAGCAGCGCTCTCCGTCGTGAATGTGCGAGTGGGAACTCCGGTGACATTAGAGTGCGAATCCAATGCTGTTCCACCTCCTGTCATCAGCTGGTACAAGAACGGGCGGATGATTGCAGCCTCATCTAACATGGGGATCGTAGCTGATGGGCAGATGCTTCATATTACAGCTGCTGAGGTGTGCTATTCTGCTTTTTAAAAAAACTTGCAGCCCATTTTTTATAACATGAATTAGGTCTTCGTCTTGCCAAAGGCAAGGTGGTTCTTTTAAAATGAGAGATTCAGAAGCAATACAAAATACACAAGTGAGTGAGAAGATCAAAGGTTTTATTTTAAGACAGCAAGCAATGTATACATACCAAGCAAGCACTTCAATCTGTGACTTGGAAGCCCTCAAGAAGTGGCAAAATGACTCCCCCAGGTAACCTCAATTTGCACAGCCCTGCAGCCGATCAGTCTGTGAGCTTCAGAGAAACTCTGTCAAACTTGTCCGGTTTTATAGATAGCCTGTGTAGCTTGCCAGACTGGCTACATGCAGATCACTAACTGCTTGAAATACATTTTGCCTTCCGGATGCATTTCCCATAGAGTCTTCAATTGACATATGCTAAATGCAAAAAAAAAAAAAAAAAGACGCGGGTGGCGCTGTGATCTAAACCACTGAGCCTAGGGCTTGCCGATCGGAAGGTCGGCAGTTCGAATCCCCGCGATGGGGTGAGCTCCTGTTGCTCTGTCCCAGCTCCTGCCAACCTAGCAGTTTGAAAGCACACCAGTTCAAGTAGATAAATAGGTACTGCTCCAGCAGGAAGGTAAACGGTGTTTCTGTGCACTGCTCTGGTTTCGCCAGAGTCATGCTGGCCACATGACCCGGAAAAACTGTCTGCAGACAAACACCGGCTCCCTTGGCCCGTAAAGTGAGATGAGCGCCGCAACCCCAGAGTTGTTCGCGACTCGACTTATTTTACCTTTACCTTTTTAAATGCAAAAATAGCAGTACATTGGAGCAGAGTGATAAAGGAAGAGATGATGGGGGGGGGGAACCAACCATCTAGCCTCAAAGCCCTTTCTATAGTTTGGGGTTATAAGCAGAGCCTCATTTACATACTCATTAATTAGCAGACCACAGAAGATAAGTTTCATTCGCTTCCCTACTGCCCGTATTGATTTTTTTTGCATGGCCAGTTGCATATTTGAATAAATTGTCATGATCAGTAGTCATGGGCATACATGGGGAAATGTAAGTAGCTCATTTTACGCATATTTCACCTTTGTATGCCAGCCAATTTTTGTAGCCGGTTTGCTTTCCTATTCAGAAACAAGAGCATGGATTGAAAAAAGAAGTGTTCGCCTTTTTGCCTTAAAAGCAAGCAAGAAAATAAAGCTTTAAAGGGAACTGGTCTATTTATAAAACATTTGCAACTGAATCAGCCCATCAGAACAATATTTTTTTAAAAAAAATCTGCAAGAGAATATCTTTATTAGGACCAACTAAAAAAATTACAAAATAGTCAGCGTGGGGTCATGGTAAAAAAGCCTTAGTGTGTGCCATGGTGTGATTTCAGAAACATAGAAAACGTGAGTTCAGAATTAAAATTGAAAATGTTCTCAAGGTGCCTGAGATAGTATGCTTAGGATGAGATCATAGTATGTGTTTTTGAATGGCCCATGTTACAAGACTGTATTCCCCCCACCCCACCCATAGATAATGCATGAGCACTATATCCACTATGGTGGTTGTTATTACAGTATCCTGTTAGCAAGATGTTGTTTTTTTTTAAATCAAAAATTTGAAGCTGTTAATTAGGAAAGTGGTTTGCATATCCTTTTCCTTCTTGTATTCTCAGGTGTCTGATACAGGCCAGTATGTATGTAAAGCCATAAATATTGCGGGACGAGATGATAAAAATTTCCATCTTAACGTTCATGGTAAGCTTATACTATGTTAACCTTTAGCACATGGGTCGGCAAACTAAGGCCCGGGTGCCGGATCTGGCCCATGGACGCTCTGGGAATTGCCGCGTGGATTGGCACGGGGATTGTGATCATTTGGGCTGTGCCAATTTCTCCCCTCTCCCTCACACACACCATGGCGGCGCCTCCTCCCTCACTCCTCCTGGCTTTTCCCTGCCCTGCCTAGAGGAGGAAGGGGGCTGGGCTTTGTTGAGCTGCAGTTGGCAGAGCACCATTTTAAGCAGCCCCTCTCTGGAGCCAGCCCTTTTGCGCCGCTCATTGTCCCTCTCAGCCGCCAGCCCCTGCTGCTCGCAAGGCACAGGTAAGCAGCCACCATGGCTTGTCCACTGCTGTGGAGAAGGGGGGGGGAGTCGTGGGGGGGATTCCCCCCCCTAAATATAGTCCGGCCCACTACAGGGTCTGAGGGACAGTGGACTGAACCCCTGCGGAAAATGTCTGCTGACCCCTGCTTTAGCGACTTGCGTGCCAAGGCACCCAAGCCCCAAAGTTCCCAGAAGAACAATAAAACACACTGACACAGAGTATTTTGGTTTATGGGTTCAAATAGGCCACAACGTTATTGGTTATGGATGTGAGTGGTTTGGCTTAGGCATTGGGGTGAAGTCAGGCTATATCTTGATTCCTGCCCATCTGCAGGGAGTCAACGGAAGGGTAAACCACTGATAGGGGGCGCCCTATGACTTACATCAGATAGTACACAAAATGAATGAAATACCGTGAAAATCCCTGAAACAAAAAGTAATCGACTAGAAATATTATCTTATAGAAATAAAATAAATAATAAAAATCAAAAAGTTTAAGGTAAAAATTAGAAAAACCTAGAATTGAACAAAGCCTTAACTGGATGCCGGCTACAAACCTCGTTTCACTGAACTATTCAGTTTCCTCAGAAGGAAATAGAGAAATCATAAACCTTAAATGACCAAATTCAAAGAAAGAGGGTAAAACTCCCAAAAATTCTGAAGTATTATAATCCTAGCTCGACCTAGGTGAAGCAAAGTGCAGTAATAAAGGATTAAGGACTCAACGGTACAGTTTCTAAAACTGAGTTTACAAAAAGGGTTTGAAAACCTAAATGGCAAGTTTTAGACACAGCCCAACTTGAAGAAAGCCAAGCACAGCAATAAAGAGTTGAGGACTCAGCTGTGAAATTTTTAGTATTGCCTTTACAAAAAGGTTTAAAAAACCTAAATGGCACAAATTCAAAGAAAGGAATACAAGATAAGCTGTTTTCGATTTTAAAGAAACTCAAGAGCAGGGCTGAAATGCTCCCATGGTCTAGATATTCCTTCTGATGTTAAAGACTGATACAGGGCTGTGACATGGCCCTAGCCCACGTCCAGGCTTTTGACAGAATTCACACCCCGGATCTTTTAACAGGATACCCTTACTGAGGAGAGGCAGGTGAAGGCAACAACCTCCCCTCCAACCAAACAAAGGCTTACCCAATGCCTAACCTCACAAAAGTTGTGATAATTGATACTAGGTAGGCGAAAACCAAATGGCCGGTGCCAATTTGCCAAGTGGAAAAATTCCTATCCAGCCCCAACAACATGGCGACTGACAATTGTCCATAGCAAGGCCATATCAGAGCAAAGCGTGAAAAGAGGGCGAGTGGTTTGGGTGATCCAACCAAGAGGCTAGGAAGAGTGGGCCGGCCAGCCGTGCAGCGATTAAATCACCCGTGGCCACACCCACCCTGCCAGCTGATTGGCTGGGGCCGTCTTCCAGCACAGATGACGCGGCCGGCCGTGACGTAGTGCGGAAGGCAGCGTACCTCTCCACCCTACGCCGGAAAACTGTTGAGGCTTGGCTGCCTGGCCGCAACGCCGGCCACCGGGTAAAAGGTCAGCAGACTTAAACAACAGACCGACCCATATTAGATATACCGTATTTTTCGCTCTATAGGATGCACCTTTTCCCCTCCAAAAATTAAGGGGAAATGTGTGTGCGTCCTATAGAGCGAATGCAGGCTGCGCGGCTAAGCCCAAAGCCAGAACAGGGAGACGGAGCGCTGCGCAGCTACAAAGGCTGTCCCCCCCAGCCCTGGTCTTTGGGGCTGGCAGTGGGGGAAAGCAGCGCTTCCCCCCGTCAGCCCCAAAGAAGAGGTTGAAAGGAACCCTCCGCTGGGCTCCGGAGGCTTTGGGTGAACGCACCTTGAACGTACAGAACACTTTGTTTTAGAGGGGGAGAACAAGAATCCCCCCCCCCCCGTTCTCCCCCTCCTATGGTCCAGTGCGTCCTATAGAGCAAAAAATACGGTAGTTAATCAACCTACTTTGCTGTGCATGGGGTGCTTCTTAATTATGTTTGTGCTTATGGTGATTGCATAACGGGAAGCTATGGCTGGCTGGAGAGAGAAAAGGGGGCAGAGCGTGGGGTCTCCCGTCAGAGCATCTCATTCTCCCAGATGAGCCTTTTGGGTTATTACCTACATGTGTCTTACCATTGTTCTCATTCACAGTGCAACCCCAGCATTGAAGGCCCTGACCTGGAGTGGATCAATGAAACCATCAGTAACCCTGTGACCTTTTCGTGTGACGCTACTGGAATTCCTCCACCAACGATAACGTGGCTTAAGGACGGGAAGCCCCTCGGTAATACGTTCTGCAGCTTCCATAGCCATTAGTCATTTTAAATGGTCAGACCAGATGTGAAATGGGAAATAAAGCGGGTTGTGTTTGGCTACAGTGGAGGTGACCCTCAGGGTTCTTGAATATGGCTTCCAGAGATGACCCTGTTTCTTACTGAGCTACAGTCAGCAAAAGAGACAGGAAGACAGGCAATTGGGGGGGGGGGTCTTTCACTGCTCTAGCCTCTAGGTTTTATGGTTTTTCTCGTAGTATGAAACTCCCCCTCTACTATTTTAAAGTAATCACTATTGCAAGTACCGTATTTTTTGCTCTATAGGACGCACTTTTTCCCCTCCAAAAATGAAGGGGAAATGTGTGTGCGTCCTATGGAGTGAATGCAGGCAGCTATCCGCAAGCCTTCGGAGCCCGGCACGAGTTCCCTCCGGGCTCAGAAGGCTTGCGGATAGCAGCAAGCTCCGGGAGCGAAGGCGAGGTTGCGTGCAACCTTGCCTTCGCTCCCGGACCCATTCTTGGGGCATGGGGTTGGGGGAAGCTCGGGCTTCCCCCGCCCCAGCCCCGCAGCTAAAAATGAATCTAAGACAGCTAGCGGGATCCATCCCGCTCTGTCTTGGCTTCTGCCAAAGCTGCAGTCAGCCTCTCCTGGCTGGAGAGATTGTGTGTGGCTAAAGAGGAAGCCAAGACAGCCAGTGGGATGGATCCTGCTCGCTGTCTTGGCTTCTTTGCTCTTTGGGGCTGGGAAAAAAAAATAATTTCCCCCCTTTATTTCCCCCCCTAAAAACTAGGTGCGCCCCATGGAGCGAAAAATATGGTAATCAGAACTTCTTCAAAAGCTGGATTTCTCAAATGGTGGAAATGGGTGCCATTTTGTGACATGGCAAAGAGAGCAAAGAACAGATTGCTACCTATTAATTCAGGGCCCCTGAGTCAGCAGTGTTCAGTTAAGTGTCAGAGTCTGAAAGTCAGTTGACTCACCTACACCAAGTCTAGTGAAAGGATCATAGACTGTAGGTGACTCTCCCCAGCCAGCCTGTCATTCCAAGATTGGGGACTCACCTGCAGGCCTGTCGTTCTAAGATTAAGGGGGCTGGGTGGGAAGGAAAGCGGAGTGAACCAAATGGGGCATATAGGCCTTTTGTTTCCGTTCCCTAATTAAGTATAGGTATATGGTGGCTGGTTTTATTTTTTAGAAATGGTTTACAAGTTTGAGGTGAGAATGATCCAGTTTGTAACAAACTGAAACTTCTGCGGTCTGATTTCTTCTTGTTTCCCTGCTTTTAGAAAACTCTGCATCCCTCGAAATGCACATTTTGTCAGGAGGCAGCAAGCTGCAAATTGCCAGGTCTCAGCATTCGGATAACGGGAATTATTCCTGCATCGCTTCAAATGTGGAAGGCAAAGCTCAGAAATTTTACGTTCTTTCTGTTCAAGGTATGTTTGTGTATACTCTCCTATTGGCTTGTGTCCAACATAACATTTAGTGAATGTTCCATATGCTCAAGGAATGCTCTCCCTCTCTCTACCTCTCATGTGACCCCTAAATGTGTTTGTTGAATACCACCCATGGTACAACTTCGCTATACCCTGACAGCATGACATTTCACATTCTTCCCCTCCAGCAGCAACCGGCAATTTTGAGCAGGAGTTGGAAAAAGCAGAATGTCATGGTGGTTAACAGTGTTGATAGGTTTTACTAGACTTTGTTACTTGTACAAACATTGGCAGACCTTTAGGTGTGAAATATACTCGGAGTCCTGTACTGATTTCATTCTCTTTATTGCAGCTTGTAAAACAGTGATTGAATTGCCCCCCAAACCTCAAGCTTTTATATACATTATTTACACAATGAGTCTGATTGGCTGATTCTGCTTCCCTCCTGGAGCCTGATTGGTCTTCTCCTGCAAGCCAACCAGTTGTTGCAGTCTAGGATCCTACTTGCCTATTGCTCTAGGATCCAAGCTTAGTACATACATACAGGGTGGCAGATGTGCTTAACCCAGGGGTTGCCAATGTTTGTGCTCTCCAGGTATTGTTCAACTACAACTCCCATCATCCCATGCTGTCCATGCTCGCAGGGGCTGATGGGAGTTGAAGTCCGTCAACACCTGGATTCACATGGAGGTATTACTAATACACATTTCCACCATCTTAAAGTTCCTCCAGATATTGCCGGCTCGGAAATGCCAAGTGACGTCAGCGTCATCCTTGGGGAAAACATCCAGCTTTCCTGTAAGGCCCATGGAATTCCGGCACCTGCAATTCAGTGGCTGAGAGATGGAAAACCAATTAGTGGCGGTGAATCTCCGCGGATAAGGTTAAGTGTTGCATTTTCTCGTTCTGAAGCAAGCCAGAGTCTGAGCAGGAGTTAAAACAGAGAAGGGGAATAGAGGCGAGGAAGCATAGAAGGGAAGATATATGGGGGAATGCCAGGATAGTGGGAAGACCACTGCCATTTTTTCTAGAACAAAAGCACTGCTTTTTGCCCCAAAGAGCCCATCTCATCACAAGGTGGTATTAAAATCGGCTTATTTTGTTCCAACTCCCTCTTGCAAACCAACTAACCTGTCTTACATTATTCTTTCTTTGATGCTTCTCTTCTGCTTTTGTTGCTGTTGTTTGGCCATTTAGTCGTGTCCGACTCTTCGTGACCCCATGGATCAGAGCACGCCAGGCACTCCTGTCTTCCACTGCCTCCTGCAGTTTGGTCAAACTCACGCTGATAGCTTTGAGAACACTGTCCAACCATCTTGTCCTCTGTCGTCCCCTTCTCCTTGTGCCCTCAATCTTACCCAACATCAGGGTCTTTTCCAGGGAGTCTTCTCTTCTCATGAGGTGGCCAAAGTATTGGAGCCTCAGCTTCAGGATCTGTCCTTCCAGTGAGCACTCAGGGCTGATTTCCTTAAGAATGGATAGGTTTGCTCTTCTTGCAGTCCATGGGACTCTCAAGAGTCTCCTCCAGCACCATAATTCAAAGCCTCAATTCTTCGGCGATCGGCCTTCTTTATGGTCCAGCTCTCACTTCCATACATCACTACTGGGAAAACCATAGCTTTAACTATACGGACCTTTGTTGGCAAGGTGATGTCTCTGCTTTTTAAGATGCTGTCTAGGTTTGTCATTGCTTTTCTCCCAAGAAGCAGGCATCTTTTAATTTTGTGGCTGCCTTCTTTATGGTCCAGCTCTCACTTCCATACATCACTACTGGGAAAACCATAGCTTTAACTATACAGACCATTGTCTTTGTCCATGGAGTTTTCTTGGCAGGGATACTGGAGTGGCTTGCCGGTTCCTGCTCCAGGTGGATCATGTTTGGTCCAAACTCTCCACTATGGCCTGTCCATCTTGGGTGCCCTGCACGGCATAGTTCATAGCTTCTCTGAGTTATTCAAGCCCCTTCGCCACGGCAAGGCAGTGATCCATGAAGGGGATCACTTTTATTTTGGCACAATCTTCCTTTCTTCGGTCTCCCTTTCTCTCTCTCTTTTTTGGGTATATAATTTTAGTAAATTTTCTGTTTTACAATTTAAAACACTCGTTTTACATCCTTAAGATATCAGTGGCTTCCTTTCTTCTCTTTCAGTGGTTCATTTTACATACCATAAATCCCTGCATATTTTGCAAAAACTATACCATTCAGTATTCCATTATTGCATCCATCAGAACTTGTTCACACTATTGAATTTATCTTAATGCTGCCGGCGTTTTCAGCCGCACACAATTATTTCCCATATATGCAGTAAAGGTTTTCCAATCTTCTCTCAACATATGTTCTTCTTGTTCTCTTATTCTGTAGGTTAAGTCTACGAGTTGTGCATATTATGTCAATTTAACTTGCCATTCTTCTTTAGTTGGGACCTCGTTCGTTTTCCATTTTTGGGCTAACAAACCCTGTCTCCCCTTCTCAGCTTCCCTACTTCTTATATCTCTGTTTCTCACACTTAATTCTGATAGCTTGCATGAACAGGAGGACAAACTTGCTCACTCTTCTCTGCTATAAGGATGGTTAAGGTAATTTCTGACAGATATTGAGCCAATCCAGAAAATGATTAGAGTGAAAGGAGAGTAAAGTTAAGATAGAAGAAGAGATTAAAGAAATAATGAAATGCATTTAAGCTAGTTGGAAAAATAAAGTAGCGTAACCAGAACGGCTGGAAGTCAAGTCACTTGGTGGGTGTCCGTGGGGAGCAAGGTGTGTAGGTATGTTGATATGTATAGTATAGGTAGGTATTATATAGAGTAATGTAGATTTGTTTTATGTTATGAAAATAAGGTAGCGTGCTATGTACGTGTATTGTGTAAATGTATATGTGTTTTATATGTTAATAAAATAAAAAAATTATTTTAAAAAAGGATGGTTAAGGTAATTTATAGGTGGGGAATTTTGAACACTTCAAGCTGGGTGTGTTTAGCGTGGAAAAGAGGAGAGGCAGAGGAGATATGATTGTCATCTTCACATGGATTCGAGTTACAAGAAAGGAGTTTCCGACTTAACATCAGGAAGAACTTTCTGACAGTAAGAGTGGTCAGTAGAATGGATTCCTTCGGGAGGTTGTAGACACTCTTTCACTGGAGGTTTTTAAGCAGAGCTTGGATGGCCATCTGTGATGGGTGCTTTAGTTGAGATTCCTGCATTGTAGGGGGTTGGACTAGATGACCCTCAGGGTCCCTTCCAACTCAACAGTTCTATGATTCTAAGATGCAATGTGGTCACTAGGCATTGTTATACTCCAGGGGTCGGCAAGGTTTACTGGCCATGGGCCTGATCACTCCCACGGAGATCGTCTGTGGGCCAGACTGGTGCAGCGTGATGCTGGAAATCGCTTCTGCGCATGCCCAGACACTGGAAAATGCACCTGCACAGATTTTTGGCTTCTGGACATGCTCAGACGCAATTTCTAGTATCTGCGTGTAATGGGAATTGGGGGTTGCTCGTGCGTAAGTTGCCGCCACTCTCGGCGAGGTTGCCTGGATAAACCTTTCCCTGGCTGGACAGTCCTGATTCCGCGTCTGTCTCAGTCACTGGCAGAATCCGTCAGTGGGCGTTTCCTGAACTTCTTCCAACTTAAAAGTTCCTTGACAGATAGTCTCCGCCTAGCCTCCCTGCGCGGAAGTCTTCTGCGCAGGGTGGGTGTGGGCAGTGGAGGACCCGTGCTCTCCCCGCTGGTCTCTGGCGAAGAGTCCTGGAGCCATCTCTCCGAAGCCCGCCTCTGCCCGCCTTTCTCCCTGGTGTAACGCTGATTTCCTTCCCCAGTCGCTGAGTCCCCTCTTTTCCTGCTGGGACCTTCTCCGGCATCGCTTGGGAGCCCTTCCTCCACTCCTGGCTGCGATGGCAGTTCCCTGACACTGCGTGTGCACAGACACGATTTTTGGCGCTGCTTAACCAGCACAGCGCAGCGCGGGGGACTCAGCAAGGGGGAGGCTCATGGGCTGGTGAAACAGTCTTCGTGGGCTGCATCCGGCCCATGGGCCGCATGTTGCCAACCCCTGTTATACTCGGTTTAATAATAATAATAATAATAATAATAATAATAATAATAATATTTTTTGTTATATCTTGCCCTCCCCAGCCAAGGCTGGGCTCAGGGCGGCTAACAAGCAATAATAAAAACAAGTTGAATGAATACAACTTAAAAACAACATTAAAATATTGAAACATTAAAATATTAAAATGTAGCCTCCTCGCAGGAGGAGAAGGAAAAGAAAAAAGAGAGAGAGGCAGGGAATCAAATTGGCTCCAAGCCAAAGGCCAGGCGGAACAACTCTGTCTTACAGGCCCTGCGGAAAGAAATCAGATCCTGCAGGGCCCTGGTCTCATGAGGCAGAGTGTTCCACCAGGCCGGGGCCAGTGTTGAAAAGGCCCTGGCTCTGGTTGAAGCTAATCTAACTTCCTTAGGGCCTGGGACCACTAGGGTGTTGCTATTTACGGACCTTGAGGCTCTCCGCGGGGCTTACCGGGAGAGGCGGTTTACCGCAAATTATAAGAAAATCTCGATTCAAGCTTATTTCTCTCGGTCTTAAGATTAACATCTTAACTCAGACGCTTCTAATTATTCCATTTTCTGTGATTCCTTCTTTTAGCTTGGCTCCAGATGGCAGCCTGCTCAGCATTGTTGGAGCCCTCACAAGCGATGTAGGGAAATATACTTGTGTCGCTAGCAACCCTGCGGGGGAAGAAGACCGAATTTTTAATGTCAATGTATATGGTGAGTATTGTTATTAAGTGTTTTTCTTTTTAGCATGATAAGGTTAGAAGCACCTGTCTTATAATTCTCTGAATGATAAACATGAGTTTTCTTTTTTGACCAACCATGATTTGCCAATGTTTTTATGTTGATTTTATTCGTACATGGTGTACTTCACCTTGAAATATTTTTTTATAAAGGTGCAGATTATAAACAAACAGATAAAAATCAAATCTGCAGTGTAAAGGAAGAAGAGCTCATGGAAACGCAGTTATTTTGCTAATAATAATGTTAACTAAACAGGCTAGGGGAAATTAAGCATTATGGCTGGCTAATGTAAAGATCTTTGGGGCTTAAAACTACGAAGAATTTCATATAGCTCATAGGTGCTCCAGGTATAGGGCAGGTGGGCGTGGCTTGTCCAAAATTGCTTCACAGGTCAAACTGTGAAGTCTGGGCAGACCAAGTTTGGCCCATGGGCTTTAGGAGATTATTCACCCCATGTTCTAAGAGGACAAGCCCAGGAAAAATGTATGCTCAGCCACACAACTATTTAATCCCATTGAACCTTAAAGGTGTTTGCGTGTCCCATTACCTGGAAATTCGATGGAAGCTTTAAAATTACTAAAAGTTTTCAGTCTCAGAGAATTGAGTATGCTGAAGACTCATTAAAATATTTGTTAGGGAAACACAAAACAATCTTTTGTACAGTCATAGTTTTATCCTCCCAACTTATGATTTTCCAGTTTGATTCTTGAGACTTCTAGAAGTTCACCTATGGTGAGAGAAAGCTTCAAATAAATTTTAATAATAATAATAATGAATGATAATAATTAATAATACAAGTTGCCAACTTCCACTGCAGGTTATTCTACAGGAAGTCAAAGTAACTGATGCTTTTCTGATCCAAGCTTTTTAAAAGAAAAGCCGTTTCCTGACATTTCGTTAATATTCATTTAATTGTATCTATAGGTCTGGCTGAGCTGAATATTTTCCAGCGAACATTTTCTGGGAGGGGCGTGAGAAAAAGTGTCGTAAAAGATCCTAGCAGCTTATCTATCATTCTGCACCAGTTTGCTGCTGTTCTCAGTCTCAGAAATGCCATTTCTTTTCTTCCTAGTTGTGCTGGCATCAACACAGCCAACTCTATGATGAGTGAGGGCAAATGAGGCTAATTCGTAGTGAGGGTAGATCTTCTTGAATAGGCTTTGTTGGAATGTTCAGTGGAGAGCATTCAGTGCAGCTGCCAAAGCAAATTAGCCCCTGGTAGTGTGGGTTAAACCACAGAGCCTAGGACTTGCCGATCAGAAGGTCGGCGGTTCGAATCCCCATGACGGGGTGAGCGCCCGTTGCTCGGTCCCTGCTCCTGCCAACCTAGCAGTTCGAAAGCACGTCAAAGTGCAAGTAGATAAATAGGTACCGCTCCGGCGGGAAGGTAAACGGCGTTTCCGTGCACTGCTCTGGTTTGCCAGAAGCGGCTTAGTCATGCTGGCCACATGAGCCGGAAGCTGTATGCCGGCTCCCTCGGCCAATAAAGCGAGATGAGCGCCGCAACCCCAGAGTTGGCCACGACTGGACCTAATGGTCAGGGGCCCCTTTACCTTTTAGTGCTACCAAAAGTGCTTTTGAGTGATAAGAAACAAGTGTGGTGCATTAAACATTTTCTGGGTTCTCTATCTCTCTCTGTGGATCATATATGTAACATATACAGTGGTACCTCAGGTTACATACGCTTCAGGTTACATATGCTTCAGGTTACAGACTCCGCTAACCCAGAAATAGTACCTTGGGTTAAGAACTTTGCTTCAGGATGAGAACAGAAATTGTGCTCTGGCGGTGCGGCGGGAGCAGGAGGCCCCATTAGCTAAAGTGGTGCTTTAAGTGGGTTAAGAACAGTTTCAGGTTAAGAACAGACCTCCGGAACAAATTAAGTACTTAACCCGAGGTACCACTGTAAAGGTACCTATTTCTATTGAACACTGTGCATAGACACATATGCTGAATAACTGTGACTCTTAGATGGTGCCAATTTGTTATGGAAACTGGCTAGTCTTGGATCATTCTCTGGAGAGCAGAGTAGTCTCCAAGTACATTCCTCTATTTAGCCCCTTTCCTCTCAGCCTCACTTCTCCCTCTCCTGGTGCCTTGGGACTGGACCAAGAACGGACTGCCTATGAGTCAGCGTTCATGCATTTCCGAGAAGTGTGTGAATTGTGGTTTCTGGAAAAGCAGAACTCAGTGGGTCATGGTTGCACCTCGTAACTGCAGGGTCCAGTTGACTAACGTCAAGACACAGTAGCTATCATTTGTGCTTCCTTTGATGGCCGAAGCAAGATCTGTTTCTGGCCACAGGCACAATTATGTGAAATTATGTGAAAGATTTATAAAGAAATTCAACATGACGATTATCTGGCTAAAGGAATAGCATCCTCAAGCATCCTGACTTTCAATAGTGTTTGGTTTGGAAGACTGTGGGGAATGTCTCCTTGGATTAGGAAAGTGTTATTACTTCCATCTTGGGGTTCAGCATAAGGTGAGCTTCATCAGGATTTTTTTTAGCATCTACCGTTTAACGTATAAGCCTGGCCAATACAGTGGTACCTTGGTTCTCAAACTTAATCTGTTCCGGAAGTCAGTTCCATAACCAAAGCGTTCCAAAAACAAGGCACGCTTTCCCACAGAAAGTAATGCAAAATGGATTAATCCGTTCCACACTTTTAAAAACAACTCCTGAAACAGCAATTTAACATGAATTTTACTATCTAACGAGACCATTGATCCATGAAATGAATAAATAAATAAAATAAATAAATTTTATTTATATCCCGCCCTCCCCAGCCGAAGCTGGGCTCAGGGCGGCTAACAACAATCAAAATAGTCCAACATTCTAAAAACATTCATTATAAAATTAATTAAATCAAATTAAAATCAAATTAATGGCAACCATCAAGCAAAATTTTTTGCAGATTGCCAGAGGAGGGGGTCAGGCTGTGCCCTGGCCAAAGGCCTGGTGGAACAGCTCTGTCTTGCAGGCCCTGCGGAAGGATGTCAGGTCCTGCAGGGCCCTAGTCTCTTGTGACAGAGCGTTCCACCAGATTGGAGCCGCAGCCGAGAAAGCCCTGGCTCTCGTTGAGGCCAGCCTAACCTCTCTGTGGCCTGGGATCTTTAGGATGTTTTTATTTGCAGACCGTAAATTTCTCTGTGGGACATACCAGGAGAGGCGGTTCCGTAGGTACGAGGGTCCTAGGCCGTATAGGGCTTTAAAGGTTAAAACCAGCACCTTAAACCTGATCCTGTACTCCACCGGGAGCCAGTATAGTACCGGATGGATATGATCTCGCAGCGAAGACCCCATAAGGAGTCTCGCCGCGGCATTCTGCAATAAACGATGTACTGCAGTCACACAGTCAATCCATCAGTAGCCGAACTGGGTTCCACACAGTCACAAAAGCAAAGCAAAAAAGCCCCCAAAACAAAAACACAAAATAAATAGCAAAAGCAGACAGACCTCAGCGTAACACTCAAAACGGAAATGTGGCACTCAAATTGGAAACGTAACACTCAAAACAGAGCACATTTGGCTTCTGAAAAAAGTTATCAAACCAGAACACTTACTTCCGGGTTTGCAGTGTTTGGGTTCCAAGTTGTTTGAGTACCAAAGCGTTTGAGAACCAAGGCACCAATGTACCTCTGTTCATATTCTGAAGCCTCCATCCTCTTCCCTTCACCAGAGGTACCAATTTCAGATGTGGTGCCCAAGACTTTTAACAGATGTCCCACATGACCCCATTCTTAAGTTGTTTTCTCTGTTGCTCCTGTCACTAAATGGCTTTTTTCCTATAATCCTTCTTTAAAAGATAGTTACGTAGTTTTACTGATATTACTCTGTACTGTTTTAATTTGAGTATAAAATTTGTTAGAGGCAAGGTGAAACTACTGGGGGAAAAATAAGTTGTTGTTTTTGTTTGTTTTTGCTGCATTTGGTTACAAAATTTAGTTCCACCCACTATAACTAACAATAAAGATGAACCTGAGGCTCTAACTGTGCTGTTGGAGACTTCAATAAACATTGAATGCCAGGCTGTGGGAACTCCACCACCGCAGATCAATTGGCTGAAGAATGGGCTGCCTCTCTCTATCTCCACACACATCAGGTTGCTTTCAGCTGGACAGATTCTCAGGTAAGGTACCAGTTCTTTCAGTCCACTTTTGCACAGTTTATGTAAGAAGATCTTACATAAAAGTAGCCAGCTGAAAGTTAAAACAATACAATTGTTATTTTGTGGCACTTGCTTTCTGCATTGCATTCAATCCAGATCATGGGTAGGCAAACTAAGGCCCGGGGGCCGGATCCGGCCCAATCACCTTCTAAATCCGGACCGCGAATCAGCGTGTTTTTACATGAGTAGAATGTGTGCTTTTATTTAAAATGCATCTCTGGGTCATTTGTGGGGCATAGGAATTCGTTCATTTCCCCCCCTGCAAAATATAGTCCGGCCCCTCACAAGGTCTGAGGGACAGTGGACCGGCCCCCTGCTGAAAAAGTTTGCTGACCCCTGATCCAGATGACCAACCAGCATCAGACCTATTTAGTTCAGTGATGGAACTACATGTTATTTCTTCAGTTCTTCCTCCTGGTATCTATTTTAGAAGTCCTGGAAAGCTCCCAGGGCGAGTGTAAGGAGTGAATTTAGTGCTTAACTGGCTCCCAAGTAGGTTTTGTCAAACATAGCCAGTTTCTCTCCAGACTCCCTTATAATAGGTTTTGTAATATTGGCTGCCCTCTTCTTAATGGCAAAGAATCTGTGGGAGACCCACCCTATCCTGAGATATACGTCGGCAGACCTTTAAAGGAAAGCGATGCTTCCTCGTAAAAAGGGATCTGGGGCAACTATGGAGAATTTCTACATCTCATTGTAATTCAAAAAGGGTATCTGAATGCTATTGTGAAAGGGCCATGTTCAACCAATCTTAGAAATTGCAATATGTTGTAGGAAGAAGTTTTCAGAGGCTGATTCATGTGGTTTAGAGCATATATATATATATATATATATATATATATATATATATATATATATATATATATATATATATTTGCTTTCGTAGATTTTCACGGGTACAGGAATGCAGGTTTTGGTGTCCTCGGGTGTCTTCCCGTGTAAAAGTTGGGGTGTCTAGGCGACGTTTCGACGAGGTCTCACTCGTCATCTTCAGGCTGGTGCTTTCGGCTTCTTGTTACTGGAACAGAGCAGGATCTCAGTGTTTGAGTTCCTATAAATACTGTTGAGGAGGTGTGGTGTATAGCCTCCAATGTTCTGGGCAGAGAGGAAGTTCCCAGGCTAGTGTGCCTTTTCTTCTTTTGTTCCTTAATTACTTGAGGGATATCTTGAGTGATTTCTTGAGTGAAATCCTGAGTACCACTTAGGTGGGTCATTAGGTGTGGATTAGTTGCTAAAGCCTTCGTGTCTTGACCTCTTGAACTTTGTGAAGAGTTTTTCTGAGAAGATGGCTGTACTGCACTTTGTTGTGCTCTGGCTTGGCTTCGTGTATAGGGGCGAGCTGTGGTTTTGTGGCCTGTGCCAGCCAGATCTGTGTAGGGATTGCAGGGGGGTGCAGCATCTGGAGGTGCCACCATGGTTTGGCTACTGGATGGTGTCTGTAATTTATCTGTGGAGAGGGTCTGGGTTTGGGTCTGGTGTGGTTGATTGGTGATGGCGTTCTGTGTGCCTCTGGATCTGGTGTCGGTTTTTGTGGGGAGGGCTAATTTCCAGATGTCTGGCAGGCGGGATGTGTCGTCACGCTTGTTCATGTTGTGAGGGTGTTTCTCTATCTCGATGGCTTCCATGATTATTCTCTTGTGGTGATGTTCCATGTTAAAGAGCAATTTGGAATCTGCAAAATTAATTTCGTGTCCTGTTTCTTTCATGTGTTGGAAAAGAGAGGAAGTTTTTTCTTCTTTTTTGACGGCATTCTTGTGTTCTGCGATACGTGCATTTATTCGTCTGTTTGTTTGTCCAATGTACGTGGCTGGGCAGACTTTGCAGGGTATTTCATAGACCCCTTGGTTTTCCAACTGGATTTTATCCTTGGGGTTTCTGAGGATATTGGCTATTTTTTGGTTGGTGCAAAAGGCTGTTTTGATATTGTGTTTATGGAGGATTTTGCTAATTTTATCTGTAGTGCCCTTGATATAAGGAAGGAGGGCCATGCCATTGTTTTCTTCTGACACAGAAACCAAGACACAGAAGAAAACAATGGCATGGCCCTCCTTCCTTATATCAAGGGCACTACAGATAAAATTAGCAAAATCCTCCATAAACACAATATCAAAACAGCCTTTTGCACCAACCAAAAAATAGCCAATATCCTCAGAAACCCCAAGGATAAAATCCAGTTGGAAAACCAAGGGGTCTATGAAATACCCTGCAAAGTCTGCCCAGCCACGTACATTGGACAAACAAACAGACGAATAAATGCACGTATCGCAGAACACAAGAATGCCGTCAAAAAAGAAGAAAAAACTTCCTCTCTTTTCCAACACATGAAAGAAACAGGACACGAAATTAATTTTGCAGATTCCAAATTGCTCTTTAACATGGAACATCACCACAAGAGAATAATCATGGAAGCCATCGAGATAGAGAAACACCCTCACAACATGAACAAGCGTGACGACACATCCCGCCTGCCAGACATCTGGAAATTAGCCCTCCCCACAAAAACCGACACCAGATCCAGAGGCACACAGAACGCCATCACCAATCAACCACACCAGACCCAAACCCAGACCCTCTCCACAGATAAATTACAGACACCATCCAGTAGCCAAACCATGGTGGCACCTCCAGATGCTGCACCCCCCTGCAATCCCTACACAGATCTGGCTGGCACAGGCCACAAAACCACAGCTCGCCCCTATACACGAAGCCAAGCCAGAGCACAACAAAGTGCAGTACAGCCATCTTCTCAGAAAAACTCTTCACAAAGTTCAAGAGGTCAAGACACGAAGGCTTTAGCAACTAATCCACACCTAATGACCCACCTAAGTGGTACTCAGGATTTCACTCAAGAAATCACTCAAGATATCCCTCAAGTAATTAAGGAACAAAAGAAGAAAAGGCACACTAGCCTGGGAACTTCCTCTCTGCCCAGAACATTGGAGGCTATACACCACACCTCCTCAACAGTATTTATAGGAACTCAAACACTGAGATCCTGCTCTGTTCCAGTAACAAGAAGCCGAAAGCACCAGCCTGAAGATGACGAGTGAGACCTCGTCGAAACGTCGCCTAGACACCCCAACTTTTACACGGGAAGACACCCGAGGACACCAAAACCTGCATATATATATATATATATATATAGTGTGTGTGTATGTCATTCTTTCATGCAAATCTTTCTAGAATGACAGAAAAGCAGAAATAAATACAATTTAACAGAATTAAAAGGTGCTGGGAAGTTTTTTTTTTAAAAAAAGGTATACAACAGGCTTCCTCAATAATCTTGGCCCTCCAGATGTTTTGAGACTACAATTCCCAGCATCCCTGAACACTGGTCCTGCTAGCTAGGGATCATGGGAGTTGTAGGCCGAAAACAACTGGAGGGCCAAGGTTGAGGAAGGCTGTTCTACACTTTCCTGAGACTCGTTATCCGTGAAAAAGCCATTAAAGTCTACAACAGGCCTTTCCCAAACAACAAATGCATCACACATTCATAAATTCCCTGCAATCCACTAATTCGAAACTGGAGTGCCTTGTCCAACAGACAGAATAAAGTGTTTCACATTGTGACCATTTGAAAAATGACTTTGGTTGTGTCCCTTCCAGAATTGTAAGAGCTCAGATAGCTGATGTTGGCATGTACACATGTGTCGCCTCCAACAGAGCTGGTGTGGACAACAAGCACCATAGCCTTCAAGTTTATGGTAAGCCTCATTCTGTGTTGCAAAGGTAAATTGTAAACATGAATTTCAAGTCCTATGTACATGTGTACTACTTAAGATTTCTGTTCTGGACCTGAGTCAATTGCACCACGAAAGTGCCTCACAACTTCTATATTGTCTTCCTTCTCAGAACCTCTTGGTTTCTTTATAGGTTTCAAGCTTTAAGGTCTAAGGATTTCACTTAAAATTTCAGTCCCCTTCTCAGGGTCTCTGGGGGAAAGAGATGAAAAAGCAGACACGCTAAGGAGGTGTGCTATTTTCACCCCCATCCTTCTCCCACATGACATTTTAGTATAATTTTTAATTGAAGGGTTTTTCATAAAACATTTTAGCAATCATGTTACAGACATAAAGTTTAAAAGCAGTTACCTCTTTGAGCATATTCTTCCTGATCAGTATCTTCTGTTCCTGTTGGCCCTTCAGAACAACAGGGTTTTGGCCCTTCAGAACAATTTGCTGAATACTTTAGCGCTGAGCGGGGACCGTGTACTGTATTTTTCGCTCTATAAGACACACTTTTTCCCCTCCAAAAATTAAGGGGAAATGTGTGTGCGTCTTATGGAGCAAATGCAGGCTTCTGAGAGCAAGACTCTCCTGGCTTCAGCGAAAGGAACCTGAAGCCTCCGGAGCACAGCGGGACTCCTGCTGCGCTCTGGAGGCTTCGGGTTGCCTTCACTGAAGCCTAGAGAGCTAGAGGGGTTGGTGCGCCCAATCCCTCTTGCTCTCCTGGCTTCACTTCGCTGGAGAGGTGCTGCACAGCTTTCCCTCTCCGCGCAGCGCCCCTTCAGCGAAGCGGGAGAAGAAATGGAAGGGGCTCCATTTCTCCTGCCACTTCGCTGAAGGGACGCTGAGCAGAAAGGGGGAGAATTATTTTTTCTTGTTCTCTCCCTCTAAAACAAGGTGCGTCCTATGGTCGGGTGCGTCCTATAGAGCGACAATTACGGTGCCTTGTTAAACATTGTTTTCATGTTGAAAAGCAGCTCTCATGTCTCTTGTGAACACACTTCTTTTGTTGGCATTTTCATTTCCGTCTGTTCCTCGTGTTCTGCAGCTCATTTGTCCACATTGCTGTTGTGGTGACCCATGCTATGTTGACACGGCTGCTCCAGATTTTGAGGGGCAAGATACCTTTAATGGACTCCCTCCCTTGGGTAATCTGCCCCCTCAGCTCCCCACACCAGAGCCCACCCCATTCAGGAGGGTTCCCTTACCTTTGAGAGAGCCTTTGAAAGGGGGTGCTGGGGGAGGAGGGGGCAGGAAAGTCACCCAACTCTTCCACTGCTGGCTCTTAGGATCCATGCCAAAAAAATTCAGTTTAGTTGACTAAAGTTTTGTCTTGAAATATATGCATATTTATATTCACTGAATGCCACTGAAAACCATTGTGTTTTCTCAATGCAGTATCACCAAGCATAGACAGTGGTGGAGGAACAGAAGAAGTAACGGTTGTAAAAGGGAACCCAGTCTCTTTGGTGTGTTCGGCTGATGGAACACCAACCCCTAATATGTCGTGGCTTAAAGACGGCCAGCCTTTAAACTTCGGTTTCCACGTGTCTCTGGAAAACCAAGGAATGGGTCTTCACATAGCGAAGTCCGAGACTGATGACACAGGCAGATACACCTGCATAGCATCTAATGATGCTGGAGAAGCCAACAAGCATTTCACTCTTAAAGTGCTGGGTAAGGATTCTTAACTCTTTTTTTGTACAGTCATACCTCGGGTTGAATACGCTTTGAGTTGAGCGTGTTCGAGTTGCGCTCCGCGGCAAGCCGGAAGTAACGGAGCGTGTTACTTCCGGGTTTCGTCGCTTGCGCATGCGCAGACGCTCAAAATGATGCCATGCGCATGCACAGAAGCAACGGAAAGCGGTGCGCATGTGCGCAGATGTGCCATCACTAGTTACGTTTACCTCTAGATGCAAACGGGGTTCCGGAACGAATCCCGTTCGTATCTAGAGGTACCACTGTAATTCAGTCTGACCAGGGAGACTTGGCCACTGAACTGAATAGGTGCTAGTGTGCTATTCTAAAAAACACACACTACAACCCACAAAAAACTGATTGGACCCAGAAGGCTTATCACAGCTATCAGCTAGCCATTACTGGGTGGGGTATGGGTGTGGCTGGGACATGGGTGGCGCTGTGGTCTCAACCACTGAGCCTCTTGGGCTTGGCGATCAGAAGGTTGGCGGTTCAAATCCCCGCGACAGAGTGAGCTCCTGTTGCTCTGTCCCAGCTCCTGCCAACCTAGGAGTTTGAAAGCACGCCAGTGGAAGTAGATAAATAGGTACTGCTGCAGTGGGAAGGTAAACAGCATTTCTGTGCGCTCTGGTTTCCATTGCTCCAGAAGCAGTTTAATCCTGCTGGACACATGACCCAGAAAGCAGTTTAATCCTGCTGGACACATGACCCAGAAAGCTGTCTGTGGACAAATGCTGCCTCTCTCGGCCTGAAAGCGAGATGAGTACCGCAGCCCCATAGTCGCCTTTGACTGGACTTAACCGTCGAGGGTTCCTTTACCTTTACCTTTTACTATCTTGATAATCTCAAGGCTGTATTGCTGAGCTGCAGTACACTTCTACTGGGGCTGTAGTTGGTACAAAATGCTGTAGCTAGGCTGTTTTGAGAGAGAGACTACTGCGAACATGTTGCACCTATTTTGAAAGAACTGCACTAGCTGCAGCCAAAGCAAAGGTCAAGGTACTTAGGTAGACCCTATACAGCATGGGACCTAGATATTTTTCTGAGCACTTTCTCCCATATAGGCTTCCTGTATGTTTAGAGCCAGGGAGAGATACTCTTGACCGTGCCTCACTTACCTGTCATTGGTATGTGGCAAGAAGGATAGAGCTCTCAAGCAGGCTGATTGTGGAACTTCCTCCATCTTCAAATATGGCTGATATGGGGCTCACCCACACTTACCTTTTGCTCTGTGCTTTCTAGGTACAGTCAAACCTCAGTTGTTGAACGTAATCTATTCCAGAAAACTGTTTGACTTCTGAAATGTTTGATAACCAAGGCACGGCTTCTGATTGGTTGCCAGAGCTTCTTGCACTCAAGCGGAAGCTGCATCAGATCTTCAGGTTCTAAAAAACATTTGAAAAACGGAGCATTTACTTCCGGGTTTTCAGCCTTCAGGAGCCAAAACGTTCGAAAACGGAGCCGTTCGAGAACTGAGCTTTGACTGTACAGGATCCACACTTTAAAGCTCTGTGTTCATGCACTCTTCTTCTTCTTTTTTGCGACACCACTTTCCCTGCTCTTTAATGCTGAATTGGAACAAATTGCAATTTGGGCTTGTCAGTCTTAGGAGTGATTCATACAACTACAGTGTCAGAATTGCTTCTTCCCGTCTTCTTCCCAGACCTCTCCATTAACGTTTGGATACATTCCTTTGGGTAAAATTATGAAAGTTTCTTCTTCCGCAGAACCCCCTCAAATTAATGGATCAGGTCATCCTGAAGAAATTTCTATAGTAGTAAACAAACCACTGGAGCTCTTCTGTATTTCCGATGGCATTCCTATCCCCAAAATCACATGGATGAAGGATGGGCGCCCAGTGCCCCAGACTGATGATATTCGTATCCTGAGAGGGGGAGAGGTCCTTCGGATATCTAGTGCTCAGGTAACTGTAATACAAACATTCAGTTGTGGCCAATCTGTTTTCCCCCCCTTCCATTATTTTGATAAGTCTCAAATCATCTCAAATGCAATTCAGTCAAATGTTTGAACCTCAATGAAATCCAGGAAGAGTGCCCAGAATCCTTTTAATCTTTCAGTTTATCTTCCTTACTGTATTCTGACATTTCGTTTGTTGTCAGTTCTGCTCGTCTTCTCCCTCCTTCCCTTTCTGCCACACATAAAGGCAGACACACACTCTTTCTTCTTCCATCCATGCGATTGTATTGGTGCAGCACTGATTAATGGGTAATGTAGCCAAATGGTTTTCCAACTACTGCCATTATTTGTGTTTAATTTGAATTTTATCCCTAACTGAGCCTTTCTGGGTGTTCCTGCAGGTGGAAGACACTGGAAGATACACATGTTTGGCTTCAAGCCCCGCAGGAGACGATGACAAAGAATTTTTAGTAAGAGTACATGGTAAGGTTAACTGAAGAGTACAGTAGTGGGGGAGAAATCTCTAAATGCTTTTATTGCATTCCTCAGTTTTCACCCACCTGTTTCTAAGGCTAGATCAGTGTTTCCCAACCGGTGTTCCGCGGCACAGTAGTGTGCCGCCGGACGTCGCCTGGTGTGCCGTGGGAGGGAGGCGGGCGAGTCGGGCTAATCCTCCGACGAGCTCCACCTCCAGACCCATTGCTCAAATCCTTTAACCCAGCAAGGCAGGAGGGCGGGGAGGGGGGGGAGAAAGAGAAAAAAGAAAGGGTGGAAAAAAAGAAGGGGAAGAGAAAATATTTTTTTAAAAAAAGGAAAGAGAGGGAAAAAAGCGAGGGATGGAGGAAGGTCGTTCCTCGATAGAAAGGACTGAAGGGGTGGCAGCTGCGTGGCTGACAATGGGGGTGGCGGGGGGGGGGAAGAGACGGGAGAGGGACCGTCTCTCCTTTTCTCCAGGCGAGAATGCTGTGTGGCTTCTTCTTCGGAGCGGGGGGAGAACTGTGTGGCAAGACCCCAGTCGTTTTTTCTGTGGAGAAAAACGATTGCTCCGACCGAGGGAAGAGAGTGAGTTGCGCGGAGCGCCTGCCTGACAATCGCCTCGGAAGGAATCGAGATTTGGGGTGGGTGGGTGGAGTGACGGGACGGCGGTGTCGCCTCCTCTCTTTCTCCCTCCTCCGCGGCCGCTAGCGATGGGCTTTAACTTCTCCCAACTTTTGTGTGCGCGCGCGGCCCTCGAAGTCCCCCCTTCCCGGGGGACCCGACTAGGCCCTGCCCGCCGCTGGGTGAGAGCGCAGCCTAGCGAGCCGCATTGCCGCTGCCGTGCGCCTGGCTGGGTGGGGGGTGGGGGGAGGGGACCCTGGCGGCGGCGGCCCCAGCGGCGCCTTGGTGCTCGTGCGGGACTCGCTCGGCTGGTGCCGGCCTCTCAGGGCGGAGGCCTAGTCGCGGGCTTCTGGGTGTTGGGGTTGCTACGCGCCTCAGTCCCCGGGGACCCAGCGTCGCAGCCTGACGCCGCCGAGTGTGTGGCTATGAATGGGAGGGTGGCGGTGGTGGGGCGGCGGCGGGCCTCTCCCCCTTCCTTTCTGCGAGGGACTCTTCTTGTTGAATGTGGGGCTGGGAGAGAGGCGCACATTTCTGCTCCCCCTCCCGCTTTGTACATGGAGAATGGCCTTGTCCTCCTCCCTCCCCCTTCCGCCGTGTAGCGCGGAGGGTGTGCGTCTAATCCCCTCTCCACCTGCTCCCTGAGCTGCTACCCTTGTGTAAGGGGAGGCTGCGAGTGTGTATCCAACGCAGGCAGCATGCTCTTATTTCTCCCACCTTAAATCAGCGCTAATTGCGCCTGGACGCAGTATTTACTTCCGAGTAGGCCCCCTTCTCCCCCCCCCCCGTAGCACCTGACGTTGCTATTCGTATCATCAGGTTTGTTTGTTGATAATTTAATTGTTTTAAAAGCATCATGCTAAAGAGCTCTCTCCCACCCCCAGACCCTTGGGCAAAACAGAAACACACACATACACAAACACAGAGATTGAGCCCTGCGGGTTTTATGAAATGAATGGATTCTGAATGCCTGTTTCAGTGGCTTGTCCGCCTTAGGCTGCTGGGCCAGACACCTGTTACACGGTGCAGTCCGTAAGCTGTGAGCACTGCTACCTGCCGCCGAGACCACGTAACGACAGTCTTGAAAGACCTACATTGGCTCCCAGTACCTTTCCGAGCACAATTCAAAGTGTTGGTGCTGACCTTTAAAGCCCTAAGCGGTTTCGGTCCAGTATACCTGAAGTAGCGTCTCCGCCACCATCGTTCAGCCCAGACACTGAGATCCAGCGCCAAGGGCCTTCTGGCAATTCCCTCACTGTGAAAAGTGAGGTTACAGGGAACCAGGCAGAGGGCCTTCTCGGTAGTGGCGCCCGCCCTGTGGAATGCCCTCCCATCAGACATCAAAGAGATAAACCAGTGTTTCCCAACCGGTGCGAGACGTTGCCTGGTGTGCCGTGGGAGGGAGGCGGGCGAGTCGGGCGGCGAGAGGCGGGGCGGCGGCGGCGAGGAGAGGCCGCCCAGCGCGGGGCTCTCGCCGTCTGCCTGCCTGGCTGCCTGCGTGGCGCTGACGTCACGGGGCTGTAACGTGCCCCACATAGGCACACGCGGGGCGGCGAGCGAGCTCCCTCCCACATCCCATCGCCGCTCGCTTCGGCCGGCCTACTGGGCTGTCGCAGGCAGAAGGCCTGCGCATGCGCGAGGTTTTCGCGCCTTCGGGATTCCCTTCACGCCTTCCTCCTCCCGGGTCCTTGAGAGCGCGGGAAGCGGCAGCGCGAGACCGGCGTTGAGCCTGGTAGGTATTGCGCTTGCCAAGGCAGTCATTTGGGAAATGAAAACTTGCAAAGCAAGCAACCAGTTCAATCTGAAGTACGTGTATGCTTAATATCCTGTATCTGAAACCTGTTCTGCCCCCTCCCCCACACTTGGTGCCATTTTCATCTACACATGCAGCAGAGTAAGTTGACCCAGAATAGTACCAATTCAGATGGCAGATGGGAGAATGACAGTGCTGAATGCTTTCCCATGTAGAACAGTCCCTGCAAATAAAAACCTAGCATATTTGGAAGAGGGATGCTAGCCTAACCATTACCTTCTATGCTGTTACTATTTTTTTATTTTTTTTTTACATAAGTAAAAAGTGACCTTTCCCCATCTGGCATGGTGGTGTGCCTCGAGACTTTTTTTCATGAAACAAGTGTGCCTTTGCCCAAAAAAGGTTGGGAAACACTGGGCTAGATATTGTGAAACATAACAGCCCTGGAAAAGGCAGAAGAACACAGAATACCACTTCCAACTGGGATTTCTTGCTTTCTGCTGAAACTGATTTCTGCCTCTTCAGAAGAGAGCAATAAAATAGCCTAACTTGCCTGTATTCAGTAACTAAGGTCACAAACATCAGCCAACAGAAAATGTGCCGACACAGCTTGTGAAGGTTAGGAATGCTCCACAGTGCACAAATATCCAATTCATGTCAGTCTGACCCATAGACTGCACTCTAGAGCTCTGTTTATGTGACCGCCATGCAAATATCCAAAGTGTCTGTGTTTTTCAGAAGCCCTTTCTTTCTTAACCTGCCTGAAGCATCCCTGGTGGTGGTGGTGCTTTGGTTATGAGTTTGAATGGACTATGCCCAGTGTGTGTGCGGTAGGGGTTTGGCTGCATATGCATTACAGGGTTTGCTGACACAGGATCACAAGGCCTTTAGACTTGCCTTCCTCAACCTGGTTGCCTGCCACTCGTCTCTGAAATACAATACCCATCAGCCCCAGCTAGCATGACCAATGGTCAGGGGTGGGAGATGATGGGAAATGTACAGTGGTACCTCTGGTTAAGAACTTAATTCGTTCCGGAGGTCCATTCTTAAGCTGAAACTGTTCTTAACCCGAGGTACCACTTTAGCTAATGGGGCCTCCTGCTGCCACCACACCGCCACTGCGCGATTACTGTTCTCATCCTGAGGTAAAGTTCTCAACCCGAGGTACTACTTCCGAGTTAGCGGAGTCTGTAACCTGAAGCGTTTGTAACCCAAGATACCACTGTAATCCAAAATATCTGGAGGGCACAAGGTTGGGGAAGGTTGCTTTAGAGCAAACAATTATAGAGGGAACCATTGTATAGATCCTGGTTGAGAACATGCTGGAGAGGTAACCAGCATTTGGCGATGGGAGGTTTGCCAGTCAATTAAGGCTGTTCTACATGAACATCCAACTACATGAACATCCAACTCCTGCCAACCTTGCAGTTCGAAAGCACGTCAAAGTGCAAGTAGATAAATAGGTACCACTCCGGCGGGAAGGTAAACGGCGTTTCCGTGCACTGCTCTGGTTCGCCAGAAGCGGCTTAGTCATGCTGGCCACATGACCAGGAAGCTGTACGCTGGCTCCCACGGCCAGTAAAGCGAGATGAGCGCCGCAACCCCAGAGTTGGCCATGACTGGACCTAATGGTCAGGGGTCCCTTTACCTTACATGAACATCATGTGACAGTTGTATGGGCTGAATTGGTTCATGCTGGGAGAATCAGTCCTTGGGGTATGAACCTGAGCTGAACCAGGCTATATAGATCTAAACTAGAACTTTGAATTAGCCTGGAAACTTAATTGGTAGCCCGTGCAGTTGTGTCAGAATTAGTATTATATGTTTGGACTGTTCTACCCCAGTCAACAATTGGGCCACTGAATTCTACACTAGCTGACGTTTCAAAACCATTTTAAGAGGCAGCCACATGTATAAAAGGTAAAGGTACCCCTGCCCGAACGGGCCAGTCGTGTCCGACTCTAGGGTTGTGCACCCATCTCACTTAAGAGGCCGGGGGCCAGCGCTGTCCGCAGACACTTCTGGGTCACGTGGCCAGCGTGACGAAGCTGCTCTGGCGAGCCGTCACCAGCGCAGCACACGGAAACGCCATTTACCTTCCTGCTGTAAAGCGGTACCTATTTATCTACTTGCACTTAGGGGTGCTTTCGAACTGCTAGGTGGGCAGGAGCTGGGACCGAAAGACGGGAGCTCACCCCGCCGCAGGGATTCGAACCGCCGACCATGCGATCGGCAAGCCCTAGACGCTGAGGTTTTACCCACAGCGCCACCCGCGTCCCCTGCCACATGTATAACACATTGCTAAAACCCAACATAGTTATCAGAGTATAGGCAACCAAAGTTAGCCACAGAATACATGTAATAGCACATGCCTCTTGTACAAAGCATGACCTTCATTTTGAGAATTGCCTATAGGAAGCGTAAATTACCTTGAGGTATGCAAAATTTCATAGCAGCTAGAGGTTCATAAACTTTTGGCAACTTCCTGCTAAGTAAATTAAGTTTTCATTTACCATTATTTGCTATGATTTTTCTCTGACAGTTCCCCCTAATATTGCTGGCACAAGCAATCCTCAGAATCTCAGTGTGCTGCAGAACAGGCAGATTATACTGGAGTGCAAATCCGATGCAGTGCCGCCTCCTACAATCACATGGCTCAAAAATGGGGAAATTATGCAGGTATGTGTTTTTCCCTTAAGAGTTGTTCTCAGTCTGCCCCCAAACCTTTCACAGATGCTCAAACTGCATGCATAGTGGTGACTGAGGTTTGATCCAGCCAGAAGTTGCAGAACTGCTTCCCAGTTGCAGATATTTTATTTATTTTATTTATTTACATCCTGCCCATCTGGCTGGGTTTCCCCAGCCAGTCTGGGCAGCTCCCAACAGAATATTAAAAAACAGAATCAAACATTAAAAACTTTCCTAAACAGGGCTGCCTTCAGATGTCTTCTAAAAGTCAGATAGTTGTTTATTTCCTTGGCAACTGATGGGAGGGCATTCCACAGGGCGGGTGCCACTACCAAGAAGGCCCTCTGTCTGGTTCCCTGTAACCTCACTTCTCGCAGGGAGGGAACCGCCAGAAGGCCCTCAGAGCTGGGCGTCAGTGTCCGGGCTGAGCGATGGGGGTGGAGACGCTCCTTCAGGTGTATTATTTATGTTTGCATGGGGACCCACAGACAGGGAGCCTCGTGCATGTAGGTCTCAGTTTGTACATCTCAATTTTATGTTGCATAGTCTGCATGAATAGTCCATGTGCTTTGGGCTTTACATATGGAGATCCCATCAAAGTGAAGCATATGATCTACGTCCCCACCCCACCCCAGTCTGAAACCAGGGCATGGTGTTGGGGGAATATGACGAAGCAACCTTTGTGAAACTAAGCAACCCTTGGTCTTGTCAGTGCCTGGATGGCTGACCTTTGGGATCTCATGTAAGTCCTCTTGAGTTTCATGATGCAAGAAAGGCGGACTCATAGCTGTCTGTCAACTTATAGATTTGAAAATAAGGGACCAGCAGCCTCGAAAATAAGGGATCAGCAGCCAAAATAAGGGATTTTCATTTTTATTTTTATTTTTAAATATTTTTTATTGAGTTTCTTTTCTTAAAGTCATCAACACAAAATTAGGGAAAGAAGATACAAGAAACAAATTCAAAACCGAAATAATAAAAAGATCAATACAATCCAATTTTCAGTCGTTTTTTCAGTATTCCAAATGGACTTCCCCACATCCTACCGACTCTGCGTTCTTTGTAGTAAAAGTTTCAGCAATTTGTTACCCTGTTTCTTAACTTACTGTATCTTTCAGTTATTATGTTTCTAAATTCACAATATTTTATCCCAACTTTGTACATTTAAAATTAACATAATAAATTTGTTTCATATTACCACCTCTTTTTTCTTGTCTTAGTTTTCAGTTTACCTAATCAAGTTGCTAAAGCAGAAAAATTCCCTAATCGTGCATATTTCTTAACATTCATACAACTTATAGTGTTTTTGCAAATAGTCCTTAAATTTTTTCCAGTCCTCCTCCATTGCTTCCTCTCCCAAATCTCGGATTCTGCCAGTCATCTCAGCCAGTTCCATGTAGTCCATCAACTGCGTCTGCCACTCCTCCAGCGTGGGTAAATCTTGAGTCTTCCAGTGCTTTGCAATAAGAATTCTTGCTGCTGTAGTAGCGTACATAAACAAAGTTCTGTCCTTCTTTAACACCTTCTGGTCCACCATGCCCAATAGGAAGGCCTCTGGTTTCTTGGGAAAGGTATACCTAAATACCTTTTTTAACTCGTTGTGAATCATTTCCCAGAAGGCCTTCACTTTTGGGCAGGTCCACCAAAGATGGAAGAATGTCCCTTCTGCCTCTTTACATTTCCAACATTTATTATCAGACAAGTGGTATATCTTAGCTAACTTGACTGGGGTCATGTACCACCGGTATATCATTTTCATAATGTTTTCTTTCAAGGCATTACATGCCGTAAACTTTATACCGGTGTTCCATAACCTTTCCCAGTCTTCAAACATAATTTTGTGTCCAATATCCTGTGCCCATTTTATCATGGCAGATTTAACTGTCTCATCCTGTGTATTCCATTTAAGCAGCAAGTTATACATTTTCGAAAGTGTCTTAGTTTTTGATTCTAACAATTCCGTCTCTAATTTCGATTTTTCCACCTGGAAACCAACTTTTTTATCCATTTTAAAGACCTCTTGGATTTGAGCATAATGTAGCCAATCCTGCACCTTATTTTTTAGTTTGTCTTGGCTCTGCAACCTCCATTTGTCTCCAACTTTTTCAATTATTTCCCAATATTTTGGCCAATAGGCCTCCATGTTGGGTCTTTTCCTAGCCTTGGCCTCCATCGGTGAAAGCCATCTCGGGGTCTTGCCCTCCAGTAAGTCTTTATATTTCGACCAAACCGCAAAGATTGCTCTTCTGACAATATGGTTTTTAAATAATTTATGAACTTTGACCTTGTCGTACCACAGGTAAGCATGCCAACCAAAAGCATTGTCAAACCCTTCCAGATCCAGGACATCAGTGTTCTCCAACAGAAACCAATCCTTCAGCCAGCAAAAGGCTGCAGCTTCATAGTACAACCTCAAGTCCGGCAGGGCAAACCCCCCTCTTTCTTTCAAATCAGTTAATATTTTAAACTTTATTCGGGGCTTTTTGCCCTGCCAGACAAATTTAGATATATCCTTCTGCCATTTTCCAAAACATTCCACTCTGTCCACGATCTGTAGGGTTTGAAACAAAAATAACATTTTCGGCAATACATTCATCTTTATAGCTGCAATTCTGCCCAACAAGGAAAGTTTCAACTTTGACCAAGTTTCCAAATCCTTCTTAATTTCCGACCAACATTTTTCGTAATTGTCTTTAAATAAATTTTTTACAGTCAAATGAACCCCTAGGTATTTCACTTTTTTAACAACACTTAGTTCTGTTTCTTTCTGAAACCCCTCTGTTTCTGTAGGTGTCAAGTTTTGGGCCAAAACCTTGGTCTTTTGCTTGTTCAGCTTAAATCCCGCCACCCGACCAAATTCATGAATCAGTTCTAAAACTCTTTTTGTACTAGATACTGGCTCCTGTAGTGTTAAAACTAGATCATCTGCAAAAGCTTTCAGTTTATATTGTTTCACTCCGACCTCTATTCCTTGTACCAACTGGTCCTCTCTGATCATGTTCAGTAGCACCTCCAGGACTGAGATAAATAAAAGAGGAGATAGCGGGCACCCCTGTCGTGTCCCTTTTTCAATTTTAAACTCCTCTGTCACCACATTGTTCACTATCAATTTAGCTTTTTGCTCTGTATAGATTGCTTGTATTCCATTTTCAAACCCCCGTCCCACTCCCATCCCTTCCAAATTTTTCTTCATAAACATCCAAGAAATATTATCAAAGGCTTTCTCTGCATCAATAAAAATTAACACCGCTCTCCTATTGATATTTGTTTGTAAAAGTTCCAAAATATCAATAATGTTCCTGGTGTTGTCAGACAAATGTCTACCTGGGAGAAAGCCAGCCTGGTCCTTGTGAATTACTTCATTCAAAACCTTTTTAAGTCTACTTGCCAAAATGTCTGCAAAAATTTTGTAATCCACATTTAGGAGTGAGATGGGACGGTAGTTCTTAAGTTGAGTCTTTTCAGTTTCCACTTTAGGAATCAATGTGATGAAGGCTTCTTTCCACGATTCCGGTGCCTTCTTCCCCTCCATAATCTGGTTGCATACCTCTAGCAAAGGTTGTATCAAATAGTCCTTCAGAGTCTTATAATATTTGGAGGTGAGTCCATCCGGGCCTGGAGATTTGCCTAATTGCATATTCTGAATGGCGCCTTCAATTTCCTGTTGTGTTATTTTACAGTTCAGGATTGTTCTCCTTTCCTGAGTTACCTTTGGTAGACCGTTAAATTTTAAAAATTGGTCTATCTCGAACTCTTTCTGTGGCCCCTGTGCATAAAGTTCTTTGAAGTATCTCTGGAAGCACCTTCTAATTTCTTCTGGTTTCTGAACCATTCTCCCATCAATCTCTAGATTTGTAACTGTATTCAATTTTTGTCTCTTTTTCAACTGCCATGCTTTTCCACATTTATTTGCTGATTCAAATGATCTTTGCTTCATTTGTTTAATTTTCCATTCAACCTCTTGATTTATCAATTTCGAATATTGTGCTTGATGGAATTTGATTTCTCTCAGCACCTCCTTCGATTTTGGATTAGTTCTCAATTTTTTCTCTCCTTCTCTTATTTTCTCCAAGATCTTCTCCTTTTTTCCATTCCAGAGTCTTTTCTTGATCATATTTTGTTGTATCAGAAACCCTCTCATAACTGCTTTGCTTGCGTCCCAGATCGTTCTTTTTTCCACCGTTGTATTCAAACTTATTTCAAAATAGTCTCTTAAAGTTTTTTGGGCCTTTTTCACCACCTCCTGATCTCTTAATAAGGCGTCATTCATTTTCCATCTGAAGGAACCGGTTGGAGTAAGTCTCAATTCCACTTACAAGGCGTTATGGTCGGAGCAGGTTTTTGGGCAGATTTCCACTTTTCTAGTCTTAGGTGCCAGCCCTCTAGTTGTCCAAATTTGGTCGATTCGTGTCCATGACAAATGAGCCTCAGAGAAGAAAGTTCCTTCTTTACCTAAGGGGTTCTTTGTCCTCCATATGTCAACAAAATAAGGGATTTTCAGAGCACAGCTATGTTCAACTTCTGAGCCCCTCCCAGCCAAAGGCAGAAAGCCCAGCCAGCAGCCAAATGAAGCCTCAAGCAGTGGTTCCCACAGTGCAGCAGCTCGGCAAAGGGGACGCAGCAAGGAAAACCACCGCCACCTCTCCGCTGCAAAGCGCTGAGCAAAGGCGAGTCCCCAGGCAACGCGGCCGATTTGATCGGCACAAGGCATGCAAGCTCCACCCCCCAGTCATTCTTAGACTCCTTATTGGGTGAGCAACGCAGCCAAGCAACACAGTTGGAGCCTCCCTCCTCCCTGGCCGGCAGGGAGGGAGGGAGAGGAGCTGCTTCCTTTGAAACCCGGGAAATTTAAGGGACATCATCAATAAGGGACAGCAGTGGGATACAGCGCGGGGATAAGGGACTTTCCTGCCAAATTAGGGACGGTTGACAGCTATGGGCGGACTACAAAAATACCTGTGGGCTGTTCCTCACCATTACCACCAGATTCTCACCGTATTGCTTCCCATCTTGTGAGCAGGTACATTGTTGATTCTGTACCTTGGGGAAAAAATAATTTCAGCTTGTGGAAACTCTCTTACCAGGCAACGGCCCGGGTGCGCATCTTGTCTAGTGGGAGATACCTTCAGATCAATAACGCTGACCTAAGTGATGCAGCAAGCTACACCTGTGTGGCAAGTAATGTCGCAGGCCAAACTACAAGAGAATTCGTATTAGCTGTAAACGGTAAGCAAAGAAAACATATTCCTACGCAAACTTTGCATGGTTGATAACGTGAGAGAATGCCAAGCGCATTAGTAAACATTGCATCGGGACATAGTAACCGTTTTATTTCATGGTGGAAATAATGTTTATACACCAGCCATTTTTGACCACAAATGCATGTGGCAACAGGTATATATGCACAATACAGTTTTGTGACTCTGAGATTGTTCCTTTATTCCTTGAATGAAATAAAAGTGACAGAGTTTTCGTTGGACTCCATCGCTTTATACGACAAGTGAGGGACTACCTGTATGAATTTATTTATTGCATTTATATACGGCCTTTTTGCAGAGTCACCCAAGGCCCTTTTGCAATTTTAAAATTTAGAATAAACAAAGGCTACAAACTATTCTTAGACTAACTTCAATTTGAAAACTCTCCTGTTCCTCCAGGGCTATGCAGGCAATTAAGAGTACACCCCAGCAATGGTCTATTGATGTTTGCTTTTAATTTCTCTTTGCTTTTAACTTTTTATGATTTTATGTTTTTATGTTGTTGTAAACCACTCTGATATTCTTTTGTTTTATTTTTTGTAATAATATTTTATTCATTTTTCCAACAAATACTTTCTTACTCAACAAATAACTTTTTATAGAGACTAGAAAGGATTTCCAGTCTTCTTTAAAAGATTCTAAATTTGTATATATTATCACTGTCATCAGTTTTGCCATCTCTGCAATGTTTATCAACCATTCTTCGAGGGTGTTCTCTCCTCCTATCATTTCTGTGTATAAAGAATCCTTGCTGCTGTAGTCCCATATATAAATACCATTGAGGCTTCCTTCGGTAATATTATTTTATGAAAAAGCGGTATATAAAAATGTTTATAAATAAGTAAGTAAGCTCCCTGACCTGTACTTATTTGCTTCTGCCTTCCCTTAAGTTTAGTCACGGATTGTCTCCAGGGATAGAAGGTAGGGTTAAATTAACCATTCAATATAGGCCTAATATCAAATTATATTAAATGAAGCAGAGTTTTAGAAGATGATTTTACATCCAACCCCATATGTTCAGGAATGGCAGAAAACCCCATGTTTAATGGAAGGCAAGCAGTTCTTCTGATGCTTCCTGGAATTCTCCTTTTATACAGTTGCTCCTACAATCAAGGGTGGCCCTCAGACCGTGACAGTGAATATTAATATGTCTGCTGTTTTGGAGTGTGCTCCGGAAGGCATACCAGCCCCAAGGGTTTCATGGAGAAAGGATGGAACCCTTTTTGCAGAAAACAATGCAAGGTAATGATGAGTTGGCGAAACAGACAGAATCTGTGTGTACACACCATGTTTTGAAGCACCACCCTCCCCAGGTGCTGGGAACTAGCGCTGAGAGGGGTAAACTACAATAAACATGATTCTTTGGGGTGGAAACGGTCAGTTTGCATTTCTTGGCGCAGAAAGTATTGATCTGATGTGTAGAGATCTTTCTTATTCTACTGAATTCAAGAGGGTTCTGGAAGTTTCTGTGTGTGAAAGAAATAAGCAGAAGGTTCATGATGTTTGGGTTATTCCTTCAGAGAAGCTGAGTAAATTGTCTCTGTTATCTCTTCTGTCAAGGTCATGCGGACTATTATAAGAGGCCAGAAGAAGCCTGGTTTCACTTTCTCTTTGTATCTCACTTCCTTCTGGTGTGGTATTCTTTATAAAGTGTAAAGTTTTAGTCTTATTATAAGTTAAAGGGACCCCTGACCATTAGGTCCAGTCGTGACCAACTCTGGGGTTGCGGCGCTCATCTGGCGTTATTGGCCGAGGGAGCCGGCGTACAGCTTCCGGATCATGTGGCCAGCATAACTAAGCCGCTTCTGGCAAACCAGAGCAGCACACGGAAACACCATTTACCTTCCCGCCAGAGTGGTACCTCTTTATCTACTTGCACTTTGACGTGCTTTCGAACTGCTAGGTGGGCAGGAGCTGGGACCGAACAAGGGGAGCTCACCCTGTCGCGGGGATTCGAACCGCCAACCTTCTGATTGGCAAGTCCTAGGCTCTGTGGTTTAACCCACAGCGCCACCCACGTCCCATATTATAAGTTACTATACGTTTAAGTTAAGGCTGTTGCAAGTGGATTTCTTAGGGACAGGGCCAATCCTGAATGATTTGGGTTTGTGACCATTTGCCTTCAGTAGCAGTAAAGATCTCCTGGATGACATTTTAATCGCCTCTGGTCTATTTTGGGGGGATCCTGCAACGTGTTTAAGTTTTTACTCTGCTAACTCTACGTCAGAGATCTGCTCTGGATCGATGTTGAGTAGAATTCTATGACTTTAAATTCTTTGCTTTAAATTCCACATGCTGGTGACAAATAGGGAACAGTTGTTCCATTCATTCCCTTCTTGCCAGCTCCCCAGTGGCATCTGGCTAGCAGCCATGGTTGGAAACAGGGTTGCTGGCCTAGGTGGACCCTTTGCCCCATCCAGTAGGGTAGAGGGATCCAGCACTATGACCAATGGTCAGGAGTGGTGAGTGTTGGGAGTCCACAAATCTGCAGATCACCATGTTGCAGAAGCAGGAGTTATTAATCCTTAATAAAGTTTGATTACCTTGGAGTAATGGTCAAATACACCTCATGGTTATTTTAATTTGTTAAAAAATAAACTGGGGCCTGTTTGACTCAATTTTTTTTTTTAATTAATAAGGTGTTTTTATTTACAAGTGCAGGTTGCTTGATTTATGTGACCGGCTTCAATGGCTTTACTTTTTTTAGTATAAGAATAGATGTCAGGGACTGGGCAGAGGAGGAATGGTAGAGTCCGCCTCCCCAGCCTGACCCTTCCAGAGAAGAAGAAGACAGTTCAGAATTACAACAGGGGTTGAGGGAGGTCACAGGTCAGGGGAAGATGAGGGCAAAATTTGGGAAATAATGGGAGAGGAGGAAGAAGAAGAAGCACCAAAGGGGCGACAGTTGGTGGACTCAGTGTCTTTAGAAAGCATTCCAGACCACCCTCTCCCAGAACCTGGCAAGCCTTGAAAGTAGGAGAGCAAAGAGCTCAAAGGCAGAGGGCACGTAGCAGCGCCCGTAGCTGTGACACATGAGAGAAGAACGGGGGTGGACGCTCACTCGGGGCAACACCATGATTCCAAGCGGCTCCATTCCCAGCCTTTCTCTGTGAATATTGAATAAAAAGCAGTTGGTAAGAACTTTCCCTTCCCTTATCCGTTCCTGGCGTCCTGCCATGGGGGTTGGATCCTCTGCCGCCTGACAACTTGTGAACTAATCTGATTTCTGTGTGCTACATCTTGACGCAAGGACTCGCTTCAAAGACGGGCCTCCCTTTCTCCTGAAGCTTCCAAATCGCTCCTTTCAGCATCCATTAGAAAAAGATCCTGTGAACGGGGAGATTATTGTTGTGCGCATCTATGTTTTGAAACTTCTGTGTCTTGTTTTAGATATTCCGTGTCAGACAACGGATCTCTTCATATACATTCAGCGCACGTTACCGACACGGGGCGCTATCTTTGTATGGCAACCAATGTGGCTGGCACTGAGCGCAAGCGAATTGACCTCCACGTCCATGGTAACTATGCGCTTCTACAGATAAGCATACGAAAGAAGAGTATATGTGTTAACAGTCTCATTTCCCTTTATCTGAATAAATGAGATTGCTGGTCTTTGTGTTTGTTTGCTGTTTCTCCCAATGCCATCTTCCAGATAAAATCTGTTATCTGTATCATGAACATGTCAGTTTGCATTTCTTGGTGCAGAAAGTATTGATCTGATGTGTAGAGATCTTTCCTATTCTAATTAATTCGAGAGGGTTCTGGAAGCTTCTCTATGTGAAAGAAACAAGCAGAAGGTTCCTGTTGTTTGGGTTATTCCTTCAGAGAAGCCAAGTACAGCTGGTTTAAACTGGCTCTGTTATCTCTTTCTGTCAAGGTCATGCTGACTATAAAAGTAGGGCCAGAAGGAGCCTGGGTTTTACTTTTTTCTATCTTTTAAGTTGTATTCATTCAACTTGTTTTTATTATTGCTTGTTAGCCACCCTGAGCCCGGCCTTGGCTGGGGAGGGCGGGGTATAAATAAAATGAATTATTATTGTTATTATTATTATTATTATTATTATTATTATTATTATTATTATCTCCTCTCTTTCCCACTCTGTGGTGTTCTGTATAAAGTATACTTAGTGTTAAGGTTTATTTTTATTATAAGTTATTGTAAGTTAAAGTTAAGTCTGCTGCAACTGGATTTCCTATGGAATGTATTGGCTTTGTGACCAATTATGCTCATTTGCCTTCAGTGGCATCCAGTGCTGGATGAAATATACCGTATTTTTCGCTCTACAAGACGCACCAGACCATAAGACGCACCTAGTTTTTGGAGGAGGAAAACAAGAAAAAAAATATTCTGAATCCCAGAAGCCAGAATAGCAAGAGGGATCGCTGCACAGTGAAAGCAGTGATCCCTCTTGCTGTTCTGGGATAGCTGCGCAGCCTGCATTCACTCCATAAGACACACACAATTCCCCCTTACTTTTTTGGAGGGAAAAAGTGAGTCTTATAGAGCCAAAAATACGGTAATTGCCCCTGGTCTATTTTTTGGGAATCCTGCAATGTGTTTAAAGTTTTTGCTCTGCTGACTATACATTGGAGTTCTGCTCTGGATCAATATTGAGTAGAATTCCATGACAGAACATTCCCTGCATTCAGATTGTTCCTTATCAGAACCTTGATAAAGACTGATGTGTGTGCATGTGCTTTTCTCCACTAGTTCCTCCAACTGTTGCTCCTGGGCCAGGCAACATTACAGTAACTGTGAATGTCCAGACTACCCTGCCATGTGAGACCACAGGGATCCCTAAGCCAGCAGTAATCTGGAAGAAGAACAGACACCTCCTTAATGTGGATCAGAATCGAAACACATTCAGGTGATATATGCTATCTCTGTTGTTTGTGTCGAGCCATTAGCGCATGGGTGGGCAAACGAAGGCCCGGGGGACGGATCCGGCCCAATCGCCTTTTAAATCCAGCCCGCGGACGGACTGGGAATCAGCGTGTTTTTACATGAGTAGAATATGTCCTTTTATTTAAAATGCATCTCTGGGTTATTTGTGGGGCATAGGAATTCCTACATTTCCCCCCCAAAATATAGTCTGGTCCCCCACAAGGCCTGAGGGACAGTGGACCGATCCCCTGCTGAAAAAGTTTGCTGACCCCTGCATTAGTGCATACACTGCACTTTGTAGCGAGAAAACCAAAAAGTGCTCATTCAGTATGGATTGTGGCAATGGGGAGTTTATATTTTCCCATTTATCTTGTATTTGAGAATTGCCTAGACTCAACGCAAACAATTGCAACAAACCCTTCATAAAAGGTATTTCGAAGCAATCGGTCACAGTCTTTGGCAATGCTTTGTGTCTCTTACTCTTATTAGACAGCTTAATAAAAACTGCCTTGTCAAATTGCTTAGAATTCCTGCAGCAACTTTCATTCAGAAACTTCATTATGAAAGTGCATTTTACACCTCGGCAATGTTAGATGGCAGCTGCAAAACCCACAGGCTGCTTCTGGTTTCTGAGTTATTTGGGGGATGCTTTCGCCTCACATGATGCCAAAGAGCCTGATTCTAAATTCCAGGCAAGGTACTCGTGCCTAGGTAGATAAAGAGAAGCCTAGACTCTTTTTTATAAGTTTGTTTTTCTTAAAGACTGGAAAGGAATCTGTTGGGATATTTTAGGAGGTATAGGATAGCCCCTCTGAAAATCCAAGCCAAAAATAATTTTGGATTCCAATCTATGTTTTAATGGTTATTTTTAGGTCTGCTTTGCAGCCAATCCAAGGACCTGTAAACAAACCCCTGTGTTGCAATATAGACAAGCTGAACAAAATAACACAACACTATGGCCAGTAACAATGGCACTAAACACTATATTAGACTAATACAAATGATCTGAAATTGCAACCAAAGTCTCTAAATCTTTTTCACCAGTCACGGTAGAATAATTCAAAAGTTCAATATATACATAATCTGTCACCAAATGTCGCCGGAACAGAGTTTCTGGATAACCAATCTATTTCGTTCAATGCTTCATCAGCCAATCTTGATCAATTCTTCATCAGCCAGACTTGTAAGAATTAATCTGAGAAGGATGCCGTTCAATTTCTTAACCTGCCAGTCTTACATGTAAGTAGATATAAACGCTGTAGAAAATATCCTCTGGATAAGTTCTGATGTGATACTGTAGTCACTGATCACATGAACACTGATTGATCAAGATTGGCTGATGAAGCATTGAATGAAACAGACTGGTTATCCGGAAACTTCGTTCCGGTGACATTTGGTGACAGATTATGCATATATTGAACTTTTGAATTGTAGAGTTGGAAGGGAACCCTTGCGGTTCCCTTCCAACTCTACAATTATATGATTTTAGGCCGATCTTGATAAGGAGCTGGCCCATGGGGCCAAATAAGGTTCCTCTCTCCTGTTCTAAGACCAAGTTATTGGCAAGGGCTAAATCCAGATCAATTGGACATAAGACTGTGAATATTCTGGAGCTCAATCTGAAATGAATCTTTGGGAACCATGTCTCTAAATCTTTAATAATAATAATAATAATAATAATAATAATAATAATTTATTATTTATACCCCGCCCGTCTGGCTGGGCTTCCCCAGCCACTCTGGGCGGCTTCCAAAAAAATATTAAAATACTATAATACATCAAACATTAAAAGCTTCCCTAAACAGGGCTGCCTTCAGATGTCTTCTAAAAGTCTGGTAGTTGTTGTTCTCTTTGACATCTGGTGGGAGGGCGTTCCACAGGGAAGGCACCACTCTGTCTGGTTCCCTATAACCTCACTTCTCGCAGTGAGGGAACTGCCAGAAGGCCCTCGGTGCTGGACCTCGGTGTCCAGGTAGAATGATGGGGATGGAGACGCTCCTTCAGAATCTGAATTATTGTGGGATTTGGTGGTAACGCCTGCCCCCTAGGCCAGGGTTTCCCAAACTTGGGTCCCCAGCTGTTGTTAGACTACGACTCCCATCATCCATGACCTCTGGTCCTGCTACCTAAGGATGATGGGAGTTGTAGTTCAAGAACAGCTGCGGACCCCAGTTTGAGGAACATGGCAGTCGAAAATGACTTGGAGGTGGTGCATGAAACGCTTTGCAACTTAGCGTCGCTACAGTTCGCTTTCACTTTTGAATGTCAGCATTGGGGTAACATTTATTTCAGTAACTTTAGGGACTGTGGCATTTCTACTCAAGCACAGCAATGAGTTTAACCCCTTGCTCTTTCTGCAGGCTTCTGTCTTCGGGGTCACTGGTAATAATTTCTCCCATCGTAGATGACACTGCGCTCTATGAATGTATGGTATCAAATGAAGCAGGCGAGGATCAAAGAGCAATTGCTCTCATCGTACAAGGTACAGTATTGCGGCACTGTCAAAACGTCTTCATGGGAGCTCTTGAAACTCTGAGGCCATTGCTGTGCGGAGAGACTGTGTGTTGAAGAAGGGCTAGGAAGGGAGCTTTCAGCTTTCAGCTCTGGGCCCTTCTGATCCATTCAGTTACAAAACCTTTCCTCCTTTCTGCACAAAATAAAGGTCTGTGACGTTAACATATGAGAGTGCTGGAGGTGAAATAGTTAAACAGGTTACCCAATCAGAACCCAGGGGGGTGGAGTCAGACGGACTATAAAACCAGCTCTGGGAGGGGGGAGTTTGTTGGGAGTTGGGTGGTTGGGTGGAGTGGGAGGGTGTTGGGATAGAGTCTGTGGGTAGGTTGAGTTAGTGTAGCGAAATAAGTTGAGTCAGGAACAGTTCGGACCTAGGAAGACAAGTAAATATCTGAGAGGTGGTTTAGTGAGTGAGAGCAGGTAGCGGAAGTTATAGGTCTGGATAGGCAACCCCATGATTGTAAATGACCGATACAGTTTATGAAACCACACACTTGTTAAACTGCAATAAATAAACAGAAGTTTATGATCCAATTTAACCCTGACTGGACTCAGTATTGTACCAGGTAGGGCCTGGGTGGTGGCAGCGATAAATGAAGTGGTGGCACAGGGATCAATAGACAGTGGAACGTCTGGGGATCCTGTGTGATCGCCACAGGGTCAAATGACAAGTGTGTCATGAATCTCAGCCCCTTCGGTACAGCGTGGTGTGCATGTGTTTTGCAAATAGTGTAGCACTCCCAATTCAAATTGGGACACTAGTTTGGGGTGAGGTAGGAGTTCTTTAAGCAATGGCCTCTGGGCCATGCCTACAGTTTCCACTGCCAACATGTGTCCCACTGAAATGATTTCACTAGTTTTTTAGCAATACAAGTTGAAGGTGAGGAACCCCAGATCTGACTTGGACTTAGTGTCTAAGCCAGGGGTCGGCAAGGCTTACCTTGCCTGGGCTGGTTCACTGCCATGGAGCCCCCTCCGTGGGTTGGATTGCGGGTGCGGGTGAATGCGCGCACCCGCAATTTCCGGCGCCTGCGTCTGCGCCGATGCGATTTCCAGCACCACGAAAGCGAGTCCCCATGCTGCGCCGGTTTAGCGCAGTGCACGGGGACTCGCCGAGCGGGTGGCTCAGTTCAGGGGCGGCTTAGGAGCCGGTAAAATGGCCCCTGTGGCTTGCTTGTGGCCCATGGGCCTTAGGTTGCCGACCCCTGGTCTAAGCAAAGGGTTAAAGACTCCCTGCTCCCTCCACTAGGGTTCTAATCTAGCTTGAGAGCCTGTTGTTTATAGCTATGAAACAGACTCTTGTATGACATGCATTGTATTGCATTGCATTGCATTGCATTGCATTGCATTGTATTGTACATTTTATGTCCCTCAATTTGTTCTTATTCAGCTGGCCATTTACTGCAGTTTATCCAAGATAACATCACAACAATGTGAATGATCATTAGTTTTATCTTCCTTTATTTTCCTTACTTTAGTGCCTCCATCCTTGGCAGACGAAGCTGCGGATCTATTGGTAACCAAGTCATCTCCAGTCATGATTCCCTGCAGTGCCTCGGGTGTTCCTTCGCCCACAATCCACTGGACCAAGAATGGAATAAGGCTTCTTCCTCGAGGAGATGGCTACAGAATTCTGTCTTCAGGTTTACAACGATTCTGAACACCTCCAGAAATTTTATACAGTGGTGCCCCGCAAGACGAATGCCTCGCAAGACGAAAAACTCGCTAGACGAAAGAGTTTTCCGTTTTTTGAGTCATTCCGCAAGACGAATTTCCCTATGGGCTTGCTTCGCAAGACGAAACGTCTTGCGAGTTCTTGCGAGTTTGTTTCCTTTTTCTTAAAGCCGCTAAGCCGCTAAGCCGTTAATAGCCGCTAAGCCGTTAATAGCCACTAAGCCGCTAATAGCCGCTAATAGCCGTTAATAGCCATGCTTCGCAGGACAAAAAAACTGCAAGACGAAGAGACTCGCGGAACGGATTAATTTCGTCTTGCGAGGCACCACTGTATTCATGTATTTAGGCGTGTTCATGACAACGGGTGGTATTAAACAAGTCGATCGGCTAGTGCAAGGATTTCTGCTTGTGTAATGGGACTTTCCTTTCCTTTTCCCCTTCTTGTGTCCTCCCCAGATCTGCTCCGAAGGATTAGGGGCATGGGGAAGGGGTGCAGTGAGAAGAGAGGGACGGGAAGTTCTGTTGTGCAGCCCAAATTCCTTACAATAGTGGATCTGCTTCAATGAATACTGCTTGCTTTCATTTTCAATTTCTTAAAGGATGCCATCATTTCTGTTTGGGCCAGAGCCTTTGGCTGAGACTGCACATTTTTGTGTCGCGTAATTTCCATTTCCAAATACTGGGCTGCCATTTCTCCACTGGAAAAAGGCATCAAGCGGGTGTGATTTGCATAGGAAAAAATAACTGACAGGAGGGAATGGGGTGCTTAATCTGTCCCAGGCCCAGCTATCATGTCTCTGCTGGTCTTCCTCCCACAGCTGATTTTTCTTCCATCCAGCTTCCAGAACCATTTTTGTGTGCGATGGGAACCCAAGTGTGGAATCCTGCCATGAGAAAAAATGGAGGGGTGGTGAGGTGAATTTGCAGGGGGAAGTGGGGTTCAGGGTAAAGCACCTCTGCCCCCGGCTATCCAAATGAGAAGTGACAGCCAGGCCCTTTAGATATGCAAGTTTATTAGTAACACGTCATTCTAGCCAAGGACTCCAGACATAAACCGAAATATTCACATGCCTAAGAGCTGCACACTCACTGCACTTTAAACTCCATATCTATATATTTTTGTTGCTTCCTTTCCATCAGTGCTCTAGTGAACTTTGCTGCCTTAGTCTTGGAATGTAGCTGTGTCCCAAAAGGAAAGAGGATAGAAGAACCTCTTTCTATTACACTGAGCCTTTTCGTTAAAGGAGCCAAGGTTAAGGAAGGCACCCATGAAAATGCTTTTGCTCCACTCCCAGTGACCAGTGTCCACTAGCTGGTGTGCCAACTTTCTCAAAGTGCCTGGGAACTGAACTTGAACTGTCTGAGAACTGCAAGGGCCCCCCTAATCACTGTTGAGCTACTGTATTTTTACGTGTATTGGATGAGGTTTTTTGACTCAAAAATCACGTCAAAAAAATTGGGGTCGTCCAATACATGGATAGGAATGCGGGTGGCACTGTGGGTTAAATCACAGAGCCTAGGACTTGCCGATCATAAGGTCGGCGGTTCGAATCCCCGTGACAGGGTGAGCTCCTGTTGCTTGGTCCCAGCTCCTGCCAACCTAGCAGTTCGAAAGCACGTCAAAGGTGCAAGTAGATAAATAGGTACCACTCCGGCGGGAAGTTAAATGGCGTCTCCGTGCACTGCTCTGGTTCGCCAGAAGCGGCTTAGTCACGCTGGCCACATGACCTGGAAGCTGTACGCCGGCTCCCTCGGCCAATAAAGCAAGATGAGCGCCGCAACCCCAGAGTTGGTCATGACTGGACCTAATGGTCAGGGGTCCCTTTACCTTTACTTTAATACATGAATAGTGGCATGGCGGGGGGGGGGGAGAAGCAGTAGGCTGCCAGCCATTCGGTTGGCGGGAGTGTGGCTTCCCCTGATGCTGCAGCGAGCGGGGAACAATCTGGGGGGTGCTTCTTGCCCGCAGCTGTGGGGGGGGGGAGAAGCTATGCGCCGCCAGCCAGCCAGCTCTTTGATGGGAGTGCAAATTCACCCGATGCCGCTGCGCATGGGAAGCACTCCCTGGATTGTTTCCCATGCGCGGAAGGCATGAGGGAAGATTGCGCTCCTTCAAACCAGATGGCTGGAGGGAGCACAAATTCACCCGATGCCACTGAGCATGGGAAACGATCTAGGGAGTGTTTCCTGACCGCAGCAGCATCGGGTGAATTTGCACTCCCATCAAAGAGCTGGCTGGCTGGCGGCGCATAGCTTCTCCCCCCCCCCCACAGCTGCGGGCAAGAAGCACCCCCCAGATTGTTCCCCGCTCGCTGCAGCATCAGGGGAAGCCACACTGCGTGGGGGGAGAGACTCAACAACTTTGGGCCATCTCCCCTCATTTTCTTAAAATTTAGTCCCCCAAAATGGGGGGGAAGGTCTTATACAAGGGGTTGTCTTATAGACGGGAAAGTACGGTATTCCTGCTGCAGCACGCATCTTTAAACTTTCCCGCCTATTCCTGCAGGTACTATTGAAATTGCTGCTGCGCAACTGGACCATGCAGGGAAGTACACTTGCACTGCGCAGAATGCTGCTGGCTCTGCCCACAGACACGTGACTCTTCATGTACAGGGTGAGGTGGGAACTTGTATATTTCTTGCCTATCTGAAAGTGAACTATCGCCCCAGCTAGGGCTGGATTAAAGCATGCCACTGTTTGAGGCAAACAAGCAAAAGCTGCCCGCGTTCTCCACCAGGCCCTGGTTCAACACGCCCACTGCCCATCGTACCCCCAGCCACTTGCCTGCTCGCTTTCCCTGCTCAGCAAGCACTTTTCCCAGTCTCAGCGCCACGGTGCCATTTTGTAAATTTGGGGGAGCTGAGCCCCACCCTGGTTCCTGTTAATTCACAATTTATTACGGTCAGAGACCAGCTTGAAAACCACAACTGGGACAGCTTTCACAAGAATAAAATATACCTGTAAAGCAGTGTACAACAGCAGCTTAAAGATTAAAATCTAAGATGAGCGTATGTACACGTAAAGACCTAAAAATTTGGGCTACAAATTGGCCCTGACACCCTGGAGGCCGACTTTGACTGTTTTCCCTAGTGAACTAGTTTATTTTGGGGGGTGGGTCCTGTTTTAAACAGTCATGTTTCCACTTCTGGGACCTCCTCTTTTGGCAGCACTGACCAAAGGTCTGGTCTTAGGGCTCCCCTTCAGGGGCTGCTGCTACTGTAGCTACCACCACCAGTATCAGTCAGTTGCAGCCCACTCCCTCTCATCTTGCCTAATGGGCAGCGTATCTGGCCCCACAAGTGAATTGGAGGTGTCTCATCATCATCATCATCATCATCATCATCATCATCATCATCATAATTTATTTTTTTGTACCCTGCCCATCTGACTGGGTTGCCCCAGCCACTCTGGGCGGCTTCCAGCACATATAAAAACATAATATAATATCAAACATTAAAAACTTCCCTATACTGTACAGTACTGCCTTCAGATGTCTTCTAAAAGTTGTGCAGCTGTTTATCTCCTTGACATCTGACAGGATCTTAGCTCCTGCCCAGTTCCCCCAAAGCACATCAACATCACATCAGGCATTACATCTGCGGAGATTTATGGGCCCGATTTGACTAACCAGATGCGTTAGCAGAAGCCAATGCAAGGACTCTTGCTAACACAACTTAGACTCTCTCCTCTCCTTCCCTCCACGCACCCCCCCCCGGCAAATCCATCTGGGGGGTCTGGGGAACCTCAGAACAGCATTGGGGGGGGGGACAGAGGGGATTGTTCCATCTGGCAAGTAAAAATGCTTTCGCTGACAGAACAATTGCCTTAGTGTGATGTTGGACTCCACTCTGTGTTAGAATCCTTTAAAATGGGCTTGTTTTGAAATGAGTCATTCTGGGCTGGACTGGGCTTGGAGACAGAGACAGCAATCAAAGATTTTCTATACAGTGGTACCTCTGGTTAAGAACTTCATTCGTTCTGGAGGTCCGTTCTTAACCTGAGGTACCAGTTTAGCTAATGGGGCCTCCCGCTGCTGCCGCCGTGCGATTTCCGTTCTCATCCTGAGGTAAAGTTATCAACCCGAAGTACTACTTCTGGGTTAGCGGAGTCTGTAACCCGAAGTGTTTGTAACCCGAGGTGTTTGTAACCCGAGGTACCACTGTATTGGCAATGGTTGATCCAACATTAATTAATACATCTATGTATTATAACATGGCTTCCAGGATCTGTGTTTATTCATAACATCGTTTGTGAAATGGGGATATTTTTCTTTTGGTAGGCAACCTGGTAGGGGTATGTGATAATTGTAAACAGCTGGGTGGATCAGTAATCAGAGCTTTTTTTGTGCTCCTCTGAATCTTAGAACCACCAGCTATAAAAGTCCAACCTGGAATGCTTGACGTCATTCTCAACAGCCCAATTCTCCTACCATGTGAAGCGGTAGGCTCACCACGTCCTAAAATAACGTGGCAGAAGGAAGGGGTCAGTGTTAACACCACAGGTATCTTGTTTTGCTTTATAATTTCCCGTTCTCCTAAGAGCATTTAGCTACATACAGTTGAAGGGAATTACCGTATTAGGCGACTGGGCGTATAAGACGACCCCCCAAATTGGCAGTGCCAATTTGGGGTTTCGTTTTATAAGCCCAGTCGTATACGCTGGGCAGGAGGAAGCCGCCCAGTGCGGTGGCAGCGGCAGCAGCTTCGGCAGCCTCTAAAGCAGCAGCAGGCAGCGGTCTCCGTGCTGGGAGGAAGCTGCCCTGTGCCCGCCTCGGAGGTAGTACCCAGCGTATAAGACGACCCCCGACTTTCTAACCTCTTTTCCGGGGTTAAAAAGTCATCTTATATGCGGGAATCTATGGTAGTGCTGCAGTTCTGTATCCTAAGAAAGGATATACCGTATTTTTCGCTCTATAAGACGCACCAGACCATAAGACGCACCTAGTTTTTGGAGGAGGAAAACAAGAAAAAAAATATTCTGAATCTCAGAAGCCAGAACAGCAAGAGGGATCACTACGCAGTGAAAGCAGCAATCCCTCTTGCTGTTCTGGCTTCTGGGATTGCTGAACAGCCTGCATTCGCTCCATAAGACGCACACACATTTCCCCTTACTTTTTAGGAGGGAAAAAGTGAGTCTTAAAGAGCAAAAAATACGGTACTTTTTAAAAAAAGGTAACTAAATCATGTGTCTGAATAGTTTGCTGAGACAGAGAGGTTTTCTGCAGGCAACTAAAATAATATAGTGAGTGTACCTTCCCAATGTCTTTACGCCAAGGAGTTGCTGTCACTCCAACGGAACAATTCCTCACAATTGCAGTGCCAATTTCACAGATCAAAGTGATTGAATAGTCACATTATGAGGCAAGGTGATTTCTTAAGTAAACTGATCCCAAGCCATATACCAACAGTAATGCCTTGAACTTGGCCCAGTAACCAGTCAGAAGCCAGTGCAGATTTTTGGACACAATTATTTTCAGTCGAATCAATCCACACATTTGCCTACCAGTTACCAAATGTACATACAGTGGTGCCCCGCAAGACGAATGCCTCGCAAGACGAAAAACTCGCTAGACGAAAGGGTTTTCCGTTTTTTGAGTCGTTCCGCAAGACGAATTTCCCTATGGGCTTGCTTCGCAAGACGAAACGTCTCGCGAGTTCTTGTGAGTTTGTTTCCTTTTTCTTAAAGCCGCTAAGCCGTTAATAGCCGCTAAGCCACTAAGCCGTTAATAGCCGCTAAGCCGCTAATAGCCGCTAAGCCGCTAATAGCCGTGCTTCACAAGACGAAAAAACCGCAAGACGAAGAGACTCGTGGAACGGATTAATTTCGTCTTGCACCTCTTTAAAAAAAACCTGAACGAAAGGAGAGTTCACAACCTTTCTAGTAAACCTATTTCTCCAGCAAACTATTTTTACAGAATCTATAGCAGTCCTAATGTTTCTCTACTACTGTGGTCTTCTTTAATACATAATGTGCATGTGTTCCAGGGGATAGTTATACCATTCTCCCCAGTGGCAGTTTGCAGATTGCAAAAGCTGCTGCTGAAGACGCTGGAACTTACATTTGTGTGGCTCAGAATCCAGCCGGTACTGCCCTTGGGAAGATCAAACTGAAGATCCAAGGTAAGTTTTGCAGTGAGCTACAGCTTGTTAATAATATCTGGTGTTATCTTGGAACGTATCTGATGTGCCTCTAGAATAGAGGAGAGCAACTTTTTCTTTCTGTTGAGGGCTGCGTTCCCTCTGGGGTCACACACAGCCTAGTTAAGCATTGAATTTGCTCCCACGAGTGGTTGTGATGGCCACCGACTTGGATGCCTTTAGGCAAATTTGTGGAGGGATAAGGCTATCAGCCATGATTATTAATTAATTATACCCCGCCCATCTGAGTTTCCCCAGCCACTCTGGGCAGCTCCCAATCAAGTGTTAAAAACAATACATCATTAAATATTAAAAACTTCCCCAAACAGGGCTGCCTTCAGATGTCTTTTAAAAATAGGATAGCTGCTTATTTCCTTGACATCTGATGGGAGGGCATTCCACAGGGCGGGTGCCACTACCAAGAAGGCCCTCTGTCTGGTTCCCTGTAACTTGGCTTCTCGCAGCAAGGGAACCACCAGAAGGCCCTCAGCGCTGGATCTCAGTGTCCGGGCTGAACGATGCGGGTGGAGACGCTCCTTCAGGTATACAGGACTGAGGCAATGGCTGTATTCCACCTCCACCGTTGGAGGGGAGAATGATACTGCACTCAGGCTGTGGTTGTGAGCTAGCCATGAGCATCTGGTTCACCACAATGAGAGCAGAGTGCGGGACTAGATTTTTGGCTCGATCCCGCAGGGCTCTTGTTATGTAATTTGTCAGGGTCAGGAGTCCAAAAGGGAGGCATGGATAGGGGAGGCCACCTGCTTTTCTCTTTCTGCTACCTCCTCTCCCATTTCCCTCCTTCTTGCCAGGAGCTGCATGAAACTTGTGAAGTGACCTTTATCTTCTTAACCTTCCCTAAGAAGTACATCATTAGAGCCTCAACAAGAGAAAAAAGAGAACAAACAGGAGTACAGTGGACGCTCGGGTTGCGAACGTGATCCGTGCGGGAGGCACATTGGCAACCCACAGTGTTCGCAACCCGCATCACTGCATCTGTGCACGCATGGGTTGCGATTCGGTGCTTCTGCGCATGTGCAAAGCACGATTTAGCAGTTCTGGGCATGCGCGGCCGCTGGTACTTCTGGATACCGCCAAAAAAGGCCTGCTTTTGTCCCCTGACCTTGAGAAAAAGAGATGAAATGAAAAGTCAGGCGCCTGATGCACAGTGATGAATAGGGTTAGAAGATGGAGACAGCTTGGGAAAGCAACAGTTTGTGAAGTAGTATAGGGAATGTTGTCCAACTGTCTTCTAGCACTGCCGATTAAAACAATGGATTCATTGTCTACCAGTTCCTCCAGCTATCAGATCTCACCCGGAAGAATACGTGGTGGTTTTGGATAAGCCTGCCACGCTGTTGTGTGAAGCAGATGGCTATCCGGCTCCTGAGATCGTGTGGCATAAAGATGGACAACAGGTCACAGAGTCCATGAGGCAGAGAATCCTCAGCATGGGGTCTTTGCAGATTGCCTTTGCTCATCCGAGCGACACCGGCCGTTACACATGCACGGCGACCAACGTGGCTGGAGCAAGCAGCTCGAGCATGGAGCTCACTGTGCTTGGTAAGCATAGCTGGAAATGGGGAACATGCATTGGCTATTAATCATGGTGGAAGCAAGGATGATGGATGGAACCAGGATTGGTTGTTCTTCACAGTTTTAATTAGCTGTTCCCCATATCCTCATACAGCTTAAGTTGCCATTCTTCTTTGGTTGGGACTTCGCTTGTTTTCCATTTTTGAGCTAACAAAAGATGGGTCACAGTAGTGGCACACGTAAATAACCTTTTTGACACCTGGAAATTTCAGTGTGAATTATCCCCAGCAGAAAGGACTCTGCTTTGGGAGCAAAAGTACTTTTAAACATTTTCCCCCAATTCATTATGGATCATTTCCCAATACTCTCTTTTACCCTTTTGCAAGTCCACCACATAGGAAAGAACATACCCTCCACCTCTTTGCATCTTCAGCACTCATCTGATTCAGTCTTATACTACATCTTAGCAAGCCTACTCAGAGTTAAATACCATCTGTAAATCAGTTTCAAATAGTTCTCCTTCAAAGAATAACATGCTGTGAACTTCAGATCACTTTTCCAGAGTTTTTCCCACCCAACTCTGTAGATTCCTAAGGACATGTGTAATTTATTGTTTTCTTTCTTTTCTTAAAAAACCTCCCTACAGTTCCACCTAAGATACGCAGTACAGAAGCCCATTACACAGTTGCAGAAAATGCACAAGTGGTTCTGCCGTGTGTTGCTGATGGAATGCCAACGCCATCCATGAATTGGAAGAAAGAGGGCCAATTTTTAATGAGCATGGTGGGAAAATACACTGCTCTGTCATATGGAGATCTCATTGTGGATAATGCTGTGGTAAGCATTTGACTGAGCAGCGTACTCAAGGTAGCCACAGGCTGATAGACATGCCAACCTGAAAGTGTGTGATTTGTAGGTTTCTTGAGCCAAAGATACCCTGCTATGTTTAGCTGTAGGTAGTCCATGAGTAAGGGATGCGGGTGGCGCTGTGGGTAAAACCTCAGTGCCTAGGACTTGCCAATCGTATGGTCGGCAGTTCGAATCCCCGAGGCGGGGTGAGCTCCCGTCTTTCGGTCCCAGCTCCTGCCCACCTAGCAATTCGAAAGCATCCCTAAGTGCAAGTAGATAAATAGGTACCGCTTTATAGCGGGAAGGTAAATGGCGTTTCCGTGTGCTGCGCTGGTGCTGGCTCGCCAGAGCAGCTTCGTCACGCTGGCCACGTGACCCGGAAGTGTCTTCGGGCAGCGCTGGCTCCCGGCCTCTTAAGTGAGATGAGCGCACAACCCTAGAGTCGGACACGATTGGCCAGTACGGGCAGGGTACCTTTACCTTTACCTAGTCCATGAGTATGGACCCACCGGGTGGTAGCATTGTGATATAAGGCTAATACTGTGTTCATTATAGATACAGTGGTACCTCGGGTTACATACACAGGGGTGTGTGTGTGTGTGTGTGTGTGTGTGTGTGTTAATAATGGCTCTGGAAAGGAGGAAGACAGCACAAGTCACACCCTTATGGCTATGGGACAGAAGAAAAAAGGAGGCTGGGTTGTTAGCTGACAGCTCTACTACTAGGAGGATACAGTGGTACCTCAGGTTACAGAGGCTTCAGGTTACAGACTCCGCTAACCCAGAAATAGTACCTCGGGTTAAGAACTTTGCTTCAGGATGAGAACAGAAATTGTGCAGCGGCAGCAGGAGGCCCCATTAGCTTCAGGTTAAGTGGTGCTTCAGGTTAAGAACAGTTTCAGGTTAAGAACGGACCTCCGGAACGAATTAAGTACTTAACCCGAGGTACCACTGTACATGGTTATGCTTTGCCATGGGACCTTATCCCCTTTTTCAACAGCATCACTCGGAACCTGGCAATGCATTATGTCAAAAAAGAAAGAAATACAGTGGTACCTCGGGTTACATCCGCTTCAGGTTACAGATTCTGCTAACACAGAAATAGTACCTCAGGTTAAGAACTTTGCTTCAGGATGAGAACAGTAATCGTGCTCTGGCGGCGCGGCGACAGCGGGAGGCCCCATTAGCTATAGTGGTGCTTCAGGTTAAGAACAGTTTCAGGTTAAGAACAGACCTCCAGAACGAATTAAGCTCTTAACCCGAGGTACCACTGTAGCAGGATTCAGTTCAGTTGTTGCACTAGTGGAAGAATGAGGTCCACTCACACAGCAGGACTTTTCCACATCCCCACTCCCACCCGGTGTGTGCCTCTAAATCTGCTCTGGGGGATTGCAAGTTGCTTTGCAACATTTTGTAGAAAGCAATGAATAAATGCAATCAATCAATCAATCAATCAATCAATCAATGCAGCATTTGAAAGCAGAGACCCAATGATGGAGTGATTCAAATCCCTATACAGTGGTACCTCGGTTTAAGAACTTAATTTGTTCTAGAGGTCTGTTCTTAACCTGAAACTGTTCTTAACCTGAAGCACCACTTTAGCTAATGGGGCCTCCCGCTGCCGCCGCACAATTTCTGTTCTCATCCTGAAGCAAAGTTCTTAACCCGAGGTAATATTTCTGGGTTAGCGGAGTCTGTAACCTGAAGTGTATGTAACCTGAAGCGTATGTAACCCGAGGTAACACTGTACAATCTTCAGTCAAATGCTTTCTTTCTGAGATGCCTCCTATGTCCAAATGACCATTATCTTTATTACAGGATATCCCCCCCCCCCCGTTAAATGTTTTTATTTCCTTCCTACAGCCTGAAGATTCTGGCAGCTACACCTGTATTGCCAGTAATGTTGCTGGTGAAGATACCCACACCGTCAACTTAACCGTCCATGTGCTGCCAACCTTTACTGAGCTCCCTGGAGATTTAGCTTTAAATAAAGGAGAACGACTTCAGCTAACTTGCAAAGCAGTTGGAGTTCCTGTGCCACAAATCTCATGGACTTTTAACAATAATATCATCCCAGGTTAGTACATCAAAGGACTGGATTGTACCTAGAAAACACAGGTTTTGTTGTTCTTTTAGTCGTGTCCGACTCTTCGTGACCCCATGGACCAGGCACTTCTGTCTTCCACTGCATCCCGCAGTTTGGCAAAACTCATTATAGTAGCTTCGAGAACACTGTCCAACCATCTCGTCCTCTGTCGTCCCCTTCTCCTTGGGCCCTCCATCTATCCCAAAATCAGGGTCTTTTCCAGGGAGTCTTCTCTTCTCATGAGGTGGCCAAAGTATTGGAGCCTCAGCTTCAGGATCTGTCCTTCCAGTGAGCACTCAGGGCTGATTTCCTTCAGAATGGATAGGTTTGATCTTCTTGCAGTCCATGGGACTCTCAAGAGTCTCCTCCAGCACCATAATTCAAAAGCATCAATTCTTTGGTGATCAGCCTTCTTTATGGTCCAGCCCTCACTTCCATACATCACTACTGGGAAAACCATAGCTTTAACTATACGGACCTTTGTCGACAAGGTGATGTCTCTGCTTTTTAAGATGCTGTCTAGGTTTGTCATCGCTTTTCGAACTGTTTCACAAAAATTGAATTCCTGACATGGAATAAGCATGTGCACATGAGATATCTGATACAGTGTGTTGCTCTCCTAACACGAAATGAGTTAGGTGATGGTTTCTTTTCATATCAGCTTCTGTAGGTTAAAAAAAAAAAGTAGGTATCTTTTCGAATTACAAAAAACACTTTATAAGACAGAATGGAATCAAGACAACATGGCAATTGGAAAGAGTAAAGTGTGGCTCAGTGTGTAGAAGTTATATTGTAAGGAATGGTTGAGGGAGCTGGGTTTGTTTAGCCTGCGAAAAAGGAGACTGAGAGGAGATATGATAGCCATCATCAAATTTTTAAAGGGCTGCCACATAGAAGATGGAGGAAGCTGCTCTGGAGGGTAGGGCCCGAACCAATGGCTTCAAGCTGCAAGGAAGATTATCAGGAAGAACTTCCTGGCCGTGAGAGCTGTCAGTGGAACAAGCTCCCTTGGAGGTTTTTAACAGAGATTGGATGGTGGTCTGTCATGGATGCTTTAGTTGAGATTGCTGCATTGCAGGGGGTTGGACTAGATGACCCACAGGATCCCTTCCAACTCTCCAATTCTATGTAAGGAACGTAGGGTGGATCCAGCCCCGCTGCACCAGACCCAACTAGGTGCCACTAGGAGGAAATGAGCACAACAGCAAAAGATTGGCATGCTTAGGTATCTCTTTATTGCAGAGGAGTTATGTCATTTCAAAGCAACCTGAAAACTCCTAAGCAACCTCAACATTCCAGTAGAATTGCAGGCAGAAAGAAGGCAGGGTTAACAAGTACCGTATTGGCCCGAATACAAGCTGCACCCGAATATAAGCTGCACCTTTAAAATTGGAGCGGGGGGGGGGGGGAGAAAAAATACCCGTATATATACCATTCACTTCCTCACTGCTCCTGGCTGCATCTTGGGGGGGGGGAGCCATGCTGTGTTGCCAGCAACCCTTCCCCTTCCTCACTCTTACTCTTTCCCTTCCTAGCCTTGGGGGAGAGGACGGGGGGACGGGGGACTATGTGCTTTGCTGTGCTCCTAGCGCTGTTTGCCCCGCGCTCCTGGCTGCATACCGTAAGGTCGCGAATATAAGCCGCACTTTAACTTTTCACGGTCAGATTTTTTGGGGGGCGGGGGGAAGCGAGGCTTATATTCAGGCCAATACGGTATCTCCACCTGCTGTCTTTCCCCATAAAGCTGTATCTACTAGCATATTGGGATACTGAACACCCCCAAGCTATGCATGTAAAATGTGCGTTCTGTTGAGCCTTTAGATTTTGTTGGTTTTCTTTTTCTTTGTTGTTCTCCTCTTGTTCTGCTAGCACAATACGATGGTGTGAATGGACTTAGCCAACTTGTCATTGAAAGAGTGTCCAAAGAGGACTCTGGAACCTATGTGTGTACGGCGGAAAATGTAGTTGGTTCTGTCAAGGCTCTTGGATTTGTGTACGTTAAAGGTATGTATTACTGGTAAGTTTGGGAATCGTTTCACACTCCATCTAAAATCAGCATCATAGGTGGTCAGGGGAATGAATGGACATGGCCTGTCTAACTTACGAAAATAAAAAGTGCCTGACTCGTATCAAACGAGTATGCAGACGAAACCTCTTCCTAATTTAGAGCTGAATCTGGATTAAGAATTCATTTTAAACTAGGTGAATTTTCTGCAATCAAAATTACTGAACTCAAAAACAGCTGAAGGGGCTCCACATTCACAAAACTAGATTCAGATTCATTCCATTTTCACTGTATTTTGAAGTTTTAACATCTGCATTTTTGCTGCTTTAAATTCATGTTGAGTTCCCTCAATATACTGGCTTCGGTTCTCATTTCCACTCTTATTTTATACATCATTAACTTTTGAACTATTTTTCCAGAACCACCAGTCTTCATGGGAGATTATCATTCCAGTCGGATTGAGCCCTTGGGTGGCAATGCTATCCTCAACTGTGAAGTCAGAGGAGATCCACCTCCAGTGATCCAGTGGAGCAAAAAAGGAGCTGGCATTCAGATCAGCAACCGGATCAGACAACTCAGCAACGGATCCCTTGCTATCTATGGCACAGTTGTAAGTCTTTACTGAGATCTCTTCTACTGATTAGTTGTACAGGATTAATGTCCCACCCTTCTTTCAAAGAGATCTATCTTCATTACCAACCCAAGAGGCTGTGAATTAAACACAGACTGCAGGTCTGTTCTTAATAACTGATACAAATCTCTTTTATGCATTACATATAGTTGCAGTGCATTTTTATATGTGTATGTGGTCGTGCACTACTCTGCTGAAAAGGGAATTTTATCGTTTCCATTCTAACCTCTCAGGCTGCCTCCTGAGCTATTGTTATATCATGGCACCACACAACACAACTTGCGCAATTCACTCCTTTATTTAAGGAATTTATATGCCATCCTTCAAGGCAAAACCCTCCCAGGGTGACTTAGAAACACTAGATAAAATACCAGTTAAAACTCTGTATGTCACAGATGTAACATTGCAGATAAAAGTTTTCAAATTGCCTTTTCAGTTGAGTCAGTCCACAAGTCCAGCTGTCACCAGGGGACTCAGATGTCACACCCGACACATTGAGTCAACACACTTAATGCACATGCATTTCCTAACATACTACTGCCATTAGAGCCTTTCTCAGGAATTTGGCATAAAAAGGTCAATGCACTTGTGATGCACCCATAAGGCACACAACACTGGGGGGGGGGGGGTGTCCCTTCTTTTTGCCACTAGAAATCTGAACAGGCCAACCCTCCTTGCCACAGAAGATATAGGACAGGGGTCAGCAAACGTTTTCAGCACGGGACCGGTCCACTGTCCCTCAGACCTTGTGAGGGGCCAGACTATATTTTGGAAACAAATAATGAATGAATTCCTATGCCCTACAAATAACCCAGAGATGCATTTTAAATAAAAGGGCCTTAGTTTGCCTACCCATGATATAGGATGTTGCCAACGCCAGGCAAAGGGTGGCACAGTTTACTGGTCACAGGCTTGATGCCAGCAGAGTACCTGCAGTTGGCGAACTTCCCAGTGCTTCTGCTTAATTGTGCTTAATTATGCAGCCCCCTTCCACCCTACACACAGGAGACGGCACTGCCACTACCGGGACGCAGGAGGCACTGTGGTCTAAACCACTGAGCCTCTTGGGCTTGCCGATTGGAATCTGTGCAACAGGATGAGCCCCCATTGCTCTGCCCCAGTTCCTGCCAACCTAGCAGTTCGAAAGCACGCCAGTGCAAGTAGATAAATAGGTACCGCTCCGGCGGGGCAGTAAACGGTTTCTGTGCGCTCTGGTTTCCGTCACAGTGTTCCATTGCACCAGAAGCACTTTAGTCCTGCTGGCCACATGACCTGGAAAGCTGTCTGTGGACAAATGCCGGTACCCTCGGCCTGAAAGCAAGATGAGCGCCGCAACCCCATAGTCTTTTTTGACTGGACTTAACCTTCCAGGGCGCCTTTACCGTTACCTTTTACTGTCACTACCACCGCCACTAACTTCCATCCTACTGAAACCCTGCTGGTTTCTGTATATATTATACAATTTCTAAGCCATTGCTGGGTTTAATGTACTGCAAATCAACACTGAATAAAAATTATTGGATTGCTCATCTGTCAACATGCTGACTTCTTTTCAGAATGAAGATGCTGCGGAATATGCGTGTGTAGCTACAAACGATGCTGGCGTTGTCGAACACCGCGTAACCCTGACATTGCACAGTAAGCCACACAAGAATATTCACACTATATGTGTTGAGAGTTCTAAATTTTACACTTGGACGTACCTACTGCATGAGTTAAAACTAGGCTTATTTATTTGACCCATGGACCTCTCTATCTTTGCCTTGGTCAATACAGTGTTATAGGGCCAAACGGCATATTCTTCTTTTCCCCCTAAGTCTCATTGGTAAAGGAGGCAGGTATGATTCAGTGGCGCCGCACAGTGCAAGAGGGATAATTCTCCTTGGTCCGCATGCTGCAAACCTGATAATAATCAGGGTTCCCCTTCACCTGCAATTAAAGAAAAATAAGTGCTTTTTTGCTGCACACTACTAAGTGTAGGGACGCAGGTGGCACTGTGGGTTAAACCACAGAGCGTAGGACTTGCCGATCAGAAGGTTGGCAGTTTGAATCCCCATGACAGGGTGAGCTCCTGTTGCTCGGTCCCAGCTCCTGCCAACCTAGCAGTTCGAAAGCATGTCAAAGTGCAAGTAGATAAATAGGTACCATTCTTGCGGGAAGGTAAACGGTGTTTCCGTGCGCTGCCCTGGCTCACCAGAAGCGGCTTAGTCATGCTGGCCACATGACCCGGAAGCTGTACGCCGGCTCCCTCGGCCAATAAAGCGAGATGAGCGCCGCAACCCCAGAGTCGGCCACGACTGGACCTAATGGTCAGGGGTCCCTTTACCTTTTTACTGAGTGTAAGATTGGCCTGTAGTCTCTTCGCAATGAAACTGGTTAGCCTAAGAAGTAGTCACTTGCCATGGTAAACTAGTGAGCTTAACAAATGAAGCTGGATCTACATGTTCTTTGCCTCAAGTTTGTTCTCACCCGGTCCCCCAGTTCTCTCATTCGTGGGGAAAATGGTACCTTGACAAGGGAGGCCAAGGTAACAGGTGAGGTAAGGCCTCCATCAAAAATAGGGGACACTGACAGGGTCTCTTTTCCTTAACAAATGACCAAGCTGTAAAGAAAAAGAAAAAAGTACCGTATTTTTCGTCCTATAGGACGCACTTTTCCCCCTCCAAAAATGAAGGGGAAATGTGTGTGCGTCCTATGGGGCGAATGCAGGCTTTCGCTGAAGCCTGGAGAGCGAGAGGGGTCGGTGCGCACCGACCCCTCTCGCTCTCCAGGCTTCAGGAGAGCCCCACCGCCAGCCCCACAAGCTCGGGGGAGAGCGGTGGAGGCGCAGCGCGCCTTTCCCGCTGTCCCCCAACTTGGTTAGAAGGCTGGCGGGGGGGAGAAGCCTGCTCCTCCCCGTCGCCAGCCCCGCAAACTCGGGAGACAGCGGGAGGTGCAGCACGCCTTTCCCGCTGTCCCCCGACTTGGTTAGAAGGCTGGCGGAGGGCTTCCCCCTCCTCCAGCCCCGCTAGCTCCCAGAGCGATGCCAAAGCTGCATGCAGCTTCGGCATGGCTCTGGGTCCCGTTCTGGGGGAGGGGGAAGCTCCGCTTTCCCCGCCCCCAGCCCCACAAGCTCCCAGAGCGATGCCAAAGCTGCACGGAGCTTCGGCATGGCTCTGGGTCCCGTTCTGGGGGCTGGGGGAGGGGGAAGCCCGAGCTTCCCCCACCCCAGCACCGCGCCTGGGGAAAAATAATAATTTCCCCCCCTTTATTCCCCCCCCCAAATCTAGGTGCGTCCTATGGGCTGGTGCGTCCTATAGGGCGAAAAATACGGTATGTTGTCAACATAGTGGGAGTGGCAGCATCTTTTCCCACCAAGGATCACGGGAGCTGAGTTACAAACCCCATGATTCCTGGTGGAAAGTGAAGTCACCAGGGTCAGTATGGTGGCTATATGTTTTTCTTGCTGCCTGGTCACTGGTCAGGATAGACAGTGTAGGCACCCCACTCTCTTTGACCGATAACAGATGCTGCAAGTTACCACTTACACACTGCAGAGAGGTGAGAACAGGGGAAGTAATAATAATAATAATTTATTATTTATACCCCGCCCATCTGGCTGGGTTTCCCTAGCACTCTGGGTGGCTTCCAACAAAATATTAAAAACTTGATAAAGAATCAAACATTAAAAACTTCCTGATACAGATGTCAGATGTCTTCTAAAAGTTAGTTGTTTATTTCCTCAACACCTGGTGGGAGGGCGTTCCACAGGGCGGGTGCCACTACCGAGAAGGCCCTCTGCCTGGTTCCCTGTAAGCTCACTTCTCACAGTGAGGGAACCGCCAGAAGGCCCTTGGAGCTGGACCTCAGTGTCTGGGCTGGACGATGGGGGTGGAGATGCTCCTTCAGATCCTTGATTTGTCAGTGATTTGTTGCTGAAATCAGCAAACCGGAAGCATTCTGTTTTTATCTTAGGTGCACCTGTTATTACAATTGAGCCAGTAGAGACGATTGTTGATGCTGGAACCACAGTGATGCTGAACTGCCAAGCAGAAGGAGAACCTCCTCCGACCATCGAATGGTCTCGTCAAGGCCGGCCTCTCCTTAGTCAGGACCGAATGACCGTCTTGACTAATGGCTCCTTGCTTATTGCGGTCGCGCACAAGAAGGATACTTCGGAATACGAGTGCGTAGCTAGAAACCTCATGGGATCTGTCCTGGTCAAAGTTCCACTCATTGTCCAAGGTGGGTGCGACGTCTAGGCTAGCTCATTCTCCCCGGTGAGGAGCTCTATGGGATTCAGAAGTTTGTATGCTCTTTAGCAAAGAAGCTAGGAGAACACCTTTTCTATTTGCATCTCCCTCGTTCTGTACAATAATGCTATCCGAATGCATGTTGGGTTTTGCTAGGGGACCACTGAGAAGCATTGCCCTAGAAGGTACAATATCGGGACACTACTTAGGCCATTGGTCTTCCTTATTTTCATATGCTGGGCCTATTATTATGAACCTACTTGGCTTTGCAGAAGGAATGGTCTTAGGCATTGGCAAGCCATTAATACCCACCCACCCTTCCTTCCTTCCTTCCTTCCTTCCTTCCTTCCTTCCTTTCTTCTTTTCTCTTTCTTTCTTTCTTTCTTTCTTTCTTTCTTTCTTTCTTTCTTTCTTCCTTCCTTCCTTCCTTCCTTCCTTTCTCTTTCTTTCTTTCTTTCTTTCTTTCTTTCTTTCTTTCTTTCTTTCTTTCTTTCTTTCTTTCTTTCTTTCTTTCCCTTCCTTCCTTCCTTCCTTCCTTCTCTTTCTTTCTTTCTTTCTTTCTCTCTCTCTCTCTCTCTCTCTCTCTCTCTCTCTCTTTCTTTCTTTCTTTCTTTCTCTTTCTTTCTTTCTTTCTTTCTTTCTTTCTTTCTTTCTTTCTTTTTCATTCGTTCTTTCCCTAACATATCTTTCTATTTCTCTTCCTCCTTTGAGAAAAAAATACAAAGAAACAGCAATAATTCACAGTTGTAATTCTCCTTATGTGAAGTCCATCTCCAGTTGTGGGGCAGGGCCTACCAAATGAAGACTAATGACTGAGGCAACTATCATCATCATCTGAATTTTTAGGGGGTTTTAAGATTCAGAAAGCAATAAAATACACTTGTCTGATGGTGAGAGGAAAATTGACTAAGATATTTTTCTGTGAACTGCCCTGAGACCTTCAGGTATAGGGCGATATAAAAATTCTAATGATAATGATATACATGAAATTGTTTTATTCCAGTGCATGGAGGATTTTCTGACTGGCTTGACTGGCAGCCGTGCAGTGTAACATGTGGTCAAGGTGTTCAGAAGAGGATCCGCCTGTGTAACAATCCGCTCCCCGCAAATGGCGGACGACGCTGTATGGAGCCCGATCATGAAATGCGCAGCTGTCAGAACAAACTGTGCCCAGGTAAATTTGGATTTCAACCAAGGGCCTCATAGAAGTCAGTAGTCATGGACCAACATGGTTCCTCTTCCCTAGTTCGAAGTGAAGTGAATCTTTATTGCTAAAAGCTATGAGGCATCACAATTAGTCACAATGCGTAGGATACAAATAATTGATTTAAAACTGTACAACAACAGCAAAACATACAAAAATGCAAAAATCACTCTTGCATAAGTTAAGCACTCCACATCTCACACTCCCCCTTATGATACTCGTCTTGCTACTTAGCTCTCAACTTACTTGCAGCCAAAGCAAATTTTGCAACCCGTGCAGTAATAAATACCGTATTTTTCGCTCTATAGGATGCACCTTGTTTTAGAGGGGGAGAACAAGAAAAAAAATCTCCCCCTCTCTGCTCAGCGCCCCTGCAGCGAAGCAGCAGGAGAAACGGAGCCCCTTCCATTTCTCCTCCTGCTTTGCTGAAGGGGCGCTGCGCAGCTCTCCCTCTCTGCTGAAGCCAGGAGAGTCTTCCTCTCCCAGCTTCAGCAAAAGGTACCCGAAGCCTTCGGAGTGCAGCGCAAGTTCCTGCTGTGCTCTGAAGGCTTCAGGGATAGAGTCATCCCTGAAGTCTGGAGAGCAAGAGGGGTCGGTGCGCACCGACCCCTCTCGCTCTCCAGGCTTCAGCGAAAGCAACGCGAAGCCTCCAGAGTGCAGAAGGAGTGCTACCTCTGCGCTTCGGAGGCTTCACATTGCTATCACTGAAGCTAAGGAGCCTGCATTCGCTCCATAGGATTCACACACATTTCCCCTTAATTTTTGGAGGGGAAAAAGTGTGTCCTATAGAGTGAAAAATACGGTATATTATTCCAAGACAGTAAAATACAGACTTGCTCAAGGGGAGTTCGGCTGGAAAGAGAACAGAGGATGTAACTGAGGAATTTTTTGTTTAACAAATACGTAGTGTTGAATGTCCTCCTTGTCTCTTCCCTGGTTTAATTTAATTCTTTACTCACAACAATTTAATTCAATACCCACAACAGCTGGCTGCATTGTTTTTGTTGCTGTGATGTCTTTGGCAGCACTTGGCGATAATCATTAATCATCATCAGCTGAAGGCATCACAAGCTGCTAAGTAGTAGTGCTGTTAAGTAATCTGTGGCCTGTTAAATGTATGTGGAGGGCTGTTGTTACGATTATTTTATCATTACACTGTGGGTTTTTTTTAATTATGCTGCGTCAATTATGTTTTTAATGATGTGCACCGCCCTGGGATCTTTGGATGAATGGCGGTGTATAAATTGAATAAATAAGAATACATAAATAAAAAATAATAATATTAGTAGTATACTTTGAAACAGCAGAAAGAAAGAAAAGGGGAAGGAAGAATGAGGCACTTCAGGAGTGTGTGTGTTAAGAAGCCCCCAGTAGATTTAAAAGCATGGAAAATTACCCAAGAGCACATAGGAATGTCCAAGAAAGGTAAATAATCACAGAGAAAGTGCCAGGGGGCGGGGCGGGGAAGTAATGGATCAATAAATTACTTTTAAAAGGCACAGAATTACCACACAATTGTTTGGGGGCAGTCCCTGTGAGCCACAAAAACCTCTACAGGGTTGCCACTTCTGCTGCACACGATTACTTGGAATTAAGTCTCATTTGTGTTGGTGGAATCTACTTCCAAATTAGCAAATTTAATAGCCTTAGTAACATTACATACTGTTTATTTTAACATAAGGGAGTTCTTGAGAAAATGAATAGCATGCAGTTTTGCCAGATACCAGGGCTCCAGTTTAAGCAGGCAGCATTGTGTGTCAGATGAGGTTTTGCTCATCCTAGAAATCCAAGGTCTAAAGCATTTCCCAACATCTGTTAACAAGTCACATGCAATATATATTCTTTTTAGTGGATGGCAACTGGTCGGAATGGGGCTCTTGGGAAGAATGCTCTAAAACCTGTGGGCAAGGCAACAAGACCAGAACCAGAACTTGCAGCAACCCTCCTGCCCAACATGGTGGAAGGCCTTGTGATGGCAGCGCCGTTGAGCCAATCATGTGCAACATTAGGCCGTGCCCAGGTGAGAATACAGAGAGGCTGTTAAAAGTGGCACACATGAACCAAACTTCAAATGAATTCCCCTTCTCTTTTTTTCCTGCCAATTTTTTTTTATTGATTTTCCAAATTTATAACAAACAACAATAGGGACAGTAGGGACGCGGGTGGCGCTGTGGTCTAAACCACAGAGCCTAGGACTTGCCGATCAGAAGGTCGGTGGTTCAAATCCCCGCGATGGGGTGAGCTCCCGTTGCTCTGTCACTGCTCCTGCCAACCTAGCAGTTCGAAAGCACGTCAAATGTGCAAGTAGATAAATAGGTACCGCTCTGGCGGGAAGGTAAACGGCATTTCCATGCGCTGCTCTGGTTCGCCAGAAGCAGCTTAGTCATGCTGGCCACATGACGTGGAAGCTGTACACCGGCTCCCTCGGCCAGTAAAGCAAGATGAGCGCCACAACCCGAGTCGGCCACGACTGGAACTAATGGTCAGGGGTCCCTTTACCTTTTTAACAACAATAAAAAAACATTTCAATATAAAACAAACAAACAAACATTAATCCTAACTGTTATAGTCCCATGTTTGTTACCATTGTTGAGTGACTTCCTCAAATCCCCCTAGCTGAGTTTCCATGTAGCTCATTATAGCAGTTTTCCAACACTATTTTCCAATAAAATTTACTTGGACAATTAACGTCTTTCTTCCTTTTCATATTGACTTCTATCCATGGTATTAGGCAATTTAACATATTTAACTCCTAGGCCTATCTGTTACTCACAAGGGATTCTAATTATGTTATCTTAACATATTTAACTAAATAATCCTTAAATTTCTTCCATTCCTCTTGATACTCCTCATCCTTCTGATCACGAATTCTTCCGGTCAGGTCAGCCGGCTCCAAAAAGTCCATCATCATCATCTGCCATTCCTCCACTGTTGGTATTTCTTGTAATTTCCAGTTTTTGGCTAACAAAATTCTAGCTGCGGTTGTGGCATACAAAAACAATCTAACATCTTTCTTGGGCAATTCCAAACCCACTATTCAAAGGAGAAAGGCTTCTGGTTTCTTAATAAATGTATATTTCAACATTTTTTTCAACTCATTATATATCTTTCCCCAGAAGTCTTTCACCTTTGGACACATCCACCAGAATTCCCCTTTCTTCTCTATCGTGTTGCTGTTCCGTCCTTTTTTGAATTAGGATGGAGGGGAGAGGAAAGATCAGTTGTTCAGGTGGCCTTCAACTCAGGCAACCTTTGGCTCCAACCCAATTGTGGTGGTGTTGTTGAATTAGAAAATGAAGTTCCAGCTTGGATTGTAACCCTTCCTGTTTTCTAGTTAATGGTGCCTGGGGTTCTTGGCTACCATGGGGGACCTGCAGTGAGACATGTGGCAAAGGGACCCACACCAGATTACGACTCTGCAATAACCCTCCTCCATCGTTCGATGGGACCTACTGTGAAGGACCTGATGCGCAGATGCAGGTCTGCAGCAAGAGAGACTGTCCAGGTAAGTTGAATATGGAATGAATTGTCGTTTTCTGGGTCTCATAAAAATGTGAAGAGAAAGGTAGTTTTTAGAAAGGGTGTTCTCCTTCATGGAGAGCATGTGTTGCGGTGGGGTCGAACAGGACACCCCCTCTTGGTTACTGGGCAGGACCATTTGGATGGCCATGACTGTGATTGGGCCAATTTGGGTTGTTGGGGAGAATTTGATGTTACCATTTAGAGGGTTGGCCCAAAGGTTATATGTTCTTGGCATGCAGCTTTTTTCAGTCTCTTTTGCTGCGTGCATCGGATTGCCCGCCCACCCTCCCTAATTTAGGGCTGTTGCATTTGACATTGCTATGCCTGTCATGGGGTCGTCTGCCATTGGGGCAGGGGCCTGGTAGGAATTTTGTCCATTTGGCTGATTGGCTGATGCCATTTGGGTTTTGCCTACTGCGTAGCAAATCGTCACAACTTGCAAGGTTTTGGTTATCTTTTGGTTGGTGGCGGGGATGTGGTTGGCAGTGCCTGCCCCTCCAATGCTGCTGCAAGAGTATTCCGTTAAAGGAATTCAGGGGTTTGCCATACATTTGTCCGTACCCCTGGCAAGGGGCTAGGGCCGTGCAAGCCCCTGGGAGCATTTGGGAAGAGGTGAGGGGCTGTGGCTCAGCTCCATTTCTCCCCAATATTGTTTTCCCTTACTGGTTTTCGCTGGAATTCAGAAGTCGGTTCTTTCCCCGGGTGGGGGGACAGATAGTCAGAACCAATGCCTAAGCAACCACTCACATCCATGTATGTTAATAAAGTTGTGGCCAAAATTATGCCAAAAACCTTAAACAAAAATTCTGTGTGAATTGTGATTTATTTAGGGGGTGGCTCGGGGACCTCTACACACAATAGGGAAGGGTTCGGCTCTCCTTTCCCTGTTAAAGACATATGCATGCACACACAGATACCTGCTTTACAGGTGAACCTGCAAACAACATCCCTGCCACCTGTACCTTGGATTTTTCTCTTTCACATTGAGATTCTGCTCTGGCTTTCATCATTCTTGCATGCCTTTGTTGTTGTTTGGGTTGGATACAGAACTCGTATTTCAGTGCTATGTTTGAAAGTGTGCTTAAAAAAATAATAAAACTTTTTCTTCTTCAAACCAGTGAATGGAAAGTGGGCTTCCTGGTCCAGCTGGAGTGCTTGCACCATGTCTTGTGGAGGTGGTACCCGACAGAGAACCAGAGACTGCTCAGACCCTCCCCCACAGTACGGCGGACACAAGTGTGAAGGAAATGACATGCAGGTTGATTTTTGCAATAGTGACCCTTGTCCCAGTAAGTGCCTTTTGGGATTGGAACAGCGGGGCAAACTTGGGGTTACCAGAGAGAGCTTTTCTCCTACAGAGGCCAAATCAAGTTATAGTTCTTGATAGCTATAATGCTTTGCTTTGGGGAGACACTGGTGGCCCTGTGATCTAAACCACTGAGCCTCTTGGGCTTGCCGATCAGAAGGTCGGCGGTTCGAATCCCACGACATGGTGAGCTCCCATTGTTCTGTCCCAGCTCCTGCCAACCTAGCAGTTCAAAAGCACACCAGTGCAAGTAGATAAATAGGTATTGTTGCAGAAGGAAGGTAAATGGCATTTCCGTCATGGTGTTCAGTTGTGCAGAACCTGTGTAGAAGGGGGAGGGGGGAAACCCAAAACTGTATACTTTACAAGGTTGTTATTGTACTTCACCAGATCTTAACCTATTACAGTATTTGTAAGAATGGATTGCAAATATCATTGAATTTGTTCATGGCAAGTCTGCATTTATATGCAAGCTCTGTTGCACTTCCCTGAATATGCTGGGAAGTACTTTCCCACTGGCCTCCGTGAGGTTTCGAATTCCAGCTTCAGAGGAGGGTTTTCCTTTGCAGCAGAAAAGGGAAGGAAAATTCCACCTCCATGCCTGCTGTGATCCCATTAATTAATGCACCCACCTTACAATTATCAGGGGCCCCTCCATTAAGTCCAAAGATGCATTTAACATCATGTATTGTTGTTCGGTGTCCAGTTACTCTACTTATGTAGTGTGGGTGGCGCTGTGGTCTAAACGACTGAGCCTCTTGGGCTTGCTGATCAGAAGGTTGGCGGTTCGAATCCCAGTGATGGGTTGAGCTCCCTTTGCTCTGTCCCAGTTTCTGCCAACCTAGCAGTTCGAAAGCACGCCAGTGCAAGTAGATCAATAGGTACCACTGCGGTGGGAAGGTAAACAGTGTTCCCGTGCGCTCTGGTTTCCGTCACGGTGTCCTGTTGCACCAGAAGCGGTTTAGTCCTGCTGGCCACATGACCCGGAAAGCTATCTGTGGACAAATGCTGGCTACCTCGGCCTAAAAGCGAGATGAGTGCCACAACCCCATAGCCGCCTTTGACTGGACTGAACCGTCCAGGGGTCCCTTACCTTGTTTCTCACCAAAGTCTCCACTGCCTACATCCAGTACTTTAACCCACCAGGAAAATATAACTGAAATGGTTTTCCATCGCTTCAATTAAATTTACTTGAGAGCTGGATTATATGATGCATTTTAAAGACCGGGGTGGTGCATTGGAAGAAAGGCTTTATGCAGCTGTCAGGAGCAAGAAGCTAGTTGATATAAGCATTTGCTTCCCAGAACCCAGGTTGCTGTAGTTGCTATCAGTTCACGAAACTCTGTCCATTTTTCAACAGTGCAATCTATCCACACTGTAGGCCTGTTCAGGTGTACCTTAATAGGATATCCCAATTTGTATAGGGAGCATGTGGTTGGCTTGCACCAGCCCTGCCCCCATGCTCCTGTACACACCCACTCAATCCTGGACTTTCCTGCAATGAGTGGGAAGATCTAAAGGGGGGATTCTAAACATGTTCAGATGAACATGCTTACAAGCCTCCCTGTAATGAGCAGACATGCATTATCAGGGCTCCTGAAGGCATGTTACAATATCCCCAGATTGAAAGGAGGCAAATAGTGATACAGCTAGACACGCAAAGCATACATAGAGTTGGTGGCAGCAGCCAGATCACAATACACAAGGGATGAAAGGTGGGCCACATGCAGAATAAATGAAAGCATAAATCTCCCAGCCTTTGATGCAAGGGGGCTCCTGAAAGAGCTCTTCTCTACTATTCTAGAGACAGTATAAATTTTAGAAACACATAAACGTTTCTCCAGTGTCGACTAAAATTATTATTTTGGACCGCACGATGGCTTTCAGTATTGCTGTTTCAAAAATGTTTTGTTTCTGCAGTGCATGGTAACTGGGGCCCTTGGAGCAACTGGGGCACTTGCAGCCGAACGTGTAACAGTGGCCAGTTGAGAAGGTACCGGACTTGCGACAACCCTCGTCCGCTCAATGGGGGAAGAGCCTGCGCCGGTGCTGATACCCAGATACAGAGGTGTAATATAGAGCTTTGTCCTGGTGAGTTACCTTAGCATGTACATGGTTATTACCATGTTTTTTTTTTGTTTATAAGACAAGGTTATTTCATTAAGGAATTATGCTAAAAATGTGGGGTTGTCTTATACACAAATAGTGGAAAGGTTGGATGGGTGATTGGTGGCTGCCGCGAGCCGGTGATTGTCAGCGGCGTTTTTGCTGGTGATTGGTGGGTGCGTCAAGGTCCACTGGCAATTGGCTGCTGTGGACAATTTGGCGGGTGATTGGCCCTTGCTTTCTGAGAGCATGCAGACGATTGGTGGCTTCGTCGATGTGCGTGCGACTGGCTGTGGTGGTCCTGCAGGTGAGTGATTTTCGGCAACCTGCCCCCCGAAAAGCTGAACAAGTCTGGGTAATCCTCCCCCCCCCGAAAAAAAGCTCAGCAACTGTGGGCAACCCCCCCCCCCCGTGTTATACACAGAAAAATATGGTACATACATATGCAAAGCAGCAATCCCGATTTCAATAGCTCACTTGGTTAGAGTGTGGTGCTGATAACGCCGAGATTGCACGCTTGATTAGAGAATCTTCAGGGACCTTTCCGACTCTATGATTCTCTGAAAATGCTGAAGTAACAAAGAATGCATTATGCCTATGCTGTTGTTATTAAAAATACCCCAAAGATACTGAGAAGAAGGGCTTGCTAAGATGTATAAGACTGAATCAGATAAGTGCTGGAGATGCAAAGAGGTGGAGGGAATGTTCTTTCATATGTGGTGGACATGTAAAAGGGTAAAAAGTACTGGGAAATGATGCATAATGAATTGAAAAAAAATGTTTAAAAGTACTTTCCAAAAAGAAAACCCCAGAGTCCTTTCTGCTGGGGATAATTCAGACTGAAATTCACATGTGTCAAAAAAGGTTATTTATGTATGCAACAACTTTAATGTAATAAAGAGTACCTTTTTGGGTGGGAGGGAATGGTCTGTGACTAGTTTCTATGATTCTTCCCTGGTTTGTGTGTAGCTGTTGCACCATTCACCCCATTTCTCAACCTCTTCCCCCTTCCTACCCCCTTCCCTGGACTCCTGTTGCAAGCAGCACTCCTGTTTTATCCTATGGTTGCTTGCATTTGAGTTAGCACATAAAGTTTGTGCACACGCAAGAAGCTTTACCGAAACAGTATTAATTCTTGTCTTCTGCACTGGTTTACAGTGGATGGAAACTGGGGCCCATGGCAGCCTTGGAGTGTGTGTTCTGCTTCTTGTGGGGGAGGAGAGCAGACCCGATCACGGCTGTGCAATAATCCATCCCCATCTAACAGTGGGCGACCTTGTCCCGGAGACGACTCTCAGATTTCCAGGTGTAATGTTCAAGTTTGTCCAGGTAAGTAGGCAGACTCAAGAGTGTGTCTCAGATGCTGAGAAACAACCAACCAACCAAACAAACAAACAAACAAACAAACACTAACATTCTGGACATTGGGCACTTTATTTTCTGCCTGAGCAAAACTGTTTTCAGAATCCCAGTACACAAGAAATGAAACTTCCAAAAAGGTTCTTCATCGGTTTTTGTTCTAGGCTGAGGGCCAAACTGAACATGATGTTAAATGAGTTTGCATTTAATGGGCAGGTTTGTTTGTTAGTTTTAAATGATACTGTCAGTGAGCAGGAGTTGCTGATCATGTTGAGGAATCACAGCAGCGACGCAGGAGATTCCCCTGAAACCAGATTTTGAACTAGGAGGTATCCTCACGGGAACAAATGGAGGGTTGCCTTCAAAGGGAGGGATTCTCCTCTGGATCACAGTGAGGGAGGAAAAGATTAAGTTCTACCTCCGTGCCTGCTGTGTCCCAGTTTTATCACTCCCCTGTCCAGCCCCATTGAAACAAATTTAATTTGGCTCTGTGTTAGAAATTTGTTCAACATTCTCCTGTGTCTTATGTAGCATGTGCTCTTTGACATAATAATAGTGCATTGGGTGGGGGAATTTATTCTGCTTTAGTTTGTTCCACCATGCTTCCCCAGTGCTGCCCCATTCTTGCTGCCCAGGGTTGGCACAGCAATAACAGAATGAAAATAACCCAGAACTTTTGAAATTTGTGGTATGAAAAGATAGGGGATTTCAGCAGGAGGTTACAGGTTGGAAATGAAACAGTGTGACCACCCCAAAATACTTTCAGGCACAAACAGTGCTGAAAGCAGGTTCTTGTGTGACCACCCCAATGAGCTCAAAGCGTCATTTAATGTGCAATAAACAGGTGTCTGGAAGGGATCCTAGAAGAGCTCGAATTCCCCCCCACAAAAAAATTCTCAGTAACATTGAGGGCATTTCAGCAGTAGTCCAGCTGACTGCCTGTGCTGATATAGCACCTCCTGGTATTATGAACATTTGAACTTTTATTCCTGATCTTCACCCCTTTTTTTGGTGTGTGTGTGGGGAGAAGTAGTGGAATATTGGAAGCAGTCAGTTAGTTGCTTCTCTTAGCTCACAACTTGGAGAGTTGCCACCTGTCACTGGGCCTAATGGACCAACGTTCTGACTTAATATATGTTCAAATAGACTCGGGGAACAATTTGAAAATTGTCTGCTCAAACTACCAGACCAATATTTGCAAAGGAATCCAACCGTTTCTTATTACTGCTTCACTGAAAGGAACCTAAAAACGTTGGGCGGTTGCTCAGAATGCTGCGTAATCCGAGGGAAGTTGCGAGTGCTTGTCTTGTTTCCCTACCTGAAAGTGCGCACACATGTAGAAAAGGGGTAGAAATGTTTTGAAAAACAAACTTTTACAAACACAGGTGTGTCTCTTATTAGCAGCACTTTGTATATATATATATTTTCAGTTGTTGTTTCCTTAAAATGTGGCACCAGAACACAGAGAAGTTTTACATGTCAGTGAGATTAATATACTTTGGTGTTCTGGCCCAAGTCCTAACCAAATAATTTCGCAGAGCCTGCCTGAATTCCTGCAGTTTATTCTGTTTCCTTTCCTGCAATACTTTGTTGTGTTACCATTGGCATGCAGTGCTAAACAACAGTTGCCTTTTCCTCGGAGGACTCGATGTCTCATGAAAAGCCCCTGGCTTTTCCTCTGGGGATATGTAGCCTGGTAGATGTCTACTAACATCATTATTTAGTTGTGCTGTTCCATTTTATGTCTTCATATTTTTTTTTCCAAAACAGAGGGGGCAGTGTGGCTCAACATCACCACTTGGATAATAATACTCACATTTGATTTGCTTTTTTGAAACGTTACAAAGTAATAGATGTTACAGATGGCCATTCCTCCTCTCCCCCCAACTTTTGACTTCCTTGGCAATAGGTGGACCTCCACGGGCTAGAGGAAGTGTCATTGGAAATATTAATGATGTTGAGTTTGGAATCGCTTTCCTGAATGCCACTATAATCGATAGCCCAGATCTGGACACCAGACGAATACAAGCCAAGATTACGAATATCCCACGGAGTCTCGGTATGTACATCTGTTTCTTTAATACTTAAGAATGTTCCTTAGGCTTATCAAACTTAACACAGTTTTTATTCTGTTGAAATACCGGCTGACCCATGCCTAGGAGACAACATTGGGGTGCTTGTTTGTTTGCTTTTGTTTGTTTTGCTTTGCTACCTCTGAACGTCACATATTTTGTTCAACTTTTCCTTTGACATAGCCTTACAAGCCCCTTCCGTCTCTGTACATTCCATGGGGAAAGTACCATATGAATGAGGAGGCATGTAACTTACTCCAGAGAGGAGAGCAATGAACCTATGAGCTTGCACACCATTTCAAAGAGGATTGTGGCTAGAAAGTGCCTCCAGGTCTTTTAGAACTGGCAAGCAGTTTGAGGCTGCTGTGCTTTTTCTGTCAAACTCTTTGCAGATTCCAATACAGTCATACCTCTGGTTGCATCTGCTTCATGTTGTGGATTTTTGGGTTGCGAATGCGGCAAACCTGGAAGTGTATACTTCTGGGTTTTGCCGCACGTGCACGTGCAGAAGCGATCTGTGCACTTCGCACATGCACAGAAACGCTTTGTCGCACTTTGCGCATGCGCAGCAGCAGCGCTCTACTTACGGACTTTTCAGGGTGCAAACGGCACCCCGAAACGGATTGCGTTCGTAAGTAGAGGTACCATTGTATATGCTTATTTGCTCTGCTATTTTCATAAAATATTTAATGCAATCAGTAACAAGAGAATTTATTAAAGGTCAGGTGATATTGTAAGAAATACAAAATGCAAAGAAACCAACCCACAAATGTTGCTGTACATATGACAATGCTTCCCCCCCCCTCTAAAGGTCCAGCAATGAGAGCGCTAGTTTCTATTCTGAGTCCCATTTATTGGACAACAGCCAAAGAAAATGGAGGAGCAGTGAATGGCTTTTCACTCACCAATGCAGTTTTCAAGAGAGAGACACAAGTGGAATTTGCTACCGGTTAGTTAAAAATGGGACAACAGCTTTCTATTTTGCATAACTTCCAAAGAATTTGCCATAGTTGGGTTTTCGGTATTTTGGCCTCCTGGTTCAAACTGAAGGAGTTGCAGGAAGACGTTTTTGTCTGTCTCTTACTTTGAGAACCATATATTTGGCCTTTAAAGGTGTGAGTACCGAATGTTAAATAGGAGGTTTAAAAATTATGCAAGCCTTCTAATGATCACTGTCAACGGTCCCCTTTAAAGTTGGCTTTAAGATAGTTAATGCAAATTTAAATGGTTCTTTGTTAATTAATTTTTGACTTGAGATTTCTTATGAGGGCAGACACCCCCTCCAGTGTTCACTCATTTGAACTCTTACTAAAATTCACAGGGGAGATCTTACGAATGACTCACGTCGCCCGTGGCTTGGACTCAGATGGATCTTTACTCTTGGATGTTGTCATCAGTGGCCACATGCTGCAGTTACAATCATCACCTGATGTTAATGTAAAGGTAAATCATCACTATACACTACTGAAACTATCTGTCTGTACACTCAGCCATCATAATGTTAGCGTGTCAGTTGACACCACTATCATCCTCGTATCATCCTGTGGCTGTAGGCAAAGTATACTATTTGATCATCCACTCATTGTCCCCAGAAGTTCTTTTGATTGCTATTTTGCACTATATTGTTAGTTTTAATTTTGCTATGGATAGGCACCCATCTGCTGATGTGATGAGATACAGGTGGTGCTGTGGTCTAAACCACTGAGCCTCTTGGGCTTGCTGATCGGAAGGTCGGCAATTCGAATCCCTGTAACAGTGAGCTCCCGTTGCTCTGTCCCAGCTCCCGCCAACCTAGCAGTTCGAAAGCACACTAGTACAAGTAGATAAATAGGTACCGCTGTGACGGGAAGGTAGACGGCGTTTCAATGCGCTCTGACTTCCATCACAGTGTCCCATTGTGCCAGAAGCGGTTTAGTCCTGCTGGCCATATGACCTGCAAAGCTGTCTGTGGACAAACACCCACTCCCTCGGCCTGAAAGTGAGATGAGCTCCGCAACCCCATAGTCGCCTTTGACTGGGCTTAACCGTCCGGGGTCCTTACCTTTTACCTTCAATCCTTTCTCCTACATGGGACACACAAGACCAGCTCTTAGAAGTCTGTCCTCTGGTGCTGGTTGCATGAGCACTAAGCAACAGCTCAAATATAAAATATTTCAGTTCCTTATTGTAGTCCTTGTATTTTCTTCCAGTCTGGGTTCCACTTGTGTTCCTTTCAAGCTGGAGGAAGGGAAGGGAAATCTAGTTCCGTTATAGCAATCTAGCATTTTTCAAAACTGTGGATGATTGCGTCCATTCCTGAATGTTCGCTATGGCCATGGAGAATGGCAAAGTGTCTCCTTAATGTCTCCTTAATCTGGAGTTGTGTGGTGTTCGTTTCAGGATTATACAGAAGATTATATTCAGACAGGCCCTGGTCAGCTCTATGCTTACTCTACACGACTCTTCACCATAGATGGAGTTAGTGTACCATACACTTGGAACCATACCATTACCTACGACCCGAATCGCGGAAGAATGCCCTTCCTGGTGGAAACCCTCCAGGCCGCCTCTGTTGAAACAGAATACAATGCACTCGAAGAAGCTCTAACTTTTAAAATCCGTGCTTCCATCACAAAAGGTATTGTTGCGGGGAATGGTACACGCAGGGTTTGGTAGAAATGAAAGCCCTTTTAAGTAAAGGATGGCCTTTATCGAAGGCCAGTTACATCTGATGCTGTTAAATGTTTTAGAAGGAATATGGTAAAAACATGCCCTATTCTAAGTAGTCTAAATTGGGTAGCAGACCTTGTACATACTATTATATATAATGCATTGTATAATGCACTGATAGAACAATACCTGGGACAAATTTAGGGAGAAATAGCTAGAGGTCTAATCAAGAGTCTGTAATTTATCTACTGGGTGAACAAGATAAAAATGCAACTGTGAAAACTGCACAATTACTGTCTGCAATAACTGATGAGACAGGAAATTCCTTAGAGAGAGAATGCTGCATCTTATCTGGGTGATTCATAATTTAAGGTTTTATTAATTTTTTCCTTTAGTTTTTACATAAATTTATTCAGATGTGTATACATTCTTTTTTAAATATTTGTTAAAACAGGGACATTTTTTGAAAGGGGACTTGTGAGTTGCCAGAAAAATACGGCATTTTAGCTTTGTTTATGTAGTTTCATTTCAGTGTTAACTTTTATTAGTCTTGCCCACCCCCCCAGTTATTTTGATGGTCTGATGACTATATACAAATAAATGAATCTGAGATGTTTTGCCTTTCCTGAAGTGGATTATGCTTTAGAAAGGAATAATATTTACTTTGGTTCTTCCCTTACTGTCATCTTGAATGCAATTTTAGATGGATTCCCCCCCCCCATTGTTGTACATAAAAGCAACATAATCTTATTGAGGGCGGTACATTTCTGCATAAACATTTATTCAGTTTTGAATATTCATCTACTTACATCATTTATAGACCTCCCTATCAATTAAATAAACAAAATTACAATGAACAGAAAACTTTCCAACCAAAGTACCCAGGGAACTTTTGAAGAACTTTGGAAAAGAAAAATCTGATGTCCATAGGGTTTTTTTTTTTTGTCAGTCTGTAATCCTTTTGCTTCCTTCATCCACAGGAGACCAAAGCAACCAATGTCCTAATGGGTTTGGCTTAGACTCTGCTGGGCCATATTGTACAGGTAAGAATATGGCTAATAATGTGACTAAATATAGAAGCACATATTCCCTTTACAGACTCCTAGGATGCCTCCTCCTGACTTCACTTTAGATAAATTAGAGCTAAAGTTGCTGAACATGTTGCTTATTGAGAAACTGTTATTCTCAAGCAGGGATGGGTGAACCTGTCTATTTAGGTTTCTCATTTTTCCAATCTTAATAGTGAGTTCCTTTCTGCAGCAATTTGTGGGTGGTTGTTTTTTTTAAAAAAAACTTTGTGAGAATTTGTTGGCTTTTTAGCGAGAATTTCTCATATATTTTTGTTTGTTGCTCTGACTAATATACACATTTTGTCAAGCAGTTTTTCCTAATGCATTTGTATGTTATTTTCACTAATAATACAGTGGTACCTCGGGTTACATACGCTTCAGGTTGCATATGCTTCAGGTTACAGACTCCACTAACCCAGAAATATTGCTTCAGGTTAAGAACTTTGCTTCAGGATGAGAACAGAAATCGTGCGGTGGCGATGCGGCAGCAGCAGGAGGCCCCATTAGCTAAAGTGGTGCTTCAGGTTAAGAACAGTTTCAGGTTAAGAACGGACCTCCAGAACGAATTAAGTACTTAACCCGAGGTACCACTGTATGCCTTTTTAAGTACACTTTCCCTAATACATGCACCTTTGTCAAGGCAAGAGTGTCAAGGCAAGAATTCAGAGAACTGTGAATTTCAAAGAGCGGCTGTGTTTTGGTCCATGTATTGGTTTGAGAAGCTCAGGTTAGGTATTACCCATCCCTGCCCTTATCTGGGGGGGGGGGGAATCTGACTTTGCCCGATGGAAACATATTGACATATATTCACACAGATATATTAAGAGTGGGTTAGAACTGAAACTGGATTTGGGGGTCCAGGCTTCCATTCTGAACTTTTAACGCGACTGAATTTTCGTTTCGCTTCTCCTTGTTCCTAACCCTTTAGTATTTTTTGAATGTTCAAATTGCTGCTGTAGTGTGAGCAGGATTAACAATGTGGGAGGGGGGGCTGGGTCCTTCTCTTCCTCATTTTTGTTGTTAAACAAAACGGTAATGAATTCTAGAAGCCTAGTTAGACCCTATAGACTTCCTGTTGCCAGTCTAGTTTTATGCAACCTAGTTTTATGCAGTTTTGCTTTTATCATTAGATGAAGATGAGTGTACAGTTCGAAATCCATGTTCCCACACTTGCCACAACGCTATAGGAACCTATTATTGCTCGTGTCCCAAAGGCCTTACCATATCAGCAGATGGAAGAGCATGCCAAGGTAAGGTTTGCTTTTAGATGTCATGTACTGGCCACACTGTCTTTTTATGACAATATTTAGAATACATGAGAGATGAATGTTATTTTATCTTTTATTCTTTGTATTTACATCCCATTTTTTCTTCTATGATGGAACTAAAGCTGATGTCCTATTCAGATACTGACCAGTACCTCCGGTTATGTAACCCTCTGGTTACGTAAACTTTGGGAATGCGAAAGCAGCAAACCCGCAAGTATTTTACTGGGTTTTGCTGCATGCATATTTTTTGCACCATAGGACGCACCGGACAATAGGACGCACCTTGTTTTAGAGGGGGGAGAACAAGGGAAAAAAATTCTTCCGCTCTCTGCCCAGCGCCCCTTCAGTGAAGCGGCAGGAGGCGCTGCACAGAGAGTGGGAGAATTTTCCCCCTCTTGTTTTTCCGCTCTAAAACAAGGTGCCGTTTAAGGTGCGCTCAGGCAGCTACCTTGGAAGCCTGGAGAGCGAGAGGGGTAGGTGTGCACCGACCCCTCTCACTCTCCAGGCTTCAGGTTCCTTTTGACCTGCTCTTTGGGGCTGGCGGGGGGAAGCCCACCACCAGCCCCAAAGAGCAGGTCAGGAAGCAGCGGAAAGGCACAGCGGAGAGGCTGCTGCCATAGTCACGCGTCACTTCTCCAGCTGGGAGAGGGTCGCGGGGCTATGGCTTCTTTAGCCCCGCACGCGCTCTCCCGGCTGGAGAGGTGACGCATGGCTATAGAGGCTCCTGCCATAGCCGCGCGTCACCTCTCCAGCCGGGAGAGAGTAAGCTGGGCTTCTTTAGCCCCGCACGCGCTCTCCCAGCTGGAGAGGTGACGCACGTCTATGGAGGCTCCTGACATAGCTGCGCGTTACCTCTCCAGCTGGGAGAGGGTAGCAGGACTATGGCGTCTTCGCTCCATAGGACGCACACACATTTCTCCTTCATTTTTGAAGGGGAAAAAGTGCGTCCTATAGAGCGAAAAATACGGTAACCACTTTTGCGCATGTGCAGAAGTGGTCTACCGCCACGCACGCATGCACAGAAGCAGTCCTTAGGTTGCGGAAACCTCGGGATCCAACCAGACCTCTGGAATGGATCCCGTTCGCAACCAGACGTACCACTATATATGTCTTCAGATCATATATAAGATACTAACCTGGGTAATATTCTCATGATAAAATAGACACTGTTTCTTGGCTTGCCTTTATTGCAGATATTGATGAGTGTGCCTTAGGGAGGCATTCTTGCCATGCTGGCCAGGACTGTGAAAACATTATTGGCTCTTACCACTGTGTGGTTCGGTGTGGGACTGGCTTCAGAAGAACATCAGATGGACTAAATTGCCAAGGTATGGAGATAGTGTCGTCTCATCTGCCAACAATTATTATTAAATCACATGAGACTCCGTTAAATAACAGGTTTTTTTTATAAGGGCAGGATGGATCCTTCAACGCAGTAAGGATTTGATTAAAATGTTCTTTGAAATTTTGCCTTCACATTTTGTGATTATCTGATAATCTCTCTGCAGTTTCCAGAACACTCAACAGGCAAGACGTTTTTCATTAGTGCTCTTTTGCTCAGATCTGTGTAAACACAGGTTCTTGTCATTTGATGTTACTTTCCATTTCATGCTAGTTTTTTGCATGGTTTAGAGCAATGATAGTTAACCGGTAGCCTGAGTTAGATCTAACTCGGGAAACAACTGTTAAGAATACAAAAGGCTGGCAACTCCTGGGTTTTGCAGCTAGTGAAACTGCATGAAATGTCACTGACGTTTCACCTAATGAACTCGAACTGTTAACCATTAATCTCACTATCTGCTGCTCCCAGTGTTGTTGTTTAGTCATTTAGTCGTGTCCGACTCTTCGTGACCCCATAGACCAGAGCACGCCAGGCACTCCTGTCTTCCACTGCCTCCTGCAGTTTGGTCAAACTCATGTTAGTAGCTTCGAGAACACTCTCCAACCATCTCGTCCTCTGTCATCCCCTTCTCCTTGTGCCCTCCATCTTTCCCAACATCAGGGTCTTTTCCAGGGAGTCTTCTCTTCTCATGAGGTGGCCAAAGTATTGGAGCCTCAGCTTCAGGATCTGTCCTTCCAGTGAGCACTCAGGGCTGATTTCCTTAAGAATGGAGAGGTTTGCTCTTCTTGCAGTCCATGGGACTCTCAAGAGTCTCCTCCAGCACCATAATTCAAAGCCTCAATTCTTCGGCGATCGGCCTTCTTTATGGTCCAGCTCTCACTTCCATACATCACTACTGGGAAAACCATAGCTTTAACTATACGGACCTTTGTTGGCAAGGTGATGTCTCTGCTTTTTAAGATGCTGTCTAGGTTTGTCATTGCTTTTCTCCCAAGAAGCAGGCATCTTTTAATTTTGTGGCTGCTGTCACCATCTGCAGTGATCATGGAGCCCAAGAAAGTAAAATCTCTCACTGCCTCCATTTCTTCCCCTTCTAATTGCCAGGAGGTGATGGGACCAGTGGCCATGATCTTCGTTTTTTTGATGTTTGGCCTTTTTTTTTCTTTTTTCTTTGCTGCTCCCAATATAGTTTGTTAAGACCACAAAACGATCAGCCAGACTTCAGATGGATGATATCGCTCTGTTCCACTATTTGACAATGACCGCTCCCCACTTCAAATAGGGGGCGTTATTTGCGGGGTCAAGCACAGCCACCTGATCCTACACGATCCCCGGCAGTTCAGCCTGGCTTCGCCTCCCCAAGCTGGACAAAAACATTGGTTAGGCTGAGGAAAAAAACAATAGTCATGTGAAGAGTTAAGAAATCCCCTCATCTCATTGCCTCTGTTTGGTGACAAATCTCTGGCTTTGCCCTCTGACAACAATCACTCCAAGTCTGCAGGGTAAGAGAGGTTTAATCATGTCTATATTATTCAACAGATGTTAATGAGTGCCAGGAGTCGAACCCTTGTAATCAACGCTGCTTCAACACCATTGGAAGCTTCCACTGTGGATGTGAACCAGGATATCAGCTAAAAGGCAGAAAATGCATAGGTATGAAATAGACAATGGGGCCTATACACGTAGTTTATAAAGATTCTCTTGGACAGCTGGACAAAGCCTATTAACTACTGCTGATAAAAAAATCCTCTGGAAATCTAATGACAATTTGCCTTTGAAATGTCTTGAGTAGGTTTGCTTTGAAATATAATCTAGAATGGGCAACATATGGTCAATCAGATATTTCTGAAGAAACCTTAAGGCCTTGAAAGTCTCCAACCTATTGCTAGTATAAGGAACAATGAAGGAACCAAGGTCTAGCGAAATTCAGGGCTGAGCAGGATCTAAACCTGGATTTTCCCACTCCTAATCCTCTTCTTTTCTTTGGTGATCACTCGAAACAGAGTAAGATTTGCTTCCATGAACACTGTTTAAACAGTGAGACCGTAAGTGATTGGGGAGGCCAATTCTGGATCCACACGTCTTTCCACAGTAGGTTTCTGGGTGGGAGTTGATCATGGTGACGGTTTGCCAAGCGTGCCTTCCTCTTAGCATGTTTCTCCCTTTCGTCCTGAGTTCGAGCATCTTCAAAGCCCATGACACCTTTGGTAAGGCTGTTCTCCAATATTTTTCCAATCTAACACTCTAGGCCAGGGGTCAGCAAACTTACCGCGCCTCAGACTGGTGTCTCCAGCGCCAATCACACAGCGGGCCGGAGGGCGAGGGAGTGCGTGCCCATATGCTTGCGTACACACTATTTCCAGCGCACTTCCAGGTCAGAGGAGCACTGGAAATAGCTTGTGTGCATGTGCATGGGCCTCCTCCACCCCAGATGTGCACCAGAAATAACACTTGCACATGCGCAAATAACGCTTGCGCACAAGCTATTTCTGGTGCTCCTCCGACCCAGAAGTGGGCAGCCGCGCAGTGTAGTGCCGGTAAGAGCGAACGGCGGCAGTGGGTGGCAGGGGTCGCCGTGGGCTGGATAAACAAGTCCCTTGGGTCTTATCTGGCCTGCAAGCCTTAGTTTGGGGACCCCTGCTCTAGGCACTACACTACACAGGGATTGGGCTCATAGGAAGTTCAATTCCTTCTCCACTCATGATAATTTCAGCTGCAAAGGCTAGATTCCACTGAAAGGATCTTTTTTGCTATGCTTTGTAAGACAGAAAGACTGGAAGTTCCTTACTTAGCAGTTCTTGGTGCTAGATGAGTGTTTCTTCTTCAGGCAACTTACCGTATTTTTCGCTCTACAGGACGCACCAGACAATAGGACGCACCTTGTTTTAGAGGGGGGGGGGAGAGAAAAAAAATTCTCCCCCTCTCTGCCCAGGCCCCTTCAGCGAAGCGGCAGGAGGCGCTGCGCAGAGAGGGGGAGAATATTCCCACTCTTGTTTTCCCCCTCTAAAACAAGGTGCCGTTTAAGGTGCGTTCAGTTGCCTTCAGGCGGCTACCTTTGAAGCCCACCGACCCCTCTCGCTCTCCAGGCTTCAGGTTCCTTTCGACCTGCTCTTTGGGGCTGGCAGGGGGAAGCCCACCACCAGCCCCAAAGAGCAGGTCGGGGAGCGGGGAAAGGCACGCAGCGGAGAGGCTCCTGCCATAGTCGCGTGTCACCTCTCCAGCTGGGAGAGGGTCGCGGGGGGCTGCTTAACGAGGGGGCTGTTTTAGCTTCGGGAACACATCCACAGCCTAGGCAGCCCTGTGGGAGGTCCTGCAGGGATGTCTAGGCTGCGGATAGCAGCCTGCTTCCCAGAGCGTCAGGCGCCCTGAAAGCAGAGTGCCCGGCACTTCGGGAACACATCCGCAGCCTAGGCAGCCCTGTGGGAGGTCCTGCAGGGATGTCTAGGCTGCGGATAGCAGCCTGCTTCCTGGAGCGTCGGGCGCCCTGAAAGCAAAGCGCCCGGTGCTTCGGGAACACTTCCGCAGCGTGGGGAGCCCTGCAGGAGTTCCCCACAGGGCTCCCCACGCTGCGAATAGCAGCCTGCCGCCCAGCGCGAGGGGCGCCCTGAAGCAGAGTGCCCCTCGCGCCGGGCAGACATCCGCAGCGTGGGGAGCCTTGCAGGAGTTCCCCACAGGGCTCCCCACGCTGCGGATAGCAGCCTGCCGCCCGGCGCGAGGGGCGCCCTGAAGCAGAGCGCCCGGCAGACATCCGCAGCGTGGGGAGCCTTGCAGGAGTTCCCCACAGGGCTCCCCATGCTGCGGATAGCAGCCTGCCACCCGGCGCGAGGGACGCCCTGAAGCAGAGCGCCCCTCGCGCCAGGCAGACATCCGCAGCGTGGGGAGCCTTGCAGGAGTTCCCCACAGGGCTCCCCACGCTGCGGAAAGCAGCCCCCCGCGACCCTCTCCCAGCTGGAGAGGTGACGCGCGGCTATACAGGCTCCTGCCATAGTCGCGCGCCACCTCTCCAGCTGGGAGAGGGTCGCGGGGAGCTGCTCTCCCGGCTGGAGAGGTGGCGCACAGCGGAGAGGCTCCTGCCATAGCCGCGCGCCACCTCTCCAGCCGGGAGAGGCTCACGGGGCTATGGCTTCTTCGCTCCATAGGATGCACACACATTTCCCCTTCATTTTTGAAGGGGGAAAAGTGCGTCCTATAGAGCGAAAAATACGGTAATTCCTCTGCCGCTTTTGGCCCAGGACTAGGGCCTGTGGGCTGACCCTCTGCTGACAGCGATACTCCCCCTGTGGCATGAGTGAAGTGCCCATACACAGCCCTTGCCCTGGGTTGTGGGGAGGATCAGCAGTGGTTGTGACTCCCTCCCCCTTACTAAGCTCTTTTCTGCAAGGGTAAGGGCTCACTAATTGCCCATAGCGGTCCTGCTCTACCTTGTGTGTCATTGTCCATCTCCTCCATCAATAGGCACCAATTAGCACTTCTCTACGTAGCTGAGATTTAACTGTTGCTCAGATCTACGTATCTGGCCATGCTTTGCAAGCCAAACTCACGCCTTAACGACAGTTGCAGCACTACAATTGCAGATATAAGATATATTTTATGATGTGAAAAAGTAAGTTGATACACAACCTCGTCTCCCTGCCAAAAGCCGATCAGCGGTGCCTGCAACACCCTCTGTCTCTGCCCACGTGGATTGATGTAAAACCATGTGGGCAAAGGAAAATGGGCCACCCGAGGTCATTGTGATGTCAGGTGATTGACAGGCAGCAGCCCCACCCATGTGCCACAGTTGGCTAACGGGAGATGGGGAAGGTAAGCATTTGACCCATTGGCCAGATCTAATTCTCCACCCTCGTCTTAAGGCGAAACATGTTTCTACAACACCCAGAAATGCAGCCCAAGTCAGATGTGACAGGGTGAACTTTTGCTGCACGTCTCTGTTAATATCTATTTCACGTGGCAATAGGAAAAGGTCAAATCATATGACCTTGGTGCCACATGCAAATTGTAAGCCGTTTTCTTCTGAGCAACTTAAAGATTTCTTCACAAAAGTATATGGGAGAGGGAGAAGTTACGTAAAACGAGGATTGCCCTCATAGCCCAAGAGGTGAGAGCTTAATGCTATCAGTTTAGCTACTGAACCTTTTGTCTTCTTAAAGATGTGAATGAATGCAGACAAAATGTATGCAGACTTGATCAGCATTGCAAGAATACACGAGGTGGCTATAAATGCATTGATCTGTGTCCAAATGGAATGACCAAAGCAGAAAATGGAAGTTGTATAGGTATGTATGTTTTTTTTCTGCATTCTTGTTAGACTGTAGCAGAGAATCAGGAGATCTCCAGCTACTTCCACCTCATCCCTCTTCTTCCACTATGTTTGTGAATGTCACTTGTGAACTACGTACAGTGGTATCTCATGTTACATACGCTTCAGGTTAAAGACTCCGCTAACCCATAAATAGTGCTTCAGGTTAAGAACTTTGCTTCAGGATGAGAACAGAAATCGGGCTGCGGCAGCAGCAGGAGGCCCCATTAGCTAAAGTGGTGCTTCAGGTTAAGAACAGTTTCAGGTTAAGTACAGACCTCTGGAACAAATTAAGTACTTAACCTGAGGTACCACTGTAATGGGTATCATATCCCAAAAATCATAAACATGTGTTCTACTCATAAACAACTACATGAATCAGAAATTGGCACAACACACACACACATGCAGAGTGCTTTTACTCTTCATTGGGGTTTTTTTTAAAAAAAATCTCCCTCATTCCTTCTCAGAAAAGATTGTGCTGTGTATTTTCATTTAAGAATATGATAAAAATGAATAAAAAGGGGATACCTAAATTCCCATATACAGTGGTGTCCGTTCCAAAACCAAAGCACGCTTTCCCATATTAAGGAATGCAAAACGGATCACCGTATTTTTCGCACCATAGGACGCACTTTTTCCCCTCCAAAAATGAAGGGGAAATGTGTGTGCGTCCTATGGTGCGAATGCAGGCTTTCACTGAAGCCTGGAGAGCGAGAGGGGTCGGTGCGCACCGACCCCTCACGCTCTCCAGGCTTCGCACACCTCTCCGCAAGCAGCGGGAGCCCAGCGCTGGGCTCCCGCTGCTTGCGGAGAGTTGCCAGCATGCCGAAGCCTGCGCATGCTGAGCTCAGCGCGCCCAGGCTTCGCGGACCTCTCCGCAAGCAGCGGGAGCGCTCCCACGGCTTGCAGAGAGCTGCCTGTTTGGGGGCTGGGGTCGGGGGAAGCTTGAGCTTCCCCCGCCCCAGCCCCGCGCCTGGGGGGGAAATATTTTTTTCCCCTTTATTTCCCCCCCAAAAAACTGGGTGCGCCCTATGGTCCGGTGCGCCCTATGGTGCGAAAAATACGGTAATCTGTTTCAGACTTTAAAAAACGACCCCTAAAACAGCAATTTGACATGAATTTTACTATCTAACAAGACCATTGATCCATAAAATGAAAACAATGATCAATGTACTGTACTATAAAATAAATAAGACAGTATTGTAGATGATTAAAAAAAAGTAAAAAAAAATTCTTACTTGCACTGATGATAGTCATTGTTTGGATGAGGGGCTTTTATCCATTTCCGCAGTCACACAATCAATCCATCAGTAGCTGAACTGGGTTCCACACAGTCACAAAAACAAATTAGCCGAAAAAACCTGAAAAACAAAAATGCAAAATAAATAGCAAAAACAAAACCGCCAAACTTAATCCATTCCGGAAGTCAAATGTTCAAAAACCAAGGCACAGCTTCTGATTGGTGCAGGTGCACCAGAAACAATAGCCGACAGCCGCATCGGATGCTCAGCTTCCGAAAAACGTTAGGAAACCAGAACACAGACTTCCGGGTTTTCGGCGTTTGAGAACCAAGGTGTTTAAAAGCTAAGGTACCACTGTATTAACATCCAAGACCCCAAGAGGAGGCTGAATTCTGGATAGCAAAACACACTCTTATGACAGAAAATCTATGAAAATGGAGGAATTACAAAACGAACAAAATAAAATACAGCGGTGGGACAGCTTTGGGTAACCTTGTAGCTAACCTCTATGTGAATAATAAATATCCGCTATTACAGTGGTGCCTCGCAAGACGAAATTAATCCGTTCCGCGAGTCTCTTCGTCTTGCGGTTTTTTCGTCTTGCGAAGCACGGCTATTAGCGGCTTAGCGGCTATTAACGGCTTAGCGGCTTTAAGAAAAAGGAAACAAACTTGCAAGAACTCGCAAGACGTTTCGTCTTGCGAAGCAAGCCCATAGGGAAATTCGTCTTGCGGAACGACTCAAAAAACGGAAAACCCTTTCGTCTAGCGAGTTTTTCGTCTTGCGAGGCATTCGTCTTGCGGGGCACCACTGTAAATGTTTGTATACAAGTACAGTTACTTTTAAGATTTTGTGTTCCTTGTCAGATATCGATGAATGCAGAGATGGTACACATCAGTGCCGCTACAACCAGATATGTGAAAACTCGCGAGGAAGCTACCGGTGTGTGTGCCCAAGAGGGTACCGATCCCATGGCATTGGAAGACCTTGTATGGGTAAGTTAGAAGCAGGGGTCGGATAAACATGAATGCTATTCTGGTAACCACCATCTGATTCTGGCTGCTGCTTACGCCTACCCACAAAAGGGTTTAACATGCTATACTGCTTGAAATCAGCAGGCTTCAGCTACAACTAATTAGACCTCAAAGACCTCTTAGTGGGGGGGGGGAATGAGTGGCTGATTTCAAGCACAAATGCATACAATTCCCAGGGAATGTGACTGTTTAAATCACACCAAGTAAAACTAAGCTTGCATGTATCATGGCTATGCATTCTATGGCATGCATGTTGCAAGATGAATTTGGGACGAATCTTAATTCTGCATGGTTCCTTGCTTTTACTTTGCTCCTTAAGAAGTGGCTAGTTCTCTGCACTGCATATACTTGGTGCCAGACAATGTAGCTTATATCTGAGCTGCTGTTCTGCATATAATGACAAAACTTCCTTGTATATTAGTGCCCCCAGCCCCCGGCCATGTATTCAGTTGTAAATGTGAAAACAAACAAAACAAGAAAGCAAAATCACATGTACTTTGAGCTGGGAGCAGGGATGCAGTACAGCTTGTTCTGCCTTGTCACAGTTCCTTTATCTCCCTTTTGTGACTCCCAAATAAACTTCAGTCCTCCAGGTCACACCCACATCTTACACTTGGCCTTGAACTCAGTGGGCTCCTTGTTTTAGTCTTCCCACTGACTTTGTAACTTCAAGGCACCACGGAAGGCTGTTGGTCAGGGCCAACATTTTTATCCTGATGCAAATTGGCTAGCACTCTCCTTTACACACAAGTTGGGCTCCACGTCAATCATCTTCTCCCAGAAAGCACAGAGCAGGGATTTAAGGAGGCTCACTCAGCAGAGGTGTTGTTTAACTTCCCCAGGATAAATGAAGTCAAAAGCAAAGATGATCAGCTCAGTGGTGTAAGGATGCTCCCTCAGGTATATAGAGCAGTCAAAATTCAGCCCAAAAGCATGAAGTTTACTGGAAAAAATTTCAGGAAGTAAGCAAGCAAAAGGGTATTTGTAACTCCTAACTTTATACAGTGGTGCCTCGCAAGACGAAATTAATTCGTTCCGCAAGTTTTGTCGTCTTGTGATTTTTTTCGTCTTGCGAAGCACGGTGCCGGGAAAGTTTTGGAAAACCTTCAAAAATCACCAAAGTCTTTAAAAACCTCAAAAAAGGCTACCACACCGCGTTCTATGAGTTGCTCCTCGAAGTCAAGTCGCAACTGTATTAACGGTGTTAAGAAAAAGGAAACAAACTAGCAAGACGTTTCCGTCTTGCGAAGCAGCTCAAGAAACCCTTTCGTCTAGTGAGTTTTTTGTCTTGCGAGGCATTCGTCTTGCGAGGTACCACTGTAAACAAGAATTGTTGTTTGAAAATACCGTAATTTTTGCTCCATAAGACACACCTAGTTTTTAGAGGGGGAAAGCAAGAAAATAAATATTCTGCGCAGAGCATGTAAGTGGCTCTTGCTTTTCTTGCTTTAAAGCAAGCATCGCTTACATGGCTTCTCTCCCACTTTGCGCAGCTCTCACTTTGGTTGTCCATCCCTCCTCCCGCCTCGCTGTAAAAGAGGAGGAGGAGGAGACACCGGGACAGGTGCTTTGCTTGCTTTACAGCGAGGTGGGAGGAGGGATGGGCAAGCAAAGTGAGAGCTGCGCAAAGCGGGAGAGAAGCCGTGTAAGCTGCTCTCGCTTTGCTTGCTCCCGTCCGTTGTCCCTCCTCCTGCTTCGCTGAGAAGCCAGCAGAGCAAGAGCGATAGCTGCGCAGGGGCTCTTGTTCTGCTGGCTTCCCAGCAAAGCGGGATTTGAAGAGAGAGCGGCTCTTGCTGGCTTTTCTGGGAGGTGGGGATGGGATGGAGGGCAGCCTGTCAGTCCCTTCTCCCACCTCGCGGAAAAGCCACCAAGAGCCACACACATGCTCAGCGCAGCTCTTTAAAGAGAGAGCAGGGCCTCCTGCCTGCATACACTCACTCCATAAGATGCACACACATTTCCCCTTACTGTTTAGGAGGAAAAAAGTGTGTCTTGTGGAGCGAAAAATACGGTAGATATTAACAAGCAGCAGACTGATTCGCCCTGTAACAAACTGGATCTCGTCGAGCAGGCTTTCAAGCATCAAAACCCATTGAGAAGGTGGGTCTTTATTCAATAAGGCAAAATACGACATAGCAAGTGTCAGCACTGGCAGCAGCTTCTTACAACTGGGGTTGTGGCAAGTTAACTGCAACTCTCATCGCTCCTGGTAGGTAGTGGCATTGGTTGGAGATGAGAGAAGTTGTGCTTAAACCCTGCTGGCTGCATCTCCATTTGAAAGAAGCATGTCGGAAGGAGGGGTCCATCTTGCCTCTTTCATTTAAGGGGCAAGTGAGTTCTGCCTACCTGATAAAGGGTATCTTGAGTGCCGCATGGGGGTGGCGAGCAAGCCTGGGCAGCTCCCTTTCATTCTCCTACAAATCAAGCAGGGAAATTAGAATTTGAGGGCTCCTATCTGATTTCTCGTAACATCGCTAGCTGAAAATAACTTGAGAATCCATCACTAATTAGGTAACGTGCCATTGTTGGTGCTGTATCATTTCCAAATAAAATTTACATGTCTGGCACGAAAAGCAGCTACGATAACAGAAAGCAAACCTGAATTTCCAAACAAACTGTTTTTAAGAGTGCTGCGAAATGTGCTTCGTTTGTTTTAAAAGAAGGGATATTCACTAACAAACGTTTTAGCATGATATCCATTACGTTGCAATTGTGTTCCTTTAGCTTCTTTCAAGGTTCTGTTACTGACTAAACTGCTGCTTGTCTTAAAACCAGCTTGCTGCACCTCTCTGCTCCTTTCGGCTTATTTTTCATTGTTATTTCTTTGTTGATGTTCGCAAGAACCTACAGTTTCTTAGATGGCAGGGAAGGGAAGAAATTTACACTGCAACCCTGTGCATGCATGCTAAAAGTACCCTATTTTTCGCTCTATGAGACGCACCAGACCATAAGACGCACCTAGTTTTTGGAGGAGGGAAACAAGAAAAAAATTATTCTGAATCTCAGAAGCCAGAACAACAAGAGGGATCGCTGCGCAGCGATAGCAGCGATCCCTCTTGCTGTTCTGGCTTCTGGGATAGCTGCGCAGCCTGCATTCGCCCCATAAGACGAACACACATTTCCCCTTACTTTTTAGGAGGGAAAAAGTGAGTCTTAAAGAGCAAAAAATACGGTAAGTGCCACTGTCCTCAGTGTGGCTACTCCTGTGTGCATAGGATTGAAGCCTCTGTACTAGGTTAAAGAGTACTCTCTTTGCAGAACAGATGTTTGCAGATCTTAACATGTTCAGAAAGCCCTCTTAGAAAATGGACCTGACACACTTAGGAGCTTTGTCTGGGGGGGGGCGGACCTAGAGCAATGAGAAGCTCACCCAGGCCTCTGTTTTACTCAATATTTATTGCCTTTAACAGGTCACACAGCATTTGTGTTACTAAGCTTGTCAAGGGCCAAGTTAATGACATGTTTGTGAACAGGAAGACCAGTACATGCATTGTGTGTAGCTCGGGGGGGCGGGGAGAGCTTTGTGAGGTCAGGATCACATTTGTAATTTCAGATTGTTCCGCAGACTGATGTGCTTTTTAACGTTTTGTGTTGTCTCCCCTCCCCCCATCCCTCCCCACGTCACATGGTTTGTTGCGTCCCATGAGCAGACATAAATGAATGCGAACAAGTGCCTAGACCTTGTGCGTATCAATGTGCCAACAGCCCCGGCAGCTTCAAGTGTATCTGTCCCCCCGGACAACATTTATTAGGCGATGGCAAATCTTGCGCTGGATTGGAGAGGTTGCCAGATTATGGCAGCTATTACAATAGCCATAACTATGCACAGTTCTCCCTCGAGAGAGACAACTACCGACCTCAGCAATATGTCAGGCACTCATCCAATCTCTACAGCTCCTACTCAGAGTATAGGAACAGCAGAGGTCCCATCTCCAGGACTAAAAGGAATTTTAGAGAGACTTGCCCTGAAGGCTATGAGGCAAGAAGTAACAAATGTATAGGTAAATGTCAAGTGTATGTGTGTATAGAGATATATGTATACATAATATGCATATTCCATAAAGATGTTCATTCAGCTTATTGCTAGGTTAATTTTGCACACAAATATGATATAGATGCTCTATAATAAGATTTTACCAATACAGTGGTACCTCAGTTTTCAAACCTAATCCGTTCTGGAAGACCGTTCGACTTCCAAAACGTTCAAAAACCGAAGCATGCATTTCCAGAAGCATTTACTCACGGAAAACTCAAAACGGAAGCCACGTGGCATGTTCGGCTTCCGAAAAGCATTCAAAAACCAAAGCACTTACTTCTGGGTTTTCGGCATTCGAAAACCCAAACATTTGACTTATGAGAACTGAGGTACCGCTGTATATGTAACTTTCACTTTCTCCCCAAACAACTGAAAAGATTATTTTGGCAGAGCAGAGCATATCCATCCCATTTAGTCTCCCCCTGTCCCTTTCTGGGAATTTCAGCCTTCTCTTTTCCCCTCTTGGGGTAAGAATAAATTCCATCATTGACTGCAGATAGCTTTGCATGCACCCAACTGCTCTTCACCTCAATGGAAATGGGCCTAAAGCGAGGGAATGCCCAGGTGTGGTCCAGGTGAAACATTATCTTGGACACAAAAGAAGGTCTGTTTTGGGTTGAAATGGTTGGAAAAAGCTTTTATAAAGCTTGTCAGGGTGCTGCCACCTTGTCAGACCATAAGACACACCTAGTTTTTGGAGGAGGAAAACAAGAAAAAAAATATTATGAATCCCAGAAGCCAGAACAGCAAGAGGGATCGCTGCGCAGCGCTCCCTCTTGCTGTTCTGGCTTCTGGGATAGCTGCGCAGCCTGCATTCGCTCCATAAGACGCACACACATTCCCCCTTACTTTTTAGGAGGGAAAAAGTGTGTCTTATAGAGCAAAAAATTACGGTATGTATTTTTACATTTTATAGTTTTGACCCATGTGCCCGGTGATTGGGGGAAAATGCAAAGTGCATGGAATGAGAACTTGTCTCAGGGGCATTTGTAGAAACTCTCTTGAGAAGCTAGACTGAGGTCCAGAGTGTGGCTTCAAAATTGGCTGGTGTCAACTTAAGGGGCAGAGGAGCACAACGCTCACCCCCCCCCCCAAATCACTTTTTAAAACACATGTAGGTTCCACAACACCTGCATTGATGTTGCAAAATGCATATCCTCGCTCAAACCAAAGCCCTAACTTTTTTAATAAAAGGTTTTAGCTGTCTCCTAGTTTCTAATTTCCAATATCTTGACTTCATGAGTTGAATTCTGCTGCTTTACTATGGTGGCTACCCAACCCTCCCCCCCCCCCAAAAAAGTTACCAAATTCAGCAATAGTGTTGTCTAATTTTCTGGGTGTAAGAAGCTGAGTTCATTGAGGGTGTGAGGGAGGCAGTTGTGCCCAGTGAGGGATTTGCCTCTGGGGAGCCATCTATTAATTAGCTCAGTGGCTTCCAGAAGACATGCGTGACTTTTGACTTTGCTCATTCAAAGCCTTGCCAGCCTTCAGAGCATCAGCCACTGACTAACTTTTCCAGTCATCCAAAGATTCATTGTCTAACAGTTTAGAGCTCTTGAAAACTACATGTAACTTAAGGTCAAAAATCTTGATTGGGATAGCATTCTTCAAATTTGCTAAAATGCATAATCTAATAAAAATACATAAAGCGATGCATAGCCTTCATATGGTTCAGGATATTATGTCTGCGTAAGAATTTAATTTCTGTAGATGTGCATCAAATATATTTTTCATTATTAGTTTGTCCGTTGGCTTCAATATTGTATGTTTTCAAACCCCCCCCCCCACTTTCCCCCTCTTTTTCTTTTTACAGATATTAATGAATGTGAGAACAGGGATGCTTGTCAGCATGATTGCAGGAATACCTTAGGGAGTTACCAGTGTTTCTGCCCAGCTGGCTATCAGGTTATGCCCAATGGCAAAACGTGCCAAGGTGAGAAAATAAAGGAAATATTATATGAGGAGTATAACATTTGCACCATCCAGCTCATAAATGCCTTTGCAGACAGAAGCCATGTAGCAGAAGTTAGATTAGCCTGCTGCAGCTGATGTTGAGACCACTGTAGGTAGAAACTATCTTAAGATATTAATTACCGTATTTTTCGCACCATAGGACGCACTTTTCCCTCCTAAAAAGCAAGGGAAAATGTGTGTGCGTCCTATGGAGTGAATGCAGGGGGGAGGCAGGTGGGAAAAGCCCCCAAGAGCCGCACACAAGCTCTGTGCGCTCTTGCGGGCTTTTCCACAGGAGGGAGAAGGGACTGACTGGCCACATCAGTCAGTTCTCCCACCTCCCAGAAAAGCCAGCAGAAGCTGCAATCTCTTTAAAGGAGTTGCGCGGCTACTGCGGGCTTTTGCGAGAGGTGAGGGAATCCCCCCACCTCCCAGGAAAGCCAGAAGAAGCCGTGCAGCCCTTTTAAAGTGCGCGTGGCTTCTGCCGGTTTTGCGGGAGGTGGGGGAATCCCCCCACCTGCCAGGAAAGCCCTGCGCAGTGTCTCCCGGCACGGAGAGGCTGCACGGGGCTAAAGGGGAAGCCAAAACAGCGAGCGGGATCCATCCCGCTCGCTGCCTTGGCTTGCTCCATAGTTGTGCGCAACCCCTCCGGCAAGGAGAGGCTGCACGGGGCTATGGATTCTTTAGCTCCATGCAGCGTCTACCGGGAGGGAGAGGCTGCATGGGGCTAAAGGGGAAGCCAAAACAGCGAGCGGGATCCATCTCGCTCGCTGCCTTGGCTTGTGCCATAGCCGCGCACAACCCCTCCGGCAGGGAGGCTTTGGGGCTGGGGGGGGAAGATTTTTTTCTTGATTTCCCCCCCCTAAAAACTGGGTGCGTCCTATGGTCCAGTGCGCCCTATGGTGTGAAAAATACAGTAATTAAATGGTGGTCCTTATTTATGCCTGTGGAATGTATCATTTCAGGGTTCTCTTTTGGGAAGGGCAGAACTGCCCTTCATTATAATAAGCAAGCGGTATTGTATGCCAGATTTGCATAGCAAAAAGCCCCTTATTTATTTCTATGCTATATTTCCTAAAGCTCTGTCCATCCCTATGTACAGCCTTACGTTTTTATTATTGGTAAGAAACCTTTGCTTTCTATGGGCTGGGAGAGTTTTTAGTTTACTTGTTACTATGTGGGTGAAACATAACCTGAAATCAATGAGTTGCTTATCTGACGTTATCTGTTGTTTTCCTTTGATAACCCATCAGATATAGATGAGTGCCTTGAACAGAACATCCACTGTGGACCAAATCGTATGTGCTTTAACACGAGAGGAAGCTATCAGTGTATAGATACGCCTTGCCCGCCAAATTATCAACGAGATCCTCTTTCCGGGTATGTTTCCTATTCGGTCATGTTAGTTTCTCCAGATTGCTTTTTTGATTGATCTCCTTAACGTTTGCATAAGAGGCCAGTCCATGGAATAGTCTTATATACACTGCAACTCTTCCTTCTGACCTCAGAAGAGCTCGAATTATGTGTTGGCTAAGTTTCTTCTAGGCTTTCACCAGCACACACTGTGCCATGTGTTGCTCCAAAAGAACTCATTGACTCTTTTGGCATAGCCTCCTATAGATTAGGACAGGCATAGGCAAATTTGGCCCTCCAGCTGTTTTGGGACTACAACTCCATCATCCCTAGCTAACAGGACCAGTGGTCAGAGATGATGGGAATTGTAGTCCTAAATCATCTGGAGGGCCGAGTTTGCCAATGCCTGGATTAGGAGATGTGGAATCTGGATGTCACTGGACTACAACTCCCATTATCCCTAACCCCTGGCCCCCAAGGGGGCTGTTAGACCTCTGGGCATAATTCAATGGACTGGGTTCTGCCGGTCCTCCAGGGATCCTTCCTTTGTATCACACTCTGATCTCTATGACCAGCAGGAAAGCTGCCTTAATTTACCCATCCATGCACCATATATGCATGTTGGTAACATTTTATGAATTTATTTAAAATATCTGTGCCTTGCCTTTCCACCTCTTAACAAAGCTGGATCTTCAAGGAAACCTTTAAACAACACCTAGTGAGGTTCATTACTTCCCTATTGTCGGGGAACTCCATTAAGCATGTGTTGAATGCACCAAAAAGCCATTTAACTTACCTGATCTTTGGTGGCTAGGTCTTAGCTGGTAGAGGAAGAAATAATTCTTCAATTTCTGTTTGTCTTAAGTGGTTTTTCAGTGTCTTCGGCTGAAAGAAAGTGGATTTTTAAAAATCTGCCCACACTTCTTTAGCTAAAGGAGTAACTTAGGCTCAAATTATAGGCTATGGGGAGACATGTAGACACCTGTCACACTTCTCACTGTTATTATTTGAAATATGTGACATCATGCTAGCTTTTGCCTCTCCTTCTAAGCATTAGGTGAACACAGTGGTGCGATATGCAGGAAGATGCTAATGTTGTCCCATCACATCATTCATTTTTTTGATTACGTGTTATCAGGGAGATGCAGGAAATACCCATTTATTCTCCCAGAACCTGTAGTTTGGGCCTGGTTTATTGTGCCACTTTCTGAAGAACAAAGGGCTTTTGTTTTGTTTTTACAAAAAAAAGGCATATAAATTTTAAATAAATAAAATCACAGGCCTATGGTTTTTATCTTTTACCTGAGAGTGGTGCTATGTGAATTAAAAGGCACAATTGCTTCACTGTATATTGCTGTTCAGATGCAGTCATGGCCCAGGCCTTCATAGTTGTGTTTATTTTAGGTTCTGCCTCAAGAACTGCCCACCCAACGATCTGGAGTGTGCCTTGAGTCCTTACGCCTTGGAATACAAATTTATGTCCCTCCCGTTTGGCATCGCTGCCAATCAGGATTTAATCCGACTAGTTGCTTACACTGAAGACGGAGTGATGCACCCGAGGACAACATTCCTCATGGTGAACGAGGATTTGACAATTCCTTTTGCACTCAGAGATGAGAACTTGAAAGGAGTGGTTTACACAACCAGGCCTCTGCGGGAACCAGAGACGTACAGGATGAGAGTCAGAGCTCTGTCTTACAGTGTGGACGGAGCCATTGAATATCAAACAACCTTCATCGTTTATATAGCCGTGTCTGCCTATCCATACTAGGAAAAGCACTGCCGACAGTAATCAAAGTATGTTAATCACATGCCTATGTGCGCTGGGTGTCACCACTTCCAGAATCACTGTCCCTTATCTTAAAACAGACCTTGCAACTTGTGGGGGGAGAATGGTGCTATGTTCTACCCTTATTTCCTTCCCTCTGGGCTGCCAGTCTGTTGCCATCATTCCATCTTGACAAAAATGACCATAATCCACGATTCCTTGGAATCTTAACCACTTGCTTTATTTATTACACTGGAGCAGTCACTTCTCAAAGATTGTTCTGCTGACTCAGAACTAGTTAGAAGTTCTAATTAGGTGGTAATTTGGTGGTCCCAAAGTGGTAGGCAAGTATCTCCTTGATATGCAAAGAGAACAAAAGTGCCACAAAGATTTTGAAAAACTTAATGCTGTCCTCGTTGTCTTTTCTTACCACAGTGAAAAACACAATTTTCTTGATATTCACAAACACTCAATTAAGACACTACTAGCAGGTATCACCGCTGAGGGCTGTTACACACATTACACAGAAGCAAACTTTGCACAAAGCCCCAATTTGCAAATTGAAACTGGCAAGGTGGCCCCACAAAAACAAAGCTCCATTCTGCATCGGAAACAAAGCCATGCTTCGGTACCACCACCCCATAATATTATTATGTGGGCCCTTTATCTAGTCTTCAGTGAGCAGCTAGAAGTGGGGAAGCAGAAATAACATCCTCCTTTTCCTTCTGCAGTCAAACCTTGGAACAGCTCCATTGCTGAATGTTTCAGTTCCCGAATGCCAAAAACCTGGAAGCAAGTGTTCCGGTTTTTGAACATTCCTCAGAACTCGAACGTCTGACGCGGCTTCCGCTTCAGTGCAAGAAGCTCTTGCAACCAATCAGAAGCCACGCCTCAGAACGTGAACATTTTGGAAGTCGAACGGTCTTCTGGAACGGATTACGTTTGACAACCAAGGTTTGACTGTACTCTACAAAGGAAACAAGAAGTAGTTCTGGATTCCCGTCCTTCCCTCAGATCACATAAACGTTTCTGGTGCCACCTTAACTGAAGAGGAATGCAAACTGCCTTCTTTTCACTGTCCCAGTAAGGGGAGGTTGTGTGTATTGTCATGTGAACAATACCCAGAATTGTTGGGCTCAATCAGCCTCAAACTCTTAGTTGAAGCCCAGTGTGGGCAAGCCCTTGGCTTGCCATCACAAGTACTCAGTAAGCAACTGCACCCATTTCCAGCTGTATGAGACTTGTACCTTTGTGACACGTGTGCCTTCAAACAACTGTCACTTAATCTTTTTAGATATATGCTTACAAAGAACCCTTTTGTAGGGATGAACAGATACAAGCAGAATCCAGGTTGGGGCCTGCTCTTGGCAGGCTTTTCTCGCAGCAATTCAAGAATAGTTGAGCCCATCTGCTTTGAATTCTTGTCCCCCGCTTAGTCCTTAGTAAATGATTGCATAGTAACATTCCTCTTACACAAACATTAAAACTGTTTAATGCAATACATTTGAGTTCTGTAGTACGCTTTATGAGGTGCACAGTTTGGGAACACTAAAGCAGGGAATCCGTGGTGGACTGTGCATGCAAAGAAAAACAGCTTCTTCCCCTTTAAAGGCAGACAGAAGAAATTTGATTAGATGGAATTTTTGCCTACCCCCAAAGAGGTTTCTTAAAAAGAAGAAAAGTCTAGCAAGTTTGGTCAAGCAACGTGTTAGGTGTCAATACACTGTATAAGGTGGTAACAAACTCTGGAAGTAATTTTTGCCAAGATGTATTCTATTTTTATGAAAGTATGTGTACATATATATATATAAAGTTTTGTTTGCTTGTGTGTATTTTCTATGCAATATTGAGAAGGGGTTTTTTCCTAAAAAAAAAAAAGAGAGAAAAAAAGAAAAAAATGTTTTTACCAAAGAGTGTTGTTTACACATGGAAATAACCAAAATAAATGTTCACATTCTTTTTTTAAATTAAATATGTCAAGACAGCTATGCTGTGTTTATTATTCAGAGTTTTCACACTACTCTTATTCAGGAGGGAAATGGAAAACAAGGGACTACTTTGTCATATAAATTCCTTAATCTGTGTCCCCCTCTGAATTCATTTACATTACTCCTGAAGGCTAGAGTAAAAAGCAAAGGAACTATATCCTGATGAATTATCAACATTGCAAGTTCCCTACATCTCATTTGGAGTGAGTGGTGGGGAAATTCTGCATATTTTCTATCTGTCTATATGCATTTCCATGCAAGGCTGCTGCGGACTCCCCACCTTATATCCTGCACAATGGAATGCAACAATAAATGACTCCCAAGAAGGAACAGGCACAACAATCTTTGCCCAAAAGCACCAAAATGGGGAGAGGGAGGCATGGAAGACTGCAAAAGGGACAGAAATATAAAAGATCTGTGTATCAATTTAAAGACCTGTCAACTGCATCAGTAAAATCTTATTCATTTGATCAACTTCAGTAACACTTGGCTCCTGTCAGTTGCTTTGCATGATGTGGAGGAACATCAGCAGAAAATATCTTAAGGTGGACTAAATTATATTTTTTTTCAGACCAGCATGTTTTGATTACTTCTTCATTGAGGCACTGTAAAACAAAATTGACCCCACCACTTGACCTTCCATCATACATGTCATCTCTTTCATCAGTACCACACCGACTTGCATTTATTCGTGCAAGGTTCAATGTCCTTCCATCGAACCTGCTGAGCCACAGATTTTCCAAGGGTTTGGTGTCTCCGCTATGCGTGTGTGACGGGAAAACTGTTGAATCTCTTCCACATATAATGTTCAACTGTCCCCTACATAGCATAGCCAGGACTAAATTCCTGGGCCCTGCTTTACTGCGCTTGGTTGGCAGGCCTGTTGAGTCACACGCCGCACTGCTTTTGCAGGATACAGATCCTTCTGTTACTCTGCAGGTGGCGAGATTCCTGAATGCGGTTATCTCACACGCAAAAACCACCAAAAAACAACAACAACATCAAAATCTAATCGGACAGTTATGATGAGAGTGCATGTCGGATCTCGTCTTCAGTTTTCCTTTTTCTGTGAACCGTCCCTTGGAGCTCTCCGGGCCCCATCCTGTTATTTGGCTCTGCCCAATGACCCACCCTTGCATCGCAGTGTTCACCTTCTGTTGTCAGATATTTCGGTTTTTAAGCCTTTGTGCTTTTTATGTTTGTACATATTTTATGGGCTAATAGCCGTAAATAAATGAATGAATGAATAAATAAATGAATGAATGACCTTGCCAACAAAGGTCTGTATAGTTAAAGCTATGGTTTTCCCAGTAGTGTTGTATGGAAGTGAGAGCTGGACCATAAAGTAGGCTGATCACCGAACAATTTATGCTTTTGAATTATGGCACTGGAGGAGACTCTTGAGAGTCCCATGGACTGCAAGAAGATCAAACCTCTCCATTCAAAAGGAAATCAGCCCTGAGTGCTCACTGGAAGGACAGATCCTGAAGATGAGGCTCCAGTACTTTAGCCACCTCATGAGAAGAGAAGACTCCCTGGAAAAGACCCTGATGTTGGGAAAGATGGAGGGCACAAGGAGAAGGGGACGACAGAGGACGAGATGGTTGGACAGTGTTCTCGAAGCTACTAACATGAGTTTGACCAAACTGCAGGAGGCAGTGGAAGACAGGAGTGCCTGGCGTGCTCTGGTCCATGGGGTCACGAAGAGTCGGGAACAACTAAACAACTAAACAACAACAAAATAACACACTGTTTTCAGTGTGTTCTTTTTCAATTGTTGTTGAACTGCATTGTGCTGAATAAAGTATAATTTGGTGCAGCCTTGTAAATACGCCCCCCCTTACTTGCCTAGAAGAAAAAGTACTAGCCTACTTAGGGTGGGTAGAGGAAGAAGCAGCAGCCCCCCCCTCCTCTAGCATCCCTCTGTATTTTGTGATGGCCTTTAAAGGAGTGGCATTCCCTCCTTTGATAGCCCACACCATTTCTGCTGAGCGCAGAGGAGATATGGAGCATCCTTCCTTTGCCAACTCTCTACATATTTACATTAAGACAAAACACACTCATTTGCTTGGGTAGAATCCAGGGCACGCGCCTGCGTACAATTCCTCATCACCTGTGGCCACCAGGTGAGTGCTCAAATACAGGACGGATTAAGTGTACCTTTTTAATACATTGGTGCCTTCCTCCTTTGCACAACATGCCTGAGCAACAGTCAGCATGATCTACACACTATTTTGGGATGCTTACATCTCAGTACAGTGGTACCTTGGTGCTCGAACGGCTTGGCTCCTGAACAAATCAGCTCCTGAACGCCGCAAACCCGGAAGTGAGTGTTCCGGCTTGCGAACGTTTTTTGGAAGCTGAACGTCCAGCGTGGCCTCCGCGGCTTCCGATTGAGTGCATGACGCTCCTGCAGGCAACCAGAAGCCGCGCCTTGGTTTTCAAACGGTTTCGGTAGTCAAACGGACTCCCGGAACAGATTAAGTTTGAGAACCAAGGTACCACTGTAGCTACTTCACTTCTCTTCATCAACTTTGGGATCCATTTTTAACACAAAAGATCTCCATGTAGTTACTCTTTAAATGAAAAGTCATGAACCTTTATTTCTGACCCTCAGTAACCAATTACAAAAGGTGAGAGGGAAAAGCAAAGCTTTTGCTGCCAGAGCTTTTTTTTTTTTTTTTTTTTGGCTCAAGTCTATATTGTGCCAAGCATGATACATCTCCTTTCCGGTTAGGTCCAGCCTATGTTGTGCTGACTCATCTTCACACCATGCAATACAGGCAAGGCCAGGACAAATAGTCCTTATTTAAGCACAGCTTTCATCAGCAAGCCTCCACCAATGTTATACAATGATGTCACAACACATCACAGGCAAGAGGGTACTAACATGAGCAAATGACAAATTTGGTTGCTGCCAGTGGCAGATCAAGAGCAGCTTTGGGCATTAAAGCACAAGAAACTGGAAATGTTTATCATAACCTCACAGCCAGAGGGAAGGGTGCATGTTCCATGCGCAGAGACAAGGAATGTCTCCTGGTTGTAAACTGTCTCACATACT